GCGCGTTCCATATGAAATATCAAACATTTCACAGGAGCATTGTCATTGTCATTGCACAGACCATGTTTCTCTATGAAAATTAATTTGTTAAAAAATAAATCTCTTTGTTTTCTAACAGTCATGTTTCTGTCATATATTTTTATCATGCCACATGAATGTATCGACACTTGAAGGAATTCATGTTTGAGGTTAAAGCATATGATATGATCAAGGCTTATAGGTAGTGTTTGAAGGAGCTCAATTGTTGTTTTATTATTATTACTATATTATTATTATTATTATTATATAAAATAAAATTCTTATTATTATTTTTATGCATCAATGGTTCAATGGCTGATGGTAGAAGCAGGCCATGATTGAAGGCTGATTATTTTTTTTTTTTCAATGCATCATGATTGAGATGATTGAGATGATTGAGATCTGGTTGGTTATTATTTGTAATGTAAAGCCCAAAGTTGCGCTCTCATGATGATCGCTCATAATCATGATTGAGGTCACATGATGATTGGGTCACATGATTGAGGTCCGATGATTGAAGTATGTATGCTCATTTCCTGAAGGGCACATGAAAATGGAATGATATGAAATGAAAATGGAATGACATGAAATGAAAATGGAATGACATGAAATGAAAATGGAATGACATGAAATGAAATGAAATGAAATGGAATGGAATGGAATGGAATGGAATTTATTTTAGATTTATGGACGGACGTATCATAGAGCAAGAATTATGAAACTATGAAATGAAATATATCATATAATAGAGCAAGATCTATGAAATATATCATATAATAGAGCAAAGATCTATGAAACGAGTTATTACGATAAGAGAGAAACCATTTCGACTTTAGTATATAGATATAAGAGAATGAGTAGGATAAAAATAATGTCGAAGTGATGGATTATAGTCTAGATTTCTTTCTTTTCTTCTTTTGATGACTTAATTGCGCTTGTTTGAATGTGGAGGTAGTCGGGATCGCCGCATTTTAAATATAAATATTGCTTTCATTTCATTCTCTCCCTCTTTTTTTTTTTTTTTTTCTTCTTCTCATGATTCGCCTCAGAAGGTCAGAAGAATGTGGGAAAAGGGAGGAATGACAGCCTTAACCTAGTAGATGGGAACAGTGCAATCGGTGAATGGAGGGCAAGAAACGAGTATGCAGACAAATAAGCAAGTGAAGAGCAGCAGAATACAGAATACATACAATAGCGCATATCACCAGTGAGATGTAAGAGAATAGAGATTCCAGAAGATAATGTTTACTTACTGCAAGTGATCACGCCTACAAGCTTGTTCCAGAAGCCTTTCTTCTTATGGCTACCTTCGCCATTTTGGCCGTCTTGCTGGATATTAGCAGGAGCAGCCCGACTATAACCTTGCTCATTCAATAGGTCCTGTTCACCCGATGCGCCCGCTGCAGCGTTGGTGCCAGCAGTACCAGTACCAGCCCCTGCTCGCGAAGTACTTTGTTTATGCTTGAGCTTGGAGTTGCTATGCACAAGGGCTGATGGCTGCTGTGGTCCTTTGGACCCCGTCTGTTGCTGTTGCTGTTGCTGATGCTGTCTCTGCGATTGCAAGTGAGGGTCTCGTGAAGAGTGGTGGCGTGCATCAGACGCATGATGGATATTTCCAGATTGGTGATGAAGAGGGTTATTGGAGGAGTACTATAGAACATGGGGAATAAAGACATAGCATCAGTATAATACTTTGATACGATAGTAAGATGTTCATTGAACCAGCTATTGAGAATGCCCAAACACGCGTGAATTTTGTACTTACATCGACCTCAGCCTCCCAGCCTTTACCATTGTTCAGTAGCATCCAGTCATAAACACCATCTTCTACCTCGCCAATACTCTTCAATGCCTTTGTAAACAAGTCGCGTAAGAAGTCATAATCAGGAGTCTCTTCAAAAGACAGTTTACGAACATAGTTGAGATAGATACCAAACTCCTCTGTATAACGACGTAGAAAGAAAAGAGAAAGACAGAGATTGTTAAAGGAATGATATACAATAATAACAATACGAGTAAAATAGCATGTCGAGCACTTGCTGAAAACCTAATCATAGGAGATTAATCGAACATTCAACTTTTCAATGATCGTACCTGGAAATCCTTCACAAAGCTCTTTGATTGGCGTCGACTGCTTCTTCTCACCAATTTTTTCATACTTTTGCTTGTTTGTGGCGGCTTTAAGTCCCTGCCATGGTAGACCACCACGCAAGAAGTACATGAAAACGTGACCCATCGCTTCCAAATCATCACGTCTGGATTGCTCTATTGAATGGAGGCATTAAAGACATACGATTTTCATGAGAACACAAAAATCAACCAAAAATTAAATGGATGGTAGACAAAGTAGGATAGACAAATTACCTCGACCAAGATGAGTATTAATGCTCATATAGCGGGCAGTGCCACTGAGAGATTTGCGTTCGCGGTACGGTATATGTTGCTTAGTCTTAGGGTCACGATATTGTTTAGCCATGCCAAAGTCAACGACATGGACTAGATTAGCATGCTTGCTGTGGGGTTTTCCAACCAAGAAATTGTCAGGCTTGATATCGCGGTAAATTAGATTTTTCTCGTGAATTGTTTGCACACGAGACAACTGAAGTGCCACATCAAGGTCAATAGAGTATCAGGAGCGTTAGATTTCAGCCAAGTCGCACATCCAGTCACAAAAGCAAGAACAGAAAGTAACAATCAGAGAAAGGCTTGCAGTACCATTTGTTTTGCAACCATGACGACAGTCTTGATTGTGAACTTGCGGCCGCACATATCAAAAAGATCCTCAAGTGATGGGCCAAGTAGATCGATGCAAAGGATGTTATGCAAACCTTCCTGGCCAAAATAGAATGCATTGGGAATTCCAGCTATTTCAAGAAGATTGATATAGGTCAGCACAGGTGTGATTAGGTCATGTCGTCCATCCGCAGGAAAAAGAGATTATGGCTGGAATCATTGTTGAATTGATCACTCAGGTGTCTCCTTTCCCCCTTCTTAAATAATCGCCCAACAACAAACAGTTTCAAATGATGGTTTGACGGTCACCTGTCCTTTTTTTTTTTTATTTTTTTTTTTTTATCTCTTTTCCCCCTGGAAATAAACCCATTTTCATTTGCCATTTGCGTCAGTTGCTGATATAAAATGACGTTACTGAAAACCAGGAAGATAGACTCCCATAACCATGTTATCCTTTTGTTCGTGGAGGTGATAGTAATGATGGTTGAAATGATAGTTGTCAACATGCACCACAAGTATCAGGTAGAGTTTTGTTGCGGAATAAAACATTAAAGAGCTTACTTGAGCCTGCCAAGATCTTGTATGTTCTATACTCATCACGCAATTGAGGGGCATCACTCTTTCTGGGCTCGAATTTGATGGCCACTTGCTGGTTGTTCAAAAGATTAGTGCCTGTAATATAAAGACAAAAAAAAAAAAAAGTAAATAAAAAAGATATCGATCAACGAATAACATGCCAAAAAGAACATGATAGTGACTTGCCTTCATAGATGATACCAAAGCTTCCTTCACCAATCTTCTTGCCGACCCTGTAATGGACGCCAACGACGTTGGAAGAAGAATGGGTACTGTGAGAACTGTTATTCATGCTGATCATGAGAAAAATGGAGAAAAAAATTATGGAGACAAAATGTTAGCGTTTTTTTTTGGAAATTGATTCTGCTAATAACAAAGAGGAAAATGATATATCAATGTATAATAGAATGATGTATAAAATGTATGTATCATTGGAGAATACAATGAGCCCTTTTTTTTTTTTTTTCTTTTTTTTTGGATCACATGTTGATGAAGGGGGGTATGGAATTGTCATATTATGAGTGGGAACATGCGTTAAATGTCAAATGGCTCTTACACGGACAGCAATCACGCTGGTTGTATATATAATATTGATGTGAAGGAAGTGAGGATGAGAGTGCTGGTGTGACGGCGACAAGAGGATGGAAAGGAGGAGTAGGGGAAGTCAAAATAATAGAGGGCAAGAGCAAATATGAAAGTGAGAGTGAGAATGAGAATAAAATGAAGTCAAACCAGAATGAAACTAATGCAACAATAAAAAAAAAAAAACGAGAATTAAGAATTGAGAATTAAAAATAATTAAAAGGTGTGAGTGAAGAAACAGGATGTTTGAAGGGAAGGGAAGGGAAGAGAAGGGAAAAGGAAGGGAAGAATGGAAAGAGAAAAAGAGAGAGAGAGAGAGAGAGAGAGAGAGAGAGAGAGAGAGAGAGAAGGGGAAGTGGAAAGGGAGTGAAAAGAAAAGAAAGAAAAGAAAAAGACAAAATCCCAGTGATGATGTGTGTTTACTACTTTATTTATTGTATCCGAAACATTTTGTCCGTTCTGGCTCTCTTTTTTCCTCTCAAAACTTTCAGCCATTTATTGTCTACCTGCAATATGCAATGGATAATAATAAATAATAAAATAATAATAGCATGAAGAGAGTATTAAAAAAAAAGAGAGAGTTCATTTCTCATCAACCTGGCCAAGACCAATGTCATTAATGCTATACTCCTTCTCCTCACCTCTCAAATGAATTGCAAGAACAAACAAAAAAAAAAAAATCGAAATCGAAAGAGCCTTTCTTTCTCTATTTATCTATTCCTTTCTTTTTCTCATTCTCTCTCACCTTCTCTTTCCCTTCCAACGAAAATGAATGAACAAGAAAAATTTCTGCAATGCCCTGAATGCCCTGTCTCAGTAAGATGAGCACTGTAAAAAGTAAAAAAAGAAAATAACTTTTGTCCAGTCAGGCAAGACTGTCCAATAGGAGCGAGGACGATTTAAAAAAAACCCTCCCCGGATCACGTTTCTTGTAAGAACCCTTTTTTAATGTTTCTCTCTCTCTCTTGACTCTCTCTCTCTCATAGTCTATCTGGGGATGAGAGCTGGCTGCACAATGCACAGTCAGACAGTCAGAAGGAGGGGACAGGAGTCAAAAGCGTCAATATGTTGTAGGGAGAGCGCATTTAAAATAAGAGCCAGAATGCAAGTGAACTGAAAAGGAGGGATTTGTGGAGAGTTTAGGCCGTGTCCAGCTGGCCTTGTGCAGGGGGATAAAAATGTTTGACATGGAAGTTTATTACTGACTATGGCCATTATCCTCAATAGGCTACAAGACTAGTGAAAGATAGGATGAGTGGCCGTTTGTCTAGAGAAGGTAGCGAAAGTCGGTTTCTGAAGAGAGATAGACGTGGAAACACAGCTCAAACAGTGATTGTAGACAAAGAATACAAAGGTATGGGCGATCAACAATCGGATAAAGAAAGAAAAATGAGAGAGCAGAACTCAATTGGATCTTTATTGGCACCCATGCTTGCTCTAAGCTCCAAGTAACGATTGTAGCCACGCCAGAGCCGTATTAGCAATATCAATACTAAATCTGCTCTCCTTTTATCAAATCTGTGCTCTTTTTTTTTTTTTTTTTTTTTTTTTTTTTTTTTTTTTTTCCCCCTCTCTCCTTACTTCAGTTGGGGTGAACAGATGGATGCGGGCGGATGTTGAGGTATAATTCACCAGATCCCTTGTAAACTATCACCTGCATTTTTCATGGATCTTTCCCTTGATCTTTTTTTTTTTTTTTTTTTTTTTTTTTTTTTTTGGCTCAGACTTTACACAAGCGCATGTGCTTGAAGAGTATTGAATTCAATGGGAACAAGGAGTTGTAATGACTCAATAATATAAAATAAAAAAGACTCGACTAAAAGGACATCCCAGGAGACACTTGGGATTGGAAAGGAGACAGTAAAAGGAGATCTGAGCAAATGCCAACAAATGCATCATTCACAAAGGCAAAATATGGCAATAACCAAACGACAGGACAAATAAAAACATGGCTTCATTTTTTTTTTTTTTGTTGTTGTTGTTGTGTTCAATGCATGTAGAGAATGGGTGTAATAGAACAGACTGCATCAGCCAGGCAGATAAAAAGATACGCGACATAGAGTAGTAAAAGACATAGCAGGTCTAATAGTCATGATTGATATGATAGAAGTGATGGATGATAGACATATAATGGGACGTAATTAGATGAAGTGATGGATAATTGAAGCTTTCAATGAAAAGTCTTCAAGGTCTGAAAGTGGATCGGATGGATTGGGTTTTTAACTTCAGATCTTCACCTTTTATTATTATTATTACGTGCTGAAAGAGAAGAGGCTGTGTGCAATTAGAGTAGAAAGATGCTGAAGACCGAAGGTAATCAGCTGGAAATGGTGAATGAGATGGATGTTAAAGATCGAGGAAAGTGGTAACAGGGCAGGGCTTATAGAGCTTAAAGAAAAAGGTAAAAAAAAAAAAAAAAAAAGTGGCAAGAGAGATAGGAGAGGAAAAAGATGAAGGCAGACTACCCTCTCAGCCGTGTCAATCAAATACAATTGGGTCTCTTTTCTCCCGCCTCCTCCCATTATTGGCAACCTTGACCTCAAAACAAACAATGAATATGCCTTATTATTTAAAAACATGAGCAAACTTTTTTTCTGAACCACATCATCGCTCGCTTCGTACAGATAACTGGGGAGTTAATCTGGTGATCATAAACGGTTTCTACATTGATCGACGCATATTCGAAGCGGACAACTGGATCGGAGGGTGCTGGGGTCCGGATAGAACATAAGAGAGAGGGAAAGTTGATATAAATGATCCATAATAACTTTCAGAGACAGGTACACCATGTTGAATCTGAGTTTGCTGATAATTGAGACGATAATGTATCATTTAAAAAAAGCTTTTTTTCCCAGACACGTTGCAGCATGATACGCGAAAACGAGAAGGTTAAAGAACTCACGAAAGTGGTGTGGATAAATGAATGACCTGCCGTAGAACCAGGAGAAATAAAAATATTCATGTATCCCCTGTACTGGGCTCATATACATATATACACAGGCTAATATATCCATCTGGATGCAATCTGAATGGTAAGGATGACATTCCCGTCATAATTCAAAAAAGTTCTCGATCCGATTAAAATGAACAGGCTGGCCCCCCCCCCCAAGAGGATTAAGTTTTTATTGCAAAATGACGGCACAGGTTCAAGGGAATTGACATGTCAACACTTGTAGACAGCAATCCATCTCTCTGTGTAACAAATTCTGTCACTGCAGCTCGAGCCCTTAAAAAAAGGTCGTGCGTAGCTTCCCGTGTGACAATCATCTTACTACTAAAATGCCGACTCTCATTGTCACCATGTATACTAGAGAGAGCACTGAGCTGATCAACTACACCAACGATGCCCAAAGGGCACCCACCGCTGATCTCGTCAATGAATTGGCTCTGACGGCATCAATGCTTAAAATACCAAGGACTATTTTACTGTTTGAGCGCAGGAAATGCTTGGTCAAGGAAGGACTAAAATTGGCTATAATCTCTTTGTTCGTTGCAGGTCGGCTGGATGGGTCCAGCTTCATCATTTCTCTTGGCATATTAGTCAAACTTGCCTGCTTGTAAATAGAGGTAGGCTCAAATTTGGCTCTAGACATTCAATGCACACACATCTTTACGTCTTTATGTGGTTTTGGTTGTTCTACCTGGGTAGTGGCAAACCAAAAAGCAGCAGGAAAAAAAGCACACCAATGTATGATATTAAGGAGAACCTCAAGGCGGATTTTCTTTTATTTTATTTTATTTTATTTTTTTTCGATACAAAATGTCCCATTTTTTTTTAGCGTTGCTTGAATACCCTACATGTTTAAAGATCGCCTCTTGTACATGTACTTCAAAACTTTATGGCAAGCCGCATCAAGTCTTTTAAAAAGCGTTACATGACATTTTGAGCAATTAAATTCTAAGACTACTTTCTGCTTAAATGGGATCGCCCAATTTTCTACCTCGTGGCTATGCAATAGTAGCCCTATCAGGAATCGAGCTTGGATTCACGCTTTTGTTTCCTGTTAACAAACCTCAAATAGTAACTGACGATTTACTATGCAAAAAGTGCATCGCTGTTGATGGAAAGTAGGGATTCACAAGAAATAAACTGTGCCTAAGCACCCAAAGCGCCATGTATGTCTACAATGGAAGCTGAAAGGATACTCGATTCGGGCGATACTCGTTTTATTTTTGCGAGTAAAATGAGATTCAATGCATTAAAATGCTGACAAGTGCCGTAGCCGATGTCGCCAAAGCTATATTAGCAAACAGACGAATTGTCGAGGTTGCGGTTGAGGCAACGCGCAACTCAACCCGTTGCAGCTACTTTGGTAGGTATTCTCAAGCGTACTAAAAATGTGGCATGGAACGAAGATGAGGTTTCAGGCACTAGTTTTAATGGAAGCATTCATATGTAGGTTCGAGGACGCTCAAGTTAGAAGCGATGAAATACCCTCAATAGGATTTTCTTTTTTGATAAGAACCCTTAGGTCATGATTTATTACACATCCTTTATTGCACACTTCCTTTTTGCCTATTATGCTATCAGTTCCTTCCATCAGGCCATAAACTCTTCTTCGCACCCTTCGAACGCTTGGGCGGTGATCTCTTCCCTCTCTTTAGCTCTGTTTTTATTTTAGCTCGCGTAATAAAGCTGATGTTCAATGCACGAAAGGACAGCATATCGAACATCGAGGCCGTCGTAGACCCTTGACACCAAATACATGTGCTTGCAAGGGATCTTCTGTCGGACACAGTCGGGACATGAACATGACTGAAGGAGACCTCGCTCTACGTCCGCGGCAACGAAGTACTCTACTCCAGATTCTTCGGATGGCTTTGCCGTGAAGTGTAAGGAACGAAAGAACGATTAGAACCTGTCCGTGCACAACCAAGCTTGTGAAATCCTCGATTTTCGATAGGCTCGTCACCAGCCTAGATTTTCGACACATACCTCTCTCTCGAAGGAGGCTTGTAGGAACACTTTCCGCCTCTGCTTCAACCTGTAAATCATGGGATGTTAGTTGTGGTCTAAGTAAGTGCAACAACGCTCAGCACTTGCCGGGGCGATCATTGAAGACTCTCTTCACTCGACCTCAACTCATTCTTGATACATTTTCAGTCATGGCCTCTGAAAACCATTGACTTCATCAAGTTATACTCGTTAAGGCCCACAGGGAGAGCGACTCTAGGCTGCATTGACACTCCAAAAGCAAAAGCCGAGCGGAAAGATCCGAGAAATATGAACAGAGCTGACTTTACCCGCGTCATGCAGTGGGGACATCCCATTGCAACCCTTAATGTTGGAACTTTTTCGGATAATATGAAGGGGGTTTGGAGGATAAAGGGTTGGTAAATGGGGCTCCGGGATGCAGTTCGTACGGCCGCAAACATCAAGAGGGAATTCCAGTTTCTTATCGGTCTTTTTATTGAAAGCTTGCTTCTACGAAATAACTTTGAAGAAACGGATAGGAAGCTGTTGGACGGGATTTGTAATGTATTTCAATAGCTTGATGGTGATATCGGAGATGCTATCGATGAAAAAGAAACAAACGAAGAATGACACCATTGAGGAAAACAACGATGATGCCTCATTTCCTTTCATACGGTCACTGATGGTTTACCTTTACACTGGCAACGAACCGAAGAAGGGAAAGAGGGAGAAGAAAGATGGACCAGGTTTAGTGAGGACATTTGTCACTCGTGCGCAAGCTCTTGGACTCCTGGATGGCTTAAGGCATAGGAATGAGATAAACCACATTATGCAGTTCGCCCCTCAGCATTATGTCGATCAGTAGCGTCACAACTCTCAGTTAAAGTCAGGCTTATGTACAGGAAAGGCAACTGGGGAAATTCACAGAAAGATATTTCATCGATCAAACGTTCTTTTTATTTCTATTTCTATTTCTATTTCCAATTAATAAGATACCTGACGAATGGCTGAGTTTCTGGCCAATAATTTAAACGTCTGAAGGACAAAGGGGCCTTTCCAGCAGATCATGACATCGGCATAAAGCCCGATCTTCCTGCAATTGAAAACTTTGTAAAGTTGAACAAGCTGTACAGAAACAATCGAAAGATAGACCCTCCCTCAGTATCTTCTGGAAGAACGAGCAACTGAAAAGAGCGCCCAAGGTTCAACTAGATGGTTCAGAACAATATGGCCTAAATGATATGCATTCAGTAATTCGAAACCTATAAGACCCATCGAGACTACATTCATTTCAACTGTTGTAGGGCCGATCACTGTCCGCAAGGGATGGCGAGGGCTAAAAGACAAGACTAGAGTGATGTCCCTAGATGATATCACCAATCACATCATAGACATCCGCCGAGCTTACTTCGATCTTGAGGAATACCGCGAATCCGGATATGTCTTGACAGGCTCTATTCGAGCAGATGGGTTCTGCATCCAATTGTCGACCTACAAACTTAAGGAATTGCAACGTGTCTGGTACAAGAGGTTAGTCTAGAAAATATGCGTGTAAGCAAGACTCGTTAGGAGTCAGCAGTCTTTCACAGCCACGTCTATGACGTATTTTGAGAGAGGTTTGCGCTGTACTCAGCCGATTATACATTATATCCTATTTAGTTGGATTTACATGTTTTTTAAATGAGAAGGTTTTTTTTTTGAGTTTGGGCATCCCGAACGGGCGGAGGACCAAAAGGGCAACTTTGGGACAGACAAGATAAAATTCTTCAGTAATATGTAGCCCAGGCAAAGAGCCCAATGCTCTGGGATTCATCTTTGCTGGTTTCTACACAGCGGGGTAGACACGAAGCATACAGAGAAGGCCTGTTTGTAAAAGAGAGGATGAAAGGCGTATGACTGCCAGGTGTGTCATACTCTCACTGCCCTCCCCCACGCCACGGTGGAGGTAGAACTGAGGCATTGTACTACGCAAGTCTGGATTGACAAGTCTTCTCTTTCTTTACAACATCCCTTGCATATACATCATTCTGGTTTTGTTTCTTTTTTTTTTTTTTTTTTTTTTTCCTCATTATTTCGTTCTTCTTCCATCAACATCATATCCTTTTTTTTTTTTTTTTTTTTTTTCTTGTTCTTTTCATTCTTTAAACATCATAATGTCCTCCTCTCTTGTCAGTGCTGCCCGGGAGGCACAGACTCATGCTGCACTCCGCAACCTTCAAAACAAGAAGCCTGTCCCACAGATCGACTTCACGATCCATACTATGGACGATGGCACTACTGCTTCCACTCTGGAGAGATATAGCAAAGGTACCTGTCTATTGACTGGCGGTGTCATCTCATCCAGCCCATTGCTCTGTCCAGAAACATGTCGCGTTTTGTAGTTCATGGTAGCCCAATGGCTTCAAAATGCCAGAATAGAACATTGTAAATAAGGCTTGCAAGGATGGAACTTGGCTCTCCCATCCATGGATTACATTTGAAGTTGAAGTGAGAAATCGGAACACACATGCCCTCCCCCTTTTTTAAGGTGTGGAGCAGTTACCGTTAACAGCAAGAGGATTCCGCCTGCTTCAAAAAGGATGGCTGTTTATGGTTGCTGTTATACTTACTGCTGTCAGAGACGTCGAATGCTGGGTATCGATTGCTGATTTGTATTTTTTAAATTGAAGGACAGACCAATCGACGCTAGCACAAAACCACAAACAGATGAACCATTGGTCCTTTCTCCTTCTGGCACTCATTATAGCCCTGATTCACCCTTTCTATGTTACCTTTCTTGTGATCGTGTTTTCAATGTCTGCTAAGATTTTTGAACGTTCTTTTGATCTTTGCGCCATGTTTCAATAGATGTACAAGCGCCTGCGGTCAATATCCCAACGGACGATGTTTTCTACTCAAAAGAATTTCCTGATCGGCCGGATATCGCATTCCTTAAAAATCACTTTTATCGCGAAGGGCGTATTACCGAAGAGCAGGCTATTTACATCTTACAAAAAGGAACCGAGTTATTAAAGAAGGAGCCTAATTTGCTAGAAGTTGATGCCCCTATCACTGGTGCGTTCTCTATCTGATTGAGAAAAGAGAGAAAAGCTTGGCCTAAATTCGTTAGCTAAGTAATACCAATTTTTTTTTATGTTTATAATATAGTCTGCGGAGACATTCACGGCCAGTATTACGACTTGATGAAGCTTTTCGAGGTCGGAGGCAATCCCGCGGACACAAGGTATCTCTTTTTGGGAGACTATGTTGACAGAGGTTATTTCTCAATCGAGGTAGATGCAACCTATGAAATCTTAAGAGGCTTCGTGTTATATGCAGTTCGATTGTTCATTATATTAATTCTCTGTTTCTGTAATTTTCTTTGATTGTAGTGCGTTCTTTACCTCTGGTCACTCAAGATCTGGTATCCTGATACCTTATTCCTCCTACGTGGAAACCATGAGTGCAGACATTTGACTGACTACTTCACCTTTAAGACAGAATGTGAGTTTTTTTTTTTTTTTTTTTTTTTTTTTTTTTAAAAAAAAAAAAAGACGAAATAGACGAACCATTAAGGAAGTGCTTGTTTACACTTTTTTTTTTTTTTTTTTTTTTTAAAAAAAAAATTACCAAAAAAGGCAAGCATAAATATTCTGAAAGAGTTTATGACGCTTGTATGGAGTCGTTTTGTACATTACCCTTGGCTGCCATCATGAACAAGCAATTCCTGTGTATTCACGGGGGACTCTCGCCTGAGTTGAATACTCTTGACGATTTGCGACAAATTAATCGGTTCAGAGAACCACCAACTCATGGAATAATGTGTGATCTTTTGTGGGCAGATCCGTTGGAAGAGTTTGGACAAGAGAAAACGTCTGAATTCTTTGTACATAATCATGTCCGTGGTTGCTCCTACTTTTTTAGGTATGACTATCTCTTTGATTTAAAATTAAGGTAGACTCGACACTAAAGCATCAGAGCAATTAACATGCTTTCTACGAATTGTCAATAGTTACCATGCTGCTTGCGCCTTCTTGGAAAAGAACAGCTTACTCTCGATCATTCGTGCTCACGAGGCCCAAGATGCAGGATACCGTATGTACCGCAAGACAAAGGCCACGGGATTTCCTTCTGTGATGACGATCTTTTCGGCTCCCAATTATCTTGATGTTTACAATAACAAAGGTATAGCCACAATAATTCTGCAATCATGGGCAATCTAGAATGTGCTGGGTGTGAATGCTCTATTAACTATGATACTTTGATCAAACAAACGATGTAGCCGCTGTATTGAAATATGAGAACAATGTCATGAATATCCGGTATGCTTTATCTTCAATCTTTGGTATCATATTACTCCATTACATCAATATTGGTTCTAATGCTGAATTATGCTCATCTATAGTCAATTCAATGCGACTCCTCATCCATACTGGTTACCCAACTTCATGGACGTATTTACATGGTCTCTACCATTTGTCGGTGAAAAGAGTATGTCACTGTGAAGTTAATATGAAGTATTATTGCATTGACACTATTCTATAGTACTAATATTATGTTACCTCTCCCCCTCCCTCTCCATACATATGCGCATATGTTTATTCCTAAATCTTGCGTATAGTCACAGATATGTTGTTGGCTATTTTGAACACTTGTAGCAAGGAGGAGCTGGCAGAAGATGATATGATATTAAACTTGACAGACGGATCTAGTGGGGCCATGGAGGTCGACACGACTCCTATTGACTCAGTAAGTAGTCCGTCAGCCTCTTCGATCACTGATTTCAACAGCACAACTGGAACATCAGGTGTGCTCAATAATGGCACAGGCCACCAGGATGTCGATATGGTGGATGCCGCTCGCGAGAGGGAGACCAATAAAAGCCGCATTCGCCAAAAAATTTTGGCAGTAGCTCGTTTATCTCGTGTCTTTGCAGTGCTTCGCAACGAGTCGGAGGCTGTTTCAGAACTGAAGGATCTGATGGGTACGACCAAGCTTCCATATGGATCATTGGCACTGGGAGCCGAAGGCCTCAAGAGAGCGATTAACTCGTTCGAAGATGCCAAAAAATCTGATCGGGATAATGAGAGGTTGCCTCCAACCAAAGAGGAGAAAACGAAGGAGGAGAGAAAGAAAATTATGAAAGCAATTGATAGTGCTGCTCATACGCCACAATCAGAACTTGATGAATTGGATGCCATGAAAATGACTGGGGCGCTTTGAAAGAGTGATAGCAGTGATGCATGGGCTGGTTGACAAGGACAACAAACGGCATGTGGACATGCAAATATAGTTTTTTTTTTGACTATAAAAACTACCAGAGAAAAAGGTTAAATAGACACAGTCACATAAACAATCAAAAACAGCATTTTTTTATTTTTTTTATTTTATTTTTTTTATCCTTCTCGGCTTTCCCGCCCACTCTTCCTTCCAAGAAGAATATAAGCATATTCATTTCTCGATCATCATAAAAATGAGCAAAATTCATGTCAGCTACAATCAGATTCACTCCATGATCAAGGAGACAGTGGAGAACATGAATCTGAATGATGATTTTCAGCCGGATATCATGGGTAGGCAACTAATTCAAAACCTAGCCGCGAAGGAAAAAAAAAAAAAAAAAAAAAAGACGACCATTACTGTGTTCTGGAAAATGATTCCCAATCCTTGCAGGAAACAATACCAGGGCAGTCTATAGTCAATAGCATTATTGAGAACATGGGTCGAACGTTACTGAGGACGGACATGAAATGAAAATGAGGAAGGAAGCAGACCTGATCCAACCTCATCGGAAGCGCTAAAGCTGATCCTGTTTTCTCTTCTTGTTGTGTATGATAGTGGCCATCGGTGGAGGTGGTTTCATTCCAGGTAAAGAAACAAAAGATCACAAAGTAACAAGTATCACAACTTCATGGAACTGACATTTCCTTTTTTTTTTTTTTTTTTTTTTTTTTTGCTCGCGTGTGCATATCTGATCTGTGTTTAAATCTCAGCCCGTATCTTGGTATGTTTGGTTTCAATGTTGCACACGGAGCAGAGAATCCGTCAACTCTGTATTCACGTTAAGCATTTGCTTGTCTTACAATCTGATCAAAATCTCAACCTTTTTTATGATCTGATAGAGAACCTTCTTGAAGAAGAAGAATAACAAGAATATCTCTATCCAGGCAATTGGCCTTTCCCTCTATGAGGACCTAGAGATCTGGAAGGCTGCCCATAAAGATGATGAAACCTCTATCACTAGCGAACCCGAGGTCATCAAGACTCAATGGCTCAACTTTGACTCATCAGAAACGTCACTTATAGGTCGTAACATCCTCATTGTGGACGAAGTTGATGATACTCGCCGTACTCTTGCATATGCAGTCCGTGAGTTGACTAAGGATTTAGAGCTTGAGTCTGAAAAGCTTCGCAAACAGGGCAAGGAGGTCCCAGAGACGAAGATTGGTATTTTCGTATTGCACAATAAGTTGAAGAAGAAGAGGGAGGAGCTTCCCAAGGAGATTATGGAGGGTAGATATTTCGCCTGTAAAGAGATGCCTGATCAATGGCTAGTTTATCCTTGGGATGCCTTGGATATTGAAGAGCATACCGAGAAGTCGCGCGAGAACACTTATTAGATACATCACTATACAAAGCATAATTAAGTAGGAGTAAAAGTTCAGATTGAACAATGAAATGTTTCACCTTTATTTTTTTTTTTATTCCTTGTATCTCTCTCAAATGGTGTGTGTATGTGCATGTAGTAAATTCAGTCTCCTGAACACGTCTGTGATCGTCCACAAAAAGGCAATGTGCCACCAAAACTTTTCCCGAGGAGAAATTCCAGACCATTAAGCCACAAAGATGCCGCAGCTTATGACATCGACCATTTCAGCACAGCTGGTCAGGAACGGACTTTTGACACCTATTGAAAGGGTAAAAAAAAAAAACGTCATTGAGAACAATTATGCTAGCGCATGAATGCATTGAAGGCGCATGTTCTGGGCAAAAAATAATCTTTTGAATAAGCAAGTGGCGAGCCATGTTCGCCCACACCTGTTTGTCACACAAGGCTGTGTTTGAAAGCAAGGCTGTCCATGTATTTATTCCAAGGGGCGTCTTCCAAGTGCTTTTGTTTCTTTCTTCCTCTTTTTCCTTCTTCTCTTATCATGCATCGCCTTGAGTCCCCACTATTCCCCATCCTTCCCACATCAAATCTCTTTTTGAATCACTCTTCTTCCTTGAAAGTAGATACACACACAGCATTTGATACACAACAAGACTCTCACTACACCATGCCTATTTACAGGAACCCGCTAGACACACCCGAGATCAGAGTACGGGTTGTTCAATATCTAAGCATGGAAGATATAATCAATTGCAGTCAGACCTGCAAAGCTTGGAACAATGAATTTGCTGCTCATATTTGGCACACCATCGACCTGAAGAGCCAGCCCAAAGTCAAGGAACTGCACTACAAGTCTGTCGCCAAGAATGGAAACCATATCAGGATCATTAAGAATATCAGGAAACGCTCAGAGCTCGTCATTTTCCAGGACCCTCGCATCAACAAACTGTCTCAATTGACTCTACGCCTGAAGACGAGAAATGGGTACCACCATCAAGCTGCTGAACTCATCCGACGGAATCTGGACACTCTGGAAACACTAGATCTCTCTGGCGACGACACCAAGGACGAGCGCACAGTCTTTGCGTTATCAGAGACACTCGTGCCGCCCTCCTCCGCATGTAACTATCAGCTTACCAGCATTACGCTCAAATATATGAGCATGACTCGAGAATCCTTTTCAATCCTACTTCTGTGCTGTCCACAGTTGATGGACGTCGATATCCGGTATTGCACTTTCTCTGGAGATGGAGGGTTAGAGCTGTTTCAACATGAACGGATGTCCTATCTCTGTGCCTCCATCGAACAAGTTTTTAAACCCATTGTTGATCAGACTTCGACACCACTGTTGGTGCATTTTCCGAACCTCAAGACCTGGGAAACCTGGAGCTTTGAAGAGCCACTAGAGGATCCAACAGCTCAAACATTGAAGAACGCGATCTTGGAGTACTGCCCAAATATCCAGAAACTCTATACGAACGACTCTTCAAGTTCAGTAATGTGTGAGCTCTTGACCAAGGCTTTCCAGAACCTCACCTCAGTCCGCTTTATCTATGGCAATATCACCACGGCTGTGGTCCTAGGTCTTTTACTCCACGTCAATACACTCACAACAATCCAATCATACGATCCATGCGACGTCGTGAACTGGAGCTACAATGCTGATGAGGCCCTCTCTATTTCTGATGGCTTCAATGAGGGATGGATGATCCATGTTTTGTTGTCAAGATGTCCACACCTTTCCGTCGTAGATCTTCCTACACACGAGATGGATATTGATATGGTGGATCGGTTTCCATGGGCATGCAAGGACCTGAAGCGGCTTCGAGTACGCATCCGCGGTCTCGATACTAAGGAGTTGATCGTGGCGGCGATCGACAAATGGCGTTTTGAACACCGTGAACGCCAACGCTCTGCACTAGCTAGCTTAACAAAAACTGAAAAGAACTCTGTAGCGTTTGAAAATACAGTGGACCAAGAGCGCGAGCTTCCAACTGCTGAGCAAACGATATCGACGACAACTGCTATTGGTGGCGCAGATGCAAACACAAATCAACAGCCACCACCGCCGCTGCCACAACAACAACAGCAGCAGCAGGGAGAAGCAAGCAATATCGTCAATAATCCCATTGTTGACAAGGTGGTGAGACAGCTGCTCAAGTTTGAGAAATTGGATGACGTTTGGCTTGGCTATAAAGTTTGGGGCCCTCTCTAAATTCGGGCGAGAAAATAGTGGACAGGGCATGTCAAGCTTTTTTTTTTGCACATAACATCTTTACAAGCACATTTACACGCAAACATTCACTGTTTTTTTATCATTATTATTATTTTGCATCCATCTCTAATTACACCATGGAGATATCACTTTGGCTGCGCAATATTTTTATACAAAACAAAGCAAACAAAAAAAACCCCGGCAGTACTTTGTATTAAATAATGAAAGTAATGACAAGGAGCATAGAAATCAATTGTAACCAAAACTTCAAATAGGGATGATCAATTACTTGCATACCGCAATGATGAGTGTTGTGCTTTTTCGGGGAAGGGGTTCTTCCCCTTTTTGTGATGAAATACAGTTGTTTTTATTGCCTGCAAAAGGCATACTTGCCAACATTATGTGTCTATTTGTGCAATTTGCCACCTCTACATTTTGAAAGATTGTCAAAGTCAGACCATTCCCATAGACGTACCTTGATCTCTTCCCACTATTGCTTAAACTCTGGTGTTGTCTTTGTTTGCCTAAAGTGATCACTTTTATGAGTCTGATGTCAGGGGTAGCGTTAATATCCTGATGTTCATGAAGACATAGTTGGGAGAAGTGCTTGATAAATGGGTTTGCTTGTGATAAAAGGCTAGCATTGAAATGTTGGCCAGTCCTCGCGAGCACGCGTATGGCTGCAAATAGATCTTAAATGTCCGATAATTTGGGTGTACCTACAGTTGCAATTGAAACTGAAGACGCCACTGTCGTTGGTAGTAAGTGTTTTGACGACCATAGATGATAGTTTTAGAAAACTCTTCCTGAGCTGATGATACTTTATTCTCGCCTTCCTCTATATCGCCTTCTATCCAAAAAATACTACCTCTTCATTCTCTTCAATTCCACTCTTCTTATCTTCATTCTCATCTCCATCCTCCTTCTCTTCCTTCTTCTTCTTCTGGTTTTCTTCATGGCTTACACTTGAGACTGCGAGGATGGGTGTTGAACCTGCTAGCATGATTTCCCAAGCAGACTTAGGTAACCGTGCTTCTGCATCGGATGTCAGGCGGATCTTGGCCTTGATTTGGAAAAGCGATGCTGATTTTAGGCGTTTCTGCGTTTTCCTCGTATCATTGTTCTCATGCTCTATTTCAATCTCCCTTCCCTTATCCTCCTCGACATGTCTTCGCTTGACAGGGACTTTAGGTAATGATTGTGACGATGCGAAAGGCACCTTATTGAAAGAGGACCTTTTCTTGGATTGATCTGCTGGTACTATAGTAGCTTGCTTTAATGGTCCATTCAAAATAGGTTTAGACGTCACCTTGACATTGAGCCTGACTATATGACTTCCCCTACCTCCATTGGTCCAAGGTTGGAGGCCAGCGCCACGGTCCCTTCTCTGCTGATAGCCAGGGTGTCCATCATCATATGGATGGCTTTGCATACTGGGAACCCCTCTAATACCATCATTAGAACCACGTTCATCATCGCGGGTGCCATCATCACCATCATCATACCCTTCTTCGCCACTATTGACTTCCTCTTCCTCCTCTTCCCCTTCCTCTGCCTCTTCTTTCTCCTCTTCCCCTTCCTCTGCCTCTTCTTTCTCCTCTTCCTCTCCCTCTTCTTCTGTCTCTTCTTCTGTCTCCTTCTCTGTCTCCTCCTCTGTCTCCTCCTCTGTCTCCTTCTCTGTCTCTTCTTCTGTCTCTTCCTCTGTCTCTTCCTCTGTCTCTTCTTCTGTCTCTTCCTCTATCTCTTCTTCTGTTTCTTCCTCTATCTCTTCTTCTGTCTCTTCCTCTTCCTCCTTTTCTTCTTCCTTTCTACCTTGCACCACCATTATCTCCTTCCCTTCTTTCCTTTTCTCTTTCACATTCCAGGATGCAATTGACAATGGTGTTAGTGATGAAGAGGATGGTGATCTATGCAAACTTCGACACGCTCGCGATGGCGAGTCGTGTTGTGTATTCGCGTCACTCGATGTACCAGATAGCATTGTAGTAGAACCTATACTTAGACTCTGGCGGGAGTTGGTAGTGTCTGGATACATCTTCATAATCCGCGTCAGTTGATACAAACGATCATTGTCAGCGTGGTTCGAGCCCACAATCTCGTGCATTGCAGCGAAGAAGTGCCGATGTATGAAACCCGACGTTAGGACATCCAATTTGTATGCCCGATATATGCTATTGTATGCAGATCCCTCCACATACTGATTATAGGAATGTAAAAGCAGGGAGAATGGTGAGTATGTGAGAATCAAAGCATCATAAAGATTAAGTGCTCGCAGCATCTGTGCACTAAAACTCTTACTTTGATATCCTGTTCCGAGCATGGAGGAGCCTTAATGCTTCTGGACGTCTGTATATGAGTAACATGAGAAACCTTGCTGCCAGTGGATGGTTGTACTTCGTCAGTAGCCAAATATCCTTTGGCGTCCACAAATCGCCCCTTAAATTTTCCTCGAAGTTGGGCTTCATGGATCACTTCAAGTACCGGCGCCTGTTCCGGCCGTTGACCTTGACCGGCGTTTGTTGGTTCTGCACTGACGGCGGGCTCTGGTCCTGGCTCCATAATTTTGCGAATGATGGGCATACGCTCCTGATTCACTACGGATGAAGTGGGTGCTCCTTGTTCCAAAATGAGTAGTTGATTTGATGATGCTGGTGAGGATGATAGTGATAAAGATGTTTCTTGGGTCTTCAAAAGGAGACTTGGAGCACGCTTTTCATAAGAGATAGCTCTTTTTTTCGCAGGAGCGGAAATGGGAGTCGATTCGGGCAACTGACTAACCCCTTCTGTATCCTTGCACGCTTCCGAGCACGTATTTATAGCTGGGTAAGCTTTAGGGATAAGGTCGACTTTTGTTGGGGGAGGCGAAGTAGAAGAGGAAGAGATATTTAGGCCCATAGCTTTTTGCTGAGTAGAATTGCCTGCAGAACTAGATAGGCCAATAGTAGCTCTAGGTAGAGTAACGCCTGGCGCTTGCTTTTTTATAATATTCTTGTTATCCTTGCTAACCTTGCTTTCACCTCGGGTACCTCCAGGAAGACTCCATTCAGATGTCAACATTACGCGAGGGATTGGCGCTTCTTGTTCGTCCATGGATAAGACAAAGGGGTTCACTAGAGAAGCCCTTGATATATGTAAGCAACCCTCGTCCGTTCGACGGGGTATCATCCATCCGTACTGTCTACGCTGAAGCCGGCTGATCTGTTTGTTTAGAGCCTGGCGAGAGCCCAAGATACTATTGTGCAATGATGGGCGTGCTATCCCCTCAATGGGGGTAACTTGCCGTCTGGTTGGATACGTCTGCTTTTTGGGGGACGCTTCAGGGGTCACTGGTGAGGTTTCCAGCCTTGAATGGTCACTAAGCGGAGGAGAAGAAGTTGAGGGCGTCTTAGTCTGATTTCCATTTTTATTTTCGAGTGCAATGCTGGCAACATTAGCATTAGTTCTCTTGGAAGAGTTGAGTAAGGCGGCGGATGACGTGGGTGCGATAATTTTTTCATGACGAGAAGAAGAATTCAAGGACGAATTGAGCTTGGAACTGAGATGATTGATGTTTAGAGGGGTAAGTACCCGTGAAGCACCTAAACCAACAAAGTCGTCAAATAATGATTATCATTATTCTTTATTTTTATGTGTGAGTCTGCTTTATATTTTGGTATCATGAAGAACTTGCCTGATTCTGACGACTCCATTGGTCGTTATACTCAGATAGCGTAAGGGAAGAACGTAAGAGGGTATATGACAACCTTTGCAGGATAAGTGGTGCTGCAAGGTTGATAAGAAGATAAGGTTAGAGACAAACGCAATAATTAAGGATGAGATAGTGTACGTGTTTGTATTGTACAAGTGAAAAAATAGGAAGAGAGAAGAGAAAGACAACAGAAGAAGGATTTCCTTAAAATCTTTAGATGGAAGGTCAAGGATGTGAATGTTAGAGATAATGATCAACAAGGTTCGCTGATGATGTCCAAGTGATGGGTATGGGTATGATTGTATGTATTTAGCAGATATGTATAGGTGTGGTACTGTGAATATCCGCGTTTCAATAAGACAGGATGAAAATGACCAGTCCTCATGTCCGTTAAAGGATCCACAGTGCTAGTTTTACCAATTTGGTTTGGTCCACACCTATGCGCCTACGCTTTTTATTTAAGAAATTTATTGATGTTGTTACATGATCAAAAGAACAGGGGCTGCTACAAATTTATCACTCGTTCTTCTACCGCCTCGTCCCACTACCACTTGCTATACTGTTTGTAGTCCCGCTTCGACCACGACCCACGGGTCTAGATATTGTCTCCGCTATGAGAGCAGTCGTCTCATCATCGCTTTCAGATCCTTGAGCCCCCAATACTCCAGGGTTAGTACGATTGCCACCTATTACACTCGAATAATGTGGAGGAAGTGCATGACCATTCGTCGGCACAGACATGTTTGAAAGCGAAATATGCTGCTGAGTGACTGATGCTATAACCTTCTTTCCATATTCTGAGCCGCCACCACTCTCTCCGGCATCATCATCATCAATTTGCACCAAAACCCCGGCGGCCTCGATCCTCGCTCTTGATTGACTCGACTGCAAGTTAGGTCGTCTCATAGGTGGTGTGGGCGACATAGTAGATCCTGCTTCTAACAAAATAGACCCTCGTTCGCTACCATACGCCGGTGGGGGAATCAATGATCCATTGGCAGGTGCTAGTCCCCATTTCTTCACATTAGCTTCCACAAATACAAAGCCTGACTGGCCCAGGTTGACATGTAAAATGCATGGCCCAGTGGCACCGACGGTTGGGAACAAGTTAAATTTTAAGCCTGTGTATGCGTCTTCCAGTCGTTTGCCATTTCTCGTGAAAAAGATAGTTCCGGTCCTTGGGCGGTAACCACAACCAATGACATCGCCTTCGAAATAGATGGGTCCATACGGGTGTCCACTGAATGGTGAGTTGCAGTATTTTTGACCATCCTTCGAAAAATAGGCCACCGAGTGACGAGTCCATCCTATTTCATGGAACCAAGTCAATTACAATTAGTACTATTAGACAAATAAACAAAAAAAAGTCCATGCACTCCCGCTCTGCTAAAAATGTCACACACGAACCCATGAACAACAGACAAAAAAAGGAGTAAGGATACAAAGTGCATAAATGCTCTCATGCTGTGACACTACAACCTGCATCTCGCTCTCCTCCACCTGTGCTCTTCTAATTTTTTTTTGTAATTTGATCCCTCCACATTTTTCAAAATAAAAAGTGACTTACCAGGTAGTCTAATGTTAGGATATGGTTTGGTAGAAACGCCAACAGATACAACTGTATCTGGACTCTTTTCGAACATCTTGACTTCCCAGTAATAAACCTCCTGTTGCTTTGGCATGGGCAAATTGGTTTGGACTGATGCTTCCAACTGGTTCATTGGTGGGAATGAGAGCTCTGTCCTGTCATGAACTTGAACTCTATGGTTGTCGTATGGAGCCTCAAACTCCCAAGCAGAAACGCCTTTTTCCTGAATTGATAAGTGTTGTGAGAGCGAGATGTCAGTCGGAACACTAAGGGGTGGATGGGCCGCTTGGAAGGCTATGGTAATAGATGTTATGTCATGGTCATCATAGATTGAGAGCAACTGATTAGGAATTATGGTCTTATGTGCCCAATGCATTGGTGTTCATAGTTCTGTACACATTTTTTAAAAAAAAAAAATCTCCTGTCAACGTCTTTGTCAATTCGAATGATACAATCAATGCCATCAAGAACAGCAAAAGGAGTGGCAATGTCTGACAAATTGATAGCTCTTATTTCAAAACTGATCCAGACAAGTGCAAGGCGAATTCCCTTCAGGCGCACAAAAGGTCTCCGTGCCTGCTGAACTGAGAAAAGTCGGAAAGTAAAAAGTGAAGCAAGCGAGAGGTGGTGTCCCAAATTTTGTTTTCAAGGCTTTGACTCGACATTTGCTCTTAGAGCCTGCTTGCGAAATGAATGCAGTCTTCATGCATGCTCTCAGCAATGATGTCCATGAATTCAATTCAGTACATTGCCAAAAATAGAGGAGCTGCGTTTTTTTTTTTTTTTTTTTTTTTTTTTTTCCCTTACCTCTGCTGGAGTCATATGCCTGTCGTTGTGCTTCTGTCATGAGCGCCCACCGCTCGTCATTCTCATTTAGCTCTTGGTTTGGGTCAGGTTCGTCTTCAGAAGGCACCTGGTGAGGACCATGACCAGGATATCTGGATGTTCCTCCATTTGAACTACGCCCGCCATGTCCTTGACTCCTGTGTCCTGCACCGTGACCATCACTACTACTTGACAGAGACAGCCAGCCAGTCCTTTGACCACAAGACCGAATAATGGACACGAGAGAGATCAAAAGCGCAGCCGAAAGTACAACAATTAACAGCCAAGTGATATCTTCCCCGCCTTTAGGAGGATCATTAGGATCGTCAGAAGAGAAGAGCGAAGGTATTGAAGATAAAGGAGCGGGCTTTGGTGGTGAGATGTCGGAGATAGACAAAAGCTGTGATGAGGGGGGTGCAGATATTGAATCAAGGTATGAAGGCGGTCGTTCTAGATGACGCTGCTGTTGCTGCTGCTGCCTCTGAAAAACCTCTAAACTATCGAACCTGCGTTGCCAAGGGCCAAGGATGCTTTGAGCATCGTCCAGTTGTGAATGTTCTTGTTGTTGCTGGAGTGCTCGTCGCACTGGCGTAGGAGACATTGAGAATGAGGATCTTTAATATTATACAGGTTATACAGCGAACAAAAAAAAAAAAATGGAAAGAATGGAAAGAACAAAACCAAAGTGCAAACAAAGCAGAACAGAAAGTCAATGAATGGAAAAGTGAATGAAATGAAATGAAATGAAATGAAATGAAATGAAATGAAATGAAATGAAATGAAACGAAGAAATAAAGAATGAAATAAAGAATGAAATAAAGAATGAAATAAAGAATGAAATAAAGAAAGAAAGAATGAATGAATGAATAAAGTAAGGGGGAAACGGAAGCGGGAGCAATTTGCTCTGTTGGCCTTTTTTTTTTGTTCTTGTGACAAAGTCGCAGTAACAACTGACAGTGTTAAAGGAGAGAGACTGAAAAAGGTGAAGAAAAAGATCAATAGGGGAAGAGGGAAGAAAGAGAATCAACAACGAGTGTCGATAAGAAGAAGAATAGAAAAGGATTTGGACAGGAAGAAAGACAGAAGCGAAAGGATAGAGAGGCAATTAAGTAAACCTGGGACGATGTCAAGGCCCATCATGAAACAAATGTATGATGATGTGTTCTACATTTGTCCAATGAACAGTCCTTGTACATAATTGGGGATATAGGGACATGAGGATATGGTAATGGTATTGCATGCATTGTACAGGACGAATCCCCATCGTCCTGTCCTGTCCTGTCCTGAACTTCTTCCCCTTATTTTGTTTTCTTGAGATCCCTGCAGTAAACAATACATACTTGATGGTATAATCCCCAATCATTCCTCAAGAATCCAGAACCAGAAGATACAAATCAAACGGGGTACCAATGCGTTTTGATATCGATCATATCATGTTTCTTGTACACAGACATTAGTGCACAGCAAAAAAAAGTCCATCCAGTTAAATATGCGCACAGAGAAGAAGTATATTTTGTTTGGCTTGTCACCTCGCCCCAAACTTGCCTGCCCCTCTTTCTACCAATTGATCCTCCGATCATGTTGAGAAGACGGTCGGCAACGATACTGTACTCAGCATCCCTAACCCTTCAGGAGTCCCATTGGTGTCTCGCAACAAGCCTTTCTCCGTTATAAATTCTTCGAGCTGATCAACTCGAATTGATCCATTTAATACGTAGCCGTCTTTGCTGTGGGCCTTGCAGTTGAAACTTGCTCTTCTGATGCACTTGAGGTGCCTTCGCATTCCTTTTAGTGACATCAAAATTGTCTTGTCTTTAAATCCACGCCTTCCCTTGTGTTCCTCGTGTTCCTTGATGGACTTGCCCACAGGTGAGAGCAATTGCGTTACAAGGTACCCTGCCTCTCTAGCCATGAGTCAGTTCGTCATATCTGCTAGGGACGGATCGTAACCCTTCGACCTGCCTTCCGTATTCCAACTCTCGATTTCTCGCATTAGGTCCTTGATTTTCCAAAAAAAAAAAAATTGCAAGTAGTTCACCCTTTGAGAATGAGACGAAAGGTTGTTGCATTGAGGTGAAGGGAATCATTTTACGGCTGTTTTTGGTGAGTCGATTCAGGTGGACAAAGTTTTCGATGGCAGAAATGTCCTCCTGAATATTGATGTCTACACCAGGCAACAGGCCCTTGTCTCACTGACGCTGAAGCTGCCAAGAAAAAGAGTCCTGTTAGTGTCACTTATAAAATATAAGGCAGATTCACAACAGATTCATGACACAAAATAGCCACAACAAATTCAATACCTTTTTAAAGAGCTCCTTACAGCCACATTTATACATGCGCTTCAGTTCGACGAAAGCTGAAGTGAAACTGATCGCAGTAGGGCATTCGCAGGATATGGTATTTCCTTTTTAATTGGTCTCCTATCGACCTTGCCTATTATGCCCAGCTCCCACAGCCTTTGGAGAAACCCCTTGATCATGGTGGCATTGGTTTTTTTTAGCCCTTTCGATAAGATCTTTTCCGCTATAAAGACAAAGCATCAACATAGTAATGAAAGCACATTGCTGGGTATCAGCGTCTTCGTCATCGTCTTGAGTCAATGCCACTTCTTCCTCATCCTCCTCCTCCTCCTCTTCTTGGCTCATCTCACTCATTTCTATGCGCTTGCAAATACAATCAAGGATCTTCTCCGTCATCTTTATCAATGGCATAAGAAGAAAATAATCACTCCAAAAACTGACCTAGAATTTCCTGCCAAGATCGCTTGGTGTTCGCAGCGAGAAGGACGGCTTCATCAAGACATCTTTTCATCTCAAGTGATAACTGAGCCTCTTTCAAGGCCCCCTTAACGTTCACAGCAACGGTCCCAACGTTGAGGGTTGCAATAAAGTGCTCCCAACTCATTGTACGGGCTAGATCTCCTCTACCCATCTCGTCTATGTCCTTCTTTCTCTGCCTCCCCTCCTCCTTCTCAGGTTGGAGTACTGGTTTCTCTAGTAGAGCATTGTACTCCTTCCATACGTACTGCTTCATGGCGTCAGGAGCCTGGTGTTCAGTTTACGAGCACGATGCTTGATGGTATATCGAGGTCGGTACCGAGAACTTTGTTGGGACTCCTCCTCTATGTCCCGTGGGGTATGATGATCAACAGTCTTGTGTCTATTGAAGGAGCTGCGTTTCTGAGCCATGCCTTGTGCCAGCTCGCTATGTGTTGTAGACGGATGAAGACTAATAGGTGTTCAAGCCATAAAAAGAAAAAATATATATATAGTATATTACCTCTTTTGGTGTCTCCTACGCCTTTGCTCCCATCCTTCTTGGTAGTATATCTGTCAGGAATGGAGGCGTATTCACGCTGAAAGCTTTCATGGGGAATGGGAGGCGGGGCAGATCCCTCAGAAGATGGGCCGGCGATACAGATGAAGCAGATCCATTATCAAAACCCTTCTCAATATCCTTCAAGGCGCTGTTTAAAGGCATAGGTGTCTGTTTATGATCAACAAATACGGTCAGTGGAAGTTGAAAGTCTGCTTCATGGACATTTCTGAGCTGGACTTTGTCATCGGACAGATACCACCGCAAGATCGAATTGATACCTAATACAAAATAATTAAATAATATATCATGCGGTAACCTTTTGACCACTTACAACTACAGGCCAGATTCAAAAAAATTATCAACACCATGTTTGATGAAGGAATGACTCTTCCGTCGTTTTGGTTTCTCATACTCAGCAGTGAATAGCACTGCAGGGAATTTTGAAGTGAGGGGAAGAGTAGGAAGCAAAAGGTAGGATGGGAGTGATAATCGCCATGCAGTCCTTCAAGTTGACCATATAGCGTGGTTACAAGCTACAACAATGCCAGCCAATGAAAAAAAAATAACCGAATTGGAAGTTTGCTAATTTAACTGCTCATAATAAATAATACTGATGATGATAATAATGATAATAGTAATAGACTAATAATAATGATGATGATGGCGATGATGGCGATGATGGCGATAATAATGACAAATCATAATAGAAAATAAAAAAATAAAAAAAAAAATACATCCAATTAATCTCTTGGTGATTCCGAAATTGGTCGGTAGTCCGAGCGATGGAATGTTTCTGCTGTAGTCATTGTTCGACACTACACCAATTGGTGTGAGTTTGGTCCTAGGTCCTTTAGCACATCTTGGATGTCGTAGACGAGGAATCACTCTGTCGAGGTTGGCCTTCAGATGGCCTTTATACTTTTGTATATAGACATGTTGCTGTCCCTTGATACAACAATGTCACCAGGCTGGCAATCGAGTGCAATCTTCACGTCAGCTTCGGTCGGGCAGAGTGCAATGGTTCAGTTTCTGCTTGTGATATAACTCACAGTCCTTTCGCTCCTCCAAACCCCAGTAAAAGGACTTCCTTAAATCCTTGTCGATGGTCATGAAGTGCTGTTTACGCACCCGTTGGTTTCCCTCAACACGTCCCTTCAGGTTGATAATAGCTTTCTCGGCGACGCTCATGGCTTTTGCGCGACCATCCTCACAATGAACTAGAGTCTTAATCCTTTCGATGGGGGATAGGTCGTCCAAGTAGAGAACCGGCTCTTGAGGACTTCCAAACTTTTCAATTTGCTTTCCGAGAATTAAATGTGCGGTAGCCAAGTTACGATGAGATGAATAGATGTTACGGATAAGAGCGAAGAAGGTGCCGAGCACATCAACGCGGTATACATTCAAGGCGAGAAGCTCGGTGGATGCATATCTGACGATAGGGGTGTATCTTTTTTTTAGTAAGAAAAGGCCAAAGGTCATCGATCTCCATGTTGCAGGGATGTTGGTAATAGGAATGTGTTAGTGGTGAGAAGATGACTTTGATGAGAGTGTAAGGACAAGTGAAGGTTAGAGCAGCCTTTAACAGTAATCAGTAACTTGAATATTTTTTATTGCAATCAATTTTATTAACATGTATCATTGATCGAACGAGTCGAGCAAACCAAACAGAGCAATAATCTATCCGCTACTTGCGACAGATGGTCTACCAATATTTCTTGTACATGTGTTTTTGATATGCGTCCTACTGAGCGTGCCAGTAATACCTTGCACTAAACAAACAAAGAAGCTTTTTTGATGCATTGACAACGACGTTACACCAACTCAAATAATGCATTAAAAAGCATTGTCTCTGTCCCTTGATTCCATTGCTGTGTGCTAGTTTGTGATTATGCCCACAATAGAGTCTCCAGCCAACATAGATTGCTTTTTGTTCCCGCTTCAAGATGTCAAAGTTTATGGTGGACTACTCTGCGACACAGAGTGATGCTATTCAGGAAGTGTTCTCCTCCACATCAATTTACTTCTGTCACTTCCATGTACAGAAGTTGTGGGAAGGTCGCATGAGGGATGAATTCAAGGTAGGGTATACCATGTTTATACTTCATCAAGGTATCTTGACGCGACAACATCTTAACGCGCCGTCATACCCCATAGGAGCAATACTGGCAGCATATACCCGCTTTACTTAAAGAAATGCGCACTGCAGGATCTGATAACAGAGTAGATGATTTATGGGAAAGAATCCAGGGACAATTTTATGACCCTAGTAATCACAGAATCAAAACCTTTCTTAACTATATGGAAAAGAACTAGCTTACGAAAGAAAAGAGACCAAGATGGGTGCTTTTTGTGAGGGAGGAAAGTTAAATGGCGGTTATAAATGATTACTTTAATGAATCCCAGTTCCTGACACTCTAATTCATTTAATAGGATTACCAGCACGTAGACACAAACAACCTTCTGGTGTCTTAGTTCAAGGCCTTGAGGGTACATGAGCTGGGAGGGAAGCGCGATTTACGAATTGATTTCCTAATCTACAAGTTGCAGGGATCTATTGACCAGGACTTCAGGACACAGTATTCCAAAGTCAAGAATGGAATACAGCCTGCGACGCTTTCACAGTACGACCAAGAAAGACTGCCGAGAGCAACGGCAGTAAATTCTGCGGACACAAGGATCATAGTATGCGAAAAGCTGATCGAAAGAGAGGTATGTGTCGGAGATTGACAATTTCATAAGGGTAATTGTATATGGAGAGGTTCTAATCGTTCTTTCATTCCTTACACTTCGTGGTAAAGTCATCCGAAGAATCTGGAGTAGAGTACTTCGTTGCTGCGGGCGTAAAGCGAGATCTCCTTCAGTCATGTTCATGCCCCGACTATGTCCGACAGGAGATCCCTTGCTAGCACATGTATTTGGTGTCAAGGGTCTACGACGGCCTCGATGTTCAATATGTCGCTGTCCCTTCGTGCATTGAACATCAGGTGAACATCAGGACAAGCACTTAGAGGCCTCCTCTTGAGAACTTTATCTCATCAGCTTTATTAAGAGTGAATAAACTGTGCGAAAAGACGAGAAGAGCAACAAATCAGCTGACTTCTTTGTTTTTGGGCCAAGATTGTGCGACTCCCAAAAATTTGTGACGTTTCTTTCAGTGGACAAAATTTTTTTTTTTTTAGTATAAAAGAAAGGATGTGCTCATGTTTTGGTTTGCTTCCTTCACTTTGTGTCTGTAAGTTTTGTGCCTGCTTGGTTTATATGAAACATGTAATACCTAGTATGCATGTATGAATAGGATCATCCGCCCTCCGAACCAAACACGGATACAGCTGATGAAGCAACTAAAAAAAAAAAAAAAAAAAAAAAAAAAAGCACGCCAACTGCTATCATTGTCATTATTTATGCATCGAAGATAGATCAAGATCATGTGGAGCATACAATGAAATCAAAAAAGATCGATCTTGGATCCAACTCGACAAACAGCTGCTCAAAGACCTTCAGTTCCGTTTCTCCTCGATTTTACCCTCTCTTCCCTTCTTTTCTCCTAATGAATCTATTTTCAAAAAAAAAAAAAAAAAAAAAAAAAAAAAAAAAGCGATCTTTCTCCTCGTTTATGATCATGCCCTTTTTGGCGATCAATCTTTGATCGCGTTTGATTAACTTTTTTTTTTTTTTTTTTTTTTACTCCTAATCTTTGGTATCTGATTGGAATAGTTTTACCTCCCTCACAACATATAATCAATCATGTCTGATGCTCCTATTGAAGTCGAGGTCGCCGCCGACACCACCTCTCGCGGTCAGATGTCTGTTGAGGAGGCTCTCCAGGACGTTTTGAAGCGTGCCCTTGTTCATGATGGGCTTGCTCGCGGTCTCCGTGAGTGCGCCAAGGCTCTTGACAGGTAATGGACAATTGCTATTTCTCAACGGCTCAATCCTCCCTCTTGTTTATATTTCCTACCTTTTCCTTCCTAAGCATTCATCATTAAGCCTTTTTTTTTTTTTTGAAAAAAAAAAAAAAAAAAAAAAAAAAAGGGTTCCGAGAACCAATTTTACTTTGCAATTGGATTTTGATGACTGACCCGCATCACTCTACGTATTATTTTCCTTCATTCTTTTTTTTTTTCCCTTCAACATCGCATTATCGTTGTGTGTTTATGCCTTATCTCTTTGTTTCTGTTGTCACCAATGAACAAATGGGAATGTTGTGTATCAACAGACGCCAGGCCCACATGGCTGTCCTCGTTGAGACCTGCACTGAGAAGGAATATATCAAGCTCGTTGAGGCCCTCTGCGCTGAGCACAACATCAACTTGATTAAGGTCTCTGATGCCAAGAAACTCGGAGAGTGGGCTGGTCTCTGCAAGATTGATCGTGAGGGCAATGCCCGCAAGGTCGTTGGCTGCTCCTGCGTCGTTGTCAAGGACTTTGGTGAGGAGTCCGAGGCCATGAACGTTCTCCTCGAGTACTTCAAGACCCGCTAAAGAAAAAGAGTTTTTATTTTTTATTTTTGAGTAGCTGTCCTTCCTCTAAAAAAAAGCAAATACAGACTCTTGTTTTAAATTACTTTATTATTTTTTGGAGCGATGATGCGTTATTCAATTGTTGATCAATATTGATTACGTGCACAAAGACATGAGACAGCAGTATGGAGATGTATTCCGAGAGAATGAAAAGGAAATTCTATGCTAGTTATATACAGTGTTAAAATATAAGGTCCAGTGGCCCTTGACTTGATGGATCTCTCTGCATGATGGCCAGTCAATGTGTGCGTGGATCAATGATCAAGACATATCACTTGTTGATAAGCATATAAGGTCTTTCTTTATTCGTATTCTCGCCTTTATCAAAAGCTGCTCTTTCTGCCTTTCTTTAGCTCTACCTGCACACATCCATCATGGATTCAGTCTCTTACAATCAAGACGCAATTGACAACGCGTCTGCTTCTTTATCTTCCACTTCTCCTTTCCTTTCTACTCTTCCACGAATCTTCTCTAATCATTACTTCCAGCATACCCTCCAGACAGACTCTCAACCCCCTCCTTCATTGTCCGTATCCCAGATATCACTCGCGAGTGGGTCTTAGCCAATGTTTTGCCCCAGTATCTTTCCTCCTATGTGCTTCGTGTTCTCAACTCACTTCTCTATGTCCGGTGCTTGTCCAACACTTGCCGTCAGAGTCGATTGGCGCAATATGAACAGGAAACTTTGGTTGAACGCATCTCCAGCCTGAATATCACTCTTACTTCACAACGTTCAAGCAACGATCAGCTGGCTTTTACTTCTTCAAGACTTCATTGTCTTATTCATGGCGATGATACCAACATTGATGAGGACATGTGGCGCCTTTACAAACTCTATAGAGACTTGTACAAGTATGAAAACCATTTGGAGGAAGAACAGAGTATGTCGTCGATTCATGAAATCCGTGCGCCTTTTCCACAAGCTGAACCACAGCTACAGCTGATGTTGAAGGACAACAAAGCGTATCTGCAGTCCAAACCTGAGGTCAAGCCCTTTGACAAATACCGTACAGTGTCAGATGATCAGGTGGGGCCGCCTGTGCCCATTTTGGCTCCATGGTCTTATACTATTCCACAGTATCGTACTTCATTCAACCGATCTTCAACATTGACGATGGAAGAGTGTCAGCAGCTGACTAGTAATTTGATTTTGAATAATCAAAACCTTTGTTGGTCAAGTAAGGCAGGAGCTCCTTCTGCTACAGATACGACTTGCTCGTCTATGAATCTGCCGGACATATGCGGCTTAAATATTCGTGATTAAAGTGGCTCAAGGCGCACAAAGAAGTAAAGCCAAAAAAGAAAAAACGCATTTTCTTTATTATCACTGTCATGGGGGCTATATCATAGTTGATCCAGGGTTCCTTCAAACGTGAATCTCCCTTCTTTAACTGACAAATTTGGATATTGATATATTAACAGATCCAGATGCAAAAGCATGTTTTAAAAGTCAATCCACTATCCCAATGAAAATACTAAATACCAATATAAATGTGTCGACCGAGAATATCGTGTTTAGAATGGATGGCGATTGTAACACCAGTCAATGTTGTATGCACGACACAAACTTGGGGGTTGCACAAACACTCCTTCACAAAGTTCTTGTTGCCAAAAAAAAAAAAAAAAAAAAAAAAAGGCCTATGAAGACAAACAAAATTAATATGAATATGAAACGGCATTGTCAAGCGCTAAATCCCTTCAATTATGGCACCATTACTTTGTCTAAATTGCGTAAGCTGTAGCCTGTTTTTTTTTTTTTTTTTTTTTTTTTTTTTTCTTTTTTTTCGGTGTTACTACAACTCCCAAATCTTATATCCTAGCCAGACTTTGTTGAGCTTTTCAAACTTCAATAGATGTGTTGCTACTCTGTCCACGATGGGATTGACTGCCTCAGTTTCGTTGTTAAATCCGTTTACTATATTATTATCTTTATCCTTTCCATTGTCTCCATCCGTCAAAAACACTTGTACAGTCTCAAAAACTTCAGCAGCGCCGTCTGAATCCTTAGTTGGTTTAGCATCGATTTTTTTACTAGTAGCTTGTCTCTGTTCTTCATTCCGTCTTTGTCTCCGTCTGGTATAAGCCCCTCGAGACCACTTGCGGATCGTTGCCATGATGAGTTCTTTAGTATCAAGTCCCTTGATTCGAATACGGAGTTGGACCAGGTCGTTACATGCCCATGGAAAAGAATCAATCATGTCCATATCCATCTCATGCCCTGGAAGATCTACAAAGGTCAAAAGAGCGCATCTTGAGAAGATCAAGTGAATCATCCATGCATCTGCAAATGTGTCTCGCACGGGAATCACCTGATCCGCATAGTAACTCCAGTCTCTAATATCAGGATTGTTGGCTCGAACAATCGTCAATGTACTTTTGTGCAAGAGAAGACCCAAGATTCCGGAAGCCGATAGTTTTTCGTAACTAAGGCAAATAAACTCGATGCTCTTAAATGCTTTAGCGAGTAAATCATGCACCATAGAACCAGCGGCCTGCATTGTGGATAGCTCCTTGACGCTTGAGTTGTATTTTTTGAGAGTATTTTTGATGGATTCGGCTGCGGAATCCTCCAGTCGGATGTCAGGCATCCACAAGTCCCAGTATTGCAGATTCGGGAAATGAGCGAGTAGTGGAACAACTGCATTATCGCTATCTGACGACGAACCAGGATCTGGACTGAAAACCCGTTGGTAAGAGGCAAAGAGGTAGGTGACGCCTTTATGCTGATATAGTTCCTCTCGACCGACTCCATCACCATGAAAAGTGCATGATCGAATGTCAATGTCTGTCAGATTTGGACATCGTGAGAGCAAAGTCGAAAGCGCTTTTCGGGTCATCGAAAGATATTGAATTCGAAGTTCAGTGAGCTTTGGCATACAATCTGGGTCAGGTGAGACAAATATATCCTCTAGTGCAAAGTCTGGATGCGATGTAACGGATTGGCCCATCCTGATGTCCAGTCTAAATAAGGAACGCAAGTTCCTTTGGATGAGTTGAAACGCCTGCCGCTGACAGTTACGCTTGGGTTTGATTCGGATAACGAGTTGTTCAATATTTTGAATGCTGGGATCCCTAAAGAGTTCAAATTCTGACCGTTTTCGGATGGTTCTGACAATACGAATGTATTGTCCATTCTTAGCAATGATGTTTGACGGTAGTTCTGAAAATCGAGGCTGATTATCGAGGTCAATTGTGTTCCATATCCTAGGAGTGAACTCAGTACTCCATGCTTTTGAAACCTGGCTGCAAGCAATCATACTCCTCAGGTCAAGAGCTTGGTGGATTAGGGTTCTGATATCGGCCCGCAAATCTACAGGGGTTGAGGTGATGGTTGTGGTGGCAGAAACGACTTGCATTGTTTGGTGATGTAGAGTTTCTGTGCCTGTGAGTGAAAGTACGATGTTGTCTTAACGTCACTCTCCGTGGAAGGAAGAAAGTTGGGAGGATGGAAGAGGAAAAAGATGAAGCAAGGAAAAAAGCAAGGAAAGGAAAGAAGGGAAAAAAAAAGAGAGGGGCAAGTAAAAAGAGTTTTTTGTCGGTGCACCCCTTGTCTCATTGCCACCACAGGCATATACACTCACATGCACACATAGGCTGTGTTATTCACATCAAAACAATGAGCATAATTAATGTTTAAATGAAAACCTTCGTCTACTGGGAGCTACTGGAGGACATTTTTAAATGTTTTATTCGTATTTTACTGGGAGGTGCATCGTCCTTTTTTATACAGTCCAGACTTTGTAGCCCAGCCACACCGTCGTAAGCTTTTCAAACTGCAGCAAGTGGTCTGCAACTTTGTGTACAAGGGGGTGATCGTCATCAGACACCTCCACCTCGCTGTTTTCATTGTCTGCTGCGCCATCTCTCCCATCTTCCTCTGTTGCTTGCTGTGGTTGTTCCCCTTGCTCTGGTTGCTCTCCTTGTGCCCCTTGCTCCACTTGCGCCCCCTGCCCTTCTTGCTCTGCTTGGGCCACCTGTTCTCCTTGTTCTCCTTGCTCCACTTGCCCATCTGCTGGCATGTTCGCGGCCATTTGTTCTACTGCCACATTTCCTGCTGGTACTTCAATTGTTACCGGTACTTCGACTGCTACTGGTGCTTCAACTGCTACTGGTGCTTCAACTGCTGCTGGTACTTCAACTGTTGCTGTTTCGACCTTGGCTGGCTCAGATTCTGTCCTCTCTTCCGATGCTGGTAATCCATATCGTCTTGACTGAACCCCTCGAGCCCATCTCTTGATGGTGGCCATAATCAACCCCTGTGTGTTGAGACCGTGGAAACGAACACGGAGTTCCTTGAGATCCTTACAGGCCCAGGGGAAATGTTCGATCCTATTCATCCTCACCTCATGCTCCGGGAAATCCAAAACAGTTAATTGAGGGCTTGACATAACAAGGTGAACCATCCATCCTTCAGTAAAGCGCTCGCGTGACTCGGGCACTGTATCTGCGTGATAGCTCCAACCGTCGTCTGTAGGGGCGTATGTACGGAGCGTCTTTAGTGTTGCCCTATTGGTTAGAATGCCCAAGACTACAGAAGCATCGATTGTCTTGTATTGGAAACAAATAGACGACAGATTCTCGGAGCCATCTGCTAAAAGCTCATGGGTAATCGAGCTGGCAGAGTCATCCACATACATCTCCTTAAGTTTTGGGCAATACTCTCGAATCTTGGCTTGAATGGTCGCTGGTGTTGGGTTATCCAGGTTGTTCTTGCTGCTCCAGGTTTCCCAGAACGTAAGATTGGGGAATTGTGCCAACAGTGGGGTAACTTCTTTACCATTGTCGGGATCAAAGACCTGCTCAACTGATGCAAATAAGCGCGTCACACCTTCATGCTTATACGGCTCTCCTTCGGTTTTGGTCGTCACCACACACTTTCGAATGTCAAGATCCTTGAGATCAGGACAGCGTGAAAGGACAGTAGAAAGAGCATCTTGCGTGATCGTTAGGTGCGCAAGCTTAAGTTTATTAAGCTTCAAGGTTGTCGTAGAGCCAGCTGGGAAGAGTGCATCTGCAACATCAAACGAGTCAGGAATATCGCGACTGGAATTGCCACTAAGCTCAAGGCTGGTGAGAGTATCAATGTTTCTCTGCAGGATCTCTGATAGGAGGTTCACGAAACCTGATTTAGTTTTCAATTGGAGGCTCAAGTTTTCCAGCTTCGTAATGCTAGGATCCCTAAATAGATCGAGGTCTGATCGTTTCCTGATACTAGCAATGCTACGAATAAGATGTCCGTTCTTTGCAACCGTATCTGAGTCCAACTCCTTGAACTTTTGCTGGTCTTTGAGATCAATTTTTCGCCAGATCTGTTCACTAAACATGCGGTTCCATTCTTTTGAGACTTGACTGCAGGCAACCATACTGTTCCACGCGAGGAATCGGCAGAGATGGGTTCTGATGTCAGGATAATCAAAAGGGTTCCTAATTGTGGTCATGGTGCTAATATGTAACAAAGAAATATAAAAAGTGAGAATTCTTGTGGATGTGAGTGTATTAAAGCGAAATGAGTAGAAAGGAAGGAAAGAAGGAAGGAAGGAGAGGGAGGAAGGGAGAAAGGGAGGAAAGAGTATATAATAAAAACATCTTTCCCACTCCCCTTTTCCTTCCTGTTGTTCCACAAACAGATGAAAGCAAGCATCGCCCTTCCTGCTTTTGCCACCGTACAGTTTGCCCTGCCCAGATGTTGTTCAGTCACAAGCAAAGACCAACTGCTCCGCCCGCATTGGTTAAAAAAGAAAATCCCGCTTCTATACCATTGTCGTGACAGGAAGTCTTATGTTACCCAGTGTTCTCAACACATGTCACTGGAACCCCAGGATCTCATAAAATCAATGTAATTGTCACTGGTAGCCAGTTGGGAACACAAGCCTATTCCAGAGAAAATTTCAAGGCCAACTCCTGAAGCAAGATGCTTTACCATGTAAATGCAAAGGAAAATGTTCATGAGTGATGCCATAATGCATTCAAGTGACTAGGGCTACTGCTTTTTGTTTGTTTTAAAATCCCGCGGAGACACAACTATTTTACAGCATGACATGATGTGTTACAAAGTAACAAAGAAAAAAAAGCTTCGCCTCCGATTCCGTCATTCACAAGGGTATTTACATTCAGCCTTTATTATTACTGCAAGGTCCAGAGCTTATAACCAAGCCATACTGTGGTCAAGTTTTCAAATTTCAGCAGATGTGCGGCCATCTTGTCTACAATTGGGTTGGCTATCTCTGTCTCTGTCTCCTCCGTAGTCGTCTTGCCCTCGTCTTCAGCTAGGATGGTCGCAACAGAATTGTCCTCACTCTTCTGGTCTGCCGCAGTTGCGGTTACAGTTGCGACTGTAGATGCCGCAGTCTCATGCTTGGCTTCAGTTTCCTTCGTAATACCCCCGATTTTTGACGCTTCATTACTTGCATTTGCCCTCCGCCTTGCATAACATCCGCGGCCCCATTTCTTGATCGTGGCCAAGATCAGCTCCTTGGTATCTAACCCTTTCACACGAACTCTAACATCCTTTATGTCCTTACAGGCCCATGGAAAATGCTGGACGTGGTCCAGGTCCATCTCATGTGACGGCAGCTTGATGCATTTCACGGCACTACACTTGGACAATATTAAATGAATCATCCATTTATCTGGGGTCTTGTCCTCTATTTGAAAAACATCATCTACGCAATAGTCCCAGTCACCAGCCCTCGGGTCATATGTGCGAAGTTCCTCTAAAGTCGCCTTGTGTTGTATAATGCCCATGATGACACTTGGTGTGATTGCTACAATTTCCACGCATAGCAAGGTCGGCTTTTCGATTGCCTTCGTGAGGAGGGTCTGAGTGCTGGCGCTTGATATGTCGTTAAGAAAATACCTCCTAACGTCTGGGCAGTACTTCGTGATAGTGGATTTGATGAGCTCTGCGTTCTCAATGGTATGGGGGCTGCTAGGGTTCCAAATGTCCCAGCTCAGAAGTTTTGGGAAATGTACTAACAGCGGCTCTGTGGACAACTCAGGGTCAGGTTTAAAGACCTGCGCTGATGTCGATAGAAGCCACGATAGCTCCATGTGCTGGAAGAACGCCTTCCCATCACCATCGCCAAGAATGCTGCAGTCTTGAAGGTCCAGCTCCTTGAGGGCAGGGCAGAGTGAGAGCACAGTCGAGAACGATGCTCGTGACATGGATAGATGTTCTATGGTCATCTCAACAATTTTAGATGGTTCGTTGGCTGTACTCTTTGGAGTCAAGGCGTCTGCCAGGTCAAATGGTGTTCGCTGTTTATTAGGTTTTTCGCCAGTAATGCTCAGTTTGGTGAGGCTGCAAAGGTTTTGTCGAATGAGCTCAATGACCTGGCGACAAAACCCATCCTTGTTCTTGAGCCGAACGGTCAGGTTATCCAAGTTCTTGATACTGGGGTCCATAAATAAATCGAGTTCTGATCGCTTTTTGATGTTTTTGACAACTTTGATATGATGTCCATGTTTTGCAATGATCCGGGGGTCAAGGTCCTTGAATCTCGGCTGGAGTTCGAGATCAACTCCATACCATACATATTGTGTAAAGTCGCTGTTCCATGCCTTGGACACCTGGCTGCAAGCAACCATACTATTGATGCTGAGCGCCTTAGCGACTAAAATCCTGATATCAGCTCGATCCATGTAATTGAGAAATAAAAAGGCAGGTATGGAAAGATTGAGGGAGAATGTTTGCCGAAAAAAAAAAAAAAAAAAAAAAAAAAAGGAGAAGAAAAAAAAAAGTGGTTGTGTATGTGTGAGCGATCAAGTGTTTTTTGGGGCAAAGGGGCGGGAGGGCATGAATAGATGGAAGAGGAGAACACCCGAAGAAGGCACTGCCACGGGAAAATAAAATAAAATAAAACAAGAATACAGAACTTATTCCTTTTTCCTTGGCAACACAACGGCTTATTGTTGTGATTGCTCTGCAATCATCCGTTATTATTGACTGCGCCAAACATTCGCCTGGCATCTGTCAGGAAAAAGTTCAAGTCATATTGTTAACATGGTGCGCAGTAGTTTGCTGTGATGGTTCTACAGACAGAAAAGGCCTTAGTTACTGATGGTCTTATTTTTATTCGGTTTGCTTTGGAGGATCATTGGTCCATTTGACAGACCAGACCTTGTATCCAAGCCATACTTTGGTTAGATCATTAAATTGCAACAGGTGAGTGGTAACTTTGTTTACAATCGACAACTTCTGGGCATCAGTAGTTTCGATTTGGTAATCTATACTGGATAAGTCTGAAAGAATATGTTTTCTAGTCGTTGCATATAAGGTCCGCTGCTTTTCGTTATATCCACGAGCCCACAGTTTGATCACTGCCATGATTAGCTCTTTGGTGTCGAGGCCTATGATACGGATACGGAGCTCTTTGAGACCTTTGCATGCCCATGGAAAAAGATGAACTATACTCATATCCAATTCATGCTCGGGAAGGTCCACTATTGTGAGGTTAGAGCATTTTGACAATAGAAGTTGTATAATCCATCTCTCCTGTAAGGCATCATACACAGGAATCACTCGGTCGGCGTCAGGGCTCCAACCGACAGTAGATGGATCGTACGTCTGTAATCTTTTTAGCGTAGACTTATGACGAAGAACTGCCAGTATCATGGAAGGCGAGAGAAATTGGTAATACAGCCAAAACAGCGAGAGTTGACTAACAGTGTTGATTAACAGATCCTTGACTAAAGATTCAAGTGTGTCGCTGAGAGAGAATTCCGTGAGATGCGGACAATGTTCCATAAGCTTAATTTTGATGTCTGAAGAGGTTGGGTTGTCTAATGTTGATGTAGTATCACTCCATGTGTCCAGAAAGGTGATGTTGGGGAAATGCACAATAAGTGGAGGTGGAGAGGGGGAGGATGGGCATGATGAGTTTTGACCAGCAGGAGAAAAGATTTGTTCAATCGGCGAAATAAGGGATTTTACACGTTGATGTCGGAAGAGTGGTTTATCTGAGTCTCCAGGTAGAAAACTGCACCTACGAATGTTCACTTCTTCGAGGAGTGGACATGTTGCAAGAAAGGACGAGAAAGAAGCTCGTGGCATGGACAAATCTCTCATATAGATTTCTGTAAGCCTTGAGGTATAAGGCTCAGACAATGGAGTCATTGCCTCTGCCAATGCAAACTCTTTTGGGTCGCCTTGAACATGACGAAGGATTTCCAGTCTAGTAAGGGAGTGGCTATTTTGAGATAGGAGCCGTCTAGCCTGTTGGCAATAGCCATCCTCGGGCTTTATACATATAGTGATGTGCTCCAAGTTGCTGACACAGGAATCCTCAAGGAGGTTGAGCTCTGATCTTTTGTAGATATTCTTTATAACTCGGATATGACGCCCATTCTTTGAAATGGTTCTCGAATCCAGATCCTTGAATCGAAGTTGGGCAACGAGATCAACTGTGCGCCAAACATGTGGTGTGAACTCTTCGCTCCATGCTTTGGATACCTGAGTGCAGGCAATCAGACTGAGCATATCAAGACGAGTGTTGATAAACTTGCTGACTTTGGACATTTTAATCTGGCCTATTTCTAAGGACATGTTATGAAGATGGAAGAAGGAGGATGGGAGGAGGGTGTGGAAATATAGAATGAACAGATGTTGTAAGAAGACGAAGAAGAGGAGAAGAGGCAAGAAGGTTTCTTCTTGCAGTTCAATTTGTTCAAACAAGTGCCCTGACCAAGTGGCGCAGCAAACCACTAATATCCAACCGGAACGTTGTCGCTCAATCAAAAAAAAAAGTAACACATTATCATACACTCTTTTAACATGCCAGACATTCTCCATTGTCCGGGTATCAGGTCTCTGAATAATGAATTGATCAAGTGCCAATCTCAATAGTTGTATGCACGTGGGCTTTATTTCCTGAAATCCAATTATTTTCCTCTATTTCCTTTCCTTTTTTTTTTTTTTTTTTTTTTAATCGCTCATTTCATCTGTTTTGCATTCAAGCGCCAGCTTTTTTTTTAAACTTGTATTTAGCATCATCCATTCAATCCATCACTTTCGTTTTTCTCTTTCTTTTTTATTTTCTATTCTGTTTTAGCCTAGCTTTAACTTTTTATTAATATTATAAGTCAAGTTGTGTATGGCATAGCACCATCTTGTGGTCTAAATTTTTGAATGTCGAACTCACTTCCAGGGTCTTTCAAACGCAATTTTTTTTTTTTTTTTTTTTTTTTTCTTGTACCTTTTCTCCTTTGCTCAGCAATTACCATCAGCCAACCGTGCAAACCTGAATAGTGTTTATGTGTATGGTCATCGGTCTTTTATTTGTTGATTGATTGTTTGATTAGCTTAATTAGCTTGATTAAATCCACTCTTGCGCCTGTTTTGTTTTGTCATCCTTTACTCCGTAATTTGAATTTTTTTTTTTTTTTTTTTTTTTTTTTTTTTAGCTCTTGCGCCCCTTTGGTACATCGCTCTTTTGTCTTTGCTCACTTTTTTTTTTTTTTATTCACACCCTCTTTTTTTTCTTTTTTCTTTTTTCTTTTTTCTTTTTCCTTCAAAGCATCTAAAGCACAGATTGATATAGAAAACAGGTGTGTAGGAAACAAAGATTATCTTGCAACAAAATACATTTGAAAGAAATTGACAATGGACCACCATACGCATCATCAACGCTACATCATCTCATTTGTCAAAACGCTACGCTTAAAGTTTCATTACTTTGTCAACAATAGTGAACACGACTGTCGTTATTGTTGCGTTGCGCGCGCATGCTTGTGTCATTTATTAACTGTGTCTACTACCTTTTTATTATTACTCAATTCCATTTCTTGTTGTCTCTTTAGTTTCATTGACGGCAACCCAAAAAGTCAGCAGGGACATTATAGATACACGGAGTTCAGTATGAACCAGCAACGAGAGCTACTTTCGCAGATGCAACAACATCAGCAACAACAGTTACAACAGCAACAACAGCAGCAACAACAACTACAACAGCAACAGCAACAACATGTTCAGCATCTGCAGCTCCAAGGGCAACCACTTCCTCAACCTCGTCAACCAGGAGGCGTTAGAGCTAATAGTGGAAACCAGATTCCTTATCCTTTGCAGACAACCAACAGTTCTCCATCATCTTCTTCCGTATCTGGTTCCCAGCCCTCATCGCCCAATGGCTCCATGACTTCATTGCAGCCCCCATCACCAGCCAAGGCAAATACCAACACATTTGTCCACAAGTTGCACAAGTAAGGATTAAATAAAATAAATACCGTCTTTATTTTTTATGTGGAATGATGACCTTTAATTTCCTTTTTTTTTTTTTTCCTGCATCTTACAGCATGGTGGTCGACAAGCAGTATCAGCACTTGATCGCGTGGAATTACACAGGGACATCGTTTATCGTCTGCAACATTATGGAATTCTCCAGAGATGTCTTACCCAAACACTTCAAGCACAATAACTTTTCCAGTTTTGTGAGACAGCTCAATATGTACGATATTGCTCCAACTTAGTCTTTGTTTATTATTAATGATACTAATGAATGGGTGTCTGACTCTGTGACGTTAAATGGTTTAGTTCGATCTATGAAGCTAAATTGTATTCGCCTCTTGTACTTTGTCATTAAAATACTAATTATTCTGCAGGTACGGCTTTCACAAAGTCAACAAGTCACCTCGAGGGCATCGCACACTCGCAGAAAATCAAATTTGGGAATTTTCACACCAAAAGTTCTTGAGGGGAAGACAGGATCTGCTGGATGATATTAAGCGTAAGGCTATGGAATCAGATTCAATGAGGAGAGACGGAGGTGATTTGCCTGCACATATGGCAATGATTCAGGCATCGCAAGCAGAGTTGCTTCAGCATGTGAATCAGTTGCAGGAGAACTTTGGAGAAGTCGTACGGGAGTTAGCAGAAACTCGTCGCAAGCAGCAGGCTCAGCAGCAATTACTAAAGAGTTTACTGGATTATATCCAAAGAACTTCAGGAGGACAACGTGAGTTTTTTTTATCTCTGTTATTTTGCGGTCCTCTTCTCCTTTGCTTTTGCCTGACTAATCTCACATCTCATACGCGTCTGTATGATCTGTGAATGTTTTTTTTTCTCTTTAAAATAACGGTCCTATTTCTAATAGCGCTACCACCAGAGCTCACATTTGAGCACTATGAAGTCAAACCAGAGCCAGAAAGGCCGCCTATCTATATCACAGCCCCTGAAAATTCGACTCAACAGATGTATCAAAACATGATGTTCAATACCATTGGTGGCAACAATGACGGATCAGCACAGGGTCCTCGTCGACCTCAGTCTCCGTTAACTATCCAGACATCTATGGGCGGAGGTACACCTCAGTCGCCACAGAATGCACCATTATCACCTCACCACTCACCTTTGTCCCCACATCAGTCACCCAACTCGCCTTTGTCGCCTTCATTTTCGATGCAGAACCTAGGCCTGGGCATGAACGGAGGTAGTACTAATAGTAGTAATAGTTCTGGGATTCTTAGTGTCAATGATTCGAATCAGGTCAACAATGCTTCCAGGAACAACCCGAATCAGCGGACACCGTCCATTAACGCGCAGATCCCATCTTTTTACACCACAGCTACAGGGCTACTACCACATGCGCCACAGTCTCCAAACACTCTGACAGCTTATACAAGCGCAGTAAATACTCCTCTGCCGCCCAGTCCCTCCCCAGGATCACCCATGGCGTCGATGATCTCGGATAACGATATGGAGTCAAGTTCATCTTTGTACTGTCCTAGTCCTGGGGGACCTAATACTGGCCTTAACAATCGAGGGAGCGAGTATGCTGGCAGTGAATACGCTGGAAGCGAGTATGGTGGCGATGATGGAAGCCACTTCTTTATGTCGGCATAAGGGAACAAAACAAACAAACAAACAAACAAGAAAGATATCAATAACACTAAAACACTAGATGTTCGTGATTTGCTTTTTTTTTTACTCTTTGTTCTTTATTCTCTCTACATCTAATGCCTTTCCATTGCGACTATATGTTTTTTTTTTGTTTTTTTTTTTTACTTTTTTATTCTATTTCTTATTGTTTGGGTTCCTCATCCAATTGTAATGCTGCTGCCCATATTCATCATGTATACAACGAAGAACAAATGAGCAAGAAAAACAAGACCTCCCAACTGTAATAAAACTTGTGCTTCAGAAATATATATATAAAAGCTGCTGCTTTTGTGTTTATTGTTTATAACCTCGTCATCACAAACTCCTTCCATTGATCAAGAGACCATCCACTGCTGATCGAATTCTCAACCAAGCCATCCCAGAGAACCGCGGGTGAAACGTGGATTCCATTTTGACGACCCAATTTGATAAAGTACTTGAGATCGTTTGTCACGCTGTTGCCTGTATTAGTAGCTTGAGCCAAAGTCTGAACAGGTGTGATATGGAGCAATTGAAGCAGAGCTTCTTCTGTGATAGATGAGGACGACTGAAGAGTTGAGATTGCAAGGGCAGCAAGAGTTTTGTATTGCTCAGAGCGGGTCTCGTTAACCACGATCTCGTCAAAATACCTTTGAAGAAAGAAAGCGTTAGTTCGTCGTTCTCGCTCCTGCTCCAATCTCACTTCCACACTTCTCTCTCGCTATTCATGGGAGCTAGGTAGACTTACGCCTTTTGATTGTTGAACAATGCGTTGCTGTATTCGGCAAATTGTAAAGGATCGATCTTTTCAACCGCAAGTGCAGCCTTTAAAATAAAACTCAGAATAAATGTTTGAATGTTTGTATCTCTGTAGCATGGCATGAGCAATAACATCAGAGGAGCTATGTTTGTTCTTTACCTCTGCAGTTAGAGTGGAAGCTGGATGCCAAGGTTGGATTTGATTCCTGACAATCAACTAAAAAAAGAGAAAAAAAAAAAAAAAAAAAAAAAAAAAAAAGAAAGAAGGAGAGAAAAAGAGCGGGGATGTTACTATATCGGTGTTCTTTGACCTTGATGAATAAAATGGCTGTGTGTCGTTTCCATTTTAAAGGGCTAAAGGATTGTATGCAATATACCTGAACCTGACCAGGATGCTCCTTCTCCAACCACGGAAGGACATTATGATACACCTGGTTCCAAATCTTGGCTGAAAACGGACAAACATAATCAAGATAGAACTCGAGCGTATGATGCGCGTCCGCCTTTCCAGAGATGCGGTGGCCGGAGAACTGTGGTGGTAATGACATGCTGGAATGAATGAGAATGAAAGAAGCGATTTGCGAACAAAAGCGAGGAAGAGAGAGAGAGCCTCTTCAGAAATGACGCGTTTCTTACAATTATAGCTTATTTATCATTGCCCAATAAACTGTCCTCATTTTCTAGGCGTTTAGTTTAGATTAATTAAACTGTCATTTATCAGTGATCCCAATGCCTTTTTTGCCTTACTCTCCATATTAAATGGATTCACGATGGATATTTTTCCTTGCCGCTTTTCACTACATTGAACTCCATTTTTTCAATCCTCCTCAACACTATTATTTTTTTCCTTGCCGAGACTTTGTCAGTGCAATAACCGTAGTAATATAGTATTCTATACGATCATGTATTCCCCATTCAACTTGCTTCGATATGCGATTGCCCCCATTGTCGTGTTATTATGCGTTATGGGGACCATGACCAATACAAGCTTCGCGATTTCACTTTCATTCGAGGCCATATCCAATGAAAGTCAACTCGAGTGTAGCCGTGGATCGCAGCATTTAAACGGTTCGAAAGATGTGTCTGCATCCCTAGAAAAACGTTTTGATGATAAAGAGGGCTACAGAGAGCACTGGTGCCATATACATTGCTGGGAGCGACGCTATATTAGAGCTGGTGGCTCGTTCTATGGACCCAATGGGTATGACGTATATAATCCTACTGCCAATTATCCTTCGAGAGGAAGGGAGATTTCAGGAGAGGGAGTAGGACAAGTTGGTCCATACAATGATGATTGTTGGGAGCTTTGTGGGGCGCCACCACCATGGTATTGGAGTGAAGCAAATATATCGTCTCAGACTGCAGGATTCCTTGCCAGATGGTCTGTTATGGCACTGGGGATGTTACTATTGGTGTTTTGGCAGAACATGTTTTGAGGGTTTTTCTTTTATGGGTAGCAACGTCTGGAGAAAGACTAGAGAATACGACACGCTTTGGATTGTTTGTATTGACTAATAAAATCCGCAACTATGAAATGTTTAATACAGTTGACAGTCAGCCAGTAAGTCATCAAGCCATTAAAGTCAAGTGGCGAGTGTAAATATCATGTAATATAATGTTCAACCTGGGGGGACATTTTTCCTTTTTCTAGCTGACACGTGATGCTCGTTCCATGTCCGGGCATTCTATGACTTCTTACTTGACGAACCTTAATCTTCTCCGGACCTTTTTTTTTTCTTCTTTCTCTCTAGTTCTCTCGTTATTGTTATCTCTCCTTTTGCTTCTCCTACACATTCATTTATCCACTTACTCATTTGCTCATTTATTTCGTTTTCTACATTAAACTACTACCATGTCATTCCCAAGCCTCGTCTCCGGCGGAGCAGAATGTGGGCCTGCTAACCCTATGAATGGACTGGTCAAGAACTTTTCTCAAGATAGAACCCTTCAACAGGTACTTTTTCTTCAACTCTCTTTCTCTTACATACGCCCACACCTATATGTTCAATGCTTCTCGGCTCACTGTCTTCAGCACTTTTCCTTGTGATCATTTCGATCATTTATTTCCTCAGTCGAACGTTTTGTAGTTCTATCTCCATTAATAAACTTCTTCTGTCACTTTCCCCGCATTTGTCTCTTTGACTTTGCATTGAATAGGAACGTTTTGCATCCGGTTCACAGCATGCCGGAAGCAGTTCCTCAGGTTTCCGAACGGCCCGTCCTAGGCAGCAAGGCCCAGACCAGGTAATAAAAGTTGATCATATCCGCTAATCATACTGGATTAGACGAACAAGCAGGAAGAAACATGATGCTGCGCAAAAAAAAAAAAGAGGCACTCACTCATTTGTATTTAATTTTTACTTTCGTTCTCTCTCTCTTTCCCCTGCTGATGATCTCTCTTACTTTCGGATTGATCTTTTAGTTTTCACAAGAGTTCTTACAGCAAGGTGCTGGCGGCTCACAGGATTTCTTTGAATTCAATGAAATGGGCAAGGAACTGGAGGGTATTCATCATGCTCAGATTGTTCCTGCACCCATGGGACCCGATTGGGCACTGGATTTTATGCAACAAAACGCTAGATCTCAGCATATCCCACCCGAGTTTCATAATGATACACAGCTCCAAGAGTTTGAAAGTGTGTTCAGAAACGCACAGCAGCAGCATCAGTATCAACCACAAATAGGAGGTATTTTTTTTTGTCTTTTAATATATATATTTGAAGTCTGTTTCCTTCCTTACTTCTTTCTCTCAACTGATCTATGGAATGAATCAAATGTTTAGTGATTTTTGTTGTTAAAGTATAATTGACGCACGTGAATTTTTTTAATATTTATTTTTTGCAGGTTGGCAAGCAGAATTTACTGCGTTTGAGCAACAACACGGTAGATTGGACCATGGACTGCAACCGGATCAAATTGAAGCCTTTGAACGAGCCTTTGAAGATGCCAAGAACGTCAGTCAATGGGAATCCGAGTTCAAGGCTGAGCATGGCATCACGATTGCTCCACAGAGCTGGGCTGAAGAGTTCACACAACAGGAGGGTGGTCTTCAAACCGATCAAGATAGTAAGGAAGCTCTTGCAAAAACTGCAGGATTATTGTTGGATTCTGTGGACACACAGGGCAATGAAAAGTTTAAAAACTCGTCCTTCATGAACTTTATCAGACGGCTGAGAGACCAAGAGGTTGCTATTGAAGGAAACAAGCTGGTTGAGCAAACAGCACCCGTTACTGCTACTGCAACAGCAGGAAGTGATTGGGCCGCTTCATTCAACCAACAACAAGATAGAGGCAAGGGCAAAGCAAAAGCTGCGGATTGGTCTTCAGAATTCCAAGAAAAGCAACAAGAAAACAGTGGTAGTACTTGGTCTACAGAGTTCGAGAAACGGATCGAGCAACATATAAAGAACAGAGAACCTGGTGGTATGTGGTCAAGCGAATTCGCCAAGCAGCAAGAAGCAGGCTGGGCAGAGGAGTTCGAAGGCGTCACAAGGGCTATGGGTGGAGGTGCAGGTGCAGGAGACTGGGCACAGCAGTTTAATGCTTCACGGAAAGAGACAGCACAAGACTGGGTCAACGAATTTACATCATCTAATGCGGCCGATGAGCTAGAACAGGCCTTTCAGCAACATCAGCAACAGGACCATGGTGAGAGCTGGGTTGAATCATATCGAAAGAATATTGCTCATCTGGCACAGGAGCCTGGAGACAAGGAGTGGGATTCGCTGCAAAAGGATTGGGAGAAGCAAGATGTCACTGGATTAGGGTATAGAGCCACAGATCCCCGGTATCGGACTTATGCCTTTGAGCAGAATAATCCTTACATGGTAGCCGATACAACAAAGTTGATGGATATAGCTGCCAGAGGCAATCTGACAGACTCAATCTTAGCTCTTGAAGCCGCAGTACAAAAGGACCCCACAGATGCGGCAGCATGGCATCAATTGGGATTGAGACAACAAGAGAATGAGCGTGAAACGATGGCTATCGCGGCGCTAGTCAAGGCAGTGGAGGCGAACCCCAAAGAGTTGAATGCCTGGTTGGCATTGGCAGTTTCATACACAAACGAGAACTGCAGGGTAGATGCATATGATGCCCTCCAGTCCTGGGTCGAGAATTCAGACCAGTATAAAGGCGTAAAGAACGCTGTCTCTGGAGGACAAGGTCGCTCTGCTCAAGAGAGGCATGAGTATGTTACTGGATTATTCTTGGAGGCTGCTAGAAGTAATCCAGGCGAGAACTTGGATCCAGATGTACAGATTGCACTCGGAATCTTGTTCAACGTCTCGGAGGAGTATGAGAAGGCTGTTGACTGCTTCCGTGCTGCCTTGAACCTTCGTCCCGATGTAAGTCTTTTTTTTTTTTTTTTTTTTTTTTTAAATATATATATATGAAAGGAAAGGATGGTTCTGACTTTTGTTATTTTTACTTTCCTGGGGGATTTTTTTTATCAAGGACTACATGCTCTGGAACAAATATGGCGCTACTCTTGCCAATTCTCACAACACGTCATCAGCAATTGAAGCTTACTTCAATGCTCTGAATATCAACCCTTCCTATATCCGCGCACGATACAATCTTGCGATCGCTTGCATCAATCTGGGTCAGCACCGCGAGGCTGCTGAGCATCTGTTGAGTGCATTGTCATTGCAGAATGCAGGGGACGCAGCACGGGGACTGATGGTGGGTGCTGCTTCAACAGCAGGTTCCCAGTCAGATGGTGGTATCGGCGGCATGTCCCAGAATGTATGGGAGACACTCAAGATGACCATGTACATGCTGGGCAGAGCAGATCTTGCACATCGTTGCGAAACCACAAGGGATCTTGATGCCTTCCGGAATGAGTTTGATTTTTAGAAAAATATATCGAACAATATTTAATAACAGTAATAGATAATAGAAATAACAAATAAAAAAAAAAAAAAAAAAAAAAAAAAGATGGAGCTATTCTGTAAATGAAGATTGCTGTGTAGTAGCAATTATGAATGTAATAAGTTGGAGTTTTTTTTAAGTTCTTCTTGAACGTCCAAACTCATCCAACTGCTCATTTGCAGGCAAACCCAATCGTGCTTCCAGTGCCTTCAGAGCCTCTTCTCTTTCTCTTCTATGATCTTTCCTTCCCCTTGTTCCAGGAGCGGAAGCTGATGCTCCTGCGAAAGTAGTTGAATCATCTATATGTCGTCCACGGTCACCTCGGTTGTCTCTTCGATTGCTCCGACCACTGCCTGTAGACGTTGTCTGAGATTCCGGTGGGAATTCTGAAAGAGTCTCACGTTCATAGAAATCACTATACAGCTTTGTCTTCGGAATAGCCTTTTCCCGACGTGAAAACGAGGACTCGAGTTCGGCTAAAAAGTCATCTGCATATTGATTGAGTCTGTTTTCGACGGCCGTATCATCAATAACACGATTGCCAAGACGCGATGAAATGTCGCCTCGTCGGCCCCGTTGCCTAAAAGGAGTTCACATAGATATTTATAAATGTAGAGGCCAAGAAAATAATATGAGCGATAAGTGAGTGTCATATAGACAAAAAACCATAAAAGATTTCAGGCACTTAACCATCAATGTAATAAATAACCTAAGTAATGATAACATACTCATATTCATCCATATGCGCGCGGCCTCTCGACTCTGGGGAACGACTTGCACGCTCACGGCGAAATGAAAATTCTGGGGACTGTGAGCCACGATCAAGCGACCTTGATCTCGAGCTTGAACGTGATCTGGACCTTGAGCCAGTCAGTCTCCTGTTGCGTGACCAAGAACGGTGACGAGTTGGGGATGGAGACAATGTTTCTCCATCCTCATACTTCCGGCGGAGACGACTAAAAGTAGTAATGCCACGTCCTCGGAGCCATACCTCTTCGTCATCTGCACGGCTACGGCGACCGTACCGTGAAGAGCCCATGCTATTTCTGTTGCTGTAGCTATTGGCCTGAGATGATCTAGATGATCTAATGCTGTCATTTTCCCGTCCATGGACTGCATAGTATTGACTCCTGGTTGCCGCTCCCTTTTCCTTGCGATCCATGTCTGTAGCATATCGCAAGAACAACCCCTTGTTGCTTTTAGCGACCGGTTGATTCTGATTTTGGTGGACAGGGATATAGTTTTTGGCACGCTGCAATCTGTTCTTAGATTTAGGTCCTTGAATCAGCGTAGGAGCAGATACGCCATTCACAACACCTTCATCTGGTCGAGTGGGTTCTACATCGCCATTACCATCGTCGTCCTCACCAAAGCTAACATTATTGTCAACCAATTGGAAGTAAAGAGCGCGTTTGGCTGAGAATTGATCTAGGAACACAACATTGCATGAAGAATCATCGATCCATTCCACATGACTGGGACCATAGGCTTCAAAGTATTTGAGGACATCTTGAGTAGACATTTCATCCGTGCCATAAAGATACACAGCCTCCGGACGGATAGTTGTAGTCCTTGGAGGCGTTTCTGGCAAGTTGTCAGGCCTAGTCCATTCCCCATCATCTAAGGCCATTACATTATTATTATCATCCGTATCATTCGTGTATAGATTGCAAAAATATATACTATCGAGTGTGTTCATCTAATTTTTTTTCTATAATCCACAAGGCCATTGAAGCTTTTTTTTTTTTTTTTTTTTTTTTTTTCTTACCGACATCCATACTAGTTCCGTTCTCGTCCATTGGATCGTTCTTTGGCGCCTCAGCTTGAGTAGCAGCTCCGAACCGCTGTGCACGGCTAGCCCTCTTTGCTTGCTCCTCCTTTGATAATGGATCAAACCCTATATATATTATTGTTATTGTTATTATTATTATTATTATTATTATTATTATTATTATTATTATGATGATGTAATATATTGTTAAAAAAAAAGAAAAAGAGAAGTTCGACAAAAAAGATCAAAAAACGAGGGCTGACAGTGCACTTTTTTCTTCTTGCTCTTATTTTTTTTTTATTACCTGTTACAAACCCTCCACTTTTGCTAGCATACTTATGTGGCATAATGTTGCTGCTGTTGTTGTTCAAGCGATTTGATCTAATATTGACGTTGTTGCTGTGGCGGCTACCATAAGTGTTAGATAAGGCCTGATCTAAACCTGGAGGTTCGGGACGTCGCTCATTCTGAAACCGTGTCGAGATGTCTCTTGTCTGTGCATCCAGTTCCCTGAAAGAAACACGAATGTAAAAGTTAAGTAAAGTACTTCTATACGTTGTATAAGCGATGGGTTTCGATCCTAGTGATCACCATCTAAATTGAACATTTATAAAAAACAGGGGAGAGTTTGCTAACTTACTGTTCCAGCTCTAGCATAGAGTTGTTCATGACTTCACTAGAGAGGACTGCTGGAGCAGAGTCAACAGGGCCCAATTCGATATCAATATCTCCCTCTGGAATGGCGAAGCGGTCCTACAGGATAGTGGTATGAGTGGAGGAAAAAGGTATGACGAGATAGAGGATGGGGAGGTGAAGGCGAAGGTAAAGGTGCATGAGCACCATTATCAATACACGCCATGGTTTTCCAATTGAATAGCTCCCGCCAACTTATGTCGCATGCAGATCCTTTTTAATAAGGTGCACACAATGCACTTTGTAAAAGTTGAGAGAGCCCTTACAGCGTCAAATTCCATGATGTTTTGGTGCTATTATTATTATATTATTCTTGTTATTGATGGACTTATTCTTAGGTTTGAACTTCTTCTTTGATTGTTGTCGTTACTAGATGAGCAAGCAGAAAAGCAGAGTAGAGATAGGCCATGTCTTCCCTTACTCTTCTTGCATGGAGCAATGTGGCTTTGTTTCTCATTTTATTTTTACATATTGACCTCGACTTCATAAGGAGTGAAGAATAGCCTAATCAAACCAGGGTTAATATTCAAAATAACTGACCTGTCGGTCAGCGTTTCCTTCTTTACTCCCATATTTTTGCTTATTTCTTATTACTCAAACTTTTTTTTTTTTTTTTTCCTGTATAGACGAGGAATATCTGGATTTCCTCAGGTAGATCAGCAATCCTGTCAAGGTTATTGACATATACTTCCAGTAATGGCTATAAAACGCTTGGCTGGGCGGTCTGGAAACTACCTAAGGGATATCCAATTGCAAATAAGCAGTTTCTAAACAGCAGTATGGACGAGGGTTGGGCTGGAAACGCAAAATTAGAGTGGTTAACGAGCACCAAAAAAGGAAATATAGAGAGTCAGGAAAATGTCTGTAGGACTAGTCAATTGAGTCGATGTTTGGAAATATTTCTGAAGCATCGAAATCATCTTTTTTTTTTTTTTTTTTTTTTTTTCATACTCACATTCAAGCCTAATCATTTTCTTCATTCAAAAATAAAACGAGGAGTTTCCATATAAACTAACTTCATACTGCGGTCAGTAGAGTAGAAGAAACAAGGAGAAAACAAGGGACACGCAGTGTAGGGTGAAGAGGCACGGATTTTTTTTCTTTTAAAAAAAAGGAGCAAGACATTCTTGGTCTCATAGCAATAAAGAACTAGCCGTGGAGAGATCAGAAGAAAGTCAGGTCGTGATGAAGCCATGGGCTATATTCAGTATCCTGGTGGCATCACTGGCATGTCAACTTGTAGGATTGATTATGTTTGCCAAAGGGTTCTTTCCTTACAAGGCTATTTCGACTTCGTTTGCGTCACTTAAAGATCTACCGCCTCCACCATTGATGACCTCAACAAATAAGCTTCAGAATGAAGTATATTCAATTAGACCACAGTTTGGGAAAGTCGTCCTTATGCTTGTGGACGCTCTCCGCAGGTAATGACTGGTTCCTTTCTACAACTATTCATTTAGTTTTTATTGTGCTTACCATCCGATTATCGCATCCTTAAAAAAAAAACTGAAAGATCTTTGGTGTTTCTTCTTTTGGAATCGTTTCTCATAGCGACTTTTTGTATGGAAACGATTCTGAGTTTCGATTTATGCAGAGGTTAGACAACTTATTACCATGAGGCACAGTGACTTTGCTTTTAATTGCACAGCCATTCACTTATCCTCACAAATCAATGGGTCTCATTATTCTATAGTCTGATCAACAGCCATAGAGCTATTCCATTTACAGCATTGGCCTCAGCCCCAACAGTAACGCTCCCTCGTCTCAAGGCATTGACGACAGGCACTGTTCCAGGTTTCCTGGACGCGGTCCTCAACATCGCAGAATCAGATCAATCATCTACATTGGCCTATCAAGATAACTGGATCGCCCAACTGGTTCGATCTCCTTCACAAAGACTGAATGCTAAAGAACCAGGGAATGGTTCGCATACAGATACAGACACAGGTAGAAGACGCAACATCGGCTTCTTCGGTGACGATACTTGGATCAAATTATTTCCAGACATGTTTTTTAGAACCGACGGCACCTCTTCGTTTTTCGCGATGGTAATAAATCAGCTTCTGTTACATACCATGGCGTCCTATCTCCCAGAAAACGAATGCAGCAATTTTTTAACTAGTTTCGTTTTTGCAGGATACAGTCGAGGTTGATAACAACGTAACACGGCATGTTGAGCCAGAACTAGCAAAGGATGATTGGGATGGCCTCATCTTTCATTATTTGGGTCTAGATCATGTTGGTCATTCTGGTGGACCCAAGTCTCCGTTGATGAAACCCAAACAAGCAGAAATGGACGCTATTGCTGAGACGATCTATAAAGCTTTAATAGAAAAAGACAATAGTAACAGTGGTATGGCACAACAACATGGATATGAACAGAAACAGGACCTTCCTACTTTATTCATTCTCTGTGGAGACCATGGCATGAATGAAGTTGGAAATCATGGTGGCTCTTCTAGAAGTGAGATTTCAACCTCATTTTTATTCATGAGCCCAAAGTTTGAAAGCCCTCAGGCTCGATCTGAGATCCGGAGAATGGTCGAACCATATCGCTCTCAGGAAGGTCGAGAAGAGTACCAGTACTATAAAAGCGTCAATCAAGTAGACTTGGTCCCCACACTTTCACTTCTGCTAGGACTTCCAATTCCCAAGAATAGTGTTGGCAAATTGATACCCGAGTTATTTTCCGGTCTTTCAGGTATTTTTTTTTATACTAAATATATATATATATAATATAGGTGAGAAGTATGGAATCAATGTAGCACGGCTCCCATGGTCTAATTTTTTTTATTCCATTTTAGAGGCGGAGAAACTTCGAGCGCTTCAAATCAATGCTTATCAAATGGCAGGTGTATTGAGGGCTATGTGGTCAGATTTTGAGGTGAATGATTCAGTGTTATCGAAGGATTACATAGATCCTGATTTGAAACTAGAGCAGGAGGGGGAGGAAATCAGGAAATCGACATGTTTACAAGAAAAATCCCAAAAAGCAACTCTAGCCTGCTGGTATCTTTCAGCGCTCACGAACCACGCTTCCTTCTTGGAGATAATGGATATGGGACAAAGTAAGAGTATCGTGTATCAAGACAGCATGCGCAATCTGACGGCTCAGGCCGCTGAACGGGCTTATAATAAGGTAATGGGGTGTATTCAAAGTGGACGAAAGTTTAGATGAATAATATCATTTGCTTTTAGTAGAAGTAAATAGACTTAAACAGCGATTTTTTTATTTTTTATTTTTTTTTATTAGTTTCTTGAAAATTCCAGCTCGATGCTGTCCACTGCCCTTAGCAAATACGATATGCCACTCCTGACAAATGGGTCATTGTTGATGGCGTTTGCTGTTGCAGGATTTATTTATTGCGCTATGCAAACAAATCTCGTTGAAGAGTTCAAGACATCGTGCCTTGAGCCTCACTTTCCTTCTCCTTCGAAGCCCCTTGCTACAGTGATTGCTTCTTCATCTCGCTTGGGGAGTAATAATTTGGTCCAGGATAATGACCCAACTGTTCGGAAGAAGAAAACCAAGCGTAACAAGAACGACATCAGCTGGCTCGTGGCGCGAGTCTTGTCTGTGATCATTCTGGCTCTTTATCTGATCACGTTGTTTGCATCAAGCTTTGTCGAGGAGGAACACCAGTTTTGGTACTTTTTCAACATGACTTGGTGGGCAATTCTTGGGCTCACTACCGCACGGCACCTTACAGTCCCCTCTACCGTCGCTAGTACCACTGCCAACACTGCAAGTTCAGCCTCAATCGATTACATGTCCACGACTTCAAGGAGCTCCTCATCATCTGCATTGATAGGCACAGGGTATTGCCTTCTTCAAATGGCTATTCTTCGTCTGCTCAGAAGCTGGAACCAGACAGGTAAATAACAATACTAAAAAAAGGCGAGGAATATCGATATTGAAGGCGCAAGGTACTTATAATTGTTATTATTATTATTATTATTATTATTATTATTATTATCATTTATATATGTTAAAAAAGGCCAAAAGTACGCCGATCAAATTGACCTGCGATATTACTTGAATTCCTCCTGGACAGGATTATCTTGGATCTTCTTCTGGACTACACTAATCATCACCGCAGTTTCGATGATTGTCCTTGTTTTCTCTGTACACTCTCCATCGTCGTTATTGCCTTTTGTATCCTCTCAACCCCAACAACGTCAAAAACAACAACAACGGCAACAGCCGTTATGGATAACAGGATTCATCAGTGTGGTTCAGGCCTTACTGGTAGTTTTGATTGTTCTTGTCTCACTTTGGATTGCTGTGTACAAGATGGACGTAGAGTCTACATGGTTTGGAGACGATACCATGGGCCACATTCATGCGGTCATGAGTACCTTATCATCTGTGGGTTATTCAGCGGTAAATATGGCTGCTGCTGGTGATGCTACTGAAGGCGAAGGCCTGAGAGAGCATACATTGATCATGTCAGGATATGAGATGGCCCGTGGATGCTATGCTGGCCTGGCTGCAGTCGTTATATTAAGTGGAGTATTGAAGGTGCTTTCGTCACTCAACCCTTTATCTCTGGGCTCAATCCAAGAGAACAAAATAGAGATATCAGACAAAGCAGAAGAGGATCACATTTTACAAGAGCAGGCAAAAACACTATTCGGGCCAGCTATGTTGCTTGGGTCAACAACTTTACTACTAATCCTGTTATCACGACGACATAATGCGCCACTGTTTCTGTTCTTTGGGATTCAGCTCTATTTCTATATCAACTGGATCAGTCTTATTCGTCGGCGCGATCCTATCTCTAAGATTCAAATATATGATGGCTCACAAAACGGAAAAGTTTATATTGAATATAATGATGAACCCGACAAGACACCTTTAAGAGCAGACGGCTGTGACCAGATGTCGCCGTTCACAACGACACCAAAAACAATACCAGCCCTGACTACTGCTGTAACGAAAGCAGCAGCGGCGACACCAATACCATTTATTGTAGAGACCGCTTCACTTCCAGTATTTAGGACGTTGCCCGCTCTGAATTCAATTCACAGCTGTACCATCATCCTCTGGATACTTTCCTCATTCTTTTTATTCGGAAACTCCAACTCTATCGCATCAATTGACATTTCGAATGCATATGTGGGGATCCAGGCGTATGATATTGTCCTGACAGGCGTGCTCACATTTATATCCAATTGGGCGGGCCCTATTTGGTGGTCTATTGCTGTTGTGTCGTTGATGAAGTGGGATTTAGAATTAGAAATGCGTTGGGCTATACAGAACAAAAAGATCATTCAAGCAGAAGACGAAGAGCGTGCTTGGAAGTCAATTGGCGGATGGAAAAGGCTTGATACGACTACATGGACTCGCAAGACCAAAAAAAGGATACAACTCTACAAGCAAGCAGTAGCCAAGCACCGAGAAGTAATGAAGAAACAGCTTGATGAACAACAACAGCAACAGCAAGCAAGAGAAGGAGTTGAGAACCGAGAGCCTATGGTCGAAAATAATCAGACGGATGGCTCTTCACCAAAGGACAAGGCGTCTGTGACCGAAGTTGGCACACCAACTGAATATGAACCACCAAAGGATTCAGAAGATGAGGAAGGCTTCGTTGTGTACGAAGGACAATTAGATACCATTGACTCTGATAGAAATTTCCTAGCATCCTCAGCGCCTGAAGCCTTTTGCCCACTCGCTCACTACCCTAGATTCCGGCGGCATATGGTTCGGATTAGAATGCTAGACCATCTTATTTTTACAAGCATTTTCTTTGGACTCACACTGTATGCCCTTTCCATTGCAGCGATTGTACTGAGACATCATTTGTTCATTTGGACAGTTTTCTCGCCCAAGGTGCTTTATCAGTTTGCATGGACAGTCCTCTACCAAATTGTGGTTCAGGTTCTGATTGTTGGTTGTATTATCTGGCCTGTTGTCTGGGTATAATAAACATGACACTGACTTTTTAATGATTCAAATCATGCATATCTCTTCAAATACCATTGTCATTCATCTGTTAAGAATGTCAATCTTTATTTTTATTTTTATTTTTATTTTTTTACTTTTTCCGTTTTGATGCTCGCTCATCTTCATCATCATCTTGATACACAGGTTTTGGCTGGTTCTTCTTATATGCTGGGGTGATCCATTGTGGATCTTTCTCAACCACATCTGCATATTTAAGTAACGCTGCTCTTGGATCTTCTTCACGCGTCATATCTTTGACAACATTTGTCAAAACATGCTGAATTGTACTGGAGCCGACCTTACCACCACGACCAGGCCCGGTCAAAGGCATTTCTGGACGATGGGAAGCCACAGGATCACTGCGCATTTTTTCTTGCTTTCTCTTGTTGGTCCGTGTCTTTTCTTCTCTGAACATGGGCAGCGCATGGGGTGTGATGATAGGTCGATCTATCTCATAATCATCTACAGCTCGTTTCTTGGGTGCCTTAGTTGCGCAGAGCAGTGCGCCTTTTGTTGATACTTCTGGATCATAATACACCCGAGCTGTTCCATCTGCGTTGCCAGCAATAATCTATGGTTTGTAGAATATTTTAATTAGTCGTCGCCTGTCACAGTTCTCCCGATGAGCAATGTGGCTTGCAGGATACCCATTTTACCTGATTCAATTTATCATGCCATAAGACTCTAACAACACTACTCTTGGATACACTGACAGTCCTGACAATCTCGAGATTTTCGCTATTCATCATGACGATTTTGCCATAACCTTCATTCTTTTTGACGCTCGTGCCTGTAAGAATAAGACGTTCATCTGGTGAAAAGATAACATTGACCTCTGAGTTCAATGTTGCCATATCCTCTGCGATTGACAAAGGGTGTTTGAGATTCCGAACATCCCATACTAAGTGATAAATAAACACATAGTGAGGTAAGGAAAAAAAAGTAAAGAAAGGGAAAAAAAAAAATTAGACAACAGGGCCACAGCAGTACATTGAGACAGCCCATTATTGGCGGAAGTAAGATCTATATGCAATCAATTTTTGGCTATTGCTTACATTTTACTGTGTCGTCGCCTCCACGACTGACCATCCGCTGGCTGTCTCTGGAGAATGTAATACATGAGGTCTCTGTACCCTTGACGTGGGCGTTTTCAATTGTCTAAATACAATAGTATAGATAGAAGGTTAGAAATAGGATAGGGAAATTATGTAATCATGAGCTGATGATCCACAAGCACATGTAAAATATACATACATGAGTGGATCGGAGAAATGGCCCTTTGCTGGGATAGAGTGAAATGGTGCCGTCTCCCGCAGCCCCAGCAATTATCTTGCCATCTGAGCTGTAGTTCACTGCAGTGACAGGTGTCCTTCCGCCTCGTTCTTTAGTCTTGTACGCAATAACATCTGCCTGTTTGCGAATATTTTCCACATCCCAGAGTCGAATAGAGCCGTCAGTTGAAGATGTGATGAATCTATCTCTGATAAATGGATGCCATGCGCCACTAGTCAAAGATGCAACATGTCCTGATGTCAAACGAAGGTCCCTTATATAAGGATCGCCCTTTTGGTATTCTGCAATCTCTATGCCATTACGATCATATAACCTTGCTTTGGCTTCTCCTGAAATGATCAAAATTTTGTCGCCAGTTGGAGAATACTTGAGATCATGGATTTGATGAGCTCCGCATGGTTCCATGGTCCTGAAAGGCTTGAACCGAGTATCCATTCCAGCGAAATCCCAAAAGCAGATGTTGAAATCATAGCTTCCAGTCACTAGTCTTACACCTGCAGGGTCTAACGCAATAGCTGACACTGTCTGGATATTGTCATTATATTGTAATGAGGCGAAATCGGTTATTTGTCATTTAATGTGGATAATGATTTACAAATTAAAATTCCTTTGCCTATTCATTTGTTTTTCGCCAATTACCTTGCTATGCTCGTTCAAGATAATTTCATGTGAGATAGGAAGAGTGGAAGAGCTAGGAAGGCTTGGCTCTCCTGCTTCGTCATCATCATCGTTACTATCATCGTTGCTATCATCGTCACTATTATCGTCTTTGACCTCGTTTGAAGTTGACACTTTGGTTCCTTTATTCTCCTGACTCGTGCTGGCCTTTGAGGAGCTTGCTTTTGACGTTGATGTTGCATTGTTATCCTAAAAAGTTAATACCGGTAAGAAAAGATTTGTTAAATCGACTATCTCAAGCATGATTGAACGTTTGTGCAATTCCGTTGATACTTTTAGACCGAAGAAACCGATCAGAGGAATAGGATCATAGGATCATATCTCATTCCCTTCTATCTTTTTCTTTCTGGAGCGAAAAAAGAAAAGTATACCTTGACTACATTGTCCAGATCTGCAGAGTGTTTCGTAGACTGTATTGTCTGAGGTGTGATGTCCTTGAATGGTTTTTGTTTCCCAAATGATGTAGGTACCATTGCTCGCAGTGCACTCATGTTATCATTGTCCTGGCCAGGATCCTTCCTGGACTCCACTTTAGCTTTCGGCTTGGCTGTGCTTTTTCCAAAAGATGTTGGAAAGAACTTTGCAAAGTCACTGTCCTACGATGTCAGTTGTGGTACAAATTGTCAGTTTTGTTGCAACATTTATCTTCATAGTTGGGATAGCTTTTTTTTTTTTTTTTTTTTTTCCTCACGTACATCCATTTGGTGCTTAGTTTAAACGTTAAAGAGAATGAAGAGAGTGAAGAGAGTGAAGAGAGTGAAGAGAGTGAAGAGAGTGAAGAAAATGTTTTTTATTTAGTGACGTAGGTAGGATGGATGTGAAATATACTAAAAAATAAATTTGACTTTTCGTCTCCCATCGCTTTTACATTTTTCATCATCTCTTTCGCCACAGATCTCTCTTTTTGCCTTTTTGCCATCTATACACAAGGAAAACAAGGAAAAGAAAAAATAATAAAAGATAAACACAGCTTTTCTGTATTGGTCTGAATTAGAAAAAAAAAAAAAAAAATACAGAAATCCATTTGCCATCATTTGTCAAAAACAAAAAACAACTTTTTAAGCTACTGCCTCCTCACCTTCACACTCAACAACAACACTCCCTTTGCTACAACTGTATAAGCATGATGTTCGATGAAGAAGATTTCGATTGCCCTTTGTGCATGGAGGAGCTCGACATCTCGGATAGAAATTTCCGTCCCTGCCCGTGCGGCTATCAGGTACACACATTGTCGGTTGTCAAGGAACAGCAACAAAATAGAAAGGATATCTTTTTTTTTGCTTCACTTTTCAATCTGCATTCAAAGCAATCATGAAAATAATCAGAAAGACTATATGAGTGAGGATGGGTGGCCGCAAGTCTCATAAAGTGATTTCTTTTTTACATATAATTATCAGATCTGTCGTTTCTGCTGGCATCACATTAAGGAAGACTTAAATGGGCGTTGTCCAGCCTGCAGGAGAATATACTCGGAGGAAACTGTTCAATTCACGCCCATCTCTGCTGATGAGTAAGTGTTTTTCATCCAATTGGCCTTATTTCTTCTAGTAACAGGAGACCAAGCCAACTTTGTTGTACTAAATCAGCATTCTTTTTTCTTATATAACCTAACTGCAGACTAACGATGATCAAGAATGAAAAGAAAGCAAAGGAGCGCGAGAAAAAGGAGATGGAAGCCATGAATAGGAAGCATCTTTCTAACATGCGTGTGGTCCAGAAGAGCCTAGTGTATGTGATTGGTCTCCCTGCTAAACTTGCCAACGATGAGGTGAGACCAAGATCTAAACTAATACCTTTTTGATTCTAAGATGTCAATTTACACAATCACTGTCTCACAAATTGACACAAAGCGATTTTTTAAATTTTTATCAGCATACATTAAGGCAACATGAGTATTTTGGACAATATGGCAAGATTGCCAAGGTCGTAATCAACCGGAGAAATGCCACAACATCGTCAGGATCTTTAGGTCAAGGCAGTGTGGGTGTATACATTACGTATGTGCGGAAGGAAGATGCCACAAAGGCAATAGCAGCAATTGACGGTAGTGTTTGGGATGGCAAAATCTTGAGGTAAGAGTTCCCAAGTGTTTGTCAACTTGCTATAAATATTCTGAAGAACCTAAATATCATGGAGAGACAGGACCCATGGACGGAATTACCTGCGGGTCGAAAGCAAGATGTATCCGTACAGTTTGCAAAGCTTTTTCTTTTTACTTTTTTATTCTTCCTAATTTGCAGCTACTTGGCTTTCACTTTTTTTTCTCCGTCACATGCACCTAAGCTTGATTATAATCAGGACCTGATGTGAGGATTTTGTTCATCCACTTTTCTTTTCTCTAGGGCATCATACGGAACCACAAAGTACTGTACTTATTACCTTCGTGGCATGACCTGTCAAAACCCAGGATGCATGTATTTGCACGAGCCTGGAGAGGATGCTGATAGCTTCACTAAAGAAGATCTTGCAGTGGGGTAAAAATTTTATTTCTTTATATTCATATGATACTTAAGTTATCAAATTACGTTCTGAAGACAAGTACTAATTGCTTAATAACATTATATAACTTTCATGTTTCTCAAAATAGCAAGCACCATCATCATGATCACAGTTCATCTCATGATTCATACGGTCATAAGCATAATAACTCCGGACGCCCATCCGTGCCTACTCATGGATCAGGTCCATCTTTAACGCCAAAGTCAAGGCCAGCGACAGTGTCATCTTTCCACTCAAATGCATCGTCACTTTCAGATTGGCCAGCACCAGGAGGCGACAGACCTTCGCATGATGACAAGGAAAAGGAAAAAGATAAAGATAAAGACAAAGAAGAAGAAGTGTCGCTTCTCCCAGCAACAGCCTCCTGGGCAAAGATAGGTAGCAATCCATCAACACCAACTCTAAATAATACTGCGGCTCGGAAGTTAGAAGGCCCTCCACCTTTGCGGCCAAAGGGGTCAGTATCCTCAATGATTACAGGAGCTGTTGTCAACAATGTGAAGCGGAAAGAGATCAATTATGTTAGAGATGGACCCCTTATAGATGGTGAGTCATTTTTATTGCTGGTATTTTCATTTAAACGTGTTTATTTTCTTAGTATATGGCTTTTATGGCTCATAATTAAACTTTAATGTAAAATCTTGTATCAGATTCACCTACACCAGCAGAGGCATTAGCTCTTGAAGCAGCGGCCAGACAACAGATGCTTCAAGAGCAGCGACAGCTTCAAGAACAACAACGGAAGCAACAATTGCTCTTACAGAAGCAACAACAAGAGGCAGAGCAACAAGCAGAATTACTTAAACAAAAACTTAAAAAGCAAAGGGAGCTGGAGCTGGAACAAGAGCAGCTGGAACTGCAGAAAAAGAAGCAACAGCAGGAGATGGAGTTGAAATTGCAAAAGCAGAAAGAGAAGGAGCAGCAGCGAAAGGAACAGGAACGACTAGAGCAGCTGCAAAGAGAAAAGGAGGAACAGGAAAAGGCTCGCAGAGAGAAGGAGTTAAAAGAGGAACAAGAACGCAAGGAGCAGAAAGAGCGGCAAGAAAGAGAGGAGAAAGAACGGTTAGAAAAGGAAAGATTAGAGAAAGAAAGATTAGAGAAAGAAAGATTAGAGAAAGAAAGATTAGAGAAAGAAAGATTAGAGAAAGAAAGACTGCAAAAAGAACAAGAACGAGAAGAGAGAGAGCGGAAGGAAAGAGAGGAACGAGAAAAGCAGGAACGGGAAGAGCAGGAGCGAAAAGACAAAGAAGCTCGCGAGGAGCAACAGAGAAAGGAGCGTGAGGAGCAATTGAGAAAAGAACGTGAAGAACAATTGAGGAAAGAACGCGAAGAACAAGAGAAAATGGAACGTGAGGAACGTGAGGAGCGAGAGAGGAAGGAGCGTGAAGAGCAAGAGAGGAAGGAACGTGAGGAACGTGAGCATCATAAGAAGCAGGCGCAGTTGGTACAGAACCAGCCCGTACTTCCCTTGGGCTCATTCACGTTCAATCCAGATGCGTCACTAGCAACTCTTCCTGCGGCTTTTAGCAACCCAGATGGAGACTCTGCAATCCGTCCCGAAGTGGCTGGCCCATTCGGTTTGGACTCGTTAGTTCTCTCAAGCTTCCCTCTCTCACCCACACACTATACTGGCTCCTTCAATCCATTTTCATTAGAGGATGAGCCTCTCATGCGCAGACCCACCGCATCATCAGCTAGGTCATATCTCGATGATTCGGATTACGATCCTACCATGGGTCACAATCGTCCTTTGGGACCTCCTATCCCAGGCAAGCCAAGGCAGGCTTCTCGGTTTGGATTTGCTATTGACCATCAGTACTCAGACTCGCTTGCGCGCGAAGAGCAATCCGATAGGACAGCCAACGTACAATCAATGCAGGATGGCTTCCGAGCACTTTTTCCTAATGTTAATATCAGCTTTGGTCAGTCCAATAACGCATTGCCACATAATCAACACCAGCAACAGTTGCATTCCTTACATCAACAGCATCATCAACCTCAGCATCAGCTCCAATACCAAGTTCCATCTATTCCTAACCATTCAGATGTCCAAAATGCCAACATGTGGACTAGCAGTGATAAGCAAGAGAGTGCTGTCTTCCAGAGGAGCATGAATCAGCTTAATATAGACCGGATGCTTGCAATCCCTAATCCTCGTATGGCAGAGTATCACCAACAACATTCACAACAGCACAATGGACCTCCAGGCTTGGCGCACAGCAACATGACACCAACTATGATGAAGTCTCCCCCCCCAGGCTTAGAGAACTTTGCGCGCTGGCCCTTACCCCACCACCACCACCAGCAGCAGCAACAGCAGCAACAGTTTCAACAGCATTTGCAAATGCAAATGCAGCAGGCACAGCGCCCTCATCAAGACTCTCGACTTGGCAATTGGACATCAGACAATAATGTGGGTAGTCAGAACCTGGGAAATCGTAATAGTCAAGATAACGCACAGGACTTTTTTGGAGCCTTCTTGAAGGCAGCTGCAGCTGCTCCTCCTTCAACCCATCAGTCTTCTCCTATTACTAACTCAACGGGTCTTTCTACCTCGATGGCTTTTCAGGATCCTGCCATCATGTCGGCCCGAATCTCATCTTCAAACATCTCTAGACAACCACTTGTAGAAACACTCCAGCCGTCTTACACAGTAGCGCCTGGTACATTTAATTCCATGGGCTATGGCCCTGGTTCGGGTATGATTTTTGAATCTGATGACAGCATTTTGTTCAGCGTTGGACAGAGGATCGGAATATTTAATTTACATTCTTTTCGCCTTGTATTTGCCTTCTAGACATGGCTGGTAGGGCTGGCCTTAACCATACTAGTTCGCCTCTTCAACAGTTCGGATTGGGACCAAAGCGCATGGAGGTATTTTTTTTTTTTTTTTTTTTTGATATTGCTTGATTTCATTGCGGCTTTTAATATGTCCGTTTATTGGATTTTTGAATTATCGTATCCTGTTGGGTTCTTAGAATTACCCCCCAATTAAACCCAATGGTATGGAACCCTACCCTATGGTGTTCGGACTGGGAGAATCACCTCTAATGAATACAATTAACTCGGCAGCATCGGCGCGAGCCGCCAAGGTTAAATCAGACCTACTTATGGGATTAAATGCAGGGATCCGACCTGACCGGCTTAATATGAAGGATCAATCCTTACAATCTCAAACACAACAATACACTCAACTGACAGATGAGCACAACAACATACTTAATAGCCTTAACGGTGGACTGAGGACAGGCTCTCCCATTGATGGCAACGCAAACAGCGGCGCGCCTCCTATCAGTGGTGAATACTCCGGCGTGAGTAGTGGGTTCGCGAGCACTAGTTTGAATACACCCATGATTTCCTTGCCCCTGTCTTCTACTCCTTTAACGACATCATCAGCTGCTATCTCGGTCTCCGGTCCCCCTCCCGGGCTCAGTCTGCCAACCGTCAACAGTAATAACGCCGCCGACAGCAATAGTAGTAAGGACAACGATAATAATGTCAATGACAACAGCAACGGTGGAAATGGGAGTACTGTGGCTACATCATATATGAATATCACCGGCCCAAACAACAATAACACTAATACCACTAAGCCAATTGATATTGCAAGCATGATGAGTGTTCTGGATTTTTTTGGCTCTTCAACTTCCGTGGCAATGTCATCGCCAAACAATTGGGTACCTTCCGCGGCTAATGGTACTGGATTGATTGGACATCACTATCAACAGCAACAACATCAGCAACAACATCAGCAACACCATCCACATCGACCTCGAGATATGACGTTTATTCAAGGAGGACCAGGGTTATTGCCCAATCGCGAGTCTTTTCAGACAGGACTAGGGTTCGGTATGGACGCTGGACAGCATCCTCAGCAACATCAGTTCCAACATCAGGCACAGTTGCAGCACCATTTTCTTCAGCGACAGCACCAACAGCACCAACAGCACCAACAGCAGCAGCAGCAGCAGCGGATGCTTGGTAACTTGGATATGATAAACGGAACGGGGTACGGCAATGGCCCGGGAAACGACAGTAATGGAAGCAACACCAATACTAACACCGCAGAATCAACTCCACAATTAAGTCATGTTAGTGAATCAGATGTCAGTGCTGCAGCGAATGCGCGAAGTGTTGAAGATCTGGAGCTTCAAGTGATCAATGCAAAGATGGAGACTCAGATGTTGGAGAACCAACTCAATGCAGTGATCAAGCGTAATCGTCGTAAGCTCTATGCCTAAAATGATATACTAGTAGGAAGTCTCAAATAAAATAAAGATTACTACCCATAGAAGCCCATCCAAAGATCTGTTACCTTCTGAGATTATGGCTCACTACCGAGAAATCCAATGCAATTAAAAATATGATTTGATGCTCTCTGTTATTATATTTTTTAAGTTGTATTATTGTTAGAGACGATCCATTGCTTTTGCCTTGAAGTATGTACAAAAATGCTAGCATTCAGCTCAGCCATGAGAACTACGAAAATAGGAGACTCGCTGTTCTTTCATGCTTGCCTTGCGTTGCTTCTCCCCTTGGATGTCATTTCTCTTATTTGGTATTTTATGACTTTGCAGTGCATCCTGATCCGAAAGTGGTCTCGACATGTCTGTCAAGTTAACACAGTTGTCCAGGATACAGAAGAGAGAGCCCATTGGTAGACGTTATGTGAATCCGCTTTAATGTTACACGTAGAAAATTCAAAAAAAAAAAAAAACGTGATTTTGTAAAAGTTTAGAGAACTCCACAGACGCCGTGTTTCTTGTTCCATTGTTCATCAGTTCTGCAAGCAAATTAGCACATTATCATGGACAGGACTGCAGAATACAAAGCAGCGGTCAGCTCATTGCTCAATAGAGGTACACCCTCTCGACAGCACCACAGTAATGCATATAGTAATCATCCTGCACGTAAGGGGAAGGAAGCTGCAGCCTATGCAGAATTCTCCAAATTGGCTTCATCCATCGGACATGACATCAAAGAAACCTCAGAGAAATTGGAGAAGTTGAAAAAATGCAAGTACCACAAGTCTTATTCATCAGAATATATCTGAGTCAACCCTTTCATTCGAGGATATGAAGTATTCAACTCTTTCAGTCAAATTAAAGCTTTTCGTTATCCAACTTTATTTTATATATCGATAGTGGTCAAAAGAAAAGCACTTTTTGACGATCGACCTGTTGAAATCTCGGTATGGAGGAAGCATGTGTAAAGCATGCGTGGAAGACCAGGCAGAGAGATAAATGAACTACCTCCTAATTTCTAACTTTAATTTCTTCGCATTGGTAGGAATTGACCTACGTTATCAAGCAGGATCTTTCACGTCTCAATGCTCAAACAATGGCACTTCAGAAACACGTCCGAGCTACAGCTGCCAAAGCCAACCGATCCACACGTCAAATGGACGAACACTCAACTAATTTGGTCATCATCTTGCAGTCACGACTTGCTAACACGAGTATGGGCTTTAAAGAAGCGTTGGAAATCAGATCAGAGGTATAGTTAAGAATAAAAAAAGAGGAGGGGGAAAGGGGGATTTATTTCAATGCTCTGTTTGTATTGACTTCCGTTGAAAATAATTTTATACTAGAGTATGCAAGCGTCGAAAAAGAGACAGGATCAGCTCTTACAGTCTGGACAGCCACATCCAGGGCAGTCTCCGCCTCAGGGGTTTGCAGGGCAACAACAGAATGGACACCAACAATCGCTACAACTTCCTCAGACAGGAATTCTGTCATCTCTTCGTAATACTACAAAATCACCTATTGGACTTGTCCCGACGTCTGCGTCACCGCCTCAGGCCTTTAGTAGCTACACCAATGATCATAGCAATAATATACCCCAGAGTGGAAGGACATCTCCATTCATGCAACCCTTACCAAGTAATCCCAATCAGCTACCTTTATCATCAGTATCATCTCAATCATCGCCATATCAACAATATCAAATAAGTGGGTCTTCTGATATAGACCCATATAGTGGTAGTAGTATGCACAGAAGGAAAGGTAGAACAGATGACTATCATGGACAAAGCCAGCACTATTATGAGGATGATTCAGAGTCTGCAGGACCAGCGTCAATGCTATTCCAACAGCAACAGCATGCACCCCATGTAGAACAATATGTCCAAAATAGGTCAACTGCCATCGAAGCCGTAGAATCGACGCTCCAGGAACTTGGAGGAATCTTTCAACAACTAGCGCAGATGGTTGCAGAGCAACGAGATACTATCCAAAGGTAAAAAAAAAAAAAAAAAAAAAAAAGTGGATTTATCTTACAGATCATAGAAAGCATTTCACTGACATGAACTTTCTTCTTGATGAATAGGATTGAGGCAAATACAGATGATATTGAGCTTAACATTAATGAGGCACAGAATCAGCTTCTTCGCTACTATCGCAACATTTCATCCGATCGATGGCTAATGATCAAGCTCTTTTTAACCATTATCTTTGTGTTTCTAGTTATGTCGCTACTCTCTTAATAATAATGATAATGATAACGACAATGGTGTAATAAAAATTAAAATAAAAATAAAAGTTAAAATAAAATGAAATAAAAAGAAATAAAAAAAAAAAAGCTATCCTGAACAAAGCAACGTTTGTATTCGCGAATTGACGCCCAGATAGGTAAACGGAGATTTAAAATAGGCAGAGTATACCCAATCATCATTGGTGAAGAGAAAGAAAGAGTTGAAAGCATGATTCTAAAGGCCGTACATACTAATAGTGAATGAATAACAAAGAGTCTGCTATTTATCCATATAATGCTTATAATAATCAGTTGCTGCCGCATCTTCTCCCAACATTCTTTCCTTTCAGACTTCTGATGTAATCAAGTCTTGGAATGTTTTGATCTGGTAGCCGGATTGCTGGAAATTGGCAATATTGTCACGTATTTCCGAATTTCTATTCCTCTGCTACTTCTATAGTACATGTATGGTTCCTAGTGTCTACCTAGTTCTTGAGTAAAACATTCTTCCCCGACACTTTAGATTATTAACCTTAACATCTATTTTGCACGTTATTAGGAAGATGACTGCGCAAGTAAAATCAAAAAAACTAAAAGGATCTGATATGGGGGGTGAATCTTCATTGAGAAGGAAGACATGCTTCTATCCACCAAAGGGAGCAGTAAGGAAATTAAGTCGGCCTTCAAAGCAAAACTGGATTTTCGGTAGTCGCTTACATCACCCATGATCAATACAAATGGCAAAAATAAAATCATCTGCGGGTGCTCTCGTATGTGGACGCGGGATAGTTGTTTCCCATTTATATACTTTGACAAGAATGGAAGATACATGGTACTATTTAGCTCTCTTGGATTCAAGAATCTTCCAGGGTTGGATTGTCGGATTCGAAGCATTATCTTTGATGATTTAGTGTGTTTGCATCCAACGTACAGAAATGCTACGTTGGTGAACTCTGAAAGATGCAAATCTCTCTTCATTGAATTGGAAAATGCAAATGTCTTGAGAGCAATGATGAAGGTAGATACCTATTAAAGCCTGAGTACTGTTCAAGTACATCTGGAAGAGACCTTGAGTGTTTAATCGCTCGATGGAGGTCGACACACTGTTTAACGCAGATTGGTGAACCTTATTGGACGTTATGCAAAATGGCACAAGATAGAATGTCATTCAACACAACTTAATTGACAGGCAGACAAGATTGATGGTGGTTTTATTCGGGTGTTTAATTCCCCACTCTTTTACTCTTCTTCACTTCTTTCTCTTTTCTTTTTCTTTGCCTCCCCATCTCCCTTAAAAGAAGCACAAGGAGAAAATAACTAAAGGGAAGCCCAAATTTCCTCCGCTCTCAGTAACTTCTCTATTTAAATCTGGCCTTGTAGTACAGGTTAGATTAAATAGTAAAAGACTGCATTTGTTCACTCTATTCTTTCTTGAATGGGTATCTGGCGCTGTCAGTCCAAAGGAAGCTGGGTAACAAAAAAAAAAAAAAAAAAAAAAAGAGTTGTGGTCCATTGCTTAAATGTAATTGCAAATCATGAGAAATGTCTTGACGCATTACTGAATCAAACTAATCTCTCGAATCTCATTCATCGAACCCTATTGCTATTTTGTCTTGTAGGGTCCGATGGACCCTGAATGCCCTGCAGATTTCACTCCCTGTTTTGAAGATAGTGTTCTGAAGGCTCTGCCACTTATTTTCCTACTCTTAGTGGGCATTCCAAGGCTGATCATACTCTTGAAGCGAGATAGCTTGAGCTACCCTTGTAAAACAGTGGCACACAAGATCAAGCTGGTAAGGTCTTGTAGACAATACCCATGTTGTGTTTATACATCACAATTGTACATCATCAAAAAAAAAAAAAAAAAAAAAAAAAAAAAAGGTGCAAGGAACAACTTAGTATTCGATCAATCAAATGAGAGAATTCTTCCATGGAATCAATCAGTCGAGTTTAGTCTGTTTTTCTTGTTTATCTGTGCTTGAATTTTTTTTTTTTTTTTTTTTTTCTGATGAATTGCTTAGACAGATCTGATAACTTTAATGCAATTGTTTTTTATATTGTCTTTCAAAAATGACATAGGTGTCTATTCACTTGTTGATTTTCCTCTCCTTCGCCGTGCTCATTCTTCAACAATATCTCTTCTTCGCTGACCCATCGCTACGTCATACCCCAGATGTGCAGCAGCAACAACAACAGGAACAACAGCAATACCAACAGACCTTTGGTAGTCATAGTAACGATAGTAACACTGTTGGAATTGAATTCTTGGTCTCACTGACTGAATTATTGGGATTGAATTTCGCCCTTGTCTTAACTGTACAAGAAAACAAACGATCCTTTTTGGCATCCAACACACTCCTAATCTTTTGGCTCCTTAGTTCTTTGGTCTCTGCTATCAAACTTCACACTCTTGCCTCTAGCTGTCCTGGTGGTGACAACAATGGGATCAACAGCAATGGAGGATTCTTTAACTTTGCTGTGTTTAAAGGAAATGATCATTCAGAGATATCATGGTCATCCCTGATAGTTGAACAAGTGATTGTTTCTACAAGACTGATTCTTGCTCTACTCGTATTCGCGTTGGAGTGTATCAGAAAGGATACAAGGATTCAACTTGGAGATGAGAGCGAACTTGTAAGTTTTTTTTTTGAAAGGCATGACAGAATAAAAATACCGTTACATGGGGTCAGTTTGGCGTCTTGTATTATGTTATGCTAAAAGTCATTTTATTAATCAATTCTCACTGGTTAATTTTCCATACGAATATATCAACTTAGGAAACCTGTCCGGAAGAAGAAGCCAACATTTTCTCACATATTTCTTTCCATTGGGTAACAGATCTGATGCGTAAAGGATATATAAAACCGCTAACTATGGACGACCTCTGGGGACTACGCAGGAAAGACCGCTCCCAACATGTCTCAAGAACATTTGTTGAGATTTGGGGAAAGGAGATCAAGAAAAAAAAGTAATTTAAATACAAATATAACTCTTCTTCTATAACAGTTAGAATGTTAAATCTAACATCTATTTTTTGTTTGTTTGTTTGTTTAGACCTAGCCTCCCATGGGCGCTGACTAAAGCATTCGGCGGACCTTTTTTTGTTGGCGGCGTGTTGAAGCTCATCAGTGATTGCTTAAGTTTTGTTCAACCTTTGCTTTTACGTGAAATGTTGCGGTTTGTGATCAGTTACAAGACTGATACCCCCCAGCCTCTCTATCGTGGATATTACATCGCTGGAGCCATGTTCTGTTGCGGTCTGCTCCAGTCGGCAGTTACGAGCCAGTACTTCCACCAGTGTATCCGCACCGGAATGCATTTTCGCACGGCAATGGTCACAGCTCTATATCAAAAGTCAATGCGTCTGTCTAATTCCGCTAGACACGAGTCTACAGTACGTTATTTCTTTTAAAACTTTCTGACTTATGTCCAACTATATAGGTATGGAGTGATAGAGTGATTGATTAGATAGCTCTCATCAACTTTTTTGTTCTATAGGTGGGGGAGATTGTGAACCACATGTCAATTGACGCACAGCGCATCCAGGATCTTATTTCCTATCTTCATGTCCTCTGGTCTGGTATCTTCCAAATCAGTGTGACCCTCTATCTGCTTTACTTGACCTTGGGCTGGGCCACCTTTGCAGGATTAGGTGTGATGATCTTAATGATCCCTCTGAATGCTCGCCTAGGTATCATTCAACAACGGTTTCAGGAGAAACACATGACGTACAAGGATAGCCGTATCAAACTTATGAACGAGCTCTTGAACGGAATTCGAGTCATAAAGTTGTATGCTTGGGAAGGCACCTTCTTACAAAAGATTCTCTCAGTCCGAAATGACCAAGAGCTGAGGATCATGAAAAAACTGGGCTATATTTCGGCGATTCAAATGTTCACCTGGGCTTCGACCCCAGTCTTGGTCAGTTTGCTCAACTTTGCCGTCTATACAATGGTCATGAAGAAGACCCTCACTACCGATATCTTGTTCGCGGCTATCGCCTTGTTTAATTTATTGCAATTCCCGTTGTCCGCCTTGCCATGGGTTATCAGGTAAACTAATAAGAGGAAATCGATAAGAGGGATGATGCATATCTTTGGAAACTAATAAATATTTTGTTCTTGCCTGATTTTGCACCCCATCTAAGCTCTGTTGTTGATGCACGAGTGTCTTTCATTCGTGTCCAAAAATTCTTACAAAGTGCAGAGGTGGACCCTGACGCTATTATTGTCGAGGATCGCAGTCGCCAGTCCTCATCATCAAATCAAGATGCTGCTGACAAGTATGCGCTTCTCGCCACAGACGCCTCTTACAGTTGGTATAAGAGTTCACCTCCTGTCGTTTCCGGCATCAACTTGGCTCTCAAACAAGATTGCCTTCTCAGTGTCATTGGTCGTGTTGGCTCAGGAAAGAGTTCGCTCATTGCTGCGCTTTGTGGAGACCTGGAGCATGTCGCTGGTGAGATCCGTGTCCGGGGATCTATTGCCTTGGTTCCACAGCAAGCTTGGATCATGAACGACACTTTACGTGCCAATATCCTGTTTGGAGCTGCTTATGACCCTGTGTATTATCAAAAGACCATCGAGGCATGTTGCCTTCAGCAGGATTTCGAGATGCTGTTAGGAGGAGACATGACTGAGATTGGAGAGCGCGGGATCAACTTATCGGGAGGACAAAAGGCCCGCATCTCACTTGCACGTGCAGTGTATGCACGAGCAGACATCTATCTGCTTGATGATCCTTTGTCGGCTGTGGATGCACATGTTGGTCGGACGATCTTTGATAAGGTAATTGGGCCCAGAGGGTTGTTGGCAGGCAAGGTACGAGTATTTGTGACACATCAAATACAGTACCTGGCTCAATCGACCACAATTCTAATGTTGCGTGAAGGCAAAGTGGTGGAGCAAGGAAATTTCCAAGAGCTCATGAATAAAAAGGCAGACGTTTTTCAGCTGATCTCCGAGTTTGGGCGGGATAAAGGTCATCGCAACAAACAGCAAGGGGCAATTGACGGCTCAAGTGAGGTGGAAAATGAGAATGACGTTGTAACTGCCACTGCCACACCATCTTCCACTCGTCGTGGAAGCATATCCAGCATTCGTAGCTCTAGAACAGCGCGCAGATCTTCCACTGAATCCAGCAGAGATGGTGCCAATGTGAGAAAAGGTGCTGAAGTTGATAAAGATAAAAAAAATAACATTATTGTGGAGGAGGAGATGAAGCAAGGTAGCGTCCACAGAGTCGTTTACTGGGCTTACGCCAAGGCATGTTCTTTCACTGGAGTGCTTTTCTATATCATCTCCATGGTATGCTCTCAATCTACCCAGATTGGCATGTCTCTCTGGTTGACGTACTGGAGTCGACAATATGACGCCAGCAAAGGTGGTGATGACAGTAAACCTCCGCCAGAGGCTCATGATGCTTTGTTCTATATTGGAGTCTATGCGTTCTTGGGCCTGACTTATACCCTCCTAACAGTTTTCCAGACCATCATCCTTCAAGTCTACTGTGCTATTCGAGCCTCACGCGTCTTGCACGAAAAGATGTTCCGGAGCGTCTTGCGATCTCCCATGAGCTTTTTCGACACAACGCCTTTGGGGCGAATCTTGAATCGGTTCAGCAAGGATCAATCAACTATTGACGAGGTCTTGCCTCGATCCTTCTGGAGCTTTGCTCATAATGTGTTTGGAGTAATGACGATCTTGACAGTGATCCTATTCTCAACTCCAGCCTTAATTATTGTGATTATCCCATTTACTTTATTTTATGTGTGGTTGCAACGTTACTTCTTGGCAACATCACGAGAGCTCAGAAGGCTGGATTCTGTGTCTCGATCACCCATATTTGCTCACTTCCAAGAGACGTTGGGCGGCATCAGTACAATTCGTGCATACCGACAGCAGGATCGGTTTATCCATGGCAATGAGTCTCGCTTAGACAAGAACTTGAGGGCATTTTACCCGAGCGCTGCTGGCAACCGCTGGCTTGCATTCCGTTTAGAGTGCCTGAGTTCAGTAATTATCTTTGGATCTGCATTCTTGTCAGTTGTGTCATTGTCCAAACACCTTCCCGTGGATCCTGGTCTTGTGGGTCTCTCACTGACATATGCGTTGAATATTACTCAGACTTTGAACTGGATGATCAGAATGTACACTGAAGTTGAGACCAACATTGTGGCAGTCGAGCGTTTGCAGGAGTACGTGAACCTCCCTTCAGAAGCTCCAGAAATTATTGAAGATCATCGCCCACCTCAGGAGTGGCCAGACCATGGTCAGATTGAATTTAAGGACTATGAGACTCGTTATCGCCCTGGCCTTGAGTTGGTCCTCCGAGGCGTCAACTGCTTGATTCGACCGCGTGAAAAGATCGGAATTTGTGGCCGCACAGGTGCTGGTAAATCTAGCTTGACATTGTCGCTCTTCAGAATCATTGAGGCTGTCAAGGGTCAGATCTTTGTGGATGGCATTGATATCTCGACTTTAGGACTATATGATGTCCGATCTCGATTCTCGATCATTCCTCAAGATCCTGTTCTGTTCGCTGGTACTATCCGTTTCAACCTGGATCCGCTCGGTACGAAATCTGATTTGGAGCTTTGGCAAGCTTTGGAAGATTCATACCTTAAGGATTATGTAATGACTATGGAGGGAGGATTAAATGCGATGGTTTTGGAAGGAGGTGATAACTTCTCAGTGGGACAACGCCAATTAATATGCCTCGCACGTGCACTGCTCCGTAAGACCAGCGTCTTAGTTCTTGATGAGGCCACAGCAGCGATTGATCTTGAGACCGATGCCTTAGTCCAAGCAATTATCCGACAGAAGCTCAAGGACTGTACAATTTTGACGATTGCTCATCGAATCGACACAGTGATGGATAGTGATCGAATCATGGTTTTGGATCAAGGACGAGTAGCCGAATTTGATTCTCCAAAGAAATTGTTGGAGAATCCACAATCAATGTTCTACTCCTTGGCCAGAGAGTCGGGTAACCATTAGCTTCCTTTTTTTTTTTTCTTGGAACGAGGATTAAGAGAGAGATGTGGAGCTGGGACGTGGAGAAGTATCTATAGCGTGATTTGTTTTGCTTTTTCATTTTGACCTCCTTTCTTAAGCTAGCTCTCCCGATTTTTTTTTTTTATCTTGTTTTTAAGATGGGCAAAGACTAAAAAAAGCAATAGATGCGTATTCTACCAGGTCTATGGATCTGTGAATAATAATAATAACGATAATTATAAATTCAGGTCTCCCGACTTTCTTCTATGCATTGTGATCAAAGTTCGATAGAAAAGATGTACAAAAACCATTCTGCCAATAAGGAAGAGTATCAAGACTAAGGATTGCGACTGTTGATGGAAGCCAATGACGCTTCTCGCTCTTCGCTACCTTTGACGTACCTGCCCTGAGGACAAGCGCGATTTTTACTTTCTTATTGCCTGCATCGTGTCTCGCAGCCCCTCTTTTTTTGTTATTAATTTTCTGTGTCGGATTTGATTGTGATAAAACCACAGAAGGAGGAAGACCCTTTCTTGCTTCCATGAGTCTCCAACAGAATCGACTCCGGCCCCCTTCAATGATCAAATGCAACCATGTCCGTATCCATACCCATTGGCTAATAGCCAGGATGTGGTCAAAAAGACAAGGTAGAAAAAAAAAAGCCTCATATCCATTGCAATACTGAAAAGCACCTCTAACTATTAAACAAACGCTATAACTCCATACTCCATGTAACGATAAATATACTTTTATATTACTGTTATTATAGTTATTGCAGTCAGTAGCGCTGTTATTATTATTATTAGTGTAGCATTCCCCCCAACTTCAGAAATCTTCCTGATCTTCAGTGTATAAATACATGCTTTTCCAGTGATACTCTCAATTCTTTCTCTTTATTTATTTCCTTTCTTTTTGTTGTCGTTTCCGTATCTACACTCTACAACAGCTACTTTATCACTACTGTTACAATTTTATATTGGCTAAATCGACATCAAGAACAAAAGAAAGTCAACAAGAAAAAAAAAATGAATCCTGCTCTCACCTTTGCTTCTATCGCTCCCTTGGCCTCACCAGCTGACATGAATTGGGCCAATGTCATGGCAATGGCAGAAGAGAGATATGAAAATTGGGTCGCCACTGCTACTGACCCTGCAGCTGGTTCCGCATTTGAGTCTGCAATAGTTACAGGAACCGCGAACACCAACAGTGCTTCTCTAGTAAAACATCCTCAGGTTACGGCCACTCCGTTAGCGACTCCTATTATTGCGCCAAATACACCAAATGCTGCCACAAGCAACCCGGCTCGGAAGCCCACCCCAAGCGTTACTTCTGCGAAAACCTCCTCAGCAGCGCCCTCCAATATGCAGAATATGCAGAGAAAGCTTTCTACAGTGGCGTTGATCTTGGCTATCGTACCATTCATCACGAGTACTTTGTAACATCCCCATATACTATTGTTTCTACTATTATATTTTCATCCTATAGATAAACTTAGCCATATGAATGCGTGTCTCGAGTAGCATTTTTATTGTTCAATGTATTTACATCCGTGTAACACACAATTTGAGATGGAAGACTTCATATTTTACTGTATCATTAAATCATACTTATATTTCTCTTCCCTGCATGTGAGGCACCATGAAGAAGCCCAAGCGCCTACTTTGACAGTTTTGAAACCTTTCTCATTCGAATATGAGGAAATGGTTTGTATGTTTGGGGCCTATCGTAATGATTCTTATGTATGGCATGGCTTCAGCAATATGCGTGAAAAAAAAAAAAAAAAAAAAAAAAAAAAAAAAAACAGATGATCCCTATCGGCCTACTGTGCTTGGTCAAGGCTCTTCATAAAGTTGATCATGGCCTCTACTTGTGCTCGACTATCTTCTTTTGCAAGGCCAGCTCCCCTTGAAGATGCTGGCTCTTGGCCTTGGGTTGCTCTACTTTACCCTTGACCGTCTCTCGTTGCTGTACCGTTTCCCTCAGCAGTTTCAGAGCTGAAGCTGCTCTGTGGTATTCTGAGTCTGTCTCGTAATGTTTTCTGATAAGATACACCTGGACCATCTGAGGTTGGCTGACATTGGTACTAGCTGCTTCTGCTGCTGTGGATGTCTAGAGTAGGATCACAGCATTAACTACAGTACCCTCGTTATCAATCATTGAGTTCTGCGATGACTTATTATCCATTAATTTACCAGTTTCGGCCCTGGTTAATGTGATGCTCCTACTACCTTTAGTTTTTTCAGTACTGAAGTAACTTCCGTTCCTACGGATACAGGTAACTTCTGGGTAATATCGACTCATATGCTCTCATCTGCATGCTCTATAGCCTTTGAGTGGGCTAAATTTCAACCTTCTCGGCTTGAATAGCTTCATCCTTGGCATCCAGGAACATTCTTTGGTTGCTGTGTCCTCATTAGCGGCTAATTCCCACCTGATGCATGGGTCCTTTCTCTTCCTGCAGTTGATCCATTCGCACCATGTTTTTGTTCCTTAATCTAATATGTTTTGCCAAAATAAAAAAGTTTGCAAATAATTAATAACAGGCGAAAAAAAAAAAAAAAAAAAAAAAAAAAAAAAACTGTTTGGCAAGATAATTGGCATAAACCTATTACCAGTTTGCTCTTCAGACTCTCAATCCCTACCTGCAGCTATTTTACCAAATCCACATGGAACGGCTCGATAACGAAATCTTCTCATTCTTGATAGATTCCAATGCAGCTAAAGGCAAAGAATATGTGATAAGTGTCCTTTTCTGCTATATTAGAAGTATAAAAAGATAAAATAAAAATTGACACATTGATTTTTTATCTTTTGCAGCATTTAACTCTGCCTTAAAGCGAGTAAATTCTAAGTCTCTTCTCAAATAATGTACCTGTTCTTGTAAAGATCAACCATTTTGTTGTTCTTGTGCTAAGTGCTTCCTCTGCTTGTTTCAGTGGTGTATATGGCTTGAGAGTTGGGCGTGAGCCTTTTCGATCTGAATTTTGTTCCCCTCCAGATAACTTCACGATTGGACATGATCGATCGACTGTGGGACCTTTTTTCATCTTTTTTCAAGAAAATGCAGCCCCCGTTCCTTCCAAAGCTATTGAATGAGGATGTACTTAATTTGCTCTTGATACTTTGGAAAATCTAATAAGCATCCATTTGGCTATATTCCTGTCTGTTGGTTCTTTTTAATTTTATTTGTAGCTCTTTGCAGGGTGGTCTGTGCTCTTGTACCAACAGAGTTTGTTTGTTTTGGTAACAATGTGGGAGTAAAATGTACATGTACATAGTGGCAACCTTAAACAAAAATGATCTTGAGAAAGACGTCTCACTGTCTTGCTGTCTTACTGTCTTGAGAATCAGGATTGCCAGGATTGCCAGAGTTATAACATCAAATTAGACGGTATTACATATCTGTTTGGACCGTATAAAGGGCAAATTTGTTCGTTTGGTTTTCATCAGCTTCTAGTAGCATAGGAGCGTAGAAAACAATCAGCTATTGGCTCCCTGTTGCCTATACGAAACCACAGTTATGGTACATGGAAGCAATGCCAATGTTCGATACTTTTTTTTTTTTTTTTGACATGATAAACACGAACTGAAGAATTGGGATGCCAGTGAAGTAAAAAAAAAAAAAAAAAAAAAAAAAAAAAAGCAGTAATAGTCAGCAAAGACCATATATACCAAGCTATATTATCGCGATGCACCACATCCATCTTTCACTTGCCTCCACTTCTCCTCTTGGTCCATCTCTTGGCCCTCAGCCTATAGATAAATAAATCTCAAATGCCTGTCTCTTTTATTTTCCACCCTCTTTCTGATTTCTTTTTTGCTAAAGGTATATTACTAAGTCTCCAAACTGATCTAAGATAGCTGTCAATCGAGGCATTGACTTTTTTCTTTTTTTTAATCAATTAATTGCAGGCTCAAGTCCTAGTCTCTAAAATGACAGAACTAGGTTAGATCGCCAGAATAACAAGCTGTTGGCATTAGTGGGCATTGCCCCATATCAACTGCACCACTTCACTGGGATCGGTCCCGCCAAGGTCAAAACACTATCGTAGATGCGAGGCATATTTTGATCCTGATACGGTTGGTGCCTTGCACAAATGTTGTCTCGAGCGCTCAGGTGCGAGTAGTCCGGATTTGTAAGTGAAACAATCGTCGAGGTGTTGCAATTAATGCATGAGACGACTGGTTTGATTTTTCAACAGTGCTGAGTTGTGTGATGCATGAATGACATGTTTGTATTATTCTTTGTTGCAGCAGAAAATGCCTTTTGCAATCACTTGCTTTCAAAGCATTGCCTCTCTCTATTGCCTCTTACAACAACTGATCTATTTTTTTTTTTATTTTTTATTTTTTATTTTTTTATTTTTTTATTTTTTTATTTTTTCCTCTCATCTTCTCTCTCGGACTGGACTGATGTCCATTGTCCATGCGACTCATTGCAGCACCATGCACTTGACAAGGCAGACATCTCTGCTTGTTAAACATTCCCTCCAGTCCCAGTCTACCGCAGCACCTGCAGTCTCAAGATTGAGCTGGATACGGGGCAGAACACTTTTGCATCCATGTTTATACTCAACCAAAGTCAAAGGCATTACATTAACAACTACACATCTTTTATCGTCTCCTCCTCGCCCTCCTTCTCTTCTCGGATCGTTATGGCCCTTGTATCGTTCGCATCAAACACTTTCTAAAAGCAAAAGTAGTCGCTCGGTCATATCAGAGTTCAATACTGCTTCCCCTTTTACGGCCCCCACAGCCACAGCAGAAGGTCTGTTCAACACACCAGGGTCACTCCGATATCGGATCAAGCAAGGGTTATGGGTTGGTTTGGGTGTCGGCACTGTGATCTCTGCTATAGGCATTGCCTGGAGCCCCTCTTACCGGGAACAGGCAACCCTCTACAGCGCTGCACTCTTCCGATCTGCAGCGACTTTTATTACGGGGTAAGGAAGAAAGATAAAAGGACAAAGGTATTTGTTTGTTGCAACATATTTTCTGTGAAGTGAAACTAACAATAATAAAAATTTTATTTTAAAGGTGCCTATGCATGGCTGATTACAAGATTTTACACCTGCGATATGCCTCTGAAGGATACACATCAGACAAGTACAAAGCAGAGCGTAAAGTTGTTCATCAGCGCTGTGCTGATAGACTTCTGCGTCTTTGTCGGCTAAACACTGGTATTTATTGCAAAGCAGGACAGCATGTTGGTAAGTAGCTTTATATCTTTTTATTGCTTTGGTTTTTATTTTCATTATTATTATGAAATACCATGAAATACAAGCTTCAAGACGACCGTTTCCCATGACACCTGACGTTTTTACTTTTTTTCTTTTTGTTTGCTTGATTATGTACTTTCTAGCTTCTCTCACATATATTGTCCCTCAAGAGTACACTGATACGCTTTCAGTCCTTCAGGATCGGGCACCCTATAAAAGCATGAAGGAAGTTGAACAAGTTTTTTTGGAAGAATTTAATCAACGGCCATCGGATCTGTTTCGAGAGTTTGCTCCTGAACCCATGGCAGCAGCCAGCTTAGCCCAGGTTCATCGTGGTAATGTCCTATATTTATCCTTTTTATATAAATTCCCTATCCTTTTCATTTGTCTATTCTCCTGCATGCTGCAATATAACTCACATAATTTTTATTTTTTCCTATTTATTTCTTCATAGCGGTTACCATGGATGGACGACTAGCAGCAGTCAAAGTGCAGTACAACAACGTTTCTCGTCTCTTCTTGAGTATGTTGCCTGTGAGGTTTTTTCTTTATATATATATATTTTTTAAAAAAAAAAAAAAACTAATGAAATACTCCACTGCTTTTTCTTTCTCTTATACATTCTTCTTAGCTGATATGTGGACTATGCAAACGCTTTCAGACATGGTGGGCTGGCTATTCCCTGAATTTGAGTTAAGTTGGATTGTAGAGGAATTCCGTCAAAATCTCACATCTGAATTTGATTTTACAAATGAAGCCAGGTAAGAAATTTTCCTCAGCTTTTTGCGTATCAGTAACTTTTTTTTTTTTTTTTTTTTTTACATATTAGCATATCGCAATAGCTTAATCGACTCTTTTTTTATTCTAATTGTAGGAATGCTGAGGCAACAAAAGAGAGATTTAGGAACCGATCTGACTTTTATATTCCTGAGATATACTGGGACTTGTCTTCAAAAAAGATCTTGACAATGGAGTTTATTAATGGTATTAAAGTCAATGATGTTGAGGGCTTGCACAAGCTAGGTGTATCACCCAAATGGGTTCGTAATACGCTCCTCGAAGTATTTGCAGAAATGATCTATCATCATGGCGTTGTACATTGTGATCCACATGTAAGTAAAAAAAAAAAAAAAAAAAAATGCACTGGGGCAAGTAAGTCAATTCGAACTACTCATATAAAAGAGTAACGGTTTATCTTTTTTTTTTTTTTTTTTTTTTTTTTGCTACTCTTACAGCCTGGTAATATCCTTATCACAAAAGACAACTTTACTGGGAAGTGTCGCTTTGTATTACTGGATCATGGACTATATAGAACACTAGATGAAGGTTTCCGGTTCAACTATTGTCAAATGTGGCGCGCCTTAATCCTCAACGATTTTAAGCTGCTGAATCGCTCTTCCATTGCAATCGGGATTCCTGAAGAATATATTGGGTTCATCCCCCTTATCTTTATCCAACGTCCCGTCAACTCAGCTCAAAAGATTGGAGAAAGTATGACCGCTGAACAGAAGCAGGAAGTTCGGTCCACGATGAAGAATGTAACTATGGCTGACTTCTTTGAATTCCTGGAAGTCTTGCCACGTGATATGTTGCTGGTCTTTAGGACCATCAATCTTACACGAGGTATTCATAAACAACTCGGTGGTGAGAATGTGGAGCGATTTCATGTCAATGCCATGTATGCCACTAAAGGAATCTGGTCAGAGACTCGTATTGAGGAGCAAGAGCGACGAAGGAGACGAGAACAGCGGAAACAAGATCGATTGAATGGTCGCTGGGGACGTTTAGCGTCATGGTGGTATGGTGTGGAGGATAATTGGGATGAGAATAGTTCAGCAGCCACGCGAGCATATGGTAGACAGCTTGGAATAGGCCCTAGGAATCGATTTTACTTATTCGGAGACGCACCGACACTGTCGCGTAGTGTGGGATATCTCTGGGATAGTTTCTGGATGCGATGGCGATTATGGGCGGTGGAGGGTCTTCTTCGGATATGGATCTGGTGGGCAGGCAAGGATGTAGCTAAAGTGATGAATTAGTCATAGAGTAAGTAATCAGTCGCAAATAGAAAAGAAAACTCCTTCGAAATCAACTGAATGCTCTCAATGGTTGCTAAGCATAGAGTTGATTGATACACAATGCTCTAGATAAAGCAATTTGCTCATCCACACTTAGTCCTCGATGACGACGTACATTACGCACTGACATGTGTAAAGTATGGAGTCTCCTCCATCTGGCGAGGAATATCACGATAAAACCTGAAAATGAAAGACTGACCTGGGACCCCACCAATACAAATCATGGAGTTGACCGGGAAATCGCCGCAAAAAAAGCACGATGGCTGCAGATTCTTTAGTACTAGTAAGAAGCCTCGCCGAAATAATGTCATCGGTAGAAAAGGTATGACAGACAAGTGGCTCTCCTACGAAATATCATACAGCCGTAAAACGCCGAAAACGTACTTCCAAGATCTGGCGAAAACGTGAACGAAATATTCATTATCGTATTTGCTTCGATCCGCAAAATAAAAGATTTACGCACGATATGAGCTTTTTCTTCACACCAAGCTCATCACTAACAGGTAAAGGGCAGCCAACATTTGAAAAGCACAACTGGAGTAATGCGAACGAAGCATTTTATAGACTCATGAACAAAGCTGCGAGCCGACATTCGGCAACATCGACAGTGAATCCAGATCATTCTACTGAATCAAAAAAATGAATAAATAAATAAAATAGTCGTCCCTTTCCGACATACTCTTGCCAGAGGTTTTTTCTTTCTTTATTTTTTTTTTTCCGCCATGAAAGAACTGCCACAGAAGGAAGCAAACTTGTTCAAGCAGATCCTAGTAAGACTTGATAGATTAAGACAATGGTGAATGGAATGTATCTCTGAATGATTATACCAAGGATTTTCTAAGTAATTTTTTTTTTTTTTTTTTTTTTTTTTTTGGCGCGTATTAACTGCCGATCGTGAACGGTACTGACGGATATAGAAATGCTACGAGAATAAGCAATACAAGAAGGGCTTTAAGGGAGCCGAACAGATCTTAAAAAGGTTTCCAGAGCATGGAGGTACAGCAGGACAATCACATACGATCAAGCTATGCTGAGCAATTGCATTTCTGTAGCAAGTAGTAAAAAAACACGTTTTTCAATTTTCTATCTTTTTACGCGTATAGAAACACTTGCTTTGAAAGGCCTGTTCTACAACCACCTCGATAAGAAGGAAGAAGCTTATGAGTTTGTCAGGAAGGGTCTCAAACATGACGTTAAGAGCCATATCTGTAAGCCGAATGTTTTTTTTTTTTTTTATTTTTTTTTGTTTTTTGTTTTTTGTCTGTTTGTTCGTAGAAGTCCAGAGGCAATAGATGAAAACTAATCGACATGGCAATTGGATGATTTTATGTGTTTATGCTTACTATAGGTTGGCATGTTTTTGGCTTATTATATAGATCAGACAAGAACTACGAGGAGGCATTAAAGTGTTACGCTCAAGCTCTCAGAATCGACAGGGTATTTTTTTTTTTTGGTCTTATCTATAGACCTTTGGTATCAACTTGACATAATAGTCTTTATCGCGATAGGTCTGTCCATTGGTAACCAATATGCATATGTTTTGTGAAATCATAGGAGAATATTCAAATCATGCGCGACTACTCGTCACTCCAAATCCACACAAGGAATTATGAAGCGTTCGTTGACACTCGTCATCAGCTGCTTGAACTGAGACCACAGAACAGGCAGTTCTGGATCGGCTTGGCCATTGGTTACCACATGATGGGAAAGCCTGACCTCGGCGCAAAGGTTCTGGTTGCATATGAGGAAACACTCAAGGTATCTATGCAAGCTGAAACCAATAATTCCTAATACCCAATTAATTATGTACATGTATTACTCTGTTGACTAACAGCTCACTCTTATGCTTGTATGCTACCATACGTATCTTCATCAGGATATCCCAACGAAGCCTGACTATGAGCACAGCGAAATGCTTCTTTATCACAACGCTATGCTCGCTGAAACTGGTGATCTCCAGGCAGCTTTAAACCACTTGAACTCCATCGAGAAGCACGTATGCGACCTAAAGGCCATCAAAGAGAGGCGTGCAGAATATCTCTTGGGTCTTGGGCGTCATCAGGAAGCTGAGGAAGCGTACAGAATTTTGATTACACACAACCCTGACAATGTTGCATATTTTGAGGGCCTTCGCAAGAGCAAGGGACTCGGTGATGACAACCTTTCAGGCGAGAATCAGACAAAAGTGCTGGAATTACTAAAGGAGCTGCAGCAACAATATCCTCGCTCCAACATTGCGAAACGTTTGCCATTGAAATACGCCACAGGGGATGCCTTTATGGAAATTGCAGACGTGTACCTCCGCAACATGCTTAGAAAGGGTATTCCGTCGCTCTTTGTGAACATTAAAACACTTTATGCTAACAAAGAGAAGGAACAGACAGTCGAGAAACTTGTGCTCGGTTATTTGTCGGCATTAGACAAGTCAAAAAGTTTTGACAACTCTGGTAAGGAGTTTCTATTTCATAAAAAAACATATTTGCTGAAGCACTCAAGGACAATGATTAACCGTTTCACCATGTCCAATTCAACACCCTAATAGAGTCTATTGTGGAGCCACCCACTGCTCTTCTCTGGACTCTGTACTTCTTGGCTCAGCATTTTGATTTCCAACGCAACACTGATAAGGCGCTGGAACACATCAACCGCGCTATTGAACATACTCCTACTCTAGTTGAGCTTCATATGACCAAGGGACGTATTTTAAAACACTCTGGAGATTACATTGGAGCCATGAATGCTGTTAATGAGGCTCGTGAACTGGATCTACAGGACCGCTTTATTAACTCTAAGTGTACAAAGTACATGCTCCGTGCGGATAAGATGGCTGAGGCTGAGAAGACAGTTGTTCTCTTTGCGCGTGCTGATCTAGCAGATCCTTTGAATGATCTTGTTGAGATGCAAGGCATGTGGTTTTCTCTTGAATGTGGTGAGAGCCATCAACGTCAGGGCGATCTCGGACGTGCCTTAAAGCGTTTCCATCAGGTTGAGAAGGTAAATAATGGGAAAAGAGTATCTGCGACATTCTTAAATATGAAAAGTCTCACTTTTCCACTAATTCTGAAGCTAAATGGAATTAATATTGCGAATTTTTAGCATTTCAACGATTTTACTGAGGATCAATTCGACTTTCACATATATTGCTTGCGCAAGATGACCCTCAGAGCTTACGTCTCGTAAGTTTTATAGGTTTATATATATAAGTTTATAGCCCCTCCAAGTAATGTCATTTGGATTTCTCCTACTTACATGTATTTCTCTCAATTACTCCTTTAGTCTTTTGAAATTGGAGGATCAGCTACGCTCCCACCCCTATTATGTGCGCGCTGCCATCGGAGCTGTTCGATGCTATGTCACACTTTTCGATAAACCCGATGGTGCTGATCTCGAGGAGATGGAGGGTATGACCGAGGCGGAGAAGAAAAAATTCCGTAACAAGCAACGCAAGGCTGAACTCAGGGCTCAGAAAGAGGCTGAGGAAAAGAAAGCTCAAGCTGCTCAAGAGATTGTTAAGAAGGGGGGTAAAGTTGATGAAGATCCTGAGGGCTTTAAATACTCTAAGACGACGGATCCTCTTGGAGAGGCGCTCAAGTTCTTGAAGCCTTTGCAAGTGTTGGCTGCCGAGCGCATCGAAACTCATCTAATGGCCTTTGAGATCTACATTCGTAAAAGTAAGTAGAGACGCTTTTTTTATTTTATTTATTTATTTTTACTTTGTAGCCAAGACAGCACCTAACATATAGACATATTGTTTAACACTAAGCAGACAAGCTACTTTTAGCCTTGAAGGCATTGTTAAAGTCTCGCAAGATCGATCCCAACAACGCAGAGCTACATGAGCAACTTGTTCGCTTCGCTATTGCGATTCGCAAGGCTGGGGACTCAATCAAGCCTACCGTGAAGACTATGATTGATAAACATTGGGAGACTCTTTATGGAAGCAAGGTTGTGGACCTTGCCTCATTCAATGCTGCTTTCCTAGAGAAGAATAAGAGTCTAGGATCAGTCCCTCATATGGTTTCAGCTGCCATCGCAGCATCTGTGATCGATCCCAACGATAAATCCAAAGCAGAAACGATTTTATTTTCGGTAGACGAGGATAAATATGCGAAGACACGGTCATTAGAAAATTGTCTGATTGTTAAAAAGACGCTCAAGACGTTACGGTCAAGTCGCCTTAATGAGTTTACAAACAAGGCGAGTCAATGGTATCCGAAGGCAAATGCTTTTCAATCCTAAATGACAGAAGGATATTTAAGAGAATAGAATATCAATAAAAATGTAGAAAAAAAAAAAAAGGGCACTTTATTTTTTATATTTATTACTATTTAGATAGACCAACGCCTGTACGCACACATTGCTATATTGAACTAGATCCATTTGGCCTTGCACCTGGTGTGGCCGCTGCTCCGGGTGTAGTTGCATTTGATCGCTGCTGATCGCTCGACCCGTCTGACGGCGCGGAACCTGTTATGTTTGTTTGCATCTGTGTCAGGCCATGTGATTGTACTTGTGGTTGTGGTTGTGGCTGACTCTGTGAAGGAGTTACTGGTCTGGCTACCACTGCATCTTGCTCATTTTTGATTTCCACAAGAGATCCATCAGGCATGATCTCCATCCTAACAACTTTATCCTGATTTCGCAAATACTGCCAATGATAGTATTGTCGTTCATGGACAAAAGTTGCCGTATCCTGTTTAGCAAGGTGGTCACGAAACGATTTATGTTGTAACAACGTCAGAAAGTGCAAGCAATGAGGATAACTATGAAAAATGAGGAAATAAAGTAACAATATAATAAAAAGGTTAATAGGATTTTCTCCGCATACACAAAGGACATCTCTTGCTCCGCTTGAACAATTTTTTTACATGATAAATTTGGCATATTCCGGCTTTCTAAAGTATTGGAGATAGTCAAGATAACGAGCAAATGAATCCTGATTGAAATACTGTTGCTGAGCCAGATCTACCAACAGCAATAATTATAAAAAAAATAAAAAATAAAAAAAATAAAGTAATGGTACATGTCAGGGTTGTATGCTTTTTTTTTTTTCTTAAAAGAAATGGAACTGAGACTGGACAAATTGAACATACGGTGCAAGTACCATGGGTTGGCCAGACATTGTACAAACTCGAGCTCAATCTGAAAGCGCTTTAATTGTTCATATTCATCCTCTGTTTGTAGCTCCATGCTACTTTTAGAAGTCGCTGGTGGTAATGATGATGCTGCTGTTTCTTGACTCATGTTCCTTGGTGGTGAAATAAGTATATAATTAATCGCGTTTTTTTAGACAGAAAGGGCGATTTTGCCACTAAACAGTCACCACAGCAACAGACTCGTACTTGAGACCCGAGCGAGTAACTTGAGGTGTTTGTATTGCTCATTCTTTCCACATTCATTCAATGTCTTTCAACAATACCTTCTTCAAAACAGGAACTCATCACATTCTTTGTAATGTATGTATTATTAGGTCTATCAATATGTCAACAATATAACATGTATTCTACGCAGCTGACACTGAACTTCTTCTTTATTTAAAATTGCACTAGATACCGAACCTCGATGCTACTGAGTTTCCATATCCTCGGGATTTTCAGGATAGTTGGGACACAGATCATGTCCGGTTACCATGTTCTTCGTATTCAGTAAGCCGTTGGAGCCAGATTGTTCAGAGCATGACTACGCCTATCCATAACTCAAAGGAACTAACAAGGCTAATGGACCAAATGAAAGAGGATAAAGATCTTGAAGGCTGGAACACTTTTGCTCTTGAGGCCTTCTTGGATCAGAAAGCGGATCGACCTACTGTTATAAAGGCTAGTGAGTCATCAGTTACTCAACAGCTTAACAAAGATAGGAGCCCCAGGCGTGACCTAATTTTCCTGTCCATGGATATAGATGAGAAGGGCAAAAGTGGCAACGTCGCCAATAAGAATGCTATGTCAGGACGAGCGCATGATTCAGATGATGACATAATTATGAATGAAAATAACTTTGAGGAAGAAGATAGTGTGTTTGATGAGGTTCAGGATGATGGCTATGATAATAACCATGACAATAGCGCAATCGAGATTGAGGAAGCAGATTTCCTATCTAAGAATGAACGCGAGCGATTTTTCAAGGTTATATTACCAAAAATGCAGGAGCTTGTTCTACGATTACCAGAGCTTATCAAGAAACCCATCCCATTATTGAAGCAGCAAGAGGATTTGGCTATCACTCTTAGCCAAGAGCAGGTAATAACAACAACAGTAATATATATATATAAAGACTCAAAATGGTAGCAGTAGCACATTTAGATCTACAGCAAACTGACGTTATTTTATTATTATTTGTTTGCTACGTACAGATTGCTTGCTTGCTAGCTAATGCGTTCTTCAACACATTTCCGTCACGGGTTATCCCGAATCGGCGATCATACACGCACCGCGAGCGCGAGCAGGTAGATAGACAAGGAGACAAAAACAGGGGAATGGAATCGATGAACAGACAGCCGTTTTCGGAGCATCATGAATCATGGATGCGTGCTGGGAACGGACCATCAAAGCGTTATAAGAATACAGAAGGAAGAACTCTAAACGGGAGACCGTGTGATCCATATGGATCTAAGTCGAATTTGGCGTCAAAACAAAGTGGGCCAAAAGTGAATCCACTCAAAAACTCAAAAGGACAAATGTCCTTGTTTGCATATTTCGGAAGAGTGGATCCTCAAGCATCAGCAACAGAGCTGAAACCAGCATCTCCACGAGAATCCACAATCTCGTCGATTAGCCCCGAGAACGTAGATAAAACCCTGAATGAAACCAACAAGCACTATGAACATTTGAGCGATAAAAAAGAATCGTTACCCCGATACCCATCCATCAACTTTTGGAGCCTTTTCAACTCCAATGAGATAGGACGTGCCTGCACGCCTATGAATGCTGCCAAACTGCGATGTATTATCCACTACTTTGATCGCGTTACAACAGAAAGTATGTGACGTGTACAAAAGCGTATTTTACTTGAAGATTGCTATGCTTATACGCGGACTGTATACTCATAAATATAATCGATATTGTAGTGCCCCAAGGAACAGTAACATTCCATCGGCAAGTTCTGGAGTCACCAATCACTCTGAATGAAGCAGAACGTGTCAGCAGTGAGGCATTCTCCTATGTCCAAGTTCATGTTGATGTCGATAACCCACTGGAGGATGAGGCACCAAGCGGTGCGCTTCAGTTGGATTTTGCTAACAAGGTCATTGGAGGCGGTGTTTTGGGATATGTAAGTTTGTTGATATCTTAACATGATAAACCCCTCTTTTTTTTTTTTTTTTTTTTTTTTTTCATCTCTCTTTCCTTTCAAATTAATATAGGGCGCAGTTCAAGAAGAAATTAGATTCTTGATTTGCCCCGAGCTAATCACCTCGCGACTCTTCACATTGCAATTACAAGATAACGAGGCAGTATTGATCAAAGGTGCAGAGCGTTACTCAAACTATAATGGATACGCCAGCACATTCACTTGGCATTCTGATTTTGTCGATACAACCCCTAGGTAGGATACACCAGCTCAAATAATACTCTTTTGTTTCTATAGCGCCACATATTATGAATGCTTCATACTAATTTGAGAATTATTAAAATGGTTAGGGATCGATTGGGTCGTCGAAAGACTGAGATTTGCGCCATTGATGCGCTTCCCTTCAAATCAAAAGAATTGAGGCTGCGCCAATTCTCAAGACGCAATATCTTGCGAGAGGTCAACAAGGCCATAGTAGGATTCCGAAGATCAGCCATTACAGCCTCTGAATGGGGTCTTTGCCGTGCAGAAAGTCCTATGGCTAAGAATCCGCCGATCGCCACTGGTAAAGTGCATTCTATTCTATTCTATTGTTTTTTTTTTTTTTTTTTTTTTTTTTATATAAAAAAAACTATGAGCTGATATGTTCTTATGAATTTTATTCCGCGCGACTCATTGATTCAAACTATAGGCAACTGGGGCTGTGGGGCATTTGGTGGCCACTTACAGCTCAAGTTTCTGATTCAATTGATTGCGGCATCTGTGTGCGGAGGGTATTCGAGGGATGATGAAGACTTGCCGATGGGGAGGGACATTGTATACTACACGTATGGCCTCGACGATCTCGCCAAAGAAATCAAAACTTTTATGTCAAAGCTTCTCTCCAATCCTCAAGCAATCGAGCCATGTAGGTCTAAATGCTCTGTTTTGTTATTGGTATTGCCTTGAATTTGAGTTTGTCTTTTATGTATACTTATAAACTTATGGTTTACCATCCATCTCGTAGCGGTGATCTTGGATGTTATCCTACAATATCCAATAAGATCCAGTCGCGGATATATTGTTGGGCTACGCGACCAGAGTTTGCTAGATTATGTGAGCGTTGCACTCGGATTTTCGTCAGAATCATCCTATTGTGCCTTTGAATCATCCATGCCAACAATGTCCTCAATCTCGTCATTTGAGTTTTCCTAAAAGGCTATTAGGGCGTCGCAATAAATAATATAACTGCCAGCATATCTTTTTTTATGTTTATTTCTTAATGTAAAATCGATAATATTATTAAATGCCAAATGCAAATGAAGGGGAGGTTGTTTAGAGAGGAGAAAGAATTGGATGGATGCATAATAAATAAATTGATAAAAAAAAAAAAAAAGTTTCTAGATACATCAAAAATTCAATAAATAAATCCCTTCTCAGAGGTAATCTCGACCAAGGACGTCATTTCTTGGTAGATCAGCGCTCGCTGATAAATGTTCAAAATCATTCAGCGACAGGTTCTGGGTTGCTTCGAGTCCCGTATCCTCTATGCCATTATCCATTGATAGTTCATTGTTTGATATGAATGCTAGATAAAATATATATGTATACGTATTAGAAGCATATTTCTTTTTGATGGAACAAAACTAATAAAAAAAAATTAAAGGAAAGATCAACTTACAACGCCATTCAGATCGCAGGCCATCGATCAGGGCACCAGCCTGTTCAGGATTGATGGTATCATCAAATTCGACTGCAGACTTGTCTCCACCGCTCCCACCGCTCACGAATGATGCACCAGTACCAGACCCCACGCCCGCAGCACCTGAAGAACTTTGAGCATCATCTGTACAGATACGAACACGCTTTTGATCCGAAGAAGAAGTTCCTCCTCTTCCTTCTTGCTCTTGTACAGATCCTGAGGATCCAGCATGACGAGAGGCTGATGTAGTGCCAGCACTAGCACTAGCACTAGCACTAACGCCACTAGATGAATAGTGCGGTCTCCCTTCATCATCTCCCTCCTGGGAATCATCGATCCTTGATCGAATCTTCTTTACTGCATTAAAATGTTTCAAGAACCGTCGCCTCAATATAATCCTCAGTAAAGTGCTCTTGACGGTGATCACGTTGATGCGTGCATGAATCCGATCCATCTTTTGTCGATGTCGGAGCATATCACCAATCGAAAGACATTGATCATCCTCAATCAACTTGTAGTGAGCCAAAATATGAAGCATCTTTTGGAACGAGATACCCTTTTCAGGCTCAGCTTCACCTCTCTCACCACCAATTTCCTCCATTTCATAATCTCGATGAGCAGTGACAGCAGCAGTGGTGGTTGCGGTGCTAGATGGCTCTCCCACTCCATCACTACCGCCCGATGAAGGAGACCTCCTCCAACGAGAGAAAAAGCTCTTCTTTTTTCGAGTTTCGGATCCAGGGATGGGCTCCATCGACATCAGGGCTTCAACGTACAAAAAGTTATATAGCCTCCGCCGTCTTCGGACATCGGCCCTATCCAAGTTTGCAATCGCAGAGTTGAATGCTGCAAGGTTATAATCTTGTTCGAGCTTGTAAGCTAAATTGGGATGGTTAGATTGATGGTAAGGCTGAGGTGGTGATGATAATGGTGAAGATATGGGGACGGAAATTGGGCCACTGAGAGGTTTCTTGCCGTTTTTCTCATCATCCCAATTGAAATGAGTGGATCGGCGGTTCGTCTGGTTCAACATCAGGACCTTTCGAGGAGAGTTAGGGCCAGCGGCCGCAGCGTTCTTTTCCAAATCGCGTGCTGACAACTTGACGAAATTAGGCTTTACGGTCTCGAGTTTTGATTGGAGCTTAATGATTGAGTGCTCTTCATTGTAGATGCGCATATCGAATACACCTCGTAGTTTCTATCAAGCCCAATAAAGATAAAACCAAAACAAGATTAGATATATTAAGGAGGAAAAGTCGTTTTTCTGCTCAGATTTTTTTTTTTTTTTTTTTTTTTTTTTTTGAAACACTTACACTTAAGAACATAGCCAGATCCTTTGCACGAATATACCCTGTATGCTCAGTGTCTACTTCAGACCAAACACGTTTAAAACCACGAATCTCTTCACGATTGATGAGTGAGAATCCGGGCGCAATCTGATAAACGTACGAAAAGTTATGCATCACTACAACGATGAACATGTTGGTGAAGATATACATCGAAATAATATTGAAGGAGATGAAGAGTGTGTACGACCAAGGTGTCGATCCACAATCCGAGAGAAGGTAGTTCTCTGGCTTATTCACACAGCTTGGTTTCTCGACCGCAAAATCATGCATCAGGTCGTTCCATCCTTCACTATACATCAGGATAAATAAAAAAAAGGAGGCCCATTGTCAATTCAAGCATTCAGGTAGGAAAAAAAAAAAAGAAAAAAAAAATAGACCGCAAAGAATAAAATAATTATTTTACCCTGTTGACATTCTAGCCATCATCAGAAGCGACGTGCCAATATTTCTGAAATTGACATGCTCTGAACCATTCGAGCCATACGAAGTCAAACCAAAAATCTCGACAAACATGATGCCATAAACCGCAAACACCACGAGCCACACCCCCAACAAACTTGAGATTGAACCAATACTTGCACTAAACATAGATCAAGTTGAAAACGAAGGAAAAAAAAAAAGTTAATCTGTGCAATTAGATACAAACACCCGTTTTCATTTCCTTTTTTTCCTTTCTTTTCAAGTAACAAAAACAACCAAAGAGCTTTACGCCATAGTCGTAAATAGCTGATTCAAGCTATCGCTCTGCGGCACCAATCGGAAAAGGATTGCAGTCAATAACAGTTTCTGTGTTTGGACCAAAGGTTGCCAGGTGGCCCCACTGATTCGCACCACCGTGATCAGCAAGGCAAGGATTGAGACTGTACTGTTATAAATATTCCATTTGTTCTTTCTGAATGCACTCCAACCCAGTCCACAGATTTTGACAAAGATTTCAATCATATAAATTGAAAGCAGAGCTAAAAAGATCCAATTCTTGAGCCCTTCCCAATCGCCTGAATTCACATGTTCTGTAGCCAGCAAGATGCCATTCAAAACCGTTATAACTGCAATCAATCGAGGGAACCATCCTTTCTTGGGCGCCACCAACCGAAAACAGAATGCCTTAATCGGATTGGCTGGCGGGTCCCTTTTAGCCTTCTTCATCTTGATACTTCCAAGCAACTTTTTCAAGTCCATCCATCGACGTTGATTCGCTGTCATGAACGCTGTTCCTGTTCGTTTTGTGTAGTTCTCAATTACAATAGCTACAAACAGTGATGTCACGAAATAGCCTCCTGAAAGGTTGAACAATACAAAGAAAATACCATTGTATCGAGAATAATCCTGACTTGGCTGCATTCCTAGCCCAACAATATTCCTTGCAGTTTCCATCACACCACTCCATCCTTCCTGTGACACAATTTCAAGTAAGATCAAGAAGGATGCTCCAAAGTTATCAAAGCTGTAGACCTCGGGGTTGGACCAGACTCGAGGTTTTAAAAGTTTGGTATGTGGATCCAAGAACGTGCCCACACAATCATTCATCGTCCGGATATCGTCACTGGTATCATTGCAAGAGTAGAACAAGCCAGAAAACATGCGCATCCCGTAGATTGCAAATGGCACTATCAATGACATGGAAAGCAAAGTGGCATTGAACAGTTGAGGGAATCCGGCGACTAACACAGCATGGAATGTGCCCTTAATATAAGCCGATTGGTTGATTAGACGGAGTGCACGCAATGCCTTCAACGATCGGAAGAATCGAGATGAACCCTGAGAATTAGTCAAGTTGGCAACTAGAGGCGCATAAAATGAGAGGAGGACAAAGAAATCGATTTTGTTCCATAGAGTCTTCATATAAGCATCTGGTGGGAATATGAATCCATCTGCAATGATCCGGATCAAGAACTCGACAGTAAAGATGGCTGGGAAGACAAAATCCGAAATAGGAACCACCACAGATTGTTGCTCGGGTGGTAATTCCGCCTGATGGAATCGCCAAGCGGGGGTCGTGATCACTGCTACAGCAACACAAGCCAAAATTGCCAAAGTGATGAAAAGGTTGAATGGTCGACTCAACATCACATTTTCATGCGCACCCTCAATACGATATCCTCGACCAGGCGTCACAATTCGTTGAAGGAATCGTCTAAACTTGTTCTCCGGTCCAAAGATCAGTAAAGAGCGATGACGAAGAGCTTCTGTGGAGAATGATTTTTGCTTTTTGATTGTTGTCGCCTGTGGAACTGCTGGTGCTTCTTGGCCATTATCATCCACATTGGCGTAGCCTGGAACTCGAGCAGAATAGAGTTGTCTAAATTGTTCAGTGTTATCGATTTCATCCTGATTCAATGGGCCATATCGTGGAGCAAACCCAAAGTCCACACTCTTTAGACTAGATGCACGACGATGATGATGACGATGTTGAAAATGCTGAGCCTTTTTCTTAGGATGATTTGATTCCAACAATGGGTCCTTTTCGTATCCATGAAACAGTTCATTATCCCCCAATAGAAACTGGCGCGCAAGTCCTTTGCGCATCCTGATGATCCATCCTGATTGCATACCATCCACGCCAATTGACTTTGGGTAAGGCTTAAGATACTTTGTGAGGTAAATGACAAATTTTCTCTCTTCTTCCCTTGAGTATCCGGATCTAGCCGCAAAATCCAAGATCTGCTGTGCATGTTTCGCTACCTCTGCTTCGCCTTCAAAATTCTCCATGATAATGGCAATTAGCATGTTCACCAGTACGACTAGTGATGAAGAAAAAAAAAAAAAAAAACACAATTCCATATTAGCCACATCAAAAAAATTACCAAAATAGAGAAGAATAATAGAAGAGTATGGATGAACGTCTTACAGTTAGCAAAGCTATAGAAAGCAATGATAAATACTGTGGCAATGAAGACTTGGCCGTATAGGATCTCCGCAGACATGACGCTGTATAAGATTTCTGTCCAATTCTCTCCTGAGAATAACTGGTACATCCCAAGATAGCTGACATAAAAATCTGAAAAGTTCATGCTCGTGGATGTAGGATTGATGATCTCTCGGAACAAGATTCCTGCCATGACTGAGACAACTCCCAAGAATAATGCGATGAAGAAGATCAAGTTCAGTAGTCCAATCCAGCTACCGACCACTCGTTGCTGTAGGTATATAGTTAATAAAAGAAAAAAGAAAAAAGAAAAAAAAAATCAATATTGAGTATTGCATACGATACAACAGCGTGCAATTAAGAGGACCGATTTACAATGTAAAAGAAAGCTTTTCTGTAATAAGAGCTTATGACTTACAATAAGAGATTTAAGACGCTCAACATAGATAATGGGTCTGTATATCCTAAATACTTGGAATACTGTAAGATAGACGTAAGCACGACTATTATGGATGGGTGGAATCTGGATGATCATAGTCACCACAGCTAGGAATAAGTCCACTTGATTTTTCTTGCTCTTGAAAAACTCTTTGGGCACAGGAAGGAATACCAGGAAACGGAACAAAATTTCTAATGCAAACCCAATAGTAAACCAGAATTCGATCCGCTCTACAAGGAAAAGTAAAATAAAATAAAAATAAAATAAACAACCATTATTTTCCCTTCATCACTATGCCTGATCAAGAGAAAGATGGTTTACCATATCGCTGGGCTTTTTCATACGAGTCATTATACCGTGGCATACACTGGAATACCAGATCAACCACGACAGCCGCGACCCAGATAAACTCTGTACCAGCTATCCAATGCTTCCGACGACTGAACAGGTTATTAGCACTGTATGTAAAGTTGTTTACACTCTCACTCAGGATCTCATTCTTATTATCGTAACTGTCCTCGGATTTGAATGCTGAATTGTTTGCAGAGTCATCACGAATCTTAGCAAACATCTCATTGATCACCGCCACGAAAAGATTGAGGATCCAAAAGTTCATTACCAAGACAACCAATACAAAGTAAATGGAGGACCAGCCGTACTCCGCATCCATGATTCTGTACATCATATCCGTCCATGTTTGCCCAGTCATCAGAATGTAGACCGGAACCATTGCGGAATAAATAGTATCAAATGACACTGTTTTGTGGTAATTCTCTCCAGTGTCCTTTTTTTTTTTTTAAAAAAAAAAAAAAAAAAAAAAAAAAAATTAGAGAGAAAGGAATTGAAAAGAGAATTGGATACGCGTGAGCAACCAAATTATGACACTCTAGAAAAAAAAGATTAAAATGTCTTTAGATCAGTTAATCAGGTTGCAAGACTAGGGTATTTACCTTGCAGATGTATCCATGTGAACAGATGTTTCCTTTCGGAAGAGTTGGACTTGAGACATTATTGAGAGTGATGTACGGCTCTATTGCTAAAGGATTCGATTCACTATAATGGCCTCCACAGAATTGATCCAAAACGTCTGTCTCGTTCGTTGCAGATACACAGCGTCGCGAAAATGATCCTTTGAACGCTTGGACTCCAATAATACTATTATAATAATGTGCATATGTACTGTTAGGCGCCTCGGACAAAATACTTATAACTTTTTTTTTTTTTTTTTTTTTTTTTTTTTACCTGAAGATAATGAAAAAGAATGCGATGAAGAGCACAACATTAACCAAAAGAGGCGCACTCTTCTTTAAGGAATGAAGAATAGTAGATGATCCAGATGTGATATTCAATAAACGAAGTGTTCGCATCGCAGCAATAGTCTTGAAAAAGTAGACATCGTGAACACCAGAGAGCATGAGGGTGAAATCAATCCAGTAACAGATAACAGCAACCATGTCAATCCGATTAAATGTATGTCTGAGGAATGGAATCTGTTTTTTTACAACCACAAACTGAGGTCTGTAAGCGATCAGTGGGTCTAGATAGGTTGGAATGTATTGAGTCATCGTTGTCTGACGTCCAACCGCAAAATCAATAATCGTTGTCGCTCTCCCTCCCGGTCTGTCTTGTATAGGAGAAAGCATCGATGACTGCTCTGTCTGTCTAAATGTAGGTGCTGAGGTGATCCCTATTATTGGATTCTGTCCTGATCCTTTCGCTTGTGCCTGTGCCTGTGCTAATGCCATCGTCCTCTCTTTTCGGAGAATGGTGGGGTTGGTGTCATGTAGGTTATCTGTCCTTGGCTTCTTGCCTAAAAGCTTCCGAACCTTTTCTCCATCCTTAGGGTATAATACCAACCCATTAACAATGATCCTTGCTCCGATCTCAAGGCTAAAAAAGTTTTGAACACATAAAATTCGGTCAAGCCCTCATTTCTTTTCCTTTTTCGTTTTCTTTTTTTTTTTTTTCTTCCCTTTCCTATCAATACTCTTTTTTGTTTAAGTATATAGAGCCTTACGTATACAGAACAAATATTATAAAGAGTCCATAATCAGTCCAATGTGCCCCCCAAACAGTATCCTGTCCTACTGGCGATGAGACTGTGACAATCAGAAAAACTAAATTCAGGATTAGGAGTAAAAGTAGGAACAATTCTACCCATCTAATTTTCAAAAAAAAAAAAAAAAAAAAAAAAAAAGAGAGAGAGAGAGATAAATAATGTTAGCTTTATAAAAGGGATATAATAGAAGTCCAAAACAGAAGCTCATCTCACTCCATGACTCGTCTACATAATCAATCCTCGGATGCACGATCCATATTTGGTGTTTCCAGTATTGTCCAAGCACAGCCCTTTGGCCTTTCATGATGCTCATTAAAAAGGAAAAAAAAATTGTCTAGCTGCAACATCCTGCATTTGCCTTTTGAAATCCCCAAATTATTTGATCTTTTTTTTCTGTGGCTGTGTCAATTGATTTAATTAAGATGAGACAAGGTCTCTTCATATCCAGGTCAAGTTGAGAGATCTTGGCGATAAACGACAATCACATAAAACAGATATAAAAAAGAGGACTCACATTTGATTCAGGAATTTGTTCAACTTTTTACGAAATGCATTATCGGGTCCAAAAATGAAGAGTGATTTGCCCTCGAGTGTCGGATCGATCGGCGGAACCTCATCAGGCAATGGTTGAGCATAGGCTACTTCAGGCAATGGTTGAGCATAGGCTACTTCAGGCAATGGAGAGAGTGAAGTCCTTGATTTCCTGGCATCATTCTGTTGTAAATTATCCGAGCTCACTCGTGCGTCTAAACCTTGTCTTTGGTCCTGGTCAAGACCAAGATTATAATCCTGTGAAGAGTATTGTTGCTGCTGTTGCTGTAAATCATCTGTGGATCGTCTTATGAATATTGTAGGTATTTCAGGTACAGAGGGTTGCTGGTCCCTTGAAGATATAGAACTGTTGATGACTCGGGTGGAGGCTCTTCCCAGGACCTGTTTCATGGAGGCGAGACGTGACCCAGGTTTAGAAGATGTGGATCGAGAAGATTTGTTGTTGGCGAGAGAAGGATTGTTGTGGAAGCCTCTATGGCGCCGGGGTGAGTTTCCTAGTGGCTGAAGATGGACGTTAGACGAAGGATCACCCCCAGTCAAAAGATCTTCTTGTGAATCCTGTAAGGAAGGAGACATAGATGAGCGTGCCATATTTGCTGTGAGTCCTGTGCGGTCGTTAACAGGATTCAGCTCAAAATCGTTTTGGATAGAGCGATCTGAAACCATCCTAGTCAAACTAGTCCAAGCATTGGATCTAGATTGGGGGTTAGAGACTTGTGGCGAAAGCCCTTCAGAGGAAGAATCATTAGTTGTGTTGCTAGCATTCCTGAGAGTTTGGTACCCCTGTCCGCGACCTAGTGCCATGAGAAAGGAAGAGGGTGAGTAGGGTTGGATGATATATTTCCAGAGCTAGTCAAACAATTGACAATGAGTATGAGCTGGGAGGAGAAGGAAAGGAAGCGAGACAAACACGGGGGGTTTTTTTTTCCTTTTTTTTTTTTTTTTTTTTTTTGGAGATAGAGTAAGAGAAGGAGGAAATGACTAAGAATGTCTGCAATGAGAGCGAGAATGAATGAATGAATGAATGAATGTGAATGAATGTGAATGAATGAATGTGAATGAATGAATGAATGAGAACGGATTAAGGAAAAAGAAAAGGTTTATTGAATCCAAGCGTCACCGGGGAAGTTTGACTTTAAAAAGAAAAGTTGTTTTTCAGTTCAAAGGACATTTCCCATTGATTGGGTTTGTGTTGAAACGAGAAAAGAAAAAAAATGTGGGCTGTGTTCGGCTTTGCTTTATTATGCCTAGCGGATCAACGTTTTTTTGAGTTGCTGCGTTATTTGTTACTCTATACCTGAAGAGTGAGCATCAGATGTTCCACCAGCTGGACCCTGCTCTATTGAATCGTTCGCAACCACAGTGATACTTGGTTCTGACAAGGGTATAGAAGACGATTCTGTTTCTTCTTCAGAGAGCGGTGACAATGCAATTGACACATCAGATGGCTGCTGCATGATTTAATTACAAGTAAATGTGAATGATGTATTGTGTATAATGATGTATATGATATTCAAAAGCATACACACGACATTTGATTCAATGCGTTTATGATGACATTAAAAAAAGAAAAGAAAATAAAAATGATTCAGAAGAAGGAATAGAGAATAAGAAAAAAAAAAAAAAAAAAAAGTCGATGTAATACCCTCACGCTCAAACCATCGACAAGCTTATTGCAAGGAAGGTATATGAATACCCCTGGTTTCTGGTTTAGTTGATGTATATAATTAGAGCAATTAGCCACTTATATAAAATGTATACATACGGATATTATGCGATACTAGAAAAAATTAAAATTGGTCTATGATTTCTTTTTATTCCAATCATTTTTGATCATCACCTCAGCTCCATTAGATTATTAAAACATGTCATTCTCACGCTCATCCACATCTGCCTCGTCTGCAACCGCTAGATTACCAGGATTCCTTCGACCAGAGAATGCATCAAGCCGCGTAGAGGCTCATAACAAATTATTTAGCCAACTTAATCAGTTGGAAGCTTCACGCTTACAAGCGGGCCGTGTCCAGAATTCTCCCTTCACTACAGCTCATGCTCTCCTCCCTTCCACTCGAGACTTGAATCGATGTAAGTCACTTTCCTTTTTTTTCGATTTAGGCTTTCTACCGTCTAGCCGCCTCTTCTGGGCTGTTGTTTAGTCCCACTTGACAACATATTGGCAGTGACAGTGGGAAAATAGAGAGTTGTGAGGACGGTCAATAAGGGAAGGAGAGAAGGGAAAGAGAACAGGGAAAGAAGGGCGAGCTGATTCCCCATTATAATAGACGCGACGAGTGTGGGTTGCTGTCATCTCATGCATAAAAATGAAGCGTTGCATCCATACCACCTCAGGCTCAACTAACGATGTGAGCAAAGAAGAACTGTAATATTAACTCGGCTCATGTCATTCATGTCATTTTACTACGTTTCAATACAAGATGCTGATATTCTCCCTTACAAGCATACACAGGTCGTTGTAGGTACATCTACTGTATCTACCGATGTCACTACTGCTGCTACCTCACAGCAGCCTACGCAGACATACATTAATGCCAATCGCATTTCAGCACCATTGACTTTACAATCCAGTCTGCCCAAGGATTTCCCTGGATATATTGCAACACAGGCGCCTTTACCTCATACACAAGCTCGTTTTTGGAGAATGGTCTATGAGCAAAACGTGCATGTTATTGTCTGTCTGACTGCAGTGTCTCCCGTCAGGGTAATGCGGTCTATGAAAGCAGAACAGTATTGGCCACAGCCGGGATGGACGGATCCATTCTTTTTAGACCTTCATGTAAAAAATTTGGATGCTACAGATCAACAGGACGTAGTAGTCTATCGTCACTTTGAAGTATGGAATCCTCAGCTTGACCCAGCAACCGCTCCAAAGCGTCAAGTCTTGCTGGTTCACTACCAAGGATGGCCTGACCATGGAGTGCCTGAAGATACAAAAGATTTGAGGGATATCTTGTACAGCATCCGAGCATGGAAAGCAGAGCAACAGTCACTAGATCCAAGCAAGAAGAAAGACTTTGGCCCCATAGTCGTGAATTGTAGTGCAGGTTGTGGTCGAACAGGCACGTTCTGTGTTGTCGACACTGCTTTGTCAGTATTAGAATATATCGGGTATCCATACTTGAGGGCTTTGTCCAGCAACTCTAACATGAATACAACAGTAAAAGGTATTGACCAGGCGCAGTCACTGGAGCTTCAGGAACAGAAGGCATTAAACGGGGTGTATGACTGGCATAGTGATAGAGATATCATTTATGAGATACTTAGTTCATTTAGACAGGATCGTATGCTGATGGTCCAGACTGCTACACAGTACAGCTTCTGCTATCAGGTCATAAGGGATTTATGTCAATAGCGTTGTCATCATGTAAAATGCCCTGAAAGAATATAAAAAACTTATTTCACCATTCAATGGGTAACTCTGTAATCATATCCAGTAGAAAATGTATGCCATATTGATTAAATGCGTCATCTCATAGTTCTGAAGGCTCTTATAACAAAAAAAAAAAAAAAAAAAAAAAAAAAAAAGGTAAAGTTCTATAGATGATTCATGCACTGGGTTGACCATGAATTCTCCAGTAAAGATTATCCATAAAAGACAAATCGAGCAATCGGGACAATTTTATGTATATATAATACCATCCTTTACATGTATGCAAAGCTTTTTTTTTACTTCGCCATCGTCAGGGTAATACACAATAAAATAAACTTTTAGTAATGTGGTTCCTAGCCCTCTCGTCTCCCACGCTAGGCTGAGGACAAATAGGGTTTTCCTCAGAACATAAAATCATTTTCTCCGCGGAGGAGGGAATTTTTTTCTTTCCGGCTATCAGCCTCGCATTGCAGGCAGGACGATAAGGAGAGAACGAACTACCTAATGCTTGGTGATGTTATGGCTAATCCTAATGCGGATGCAAGAAAGAAATCCCTCGAATAGTAAATGTAGAGAAAAAAAAATTATACGATCTATCTACAGTCTTCTCTTACTTGCACATGTATTTATAAAACATCCTATCTTTGATTAATGTGGAATGCGTTCCCATAGAAGTTGTTTCATTTCAATCGGCAGAATGAACTATGTGGGTCGCGTTTCGCCATATTCTCCATGGAGAAAAAAAGGGTGAAAAAGTTTCTTTTGGTTAACACTCACTGACTTGGCGGGATTGTTTGTGTCACTGACCATGTTCTATCCCGTCCATTTGCTTCGCTGGACACAATCCCATTGGGGCAAATTGTGGAAACAGCCAGGCATTTTACTTGGGGACGGACTTCTTCTGACAAAACGGCACAATGTCTTTAAAAAAGAAAAAAGTGTTCATACATACAACCATCTTATTAATTATTAATATTAACACGCGATATGTGGAGGGCTAAGGCAAAAAGTGTATGGTGTTCGTTCAAATGACTTGATCTCACTACGCAACAACGCATGGACATCCAATTGAAATCTCTTCTCCTCTTTCTCTTCCCCTTTCCTGTCTCTTTCAGATCAGCATAATTGGCTTGCTTAAAAGTAGAGGTTATAAACAATGAATAGCATAGCATTCTTTTTTCCCATAAAAACAAATAATAGGCATCAAGCAATCAAGGAATAAGTGCCCATGGTGTATGATATTGTTATTTTTATCTTGCAACGTAGTACATATACAGTAGATAAAAAAAAACCCCCCCTCTTCTCATTCCTCAAAGGCTTAAGAGAAGCATAGTAATACACTTCCAGTAACAGATCTTAATGTGGCGGGGCTGGACCAGAATATCGTCATCATTGCTCTAAAATAAAAAAAATTAAAAAAAAAAAAAAAAAAAAAAAAGATCTTCTCGGTGATCATGCACCCACATCCTTTTAGTGTATTAGGAACGCCCCATCCCTTTGATAAAAAAAAGACAAACCTATATTATTATAACTATACTTTTGATTTTGCCCCGAACTCTTGGTTATTTTTATTTATACAGGATATAACAAGAACGATATTTGTATATTTATATATGTGGATATTAATATGGCCTAGCGTTGGATCGTCAATATTTTGCATGGCACTCAAGTGTACAAGAACACAAGGAAAAACAAAATAACACGGCGACTTGATGGATACACCGTCTATTTTTACTTTCTGTTTTTACTCTAGTCTGGCGTAACGTTACATCTAAGAAGTATATCTTTGTACACATTTATACCATGCGTGAGGCGTTCACGCCTACGTGCATGATTCTACACACGGACAAATCCATAGTGAATCGACAGATTCAATAAAATAAATATTGCTTGTCAGTATTTCAAATGGTAAGCCATGTGAGAAAAAATAAAAAAGGAAAAGCAGATGGAGATCCCTCTTTTTTCTTACATGTTCATGCCAGTTGCATATTGTCCCTTGCAAATGAATACATGGAGTGAAAAAAGGGGTGCGTATGACAAATATGCAAAAATGGGAGATAGAGAGATGGATTGAGTTTTCTGTTTGCCTTTCAATCTAAAAATAGAGAGAGCACGTTTTTTTTTTTTTTTTTTTTTTTCCTGCAGATTGCATGGCATGACAAAGACAAAAGTAGCCAATGCGTATAGACCAACTCTGTTTGATTTTGTACTGTATCTAGACATATTGTCTTTGGTGACCGAAACTTGAGTAAACTATATATTAATCCTACTATCTAGATCAACCAATATAATAGTACTTAGTAGTAGAAGTAGTCGTACAGTAGTCGAAATTAATAGCGTGGCTATGTCAATTGTGTAATATGAATGCTATTCTGAAGGGTATTTGTATGAGAGATGGCGCATGACAAATTGTATTTTTGGATTATCGCCCTTGAGTGTACGCCCCCTCACTCTTTTGTTTACATGTTCGTGTACTGGGAATATGAAAAAAAAAGTTTAAACTACCATGGAAAGAGTACCTTACATCCATCCAATACGACAGAAATGTACCCGAAAGTGACAGACAAACATGCGCACATTCACGATAAACGACCCAATTGAAAAGCAGGCTGAGTCGAAGATGAACATGCAAGATTGATAACAAAGCTTTTAACACCCAATATCGTCGACAATAACAAAACAAGATTCTTCGATTCGCTCTCTTGTTCTTGACTAAGAACGACCGAGCTTGCTCAACCTTGTCTCCTAAACTAGAAAAAAAAAACATTATACATCACCGCAGCGGGAACGCTGCGGCAGCAAAACAAAAAACGTCCATGGGCGCAACTTTAAAAGAATGGAATCATTCATGAATGCATATCGTTACTCCGTCCAGAGTGCCTAGATTTTATTTTACTTACTAAGGTCGCATCAACACACACACATACAACCTCTCCTCCCTCCCTCTCAACCCCCTCCCCTGCATTTTTCTTACTTACATTTTATTTCCCTATGATCCTGCATCTTTGGCTATTCGTTCTAGATGCAGGAAAAAATAGGATCTGCCCTTCGCATTCGTCGTCTTCCTAGTGAAAGTGGAACAAATGATATAGCAAGAGTGTGATGATCGCTCCGAGGAGAAAAATTTATTGAATCATGACGCTTCATATCCCTGACCTTTGTCTAATCTTATTGTATTAAAAAATATACTGTAGTGAGAACCACTCATAATAATGATACATGCAATCAAAAAAAAAAAAAAAAAAAAAAAAAAAAAAGAACAATGATCACCACGCTTTCTTTTTTTTTTTTTTTTTTTTTTTTAGATCAAGGGAATGTCAACAACCGAATTTTTTTTTTCCTTCTATCGGTCCCTTCCAAACTACAATATACTGTTCTTGATTCCTTTATTTCTACCTATTTTCGAACTGTCACTGTTTAGATTTGTATAATGATATGAATGCTTTTTTAATTATAGTATGAGATGGTTGTCGACTGCTCAGCTGTCTTGTAATGCACAGCTTCGATCAAGTTGCCTTCGTATCACCATTATGGAGGATGAGTACTGTGCAATTGAATATTTGTTTCAATAAAAAAAAATAAACAATGAGCGTTTTGCTTCTTTCCCGCGGGTTGAACAAGTTTTGTATTTGAATAACATGTATTTGAAAAGCTTTCCACGCTAATTTAGTGCCATGACAGATAAACAGTATTTTTTGGTCACATCATCTTATTCATCCATCTAGACGTGTGCTCTTATATATATAAATGTATACTTTGTGTGTCCATGGGAGACAGAGAGCATTCGGGGCAAAAAAATGAGGAACCAAGGCTAGGCCTGCCTAAATTTTAATTCAATTATATTTAATACTTTGCCACCATACCCACTAAGAAAAAAAAAAAAAAAAAGCAGGTTTTTTAGAGTTATACACTCAATTCGGAGAGAGACCATATCTCTGTCCTTCTCTTGCTCGGTGTCTCTTCCGACTCCCGCCTGGACGCCATCTCTTGATGTACTAAATAGTACATGTATGATGTACTTTCGTCATAGAAATATCCTCGGAAGGAGAGTTAGGGAGTAAGAATGTGCAGTATACATCCAATAAAGAAAAATAAAAAAATATGACAGTTAATCGGAGAAGATAACATGGCACACTGTGCACCTTGCTGAAAATGGTCATTGCTCATCTCCAACTGGTGTAGTGTAGGACTCTGACAGAGCAGGAGGTTGGAATTTGTCATCAGCCGGTGAAAGTGCAAAGTAAAATGTGTCAGCGTTCAAGAGAGAAATGAGGATGTGAAAATGATACCAGAGTTGTTCATTTGTCACTTCATGGGCTGACCAAACGATTCCAATTTCATTCGCTTTGCTCTTTTCCTTTGATCGAGCCTTATTATTATTATTATTTTGTTTGTTGGACGTTATGAGTGGGCTAAGAAAGAGTTTTTCTTATTGAATCAAGGATCGAGCCAATGTTGTTGATGTTTATTGTGTATTGTTGTATTGTGTGCAACCATTGTAAAAAAAGGAGAGGCAGAGAGAGAACGAGGTCGAGAGCTGCGAGAGAAAGGAGTGGACGGACAAAAATACCACCAAGCCAAACAACAACAATAACAACAAGCGATAACATATATATATTATAGATATAAAGAATAATAGAGTAGTATAATATAGAATACAATATTATATAAAATACAACTAATGTTAAATAAATAATGTTTATATATACAATATAGAATAAGAGGTAGTTAAACCCTATTCAACATTGAACTGAGGAAAAGCATCTCATTTGAATTGAATTATTTGCTTTGTGTGTGTCTCATGTCTATTTTTTACTCTCTTTTCCTTGCGCATTCACACATTCACGCCCACACCCCAAGTTTGATATAAAAACGGACCAATTCTCTGCCTCTGCCCCCGCTTTCAATCTTTCACCACCCATTCATTCATTCACATCAGCATTTTTGCATCCTTTTTTGCTCTTCTTTATCACTTTGTACATAAACTTTTTCATCTCTCTCATTGATTTTGAACTGTGTGTTGTGTGTGATTTTAACTATCTCTTTTTTTGTCTGCGGAATAAATCATTATTTTCTATCTCTTACACTTGCCTTTCTGCCCCTGGCTTTTTTTTTTTTTTTTTTTTTGCTGTCTATTTTGTCCATATTACGCTTGTTGCACTCATTCTGTCACTGTTTACCCACTACTTTATTTCAATCAATCTTAGTGTGATAACTGCTCATTTCCATTTCCCCTCTCAATCTCTCTTTTTTTTTTTTTTTTTTTTTTTTCTTTTCTTTTCTTTTCTTTCCGCGTGTTCTGTCGCATGTCTCCGTGTGTTTCTTCCACTTTTTCGTCTAATACTTCAATAAAATCATCTCCTGTTGTGTCTTCGTTCATCCGCTCCATGGACCTTCCCCACCAACATCGTTACCAAGACTCGTCATCCGCAAAAGTTTACTTTGATTCTTGTCTTGACTCCCACAACTTCGACATCTCACAACAACAACAACAACAGTCGTCTTCCACTTCTTCTGTTTCTTCTTCGTCTTCTTACGACACTCTAGTCAACTCTCCTCCACCACAACATCTCGACCACAACCCAAAGAACGCTTCTTATACCATGGACCCTTCACGCGTGCCATATCAGCAACAACGAGATACTGACTCTATCGCGTCCCCTGCCAACACAGCAGTTGACTTCAATACCTCCTTTGGCAACAACGCTTCTGCTTCCTCTTCTACAATGCCTCCCAACGTGGGTCTGCACATGCCCTTGGTTTACCCGATTCTTGCTAAAGCCTTGGGACGTGAAGGTTTCCCCGGATTTGGATCCTTGGTTGAGTTCCAGCAGGACCAACTACAACTGGAGCAGGTCGCTGTTCAATCTTCTCTTGAGCACCAACAATATTCGTCCTCATCCGCCTATGAACAGCAACAACAACAGCACCAACAACAACAGCATCAGCATCAGCCCCCACAACACACCGCTCAAGATGATACGTATCTGTTAAGCATTATGATGATGGCTCAGAATACTAATGAGTCCTCTGGTGTGTCCTTTTCCCAAAGTATGGACCCTACCCTCCAGGACCCCAATAGCGCATATAATAACCTAATGGGAGATATGCAGCCGCTCGAGATCATGCAGTACAACTCCCTCATGCTCGACGGCCACTACTTTGATGAGCTCCCATACTCAATGATCCAAGGTGGATGTGGTGCTGACGGCCCTGGTATGGATCCCACCTCCTTGTGTGACTCTCCTCAAGCCTTTAACCTTGGAGGCGCCAACTACTTTGATCAATACTCACAACCCATCAACATCCATCAACATCCTCAACCTCATCATCTTCAGCAACAAGCAACTTCCCAACAAGGTTACTTTGATCCTTCCATGTCCATGTCCTCAGGCTCGGGTTCCTCCTCTGCAAGTTCCTCTTCCTCCGGCTCCTCCTCTTCTTCCTCCGCCTTTGTTGCGCCCAACTATGGTTTCAACTTTGGTGCCTGGGGTGCATCCTCTGGACTGCTGTACCAGCAGGGCGATTTCCTCTTGGAGCGCAAACGTGAGGGTACAGCCGGAATGCCTGGCCACCACTCACTCTTGCCCGGAGCAGCTGTCCAGCCCCACTTGGAGTCTGCAGAGGGTGATGATTCTGATGATGACGATGATGACGGAGAGGAGTTTGGAGATGAAGATGGTCACGGTTTGATGCCTTCAGACCAAACTTATGGAGATGTTGGATTCCAGAGTGCTTATCCTGGCGATGATTCCAATGTCCCACCTCTGTCGATGCCTAACCGTTCGTCCCGTCGGGCTTCATATGGTCAAAAGCATGAGCGTACTGAGGATAACATCATGTCATCCGGCAAACGGCTAAGGTCTGATACAACATCATCTTCATCCTCATCATCATCACAACGTCGAGTATCAGGGCCATCAACTCATGGAAGTCACTCTCGCAACAGTTCCATGTCATCAATTAACAGCCATAATTCGATCCTGGACAACTCGTCCTTTTCATCATCATCGCCACCAACATCTTTGGGCTCGTCATCGTCATCATCGTCTTCGTCATCATCTTTTTTAAATAATGGCAAAGCGCCTAGACAACAAGCCGATACGATCGAGAAGAGGATGCATCCATGCACTTTTGAGGGTTGTCACAAGTCATTCACACGCGCGTTCAACTTGCGTTCACATCTCAACACCCATAACGGTGAGCGTCCTCATAAATGCCCCGAACCTGGATGTGACTGGGACTTTGTTCGTCGTCATGACCTAGACCGCCATGTCAAATCGAAACACATGGCCAACAAGCCTTATGCTTGCCGACATTGCCCATCACGATTTGGTCGCAGTGATGCGCTCCAAAGGCATCGTCGTCTTGAGAACCACATGTAAAAGGCTAATTATTTTTATTTTCATCCACTCATTGCTACATTCATCTTCTTTTGATCATCATCCATTTCTGTAGATAGCTTTTTTTTTATATATATTCTATTGCTTTACTTTATTGTAGAAACAGCTTCATATTCTATTGTAAATATACCATTCATTTTTTATCTTTAAAAAAAAAAAAAAAAAAAAGCCTCCAAAAGATCTTCATCTTGTGACTAATGCAATGTAAATGCTAACATGTATTATATTAATGTAAATTTCTGCGCCCACAATGCAAAGTCATCTATTTGCTTAAAAATAAAAATAAAAAAGTTCCTCGCAATTCATAATGCATTACAAAAGCGACACACAGTAATATTTTTACCAAAGAGGACCGTTATAGGCAAAAAAAAAAAAAAAAGATTGCTTATCTATCGATCATCAACCTTTTTTTTTTTTGTTGTTATTGTGCTGGGCTGAGGACAGAAGCAGGGTTGAACTCTTTTTTAATTCACATAATTAAAAACCTAAAGGATACGTGGCACATGTTCGCTTTGATAAGTTTAAATGAATGAATGGACCCATCCGTTCTACATGAATATGCTACATTTATATTATACAGATATTGAATGATGTTTTACAAAAGAGGGGGGGACCTTCTAAAACTTCACAACTCCACAAGAAATAAAAAGTTTATTATAAAAATATTTACTAGTTCAATGCAGGATCGACTTTCGACTCTTTTACTCTCATGCATGCCTATTTTGGCTCTTTCTTTTTGTTTTTTAACGAAAAAAAAAAAAAAAAAAAAAAAAAAAAAAAGAATCTCTGTTTTGCTTAAATAGCTTAATGATAACCATTTAACGCTCTTTAAATCATTAATAATGAGCTTGGGGGCATCATCTTCATAGTACAATTGTAATACATATCCATACAATTATTAAATGATGGAGGAATGAGCAAAGCGGAAAAAAAAAAGACAAATGTTTAAAATGCACCAATATGGACAAGTTATTAATGCATTTGGTACAACAATCGGCATTGATCGAGCTTTTTTTTTTTCCTTATTGTTTATGGATCCCTCCCTCCCTCCCCATGTGGTTTTTTTTTTTTTTTTTTTTTTTTTTTTGCCACCATAGAAAAATAGAAAAGGAATGGCGAGAGCGTGTGACCCTTTCATCTTCGATCAAGCTACACAAGGGCTCAAGTTTCTTTCTCTCTCTCTTTCTCATCTTTTTTACCCCGAGGGTGAGACACAAACAGTAATTCCAATGGTGCGAAGAGGATTAAGAGAAGAGATGGAAGGAGCTTCGGCATTACTGCGCCTTGTCCGCATCACATTGCATTACATATTAGGATTTTTTTTAGTTGCATTTTGAATGTTTTCATTTACCATAAACACACATGCATTCACATTAACATACATGCAAACATCCTATTCATCCTTCTGAGCATTGGCCAGTAAGCAGATTTATTAATTTATTGATGAGCCTTTTTCAGTTCCACCGATAGCTTTTGTAGTGAATATTCTTCATTCATTTAGTTTACTTTTATTATGATGAGTAAGACTACGTTGGTGAATGTGTTTTTTTTTTTTTTTTTTTTTTAAAAAAAAACGAGGGAGTGAAAGAATCTTGTCATAATAGTGAGTGGAACCATGTTGATGGATTGGAATTATTCGTTTGTATGAGGGCTTTATTGCTCGGTTACTTCGTCGGAGAAGAGGTTTCTAATTTAGGAGCTTACCCCTGTTTTTTTTTTTTTTTTTTTTTTTTTCCTACTCCTCAATCAGACTGACCAACTCCTTCGTGTATTTGGCAATATCGAAACTTGCGCTGGCCATCTTCTGCTTGATTGATTTAGCTTCCGTAGATGCTGACTGAGCCAATTCAGGCTCTTGCTCTATTTGCTCCTTCATCTCAATTAGCAGGTCTAAGGAATTCTCAAGATCCTCCAGTACCATCTCACCCTGAGACTGAAGATCCTGAGCTTGTGGCGCAGACATCGCATCGGGGGTGGCAAGGGTCATACGTGTCTGACGAACAACTTGATCAACCACTTTAGTGATAGTGTCAGAGGCTTCACAAATGTCATCAGGACTTGAGTTAGATCGGAGAGAGGTGAGCAATGTCTGGATAGAAGACACAATCGATGCTGTCTGAGTCTCGAGGTAGATCTACATTTGTTTCAGGAAGTACAAGATTGAGGGGGGAAAAAAAACTATTTGAGAATCCGCAAACATTTTACACATGTTCATCGATTTTCATCACCGTGATAAAGCATACCTTTAGATCCAAAGCATCCATCGGTCCTTCCTCATTGTCAATATTCTTATTAGTAGACCCTCCTGGGTGCTTGTCATTTACACCAGCTCTGTTGCTGTTATCTTGTTTCTCGTCATAAACATCACGGTTCATACCGTTCTCTTGCTGATCACCAACGCGCTTAGGTACACTCACGATATCCATAACGATAGCCTCTAATTGATCTGCTGCTGCCTCAAGCTCGCCTAGGGACCGGTCAAATTCTTCCTCACCCTCATTGAACGCGTTAGAATGTGCCTTAGCAGCTGTCATTAACTGTGTAAGCCCTGCAGAAAGCTCCTGTTTCAGTTCCGTGAAACTCTGGTCTGGACCCATTTCATGCTCATAATCATCTACATCCTCGGTCACGTTTTTGCAAGCAATCACAACAGACTTCATGCCAAGCAAAACTGAAGAAGAAGAATCCGACCTAGAAAAATAAATAATAAAAAAAGAGAGAAAGAGAAGGAAGAAATTTAAGGCGTCTCAAATTAGTTACTGAAAATATCCCCAATTGAAATAAAGGCTATGAAGAGGTACAAATACAAAGAGTACGCTTTACCTTGCGGCAATAAGCAAATCATCGATAGCATTACGGAAAGAATCCAGACTATCTTTGTGAACGACTGAGCTTGTGTTAATCATAACGCTGAGGCGAGCTTGTTGTCGGTCATGATTCCAATCCTTGTTGTTGGAATCGTTTTCCGCTTTATGATCGGGACGAGCAGCGTTATTGTCTCTTGAATTGTTACTATTGGATGCAGGGTTATTGGACACGCTTGTGCTAGCGTAGTTAACATCTTCTTGAGTACTCTTTTTTGGGTTGCGCTGCAAGTCCTCAATGGTCGCTTTAAGATCATTATTTTCATCTTCAAGCTGCTTGATCTTGTCGTACGCAAGCTGTAGCTCTTCTTCGGCATCCATGTTCTTCTGCTTCAGGCCTTTCGTCTCCATCACAAGCGACTTGACTTCCTGATTTATCATATCGACAGTCTAGTATGTTTGATATGAATAACATTAATATAAATCCAAAAGTGGTCAAGTGAAGGTAGCAACCAACTATTGGCTCGTCCCAATTGCTTACCTCAAGCTGAGCATGATAGTCGCCCAGAACCTTGTTGTAGTCTAGCTGAAGCTTGGACAATTTTGATGTCTGCTCGTTATAAAGCTCTGTCTGCTGGGACAGTTGGCGCTCCACCTGAGCAAGACGGGAGCCTTCGGGACGGTCAGCTGCGTCACCAAGTTCACTCTCGAGATGTTGAAGCCTTTTGCAAAGAGCTACAATCCGGGTTTCATATTCTAATTGGGTTGCATCAGAAGGAAGCTAGATATAACAGGGATTGAAATAGGTTCAGGATTAGAATTTGTTGATTATCACATGAAATTAATCGCACCCAATTGTTATCTCCTTACCGAACCCGCATTGACACCGGCACTCAAAGAACCTTTTGAATCCAAGCCCTTGGAGGTATCCTTTGCTCCCTTGTTAGCGTTAGCATTCGAGCTTTTTGAAGCATCAGAACCATCCTTGCTCACAATATGGCCAATGTCCGCCATAAGACTGTCCAGGCTCGCAAAGTTGACGCTCCCTTCTAATGCCATAGGGGTGGATGGGCTTTGTTGCCTGGGCGATCGATAATAGGAGTCGTCCTCTTCCACATTCGAACTGTCCTGGATAGTGAATGTCGCCACATTAGGTACTACGCTAGATTGCTGAACAGCAGGTGCGTTTGACTCGCGCTCCTGTTGAGACTGTTGCAAAAGGTATTCTTTCTCTTCCAATGCTTTAAGCTAAAGTAAGAGCATATAACACAATGTAAATAGATGAACAGAGATGGTTTGTAGTTGGTGAATGCAAAACAAACAGTAATTATTAGCTCATTATTTCACAAGGAGTCAAGGTACTCATATCAACGAAAAGGTTGCGCAACAAAAAAAAAAAAGGTAATAATAAAACAGATGCGTGTTCAACTCATAAAGAGGTACTGCAACCCTAAGAGATATAGTTATTTTACAAACAGGATAGGAAGATGAAAGTCAACTTACAGGAAACATCTCCAACAAAGTGGGGAATTGGCGTTCCAACTGGACGTAGACATCACTGGCAAGATCCTTGAATCGGTTCTGAGGGAGAGTAGCCAACTTCTGACGAGCCTGATTACGTTTTGGATGAAAGTCATCTCGAACAGCCAAGAATGGCACTGATAAAATACAAAAAAAAAAAAAAAAAAAAAAAAAAAAGACATAAACAAGAAGCTTAAAGACTAAATGGATATTTGGAAAAGCAGATCTCTGACCATTCATACCTAACACCTCGTCTGTTCTCCGCTTCAGTTCATCGTAAACATCTGTTGAAAGATCCTGAAGCTGATTCTGCAATAACCTTGACAGCTTTTCTCTTGCGGCGATACGTTGTTCGCTCACACCATGTTTTTCTAATTATTCAAAAAATGGTACATTATACATGATAAAGATATATTCAATGAATTGAATTACATAGACAAAGTACACGCTATATATAAAAAAAAAATTCACTCAAAGTAGGCGACTAAGCTGTCCCTGATTGATCAATTGGTTTGAGTCGCCGGAATGGGATAGCATTGTTATTCCTCCTTGCTTATTTTTTTATTATTATCCTGGATACGAAGTATTCAAAGTTGAGAAAATAAAAAAAAAAAAAAAAAAAAAAAAGAGACTCACCTTTTAAAATATGTGCGAGAAGATATTTTTGGAGAGCTTCATAGTGTCTGGCAGCAATCTCCATAGCATTTCCAGCTGATCCTCCAGAAGGTGATGAAGGGTTAGATCGCTGCTGCGACCCAGGACCACCTCCACCGCCAGGTTTAGCGTTGGTGTTAATGTGCATGTTGGGGCTAGTAGGTGAGGTAGGTTGAGGAGAAGCGGTGCGGTTTTGGGAAGGGTGTAGAGACCGTTGAGGTTGTGAGCTTTGCTGTTGATGATAGGAAGATTGTTGATTTTGCCACTGTCCGTTTTGTTTGCGAAGGTCAGGGTGATCTCTGTTCATGATGAGGTGGAGAGAAGATGGAAACAGTCGCAATCAAGGCCCAAGATTAGCCGAGGAAAGGACTACAAAGATTAGAAAAAATTAAAAAACGTTCCTTGTGTGGATAGGAATAAATTAGCACAAGAAAGGGCAAAAAAGTAAAGAGACAAAAGGAAGACTGTAAGGCTGGATGGGGAAGAAAGAAGAATGGGCAAATAGATGGATGAGGATGCAAGCAGAAAGACTGATGAAGTGAGAGAGAGGAAATAAAAATATAAATACATTCAAACATGCAGTAAAAAAAAACTGTTAGAAATGCACGAATAAACTTACAATAACAGGGGTTTAGAGTGAGGTTAAATGAAGACCGTTTTAAGATGAGAGCCAAAAAAGATATTTTACCTCGTGTTCTTGTGGCACATGCTACTCCGCAAACTAATTTAATTTCTATTGTTATTTTTATATTTCCACATTTGCAAAATAAAGAAATAACCATCGTTGGTTGCATGCTTTCTTCATTTTCTTTCTCTCTTTCTCCGTTTCTTTCTCGTATGCTCTCGCGAGACAGGCAGGATAAATCCGTTCATTTACCTTTTAGACCCATTTCCTTCTGTCACAGCTCTCAGCTGTGTCATTCAACCACCATATCACACACATTTCCTATTGTATGTTGCTCTTTAATACTCTTCTATGCTTCATTTTATAAAACAGTGCCTTAGGACTGTAAGGTAAGTCATAGACAATTTGAAAAAGAAAGATCAATTAAGAACAAAGAGATTATTAATAGTTGTAGATAACTTATCACTAAACAAAAACAGTAAAAAAAAAAAAGAACAATGAAATGGTCTATGTCAAGTTGCCAGGTTAAAAAAAAAAAAATTAAGATAAAGTCTTGAACTTAGTTTGTCAGAGCTATGATAATCTTAAGCCAAGATATTCAAAATTACTACATCTATCCTTGACCATCGTCATCGTCATCACTTTCAGAAACTACACCACCACGACTGTTGCTACCGCTTGCCAGCTCTGCTAGTCGCTTACTTTTGCTGATCCGAGGCTCCTTGCGGATAGGTATTTTGATTCCTTGTTTGGCAAAGCATTTCGAGAGTGCCGTCGATTCTTTTTTTTTTTTTTTTTTTTTTTTTTTTGCATGCATATATACAATCATTATTAGTACTTCAACTTTACAGAAAAAAAATATATATATAAAATAACCTTACCAGTCATCCCAGGGAACCGCTTGGCAGAATAAATGGTGAAAGGCTCTGAGAAGACTGTAGCTCTAACTGGAGAAGGTGGACCACCAGGTCTATTTAAAAAATATATCGAATGCATAAAAATGAATATAATATATTCGAATCAGATCAGTGAATAGATAGCTTCTCACGTCCAAGGAGTAAATCTTTAAAACAGCCTCTCTCATCTTACGTCGGAGGTAATGTAAAAGAAAATTTAAGAGTGTATGCGCCTTCACTTCTAACACTGATATCCTGAAAAACAAAATATACTCCAGTTTCATTCTCGAGATTTGTCAGTAAGTTGCCAGACGCGACAGTAGAGCCAGTCAAGTTGCGGCTCGCCATTGGCGGTGTAGGCGTCAAGCTTAACACAGATTCGCCTGCAGATTGCCCTGTAGCTGGTGCTTGCGTCGACTGCACCGATGATACCGGATTGGTGACCAATGTGCATGGGGTTTTCGTATCCGCGGAATAAATGTCCGCCATCACCATGTAAAAATTGACATCCATTTGGCTATTGTTGATTTTGATGAATTAAATAGACGAGTGTACGGAGATAAAGCAAAGAAAAAGATTGTAGAAAAATTCGTCTTGTCAACACTCATAGCTCGACTAGCTCTTAGAGCTCAGATCAATGGAATGGTTATGCCCAAATGTCACCAGATCCCATTTTTTTCCGTTGATTTTTATCATATAGTACCTGACATCTATTGGCGTGCCATCTTCATTTCTAACAATAAGCCGGACTATTGGCGGGGGATCCATAGGTCTCCTGTCCTGAGAGATATGGCCCAGTATGAGAACGCAAAAAAAAAAAAAAAAAAAAAAAAAATGTATATTAGGACTAAATGAACATAAATTTTATGGATTTACTTGACCCAAAGTTTCTTTTTGCAGTTCATTCGTTCCAATAAGCTTTTTTTTTTTTGGTTTTCATAAAACTTTGATATGCAGGTGCTGAGTATTATGAATCAATATTAATGCTTGCTCCTTGGCAATTTTCCTGAAATGAACAAGACAAAAAACTTTCCAATCCATCAATCCATTACTCTCTTTTGCTGCTTATTATCTTTACGTTTAGCGTACATAAATAGGGCAAGTAAAACAAACCAGCAGCTCTGTCTATCATTGATTCGCAACAATATACGTTCGTATGAAGTCAATCAAAAAGCGTTAAGTGAAGTCATTATAATAGTACCTTTTCACCAAACCCGCACATCCTTGCCCGAATAGGGTTTTGGGCCATCTGGAGCTCGTAAGTCCTATCAAGACGGATATATATCATTGAATGTGAATAAGCTTCAATTAACCAGGACCATAAAGATATCAGTAAATGCAGCTCGGCTTTGATAACTGCGGAGTTAATTGTAATTTAGTAAGAGAAAGCGGGGAAAGAAATCAATGACATTTGGAGGAGAATATAAACGAAAAAATATCCAAGAGAGGAAGCTAGCCACAGATATTGAAGCTGGTATGGATAACAGAGTATGCGCCTGCAATTGTTGGAACAAGACAAAGTCTTTTAACAGAAAAGAAAAGATAGAAATCAACCCGAGGAGCTTGAAGCCTCTCAAGCCCCTCAAGAGCCTCTTGACAGGCAAGCTGTTAAACATATGACGTCCCGCCTCTGTTATTGCGCTTTCCACGCTATTTTGACATAATTCTATATGGATTTGTCCCGCATATAAGAGGGATGGGTCATTTTTGCAAGATTAATTGTTTCATGTACAACTACATGGACTGTAAAATTATAGTTGATGGGCTGTCTAATGTATATACTCCAGCCTAGGTTTAGATGTCCATTGTGAGCCATCAATCCTAGATTTCTACAGCTTAAATTTTGTGCAACAATGGCAAAGCCATTAGGGACTTTGCATCTGTGACTCGTCTCAACAATGGCAACAAGAATAACAAAAAAAGGAGACAATCACCTGAGGCACCAGCCATAGGAGAAAAAAGAAAGGGGTACAAAGCCAAATGTCTTGCAGTATGTTTTGATCAACACCATTTTTTGTCAATCGTGGCTGTGTCGGGTTGGACAAAGTTTGTTAAACTAAAAACTGTGTCACAAATTTCTGAATCATGTTCTGTCATCAAAAGACCTAGTTGAAGACAATGCATTTCAATACAATACATACCGGCCTTCTTTTTGCGCTGATGTGTACTCCATACTTGGCGATGATATTTAGCTAATATGCACGCTCACACCTGAAGTTGAGGCCCTAGTTCGTCACTATAGGGTCAGAGGGCAAGTACCCTGCTTTATCGAAGACTTGACTGCAGAGCTACAGTAATATTATCGAATCTATTACTGATGAAATCATCAAGTGGTTAGATCAATGGCATTCTTGCTTCGCACCAAACGAGGTGCGGGATAATAGTCTTTGTAGATTGCTCTGAATGAGATGGTATCTAAGTTATGCCTCAAAGCTAAACAAAAAAAAAAGGGCATGCTACGGAACATGCAAAAAAAAACCCTTTGCTCCCTAAGTTACTAACAAAAGGTGTAAACAAAGCAATCTACTTTTTTTTTTTTTTTTTTTTTTAAAAAAAAAAAAAAGTATAAGGTACGTGAACAGTTCAGGGGAAAAGGAGCTGAATTGTGGTTAAGATGTCAGGGATGCAGCGGAGTAATATCTTCGCACAGTGCACAGACACCAATGATGACGATGATGAAGGACAGTAATCAGATATACGCCCAAAAATCTGATGAGCAAGAAGAAAGGAGAGTGAGGTACATTAGGTTAGGTCAGATTGAAAAGTACGCGTATTGTGAGTGAATGCCATAAATGCGCGTGAATGTGCGTGAACGCTTATTTCGGAAAAAAAGAGGACAAGGGAATGAACGGAATGTCTGCGTTTGTGTGTTTGTGAAAAAAGCACGTGTGATGTAAGCTGGAGTAGCTTTTTTTGTTTGTAAACCAATTTGTGTTCCACTATGCTGGCACCTCATTGTTGTGCGAGTGACAAATGTACATTTTTTTTTTTCTAAAAAATATCCTCCTAATTCAGTTCTCAAATGGCTTATTACAGCGGCAATGGTGGAAATAGTAATGAAGCAGCACTGCTTATGAGTGTAGAATAATGCTTCATATAATAGAATGGTTTAATGCAATTATCGAAGATATCCAAGGAAGGAAACACTATAGTCCTCATTTGATGTCCTCTTCTTTCCTTATATATTTTATTATTATTGCTGTTAGCCTTCTATGACAAGCCCATACCACACAAAACAATAACTCAACCGAGATGAAGATAGATACAGACGCATAAACATAGGTATAGGTGCGAAGGTATAAAAAGAAAGATCGGTGGTAATATAGACAACGAGTGCACAAGAGTGAAAGATAATCGAACATATTTTGAGCGTCATTGATGTCCCTTTTTGCTATAGCCTATCTGTTGCAATGTACTGATGGCATAATGGTGGGATACGAGAAAGGGAAGGAAGTCTTTCTTTTTGTGGTTACGTGAAAACTGATCTCATTTCCGTTTGAAGTTTGACATGAGACAAAAGTGCAAGTGGACTAAAGAATGTGGCTGTACCTGAAGTGGATAAAAGTGAAAAGGAGGGGATAGTGCAGTAGACAGACAGTTATTTAGGGGATAATGAAGAATTGCCACCTGAAGGATGTTAATAATGAATGAAATAAATGAAAAAGAAAAAGGAATGAAAATGAATTGAATAAATGAATGAATAAATAAATGAATATGAATGAATGAATGAATGAATGTCTAGAGTTGTGTCAAGATTAGCCGCGGGAATGGGTGATAGTGGAGCAAGAAAGGGAAGGCAGAGTGGAATTGCAGACAAATAGATACAGGATGTAAAAAAAACTAGGGAGAACTAGGGAGACAGAGACAGAGACAGAGACAAAGAAAAGAAGCGGAGATGAAGATAGTAAGGTAATAAAAAAAAAAAAAGAAAAAAAGATGGAGGGAGAGAAAGAGAAGAGAGGAAGAAGAAGGACGAAGGGTTGAAAGAGTAATAGCAATAAAGGTTTGGGGTAATAGAAAAAAAAGAAAGAAAAGAAAGAAAAAAACCCCCCGGCTAGCCATTAGAAAAAAGCAAAGGATAGAAGGGATCTCAAATGTCCAGACAGAGGTAGTTCACCATCCTTGGTCATGTCATTTCAGGTCAGGCTAGGTCAGTTCAAGTCAGGTTTGGTCATGTCAGTTTATTATTCTTCCTTGCTTGATCTTACGCATATCGCTCGACATTTAGGCAGTTAAAAAGGACAGGAGACATGGGAAGATCAATCCAAATTTTTTTGCCCCTCTCGCTTGTCCATCTCCACTCAACAGTTATTATGGCTGAGTCAGCCTTCAGCGTTATTGCAGACAGTGTCGGCATTATACGTGCTCAATAGAGTGCACACAGGATCAACGATCTAGACAAACTCTTCATTAACAACAAACTCAAAAAGTAAACTCCCCTATCGTTTCTAGAGTTCGCGCGCTTTTTTTAAAAAAAGGGGACATTTAAGTCGAATTTGTTTGTGAAGCAAACATCTAAAAATGTGGTTAAACAATGGTTTGCTTACCCTTCTTTTTTTTTTATCAAAGAGAAAAAGAACACAATGGCAGATCGATATAGAGGAGGAAGAAACTAAGCACTATGGATGCGCATGTACTTGTTTTAGTATAATGGTTAAATATTCTTTTTGATTATTATTGCATGTGGATATACATATTTGTATAAATATATTGAAAGACACCCGGTACAAATGCAAGCCTGCTGTTGAACAAAAAGTACCTCAAGGGAAGAAGGTGACAAAAAATCACTCCGAGATGGCGACCACTACTATTGTGTCCAAATGCATGCATAATCTACATTATTCCAATGAAGACTTCCCTTCAATAAAATAGATATAATAGTATATATTTATGTACATTCATAGTAGCCTGGGTATCTTGTTTTTCTTTTACGCATGTGGTCAGTGAGCCCTCTGGAATGGAACAGACAAATAACTGAATGGGAAAAGAGTGAAAAAGCGCGCGCGCGCGAAAAAATAAAAATAAAAATAAAATACAGCACCTGGAATAGGACACCTGTATGCTACTTGGTTTGTACAAATTTGCTAATCGCAGGTTTAGTGTTGTATCCTCCCCCCAAGTCTATGCAAAAGCGCGTCCATTTTATTCCCAGCATTACAGCTTTGTGTTCACTTTGAGTCGTGTGAATCCTCCTTGTTGCAAGATAAGGCTTTCAGCACTCGCACACTGGTATTGCTACTAGTCTACTGTTGTTGTTGGTGTCATGACGATATTGTTGTTTCTTATTTTTCACTATGGACTTGTCATCCTGATCACAAAAAAAAAAGGCTCACAACCGTCAGTCGTTCTGATAGAAGAATTACAAAGACATTAATACATGCAATGAATCGACCATTTTACAGTTTATTAAAGAAAGTATACGTGTTGGCGGATCGGTAAAGTATCCGAGGGTATTCCACATGCTCTCCGCCATTTTCTTTTCCTTCCTCCCACCTTTTCTTATCTCTTGATCCTCAACATCATGGGTCATGGCCACGGTGGATCTTTTTTTCTTTTCTTTTTTTCCCGCCATGACTGATTATAGTTGACAAAAGAATCGCTAGAATACTCATTATCATCATACATCATCATAATAATCAACAACCCTCAATGATAAAGGTAATATATAATTAAAGTAACAATAATAACAAAAACTGAAAAGTACCCGCCACTAATGAGGTAAGAGAAATTGAATAAAGGAATAACCAGGTCAATAGACTGGCATCGAACGCGGTAAAAAGAATAAAAAAGAACCATACAAATTCAAACTAGGCAAAGTACTCGGGTTCTTTCCCTTGGTTGTTAGATTTGACATGTATGATTTGATTGGACATCCAGCAGGTCAGTGTTCCCGCCCCTCGTCCTCTTTTTTAGTGTGTATGTCGTCCACCCGCGGTAGCAATCTTTTTACCACAGGCGCGTGCTTTTATTTTATTTTTGACACGTACAGCCTTTGGTGGATCTGTGAATAATGGAGGGAATAAAGGAAAAGTGAAGAATGGGAAGGATATCAGAAGTAACGCGCGCTTAACAAAAAAAAAAGTACTTGAAAGTTTAATTGATCCCGCCATTCCCTCTCTCCCCTTCCGGTCCCATCTCGATCTTTTCATGTGCGTACATGCAATCAAAGCATACAAGTTCCGCACTGCTACTTTCCCTCGCTTTTTTTTTTTTTTACCGAAGGGATACGGCCCGGTAATGTTTAAAAATAAGGGTTTTTTTAGCTTCTCGCGCCAAAAGTCTTCCCAGCATAGTGGAATGGCTTATTTGAAGAAAGATACATATACTTTTGTCAGTGTTAATATAGCGGTTTTTGTTGTTGTTATTGTTATTATCCTTGATGATGCTAACATTTCATAGTTTGGTCACTTCATTTAGGAAAGATCCACCTTGTAGATCATCAATTTCAATTCACAAAGAGAATGGGGTAAAGAGACAAAGAAGCAAAGAAAGAAAGGGTATGGCAGTAACTGGAAGCATGGTATTTTACTTCTTTTCCTTCATTTCCCCTTTGAATATAAAAAGCATTGGGTGTTATTATATGCTTTCTTAAGTGATATGGCTTCTAATGCATCGCAGAAAACATCTGTTTTGCCGCCATTCTTGTAGAGGTAAAGAACAGTGATTGAGCAACTGTAAATCATTTTTAAGATAGTCTTCTACCTTAGAATGCTTGCCACATCTTTATTCTGTCTTTTCCTTTTTCGTGTTTTGTGTCTCTTTTGGAATGTCGTACAGACACATGCTGGGAGCACAGACATCTAATCTGATCCGACTTTTCGAACATATTAAACATCAATACCATTCATAAAGTCTGTTTAACAGGACAGGTAGATCTAAAAAAAAGCCTATCATCAACCACTCGATACTTTAGACTTTTACTTTTTTATTATTATTTACTGATAGCATGCTGTATATATAGTACAGAAGGTAAGACATCTGAGATGGAGTACATGTGAGAAAGCAACGATGAGAAAGAGAAAGAGAATAGGCGATATAACAGCCGAACAACATCAAAGTAACAACAATAACAATAATAATAGTAAAGATAATAATTATGTTAAAAAAAAAAAGTGCGGAGGATAAAAAAGAATGATCATAAGAATGAATAGGAAGCTTTTGCGGCCAGGATCGATGACTCATCTGTTGATTGTCACCTGTCCATCTGACCTAGTGTCACCTGTTTTCTCTTTCATCCACGCTGTACATATCCAGCTGTCCGACTCCCTGTTGCAGGTTGTTTCTTGTCCAATGAGATGTCTTTCCATGTCACTGTCTTGGCATATCCGTCATTAAATTGAATCTTGCAATTAAGCTTGTCGTAGAATATGCTCTCAACTACACCCGAATAATACACATTGTCATTCCAACGTGCCCAGATCGATAGTCCTGGTTTCAGTTTTTTCTGCATCATATCTTTCCATGCCTTATACTCTGCCTCCCTTTCTTTTTCTTGTCGCTTTTTTTTTTTTTTTTTTTTTTTTTTTTTTTTTAAGAAAAGAGACAAGCAAAAACATAGTAAGCATATATACAATTATATGTTTTGGATAAAGTCAAAACATTGTTACAGCTTAATAACTTACAGGGTCATGGGTAGGACAATAGACTTGATACTCAATGCTTTCGCCATCTTCTTGAAGTACTTCGTCGACATACATATCCGATTTTTCAGCACAACTTGCATGCATTGATCGAATACATTTTCCTTTACAGCACTGTACACATGCGCCCATCTTCTTTTCACAGACAAAGCATCGCTAAAACATGAGATAATAAAGTGTTTCAGTTGTAGCCTCTAAACAGATCTTTTTTTTTTTTTTTTTTTTTTTTTTTTTTCCAAGCTACACAATTATATATCAAATCACTTACCAATCTACGTCTTGCTGCAGGAACACCCTCTACATGAACTACCACTTCATCTTCCTCTTCTCCTGTCATGTAGGTTTCGGGGATATATTGGGCACATATCATATGACAATGCTTGCCATTATTAGTCGGAAGCATCTCACCATCGAAATCCTGTATCGGACACAAGTAACACTACATGTTCAAGCAATAAGCATTAGAAGTTTAAGTTAATGATTATGCCTTATTCGTAAAAAAATAAAAAAATTAAAAATAAAAAAAAGCTTCCACTTACATCGAATTTCTTTGCTGGATCAGTCTTTGCTCTTTTGCTTATGGGTTTTGATGATGATTCTGTTTTGCTTCGAGTAGATCGAGATATTGTTGTAACATTTTCTGATGGTCTTAATTCATCTGCTTCCTGTTCCCTGCTTGCTGAGCTTCGTTTCCTCCTCCTTGAGGTATTGTTTAAAAGTTCATCAGGTGCATTTTCGTCCTTCATCTCTACATCGGTAGCCTTTTTGGTTGGCTTGCTCTTGAAACGGGATTGGGACGCAGATTCAGACTTGTTGTGGATTGATGATTCAAAAATTGCTTCGACGTCAATCTGAACACTATCGCTGATGCACTTGCATGACTCCGCCTTACGTCCAATGGGAATCCAATCATCAAGCGCAAAATTGATGGACTCCGCGCAATTAAATCCAAGGTTGTATCCAGAGTGATATGCGAAAGGGAATGTCAACACAAATTCACCTTCATGTTGGACCAGTCTGTTCACGGGTACACCATCCGCTGCCAATTTTGTGGGTGAGAGAAGGTAAGTCTTGTGACGTAAAAACTGTGGACAGTTCTTGTAGTCAGATGAAAAGATTCCCTGGGCGATACATTCGAATCTAGCGCTATGCTCTGGCCTTATGCAGTACCACTGCTTGGGCGCTCCGAAATGCAGGTAATTAATTGAGTATAAATCCATATCCTCCACATGCCATGCAAACGTTGCTTTCCACATTCCAAAGTAGAGGTATGGCGTGTTGACTCCAGGTAGATTCTGATCAATCCTTGACAGTAAATCGCCCAAGCACTGTGTGTTCCATGAGCTGGTCCTGTCATCAAACAAGGAGCCTATGATTTTGCCCATAGTAAGTATTATTAGATATGAGATATGAACTTAATGATCTTGTTCAAATTTATACGCCGCAGTCATGATGAGCAATCTGGTTGTTGCGGATTCAACGCCTCTATTTTCATCTCTTAAATAAAAATGACTCATCTGGCTTTGTATCCCGAGATATATATAATGCAGGGACGGTGAAGTGCAATGTACCTACCAGACATATCCGCGCCATACATGGGTTGAACAAAAGTGAGGTTGCGCCAGTAGTTTCGCTCCAGCTCCTTACAGTACTCTACTGTATAATCTTCGCCATGAACAACCTTATAATCTGTCACAGGCGGTTCAAGTTCTTCCTGATCCTGTAACTTTATATCCTTTGTCCTTGTCTGATTATCTCCTTTGGCAGTAGCAGAGTCGCTCTCCATATCATCCTTAGCTTCAGGTACAAGAGAGATAAACGGATCCTGCACTGTAGTAGGTCCAGATCTTCTTCGTGACGGTGGTGATGGGCTTGTTGGCCGGCGAAGTAAATGTTTGCGTACTATATTAGAGCCAATTGTTGCCAAAGAGGGTCGATTAGGGCTTTGAGTTGCTGAGGAAGTTGTGCTCGTGGGAACCAAGGCATCGCTCGAATCCTCATTCATCGAGAATGTGTCATCTTGAAGACGGGTCGGCGTGGTCGGTAGCGAGTCAGTATCAGTTTCCATAGGGACAGCATCGGTCTGGAGAGTAGTGGGCTTGCGATTTCGCTTGCGACGAGGAAGGGGGTCAGCGGGACCATGTGGGACACCTTTACGACTTGGAGGACGATGGTCCGAGTCTTCCGAGAGGGTCTTAAATTCACGGACAGTGTATGACTTTCTAGATTCGATATTGGTTTGAGTGTAAATTCCTTTGGTGCCTCTGATATGTTGGATAATAGGAGTCTTAATTCTCACTGAAGCCAAGCGTTCAGAAAGATCAGGAAGAGCAGCGGTCCTATAAAAAACAGCCATGCCACAAGATATTGTGTAGGTGAGTGACACATTCATTAAAAACTGCACACCATTTGTGAGCGATCATTATTTGTTTATTTGTTTGTTGTAAATGTTTTTACCATTCTTTTGGGGGAATAATCTTGACAAGACCAGCTTCACGACCATAGCTAACAATGGATTCTACAAATGTTGAAAAATCTTTGAACTGATTCATGGTGGGACGGAAGACAGGAATGCCAGTTTCGACATTGTCGTAGTAATGGTCTGGTTTGATGTCGATCATTGTTATTCTAGTTAACAGAGAGCCGTCTTAAAATCGTGAAGGACTAATTGAAACTGGGCGTAGCACGAAAAAAAAAAAAAAAAAAAAAAAAAAGTTCACCCACGAATGTGTGGCACACTATAAGAAATGGAGTATGAATGATGTAGCGAGACTTTAGACAGAGGACTGAGTCAAGGGAGAAAAGTTAGATTGTTGCGAGTCGTTAGAGTCAAAGTAAGGAAATTAAATAAAGAAAAGAAGAACAGTAATATTTGTGGATGCTGTGAATATGTCTTATAATTTGTCTTTGTGATAATAAAGTGTGTGTATTGTTGCAGTTGAGTGGTGTCAAGAAGAACTGCATCGCATACAAGTATGAACCACAAAAAGAATACGGTAATGACCCAAAAGGAAGGAGAGGGAAGAGCGTGAGTGAGACCTTTTCTTATTTTTGTTTTGTATTGTGTTAGCAAAAAAAAAAAAAAAAAAAAAAAAAAAAAAGATGCAAAAAGCCAGGGGGCTATTAGCACAGTTTATAGAAGAGCAGGAAGATCCTATCTTTCGCCAAACACTCTGGTAACACATTTGTAGGTGGATGTTGTGTGCAAGATGCTAAGTATTAAGTTAAGTAACAAGCGTTTTTAACGTAATAATAAACGGTGGATGTAGAAAAGTATTTATCATTTAAGACAAAGACATAGCAATGTAGCGCTTTGTCATGTACAGCAACAATTACAACGAAAAAATACACAAATGAAAATGAAGGATGAATTGCTGTGTCTGGCGAGGAAGTGAACAAGTCCATGGAGTGTGAATATTTAAAAGTATACATGGATAAAAGGGTAAAAAAGTAAAAAGACCACAAAGGAGACAGCTGCGCACAACCAAGGAGTGAGAGAAAAGATAAAAGACAAGAGATATGAGAAGGACGGCTACCAAACCTACCTTTGAACAAAAGTTGGGAAGAGAAAGATGCGGAACGGATAGGAAAGGAAAGGCTCGTTCAAGAAATAAAATAAATATAAAAAAAAGAAAGAAAGCTGATGATGGGAAGATTGATAGCGTCAGTGAGCAGAAAGTAGGTCGTGTGTGCAGTTTGAGTATAAAAGTTGAAGTAAAAAAAAAAAGGAAGGAAGAGAAAAGAGAGAAAAAAAAAAAATTAATCGAAGAGACAATACGACATGAGCGAAGGAGGGCGGAGTAAAAAAAACATGGTAGTTGGCGTGTTTAAGAGCTAAAAACGACGCTTTCGTAAAGAAACAACAAGCGGGCACATGCAGCTCCAATGAAGAGTGAACAAATTCATCGATAGTGTATATCGCCATATTTGAATGGACCATCTAGCCTACTGCCACTTATTATTCCATATCTTCGTTCTTATTATTTGTCATTTGCTTACTTGCCGCCTTACTTACATGCTCTCGCAATGTATTTTTTGTTCATGAAACGAAGAGGGTGAAAAAGAAGTGATGCCAAACCAACATGTGTACAAATGACATAGCCTGGGCGTAGCTTCAAGAGACAAGACCCTGGCTAGGTAGATCATAGTAATGGAACATACACATGACCTACGTCATGTGATATTAGCCCTTTGGATGGAGAAGAAGGCATTTATTTTTGTCTTTTGATTAGCTGATTTGTAAAACCATAGAATTCTTTTATTTTCCTCCCTACTGACAAGCGCAATGTGCAAACATACAAAGCAAAAGGATGAGTACTGCCGAAAGTGTGAGATGCATGATGGATAATTGTTCCTCTTTGTAGAAGACTTTGAAATATGAGCTACACGCATGTATTAATAAATATCCTTCGAATGTTGGCGATGGCCGGCCGGATAATATAATTAATAATTTTAAAATCCGGTGCTGAGTATGTACAGAACATGTATACAAATTAGCTTTATGAAAGTACATAATAAACCTTATGTATGTGTTTGTCTTTCTCTGTGGAGAGGAATGGTAATGGCATTGAAGCAGACAAAACTCATCCTAGTCATCTTGTTTTGCATCCATCTCACTTTTATACACATTCTATTTCCTTCACTCTTCCTTCTTTTCATCTTTCACATTCTTATCCATTCTTTCTAATCGTCTTGTGCATTGCCACTTCTTTCTGTTATTTATTTTACTTATTTTATTTTACCTTTCAGGAACTGAAAAAAAGTGAGATACTGCTGGACAATGTGGAAGATAAAAAAATATCCCTTGTCTCTTTTTATTTCTGATTACTTCCTCTACTTTTTCTTTAACGTTTCTAATGGTCCCCTGTGTCCTTTTTTTTTTTTTTTGTCTTGGTCCACTCCACAGTTTTGAGGATCTGATACAATGACCTCGGTGATTCCAAACTCTAGTCTTGCCAACCCAACCCCATGTTTATCTCATGTATCGCAGGGGCCCCCGTCTCAAATGTCGTCAACAATATACCATAATCAACATCGAGCCCCCTATTCAGATGATGACCTACATTCAGTACAAGATAACAGTCAGCAACACCTATCGAATCCAACTCAACAGTACCGTCGATTACAGCCTATTAATCAGGAGTACGACCTAAATTACCCTCATTCCCATGGTCACCATATCCCTTACGGAAGGACAGGCAGAGATCCTTCCTTGAAAGCAAAAAGCGCTAAACGCGTCAGCAAGTCATTGCCCCCAGATCCACTCATGGGACAGAGGCATAAGGATGGCAACATTGTAAGCAGCTTTGATAATCATATCTTGGTACATTCGTCGGACATTTTCCTCTTTTGTACGCTAAGAAACGTACTGTGAAATTAGGAGGAAATATACACATAAAAGAAGGAGTGTGGCGTCTTAATATTCATGGAAACACTATAAAAGGTGTGAGCAACAATACAGGAGATACATTCATAAACGTGCGCTCAGAAGAGGGGTTTGATATCAAAACCATTGCTGTGCCGTGCAAGGGACTATAGTGAATGGACTGTTGTTGCTGAAAGCATCGATAGTGTTTAGGGCTGGAGGAATCATTCCGGTACTCCTGATTTAATTGTCAATTAATATTTATTGCTCATTTTCTTTTCTCAAAAGAGCTCTATCGTTCGATTTCTGAAGCGATGGAGATAGAGTGTGCTCACATCTGCGTTATAACCACAACAGACCCTTGGTAGGGGTAATCTGTGGCGAGAGGATATTGCAGAATTTGGGCTTCATCTCTGCGTGGATTGGATTTATTGAACACATTAAACACATTAATGTAGCCAATGAGAAAAGGACGAGCAACTTTTGCCTCCGTGGTGAGATCTTTTTTTGACGGAGCACCCTAATAGAAGTTGACGACTGAGCTAGAGTTCAAGTCATTCTTTACCATTGCACTTCCCGTGAAGGACCTGGTTTCCTACTTCTTTGATTATTGTCTTCTCACTCACAGTATTTCCTTTCAATCTCGTAAAACTCGCTCCATCTTATCTTCCCGGATTTTGGAAAACATTCTTAGGAGAAGTACTCTAGACAGAACTCCAACAAAAGTTTACCGCTGTCACCACCAGAATCAGCAGCCTTTCCTACTCACTTAAATTGCCAACTTGATGCCGATAAACCATCCGATCTAGTTACAACCCCACGGGACACGGCCGCTGACGATTCGCAAGTGCCCAATATTACCACTATGACTTCCAACCAGGCGTCTAGCGCCTCTAGTCGTATAGAGATTGTTCCTTATTCGCCTCCGGCGAGCAAGAAAGGCATTCCTATTGAGCGGCCTTATAGCTATTACAAGGTCGCACCCAAATTACCACAGAGCGTAACTGTTATTGACTCGCCCTTTGGTCCTCCGGAACCCGTTTCTACTATAACTACAACCTCCCAGAGCCATCGAAATATTGGGACTAGCTCTTCCAACTATTTGAAACTTCCCTCTCAATCAAACCCATTCATTCCACCAGCACAGTTCCAGCCTCCTACATTGCAACAGCGACACCACCATCAACAGAACCAGACTCAATGTCATAATCACACCGCTTTACGGGAAGATAGCACCAGGAAAGAGCAACCATATCCAGAGGAGTCAATTCCTGCTAAAACAGAGCCATCTTCATCAGGACCTGGGGTCTCTATGGCCAATCAAACGATAGCTTCGAACAATACCACACGAGATCAATCCAACTCTGGTAAGCATCTTCCCAAGGTCTCGGCATGGACCGAAATACATGACTGTGTGCCCTCAGCCGTGTCGAATGCAACTGAAGGCGCAACTCGACAGCCATCAGATAGGGTAAGTTTACTCTCTAGCCGCTAATCATGATATTAAATTTCCTCATTTCTAACCTTGGTAAATCTAATCGCCGATAGATTCGACCAACGCGTAGTCGCAGCAACGGTAGTGGATCACTTCAGGCAAGACATCAATATGAACAAGAGCAACTTCATCTGAAACAGGGACAAAACTCTAATGTCGCATTACAACAGCAGCCAAAGCAGCCTATTCGTAAACTATCGAGTGGTAATTTGTTTCGTATAGCTCGTCAGGCATCAGACTCTGCATTCCGAGGCATGGGACTTTCAAGGAAGGCATCGGAAAAAAACCAAAAGAGCTCCCAAAAACAGGAGATAGGTACTTCATCTAACTTTACGACGTATGAGCAAACAGTACAGGCTTCGATCCAGCAAAATAGTAGTCGGTCGCACAAAGTGCATCAGCATGAAGATGCTATAGGACGCATAGATGCAAACAGTGGCAATGGAAGCCTCGGTCATCAGGACCAGAATTATGAAACCTCGAAGGGATCCGATACTGATTTGGGACGCAATAGGCCTCTGCTTGATGTCAAACCATCTAACGCATCTGATCATCGGACACCCACTAGAGGTAGCTCTCTCAACGATCAAAAGACACCCACCAAAGGTAGCTCTCTCAACGACCCAAAGACAGACTCTGGGGCTTTCCACAGTCGACAAAAGGCCCAGCACCCTTTACAATACCCATACCAAGAAGCAACTACCATGTCGAATGAACCTATTATAACCATAGATGCTTCTTTGGTAGCAAATGTCATCCAGGACGCTTATGGAGGAACAACAGATGACTGGCGACAAGCACAGCAGGCAGAAAAAGAGGCCTCAGAGCGAATGAATATGAAGGACTCTGATCCTCATGAACGTTCCCGCCACACTTCTATAAACTCTGTTAGCACTTTGAATCTACCCCCATCAGCGACTGTACAGCAACCAATGTCGTCTCTTGATAGGTCGACTAGTAGAATGCTAATTCCTGATAGGGATAGGTCAGCGCACCAATTAGGCTCCATGAACCCTTCTATGAATGCTGGACATCACGATGGGGCATCTGAGCCAACAGTGGGAAGCCTATCCCTTGCTAAAGCTACTGTTCAGACCGGAGGTATTTTGGCTCAGTTGAAAGCAGCAACAGATGCTGGACAGGTAGTTGATCCTCTCCGAGAGATCTGGTCTCAGAAAGAAGGTCGCTACATCCAGCGATCTAATACCGCTCCATATTCTCATCGTGAAGACAGGACAGCCCAGGAAGAGGGAAGCCCCGGTTTTCTCTCTAAAAATGGACCAAAAGGCTCACTGGAGTATAGTAAAAGTGAAGGTTATACGGCTATTTCTCGTAACAACCGACAGCAAAAACGAACTCAAGACCAATCACATCAACAACCAAAGCAGCAAGAGGCCTCACCGCCTCTACCACCGCCACCGCTTCATGATAATAGCCAACCGATACCGATCAATGATCAACTACCAGAAGTTCCTGCCAAAGATCAGCAACATGATCAAAATGGGGCATACAACCAATCCTATCAATCGTCTAGCCATCAGCTCTTTCATGATCAGCCTCAGCAGCATCTCAATCACCACCAACAGCAGCGATATGCTCTCTCCAGATCGCGAGCCATGTCTAACGAATCTTTGTTGTATGCCAACAAAGATCTGCCTCCAACCCCTAGCCGGACGCCATTGCCTGCTGCTGTTCAGGAAATTGCGGACCAACAGGCACAAAATCGCCGAGCAGATTCCCGGTCCCAGGCGCAACGACGACCTCGCTCGCGTAGCGAGAGCACTCCAGGAAGCGCCAGACGCCCTCGTCAACCAGTCGCGGACTGGGGTTCAGGCGCATCCATGGCTTCTAAAGCTCCCTCGCGTTCAATGACCCCTCCACCCAATAGGCTGATTTCACATGAGCAATCTTTCAGCCATGGGAATATCCTTCGTGGAGGGAGCAACGTTCAACATGGTTCAATACAAAGCAATCCGGTAGCAGATCAAAAAGAGCGGATTCAGTATGGGAACGATTTATTGCCGTTGCCAGTGATCCCTTCACCAGATGAGAGTCTTAAGAAAAATGCCAATTTGGGTATTTTGCCTCAGGAAGTCTTAAAAACTCTAGATTCTCAAACCATTCAGAAAATTATTACACAGGCTGTCATTGCTAGCCGTGTCTATAAAGCATTGTCTTTCGAAGAGGTTGAGAGCCTAAAGAAGGTAATTATTCTTTATTTTACTTTTTGAATATTTTAAATGAACTTTTCACTACTATCCTACTACAAAATGACTGACTTTTGATTAATTTTTATAAAATACAGGAAGAAAGAGATCTCCAAAAGTATGTCGAGGCGCTCAACGTATCTCTTATAATTGAGACCCGAATGCGTGACGCATCTCACTCTTTGATCCGCCTTCATGAGACCAATACTAATATCGAAGCAGTAAAGACTACAACAAACCAGTTACATGCCACTACTCGTAAGATGGATCAGATAGTCCAAAAGTCACATCAGTCCATGGAACGACTTTTGGAGATTCAGCGCTTGCTTCTTCAACATGAAGGGGCAGTCTTAAATGCGGGTATGCGACGCCTGGATGGTGAGAATAGAGAGCTTACAAGAATGATTCACGAACTGGAAACAGCCAGAGACAAAGAGAAAGAGGAGAAGCTCAAGTGGAAAAAGGAGCATTCGCAGCTCCGGATACAGAGCATGATCTTCCCAAATCCTCCAGGCATAGAGAATTATACGAATGCATTAGCTCAAGGTGATAGCGTCCCTTTCACCGCACGAGAATGTAACTCTCCTTCGGTTAATCGGTCTCAGCAGCAGCAACAGCAACAACAGCAATCTGGTGAAATCACCATGTCGCCTTCTCATCAACAACAACCCGATGCCCGCCTGGCCGCCTTAGAGAAATACATGAGAGAGCTCAACGAAGAGATCAACAAAAAGGATGAGAGTATCGGCCAGTTCGAGAGCCAGTTACGTCTGATCAATGACTGGGCAAAAGATTTTCCAGGCTTCCTCAAAGTTAAGCTCAACGTTGAAGAATACTCCGAAGATATGGCATTTCCAACAATGCTGTCCGCTGCAGAGCGAGGAGCCAACCTCCAGAAGCGACTGATACAACTTCAATCTAGGGTCGAGGACGGGTTCCGAGCTTTAGAAGCTAATGCACATGAACTGGAGCTAAAAGCAAAGGATGCCGAAGACGCCAAGAACAGGGCACTCGAGTTTGCAGCAACAGCCCTAGCAAATTCAGCCATGATACAGGATACCGATAGTTCTACTCAACCCTCGTCTAAGTCGAGCCGAGGAGAAGCTGCACTATCGGGATCCAGGCAACGAGAACAGTATCAATCCCAACCGCAGCCGCAGCCGCAGCCACAGCCTCAGCCTCAGTCGCATCCTTCTCGTCTGCAGAGCCCTTCCAACCGTTCTAAATCTCCCTTGAGCGAGACGCATTATCCGCATTCCCAGCATCCACTACAGCATTCTTCTACCAACACTGTCGATTCTGATTTGAACATGCTCAATGGCAGCCTTTTAGAATTGCAAAAAATAACGTTCGATGATCAGCAAGCTTCCACATCTTCTTTTTCATCCGTATCGCCTTTACCTTTACCTTCATCGAGTGGCTCTTCAGCACTCGCACCAGGCCATGCTACTGCATCAAGCCGACATTTAAGCAGAGGAGACAATGTAAATCAACAAGAGCTGGCTCGGCGCACTCCTTATTCAAAGCAGAAGCTCAAGGATGATTTTGTGATTGGAGATGCGCACGAGGAAATCAGGCGGCTCAACGCTATGGTTGATGAACTTGAACGTGTGGTGAAGCTGAGGATGCTTCAGGAGAAACAATAGAAAATATAAAGAACAAACAAATCAAGAATCTTATGTAATTTATATCATTATTAAAATGCTCGAGTTATCATTATTATTAAATCACACTATATGTATGTTTTTCTTTGGATTTGTTTAAGCTTTGAGTCCACTTGAGCTTGCATTTAAACGCTGGAATGGACATCTCGCGTCCAATTTGTATCCATGCGACCCCAGACTGGCCATATTTCCCAACGAGCCTCAGTAACTTGTCTTCATCTTTCGGTAACCAAGTGATCCTGTAATTACTTCTGTGCGTACGTATTGCGGCGGAGGAAGAGCGTTTTCGCTTAAAACTGGATTTGAGGATGCCAGGGGATATAAACATTTCTGGATGGGTATATTGACCTAGCAAATCTTCCTCATCCTCATTCCCATCTGTATCCAGTAATTCTCTTGATAGTAGAGTCTGTAAGGAATCTTCTTCCTCATTGTTGTAATCACTAGTAATATTGCTATCCGCTTGATCCGCTTCAACCTCTGTAGTTCCTTGGCTTGCGTCGGCAATTATCTTTGGGCCATCAGACATATTTTGAGCATCTTCGCTATCAGCCTTTTCAGTTCCACTTGAGGTGTTTGAAGCTGCATTTACTTTTTTTGTGCCTCGAGAAATAAATTGTAACCTCACCAGCGCCTTGTCTTGAACCATAATATTTTTTTTCTGGTCTTTAGATATATGACTGTTGCGCAAGATCTTGTTAGCTCTGCTCCTGATCGCGATAATGGTTCTGTTGAGGCCGTGGCAGTCCTGTCGAATAGTCGTCAGCGCACCTCGTGGAAGTTTTCTTACTACACCTAAAAATCCATGAGCCTGTAAAGCTCGCGTCAACTCCTCAGTCTCCATGAGATTCCATTGTCCAATACGAGCTTGGTTTTGGTTGGGGCTGATGCCAGTGCCCCTCAATGCATTATTACGGTTGCCTCTCAATACATGTGAGAGCCATCGATATTGGCATTGCGCCCCAGTAATACCATGCCCAACCTGCTTTGCAACGACCCTCCAGTCTATATCTGCAATTGGAATCATTGAAGAGTCATCAACACCTTTTTTCTTCTCATCAGCTAGTGGCCTTTCGGCAACATGCCGTACTGCTTCGTGGAGTTTCTTCAATTGGTCCCCTGTCCACCCGTGCCGACGCAGAGGTTGCTCGAAAAATTCACAGGCTATATCTCCTAGTGCGTCTCTCAATCGATCGACCATTTTTCTTGAAAGGCTCACCAGAAAGTTAAAATCGTCTCTACAATCTACAGGTAGTTTTTTCAACTGTATAGTATTTCCTTCGGCTCCTTCATTTGATGGAGCAGCAGGTGGTGTGTGACTGTTGCTGCCTTGAATTACCACGGATTGCACAGCCATTGATATTTGATTCCAATCATTTCCAACTTGCAGCCATTTGGACCAGTACATGATCACCTCATCTTCACTCCAGATATGACCGCTCTTACTAATATTATTTTGCTTAACCAATTTGGGTTTCAAATAATGCTGCCATCGATCCTTACATTCTTGTATAGAGTGACCAAGCTGGGAGGAGATCTTGATCCATATTCGTTGCTTCTTGAGGATATCCAATTGCATGTGCTCCATAATAAAGTCTGTCAGTTGAGCATCTTGTTTTTTGGTCCATCGACGAAGATTTTTCAGGAGCAACGAATGTTGAAACTGCAACTGTTCCGGTGTGAATCGATTTTGAAAGACTGATCGCGCCATATCTTCCCAATCCACTACTGCATGATTTTGTGCATCGAAACACGTCTCATCACCATCATCCTTGTCTCTGCTCTGATTCTTGGCATTAAGTTGATCTTTATGCTGAGAGTCCTGGCGGTTGTAATGGCTATTAAGATAGTCTTGTAAAAGCTTCTGATCTCGTTTTCGAAAATTATCAGGGCTTGCATGACCAGGATGATATTCCTTAGGAAGCCTGAAGGGTTGCTGCGCGATTCTGTACCAATGTTCCTCACATGATATGGCTGAGATTTGAACAAAACTTGACTTCTCAGAGAGAATTGGTATTGAAGTTGAGGTTGCAGTAGAAGCTGCCATTTTAGTCATTTCGGTAGCGATCTCCCCCCAAGGTCTGGATTGCAAGACTAATTCTCTTAATCGAGCAGAGAGCTCTGGGGTCCAATATTTTGTCAATTCTGGCACAATTACTGCATAATAACGGCGGCTGCAAGTGGTTGGAACTAAATTGAGGGATTTGCCAATGGAATTCCAAGTATGGCCCTGTTGACGAAGTTGATGGATCGCAGCATCGAGCTCTGGTGTCCAGCTAATGACTGTGCGAGGCTTGCGAGGCTTGCAAGGTTTTCTTTGAGTGTTCGAAGAGTAGTAGTCATGGGTACATTCAATTCTGTCGAGAATGTCACTGATGCTGTTGCTGTTATTGTCTTCACTGCTATGTGCAGCAACACGAGTTGAAAAAGATGGGAAGGTTGTAGAAGTGCTGCTACTTTTGCTATGTTTGAGACGAAATATAATATCGACATGAAATGAAGCACATGGAAAGACAATGTCCGTATGCTTTGCAAGCCTGATGGGCAACACCAAGGACGACAGAAAGACCCCTCGCCGCATAACAGAAGCCATTGACATGGAAGAAGAGAGTAATTCATGTAAAAAGTCAAAAAGAACAGGGGCATGAAGAGGAAAACGGTCACTTCGGAATCTGAGTGTTAATTTTATTGTCTAGTGGTGTGATTCTTCAAGATCTTGGTCTTAATCTTGACCTTTATTTACTCTTCGGCAGCCTCGCGCTTCTTGTCCTCTGCAGCTTTCATTCTGCGGATATAACTATTAATAGGAGATAAGGTGTAGTATATATCATTTCGATATTAGATAACAGCAGAAGAAAAAATACCACTAAACGTAATGGCGATCAAATCCAGCCTTTTTTTTTCTTATTTTTTGAAATAAAGCAATTTGGGTTGGATAATGTATTGATTAACGCGCTCCTAAAAACCAAGCAGTAGAGAGTCGCCGCCATTGACATGTGTAGCAAGCAATTGCTCACTATCCGCAAAAGTTCTTTTTCAACAAATATTGCTTGATTGAATGAAGTATTAACTGCAAATCCACGTTTATCCCTGATACCCAATGTCGTAGAAAGCAATAGTAGCTCATGCTGAGACCGGATTCAACAGCTTCCCGGTCAGGAAGTGTGTTAGGTATGCATATTCCTAGGGAAATATCCTGTCTATTGACTGAATCGTTGCTGTGCAAAGTTTCATTTTTGCAATAATTTTCAATTTGAAGTATCCATGTACTGTACGCTGCGTGTTGTGTGTTGCATGTCAATGTCATTGATAAAGAATGGAAATCTCATCCTTACTCATCGTATTGGCACTTTTCATAGACATGGCGTTCATCTTGACACTTGAATGGCAAGTAATAGGTCTCAGAGCGGCACTTGTTGAGGGGGATCAACAAGTCGGCGCAAAAGTCGCGGTAGCCCAAAGGTAGACGGGCATCCTGCATTTCCTTCTGTGTGGCAGGCATTGATTTTCAAAGTGTAGTCGAGTTGTGCAATGAAAGAAGCAGATGGAGGTAAAGCTTCTATTATCAGTAAAGCAAAGATTGTTTATTTCTTCCGAACTGAAATTCGTCGCCGAGTGGCTTGGCTTTCACTTTAAATTCTTTAAATTGCTACTATTTTCTCCAAGGATTCATTTAGTTCTTGACTTTCACGGAAAAATTTAGCAGCCATGGTATGCGGCGCGGAGACATCGTGATTTGATGATGGACCTTGGGCATTGAGGAAATTCTTTTCACGCATCGAACTAACACCGTTACTGGATCTATTGACATTTAGGCCGACCGGCGGAGACGCGTTGTGATTGATGTAAAGGAAAAACAGACAAAGCTTGCTATTGTTATTTTTTTATATACTCTATATCTTTGCCCTTCTTTTCTGATCTTACTCCTCTTGTCTGTGCTATCCCAGGACGATGAAAATTATACATCAAAAGCTTCCAATAAGCGCGGTGCATCCACTAATGGCCAATCCTCAGGATCACTGAAGCGAACAATGAGAGACGACGACAGCGACCAGGATTCAGACCATCAAGCGTCAGCATCATCGCGTTCAGCAGGACTCAGAAATGGCGCGGATATACCTCCAGAAGATTTCGAAAGACTTGTCAAAGATGTAGTACGCCTGGCAATCTTCACATCTCATTCTGAACAAGCTCTAAAAAGAGAGGATATAAAAAATGGTAAAGCACGAGAGAGCACCAACTCAAATAAGCTTTTCCCCCTCGGTTTTTAACTTTGTCATGAGACACAGTGCTGCCTGTTTTCTTTTTTTTCTTTTTTTTTTTTTTTTCCTACGGCCCAGTTAATCATAATCTATGTTTTTTTTGTCTTTTGGGATAAAATTTAGTGTTGAATGACCACACAAGACTATTTGACGTTGTTATCCAAAAAGCTCAGGAGAGACTTCGGGATGTATTTGGAATGGAGATGGTAGAACTCTCAACAAAGGGCCGTACTAAGAATGCAAATGAGAAGGGTAGGACATTTAAGCTTTTCCTTCGTGTACAATGATGGGAATTTCTTGTAATGCATAATAACGGATTTCTTGCTCGTCTTTATCTTTTTCAAGGAACCAAAACATATATGCTCAAGAATATCCTTCCGGTAGATCTCATTACAGCTGATGTCATTGACTGGGGACAGGAGCTCGAAGATATTGGACTATTGATGGTTATTTTAAGCCTGATCATGGTTCGCCAAGGAGCTATTTATGAGAGTATGTGTTTGGAGATAGTGTGTATATGGAACCACACGCCTGTTTTCGCTTTTACTAAAGTTTTGTTCTTTAACATCTACATAAACACAGGTGCACTGATGTCTCATTTTCGGAGACTGTTGCTTTTAGAGGATAACTCTCCTTTTGGAGATATTCATAAGAAATTGGACATTTTAATTCGGAAGCGGTACCTAGAAAAATTCAAGTTAGAACATATGGATGATTCTGGAGAAAAGGTCGAGATGGAGTATCGGTGGGGTGCACGCGCCAGGATTGAGGTCCCAGAAATGAATGTTGTGAAGTTTATACAAGAGGTAACATGATTTTTATTTAATATTTGTGTAAATTTTATTTTTTTAAGCTGGTGTTAATTCGGCGTGTGTAATTTTTGTGCTCCTGTGGCTAGGTATTTGGTCGTGAAGCTCCATTAGAGCTAGAGTCAAGCATTATGAAGGCTGCTGGTATCAAAGCCAAGGATGCTGCTTAATATCGATAAACGCGCTGCTATTTTTCTATTAATTTGTATAATTATGAATTATGTACCATAATAAATGTTTTCATTCATGGCAGCCACGGTTCGTCATACACGTTCATGTCTGTGCAACTGTTTAAGTTTCAAAACCGTGGAACATTCCTATTCAAGGCAACTTTGTTCCATTTCAAAAGGCAGCTCAATCTAACTCATCCCCATTTCATTTAACTTCATTATCATACACCCTTCGGGCTTTTTATTGCTTGTGAAAGTCGATTTATCCATCGCCTTCATTCTGTCCATTCTGTGATTCTACATCATTAGCCAACCTGAAACACGTTTGTCGCTTGCAGCAATGAAATACCACTGCAATGGAGGTCTTTTTATACTGATAATTCTGCTCAGTCTATTAGATGGTCTACATGCTCAACCAGAGTTGAGTGCCACACCAGGGCCAATCCTTTCCACACAGACCATATCCATTCTTGGCGATGAACTCTATCTGCACGGAGGTATATTAAAAATGCGCCAATGAAAAAAAAAAAGTTTCTATTGTCCTTGAGACTAATTCTTGAAAAAAATATGCTTTTCTATTCAATCTTTAGGATCGCGGTCTGATACGTTTCTTGAATCCAACTGTTCATCGGAATTTTGGCGTTTGCGTCTCGGTCGACAAACATCATGGAACTTGTCAAGCATTGCCTGGGAAACTGTCCCACTTAGAGAAGACTCAAATACACTCCCGCCTGTTTCCGGCATGGGGCTCAAAACAATGATAATCCCTTTCAATAACACAATATCGCTAGTTAATGGGACCTCGAACATGGTACAGAACGCTTCGCCTTATATGGTAGAGTTTGGGAGAGCAGGATGCGCAGACGATAATGATCGACAAGAGAGTGAGCAGGGAGCAGATGCTAAGCCTTGGATTGGATTTAACATTTACAACCCAGTTATGAATACTTGGGAGAGCATTGACATCGTCAATACAACAGTTAACCTAGGATTCAACACCACAGCAGCTCTTGAAGTAGGCAACTTCCTTTCACCAACAGTTGCTGTTGATTATGTGAAATTTGCATGGTATATTATTCTTCAAAGTACCGTACCTTTGCGGCAAGTGATTCTGCGTAAGGATTTGGCCACGTTGACAACCTTCATGAGTGAACTCGATCTCCCAGATAGTCCATCAACGCTATTCCCTACACAGCTACTGTACGAAGGGTGGAGCGTCGTTAGTATCTTGAATGAAAATGCTCCATTTGTAGACAAAGGCGTGGCTACCATTGTAAGGGATCAGATCATCATTATCTCTGGAACTGCCAACTCTTTTACTCCCGGTGATGCCGATAAAGCAGAGCTACGAGGCTGTGATCACGCTTACATCTTCTCAACCGTGAGAGGCAGCTGGGCTCGGCAGGATTTAGTAAGTAAAATCTAATTTTGTTATGTATGTGCAACGCTTAGTATTGGTCATATAATTTGAAAAAAAAAAAAAAAAAAAAAAAAAAAAAACGTTGACTAACCCTGCTACTATTATATACCTCGAGCAGACTGTAATGGGCGACAATGATTTCCCAGAAACACGCGAGAAGGCAGCCTTTCTAGCAGGTAAATCTCTTCAACGTGTTAGATATGCATTTCAATATATATTTTTTACTCATACTTCTTTATGGTCTCTAGTTGGTAGCAAGATATATATGCACGGGGGTGTCAAGCCGTATCAGACCGTGCTGAACGACCTTTGGGTATTGGATACTGATCAATGGGCCTGGACGCGCGCACCTGATGGACCAGGTCCCCGTGCGGATCACACTTTGCTCCAGTATCATGAATACCTTCTTGCAGTCTCAGGTACACTTTTATTGAATATCCAAAAAAAAAAAAAAAAAAAAAAAAAAAACATGCATTTTAGAGATAAGTCCTGACACTTCTATTTTACTAGGATTTGACATGGGTCGCAATGTTCCGGTCACTTCAGTGTTGCCTATTATGGCTTACGACACTAATGCCACAGCCTGGACAGATATTATCCGCCCTACTATAGATGAAGAGACGAGCTTTGTTACGAACATCACACGGGCTGCTATCATCATTGGTACTATTATCTTCGGCATGATTTTGCTGTTCATTGCTGGTTCAACGCAATATCTCCGGAAATGGAATCAGCGTAACTATGTGAAGGTGGCTGAGAACTATGAGCTGGATGACCAACAAGTGAGAACAGGTCAGAATCTTCCTTCGATTTTGAAAAAGAAATACATATCACAGGATGGTGGTGACCATAACGCCAAGTATTCCAAAGGACATGGCAAAGACAGGGACCAGGGTAAACGCCGAAAATCACAGGCCCAAGTTATTTTTGAGGATGAAGAAGGCGAATATAATGATGATGATGGATATACTGGGGATGAAGGTGATGACTCCTTTAGCGACGACAGTAGCGGTGGCCAGAAGGTTCAAAAGGTGTCACTACTGTCGCGACCGCAAGCAAACCTGACTTCACGAGTGCCAAAGCGGGTGCGTATTGCTGAACATGTGGACCAGAGTGACGACATTGAGGACGAACATTCAGAGGAAGTTGAAAACGAAGAAGGGCAAGTCATTGTCCAAATGCCATCCGACATGCCTGTCGAGTGAAAATATATATATAAAAGCCTGTACAATAAATAAATCCTCATTAAATATCTCATCAGGAGTGCTGTACATAGAAGCATTGGGAAATGGGTATGGGTATCTGTTTATGGAAAAGTGCGCAAGTTGGTGCCTAAAAGTCGATTTTTCTGCCAAGGCACTGCATATTAAAGTTTGTTTGTGGAGGCAATTGAATTTCAAAATGGAAACACACGCGCATCATCTCAATCTCACTAATTCAGAAAGTGATAGATAGAATTTAAGTACAATTTCGTAAGAGTGTTCGCTTTCTTTCCTTCTTTTTCAACAACAAACTTTTTCCCACTTCTTATTCATTCCTTTAAACCTCTTCACTTTCTATTGTCCTTCACAATGCATCCATCACACATATACTCCGGAGGATTTGTTGGCTTGGTAAAGAAGCGGCAAAACAGCACTCGTTCTTGTTATATGTACTTTTTTTTTTCTCACGTTCGTCTCAATGAGTAAACTAACAACGAATGAGTCTTCATGGAATTCGCGCTCTCTAGATCGTTTTTATTCTCGATTTAATTGCCATTTTCGAGGTTATCAACTCGCACCGCAGTGTCACTTCCAAGCTGCTCTGTAAGCTATACATGTCCTTTTTGGCTTTTTTTTTTTTTTTTTTTTTTTTTGGCGTAATTAGCTATTTCTAACGCTGCTATTGTCCCATATCTATAGGGTCTCTTCTCATCTTCTTATTCCCTATCTTGGGGCTCATTCTTTACTTGTAAGTATTTCCTTTCTCGCTTGCATAAACACTGGGAATGCGTAAACACAAGGACTGACAAATGTATTACTGTTAGCTGTGTGTTATACCAACAACTAACGTTTTTTTTTTTTTTTTTTTTTTTTTTTTTCCACAATCTTTTTAGCTTATTCGGAGGCCGTGAGGAGCATAGCTCTGGCTATGAAGTTGTTGCTTAATATAAGAAATCATGAAGCGAGGATACGACGGAGTATTTTCTAGTTCTGGCGTTTGTAATATTTCAATTACATCCTGTTGACAAGACATCACCTTACCGCACCATCAACCTAAATGCACTAAATGAACTACATACAGCAGTATGCAGCTTCAGGCTGACTAATTTTCCAATAAACATATCGAAAGTTTATAATAAATATCGACGGACAGCACCAGGAGCCATGTATTTTTATTCCTCACGAGCTTTAGAACCAAAAACTAACTGAAAAGCTTATTGAGAGAGACCGAATATAATGCCACCATTGAAAGGGAATATAGAGCAGATCTCCTGGCTCGAGGATTGCATCCACGTACTTTGCTTCTGTAAATCGTGGATGTTTTTCTAAATCTGGATTTTCAACATTGACTTGGCTTGTATTGTTCAGCATACTACGTTCTTGTTGTTCTTGGCCATCATCATCATGTGTCTTCTCTTCACCCTCATTTACTGTTTGACGCTGTATCTCTTTCCCTGTTGATTCGAAAGTTCCATAAGGATATAGTTTTGACGTCTCTTCTGGTGAATACAATCGGACGTACTTTCGACCCACTACTTGTGCAAGCAGATTATGATACGGGTCTGTATGCATAGGTGATACTGTTTCTTTGGGGCCAAACCATGCATTTAATAGCACATCATCTGGTGGATGATACCCCTGTTGTTCATTGACATCAATCAAACAGTAGTCCGGAATATCTACATCTCTCCTGAGTCGTGGTATCTGGTCAAATAAATCATGCTGAGCTAAATAGCCAATCTGTCTCTGGCTCTTCTGATTCCGTAGCTGTCGGCGCTCACTATCATCGTCATGATTTGTATCAGAGCTAAATCCATTAGGAGTGATAATATACTGCTCAATGAACTCTCGAACAGTTACCAATTTTTGTGTCCATTGCTCATCAGTGTATTGGTTGCCAATTTCGATCGGAACAAGTCGATCAGGCCCTGCTTGACAAATCGAATCCAAGTGTGTCCATCGCGACCTCGCTCGCCAGTGGTCAATAGCTCCTGTGATGATAAGGGGCGTTGCGCCGGAAGGATTATGGACATGGTCACGAAAGACATCAAATGCTGGAAGGTGGACACGAGGAATAGGACATTTAATCACAGGACTAGATTCTGGGTCAAAATCCTCTTCTAGTTTCACAGAAGAAAGCCTTGCTTTCTTTTGACGCTTGTGAGGTGATGGTAGAGCTTGCTCCCTCTCCTCGATCTTGACCTCGATAGCTTCGATCAGGTCGTACAGAAGAGGCTTTCGACCATGTCCACATGCTCCAGCCATGATAAGGACGTTATCGCAGGCCGTGATTGCCATACGGAGTGGTGCTAGTGATTCCCTATACAGTATATCTGCTCCATCATTGCCCGTAATGGGTGTTTCATGAAGGCAACACAGCGCGAAGGCTTTGAGTATCCCCGCATCAGAGTACATCTCGCGCCAGCAACGTGGAACTTCGCGGTAAGGATATGCATGAAGCATTTCACGCCCATAATCCATCAAATTGTCTGATAGGATAATTAAATCGTGAATTGGGTTTGAGGAGGCCGTAGAATCATTTTCATTGTCATTGCTGAAAAAAATCTTCCCGAAAAGTGTTCTCGCGCTGAGTAGTGTCTTGAAAGTAGCATGCCCACAATTTCCACTCGTGATTTCTATTAAATGATACTTACACTTATTAGTAGGGAGGCGCTGGATTATATTTCATGGTGTAATTTGATTTTATTATTATTGTCTGCTCTTACCAGAGATAGAATTGGACCATCGGTCCTCGAAGCTCGCTGCAAGCTCTCTAAGTTTGAGGTGGAATCCAGAGAGAGATTCGTTTAAAGACGATTGTTCTGACATTTGATTGTAAGGAAATGACAGAGCATAAGTCCAGAAATCAATTTTTAATGGGCGATTATTAATTAGTGAGTGATCATGTAATCGTATAATAACTAGTGCCCTTTTAATAAAGAAATTTAAAAAAAGCAACAAGATGCCATGTTGAACCCTCTTTTTACTTTTTTTGCATTAAAACGCTCAGGATTTCAACAGTTCATTCCGCAAGCGCCACCATCACCATGCCAGACGAGTATGCAGTCAAGAAATCTAAACTTACCTTCAAAGGCGATAGTACGAAAACGTATGATTTGATATAATTGTGAATGAATGTAAAGTAATAAGGAAAAGACAATAAATATGATAACAACATTCAATCATATTCAAATTCTACTATACTATACAAACCATGATTACTTGATCGCACGGTTTCTAGGAAAAAGAAAAAGAGAAAAGCAGAAGACGATGCCAAGGATGAAGATAAAAACACCGATGCCGATGGTACCCTTATTAATTGAATCAGGAATTATGAACTACGATATGGTTGTTTTGACAAAAAAAGTCTCTTTCATCTTTGATCAATTAAACTGAATATGCTTGGATATTGTCTCACTCCCGAAATGTAGGTTGGGTCCCTGTCAAGTCTTTGAACGATCTTGGTGGTCCTATCTTCTTGACATTTTCATCAGACCCGCCTTCATGTCTCGCGATCGATGGCAATACCTCTAAAGTTATCATGAGGCCACTTGAAGCATCACAACCAGAAACTGAAGATGATGGAGACGCACCAGGGCCTCCCGCAAAGCCTATTTCTTTTGAATCTGCAGAACCGACTGCTGTCAATCAAGTTTTCGTAGTGACTATGATTCCGGATTCGGATAGATTGACGCTTAAAACATACAACGGTAAATACCTCAGTTCTGACAAATTTGGGATTGTTACTGCGGATGCGGAGGCAATTGGAATTCAAGAAGAATGGACGGTGCTTATTAAAGCGGATGAAGAAGAAGGCGGGATTTGTCTTCAGAGTCACTATGGCAAATTCCTCAGTGTGGATGAGGTCGCAGCAATGGAGAGCCAAGGCCGTGGTGGTGGAAATGGCAGTGGATTAGGATATCAGATCAGAGCTGATTCGGATGCGATAGGGTTCTGCGAACTCTTCCAAGCTAAGATTCAGGCAAGATATCGAAAGAAGGCGAAGAAATCCAATGAGATGAAGATCTCAGCAAAAGATTATGAATTAGAACAAAGGTAAAAAAAAAAAAAGAGCCACCATCTTCACCCTTCAAAAAGCCTCTCAGCAAGCTGACTCGATCTTTTATCTTCCTCTCTCATACCTAGTCGTAAGTTCCAGACATGGAACCATGGTCGCGTAATAGTTTCGAACGAGAGCTTGAAAGAACTAAATAAGGCCAAGAAGGAAGGTCGTTTTTCGGAAGCTTTACTCGACCGCAGAGAAAAACTCAAATCAGATCGTTACTGCAAATAAAATTACAAAAAAAAACTTTCCAACAAGATTAAGGCTCCCTTCCACAATCTTTATATTATTTAACATAAAAATGCCTTCACTTCCTTAATATACATTCGCTAGAATCACTTTGGTAAAGTTGAATTGAATAACATCGCACTTTCTTTAATATTTTTTTACGAAAAAGGCTACGCTGAATGGCTTTTTTTTTACTCAGTTTATCAAATTTACAACTCATCCTTAGTATCTTCAGATGACTTGTCACTTTCTTCATCGCTCTTCTTCCCGTCCTTTCCAACGCCATTGAGTTCCAAAAGCTCAACCTCAAAGACTAAAGCAGAGTTGGCCGGAATATGTGCACCTGCTGCGCGATCGCCATATGCCAAATCAGAAGGAATGATCAACTTCCTCTTCTCGCCCACGCACATTCCACGCAGTCCTTGGTCCCAGCCTAAATTTACCATGAAGGAGAGAATAATGAATTGGTCAATAATGTAGAGGCAGGAACTCACTTCGATCACCAAGATAAAATGTTATAAGTCCTGCTTATGAACGGGTATATATGCATTGGTCTGATTATTTTACCTTGGATAACACTTCCTTCACCAAGGTTGAAAGTGAAAGGTCCACGACCGATAGAGGTATCGAATTGCTTGCCATTAGACCACAGAGTACCAGTATAATCCATGGAAAGCAAATCACCATCCTTACTCTTGACGCAGTTAGGATCCGGGTTTCTAGCCTTGATGCCTATTCAAGGTGGAGTATTTATATTTATATTTGATTTTTTTAAGTTAATCAATTGGAAAGGTTATAGTTAATGCTTTACCATAGCTCTCCGCCATTAGGAAATAGATAGTATATATATACAAAATATCTTTATTACCAATCTGAAGCTTTGTTGGAGGAGCCTTCTCCGCAGAAATGTGAGAAGCGAGCAAGAATACGGCAATGGCAGCAATCGCGTAACGCATGGTCAATGAATGTAAGTATAAATGAGGATGAGAAAGAAATAAATTGAGGAAGCTCGTTGGCTTATTTTATCTGTTGCACACACAACACACAAAATGAAACAGAACTTGACTTGTGCTCTTTTGATTTGTGGAGAGAAAATGTCAATCAGAGATTAAAATATGAATTCACACAAAGCGGAGTATGGATTATGTGCGCTTCATAGATGTCTAGATATCAGGCTGTATGAATACATCTTCATTGGAGCATGGCTGGCTGATAGAGCTTTTTATAAGATAGGTTGCATACTTTTATGTCTATGTTAGAGGGAACTTTTTTTTACTGTTTAACTTTGCTAAAGATAGTGGGTGTACGTGCCGCATCAATGGGATCCTTATCTTTAAATTTCTCTTTAATAGGCTCCATGATCTCCTTGATACTGGATCTGTCCAAGTCATCCCGCTTTGCTAGGATGACCTCTACTAATGAGATGGGCAAGTCGTGATAGACGCGCTTCATCGAATAAAAGTTGAGATATGCAGTCTTTTTGGAGCTACATGCAAACTTGTGTAGTTGTTCGATCGCATCGAAATCCTCTTGTAGATCGTTGATCGGTTTGTACATTTCAAAGAATCTGAAAACTGACGCGCGATCTTGTTCTAATCGGTCAATACATGCTGGATACTTGAGTTTGGCCCCACTATTGCGTAGAGCATCAATCTGCGCGATCATCACGCGTTCCAACATCCAATCCACCAACTTTTTGAACATATATTCGTTCAAATGTGCCCTGAAATCATCATTATAGTCTTTCAGAGTCTCTACAATTTGGCCCATAGGGTCATCATCGTACCATTGGGACAAGTGCAACTTGCTAAAAGGTCCTTTGATGTCGTTGAAGACTAAATCCAAAAGCGAATTGGCGCCGTGTGTCGCTACATCAAAGAAATCATCCATACACTCGTTCAACGAGTCCCTTACTGACTCGAAAGTCTTGTGGTTCTTGATCATGTTCTCGCTTTCTATCCTTCCTAGCACTGTATCCGCAAACTCGGCGCATTTAATTTGATCGTTTGTTGCTGCCATAATGTACTCTGTCAGACCCAAAGGTGCTGTATCAGGTGCCTCCAACTGCTTCTTCACTTCACTTGAGATTAAAGCCTTCCATCTATTTTGGTAATCCTTGATAACACCTATGCATTCCTTGACAACTTGCTCCATCACCATGCTCTGTTGTGAGTCGTCTGCCAGTGTTACCTGTTGATTTACCATTTCAAAAAGTAGATTCGCTGTCTGCATGTGGTAGAAGTTCTCGGCATCCTTTGCAGGTGCCACCTGGCGCTCAACAAACTCCGTGGTTGTGGTCGACATCATGTTGTTGATCCATTTGAAAAGGTTGGTTCTCACTAACTTCAGATACTCATCCAAGAGCCCTTGTTCGTTTCCATCCAATAACTGTGGCTCCAGTAACTCCTCTGTTACTCCTAGCTGATGACTCATGCTGGCATAATATTCTCGAACCCAACGTAATAGGAACAAAATAAGACCTCCGTCAAGATCCGGCAAACTGGCAACCTTGTTGACTAGTTCATATACATGACGGTGATATTCAAGAACAAAGAATGGAAAGATTTTGTAGTTGGAAGGCGAGCGAGGCACCAATTCGTCATACACAAGAGCTAAATCCGGAAACACAAACTCAGTAGCCTCGAGGCACTCTCGAGGTTCCTTGTCCACGCTTTCCAACAACACATTGAACTTTTGCGAAACTTCATCGTGGAGAACATCAAAAAATTTGCTACGTAGTGATTTGATCTCCCGTGGCGGTTTGTCCACCTTCTTGCCTCCAAGTCCCTGCCTAGACGACCGCCGCTCGGTTTTAGGCGCGATAGCTTTAGCATCCGCACTCTCTTCGCTCTCGATAATTTTAATGACTCGAACAATCACAGAACCCTGTTTGTTCTTGATCAATCCAATCATGTTACGTGTCAATTCCCATAAGTACTCCTCAAATTCTTCTATTACTTGATCTAGACGTCCAAAGTATTGCTTCAGTGTGACTTTAACATCCAGGGCTTCGTCCTTGGCCATGTGGAGTGTCGTGTTTCGGAGCTGCTCCAATTTGTATAATTGGTAATGGACCATGAGTAAGTTAGGTGCTGGCCCCACAATATTCTTCTTGTCTTCCCTCAGCATGACCTTAATCCTGTCAAGCTCCTGATGTAGTTCCTGGAAGTTATTGACTAGATCCTGTGTCGCAACAAAGTTCTGATGCGTTTGTGATATCTAGATGCGACGTGCATATATAAAAATTAAAATTAAAAATTAAAATTAACAAAGACGGCATATGTATTTGTAAAGCAAGGCGAATTGTTATTACGAAAAGGAAAATGAAGCTTCGTCATACCTTTCGGATACGTGGATAATCAGTTATCAGTCCTTGTGCATCTTTACACAACGAATCAATATTTTTCATGTTTGTTCTAATACCCAGCACCTGTTCTTTGGTGGTGCCTAGAATATCTAATGCTTCTTTGGTCTCCTCCATCTGGTTCTGGACGCCAATTTTGAGCTGTTGGTCCACAATGGCTTTTTCACGTATAAGCTTTTGTCGAATAGAACTCAGGTTGGAAAGGTCGTCTGGGTGTTTGAGCATGGCTGAGATGATGGCGACCTTGGCGTCCGGAGACAGCGAGATGAAAGACTTTGCATCAACCATGACTGAGGTGCTTCAAGTTTTTTTTTTGTGCCCCTTTGGATGCTTCACAGAGAAAAAAGTTGCGTAAAAAGCTATTCCTGTGCAGAACGATGTAAAAAAACTTCATCAAAAGTCAAGGAGCCATGGGCGTATGAATGCACGTGAGACAATATCATGAAATCTCACAACTGGGAATGTAACATCAAATTTTTGACCTATTTTTGCTTGCAGACAAGGAAGGGTTAAAGCTCCTCCATAAATATTCATTATTGCGCTCTCAACGGCCTACTACCTCAACCTGTGCTTGCATTTCCTCATCTCGTTCATCGTTCGCATCCTCTCTTTGACGACGTTAATTCTACGCTCTGTCTCTTATTCTTTCATTCCCTCATTCTCTTCTTCATTGCTCCTCATCTGTACCATAATTCCTTTCACTCTTGACTACATTTTGAGACTCGACAAACAATGGTAAAGAATAGCTACACAGGAGTTTACGTTGAAAACAAGTAGATCGCATGCAGACAATAATGAAAGCCAATTTCTGATGGGGACATCGCCATTTTCTGCAGATTCGTTTCATTTTAGTTCAGAATCGTCAGGGCAAGACTCGGCTGTCAAAATGGTATGCACCATATGAAGATGACGAGAAACTAAAGCTCAAAGGCGAGGTACATCGCCTTGTGGCACCCAGGGATCAGAAATACCAGTCCAACTTTGTAGAGGTACAACAAAAAAAAAACTATCTTCGTTTCCATACTTCTTGTTTTTCTTGAAACACAAATAACAGTGTTGAAACTGATCTTCTGCTCTATAATCTATAACATTGGCTTCAAGTTCCGTAACTTTAAGATCGTATACCGTCGATATGCAGGTCTTTTCTTTTGTCTATGTGTAGATGCTAATGACAATGAGCTTGCATACTTGGAAGCTATTCATTTCTTTGTGGAGGTCCTTGACGCCTTCTTCGGTAATGTTTGCGAGCTTGATCTCGTCTTCAACTTTTACAAGGTATTCAATCATCTTTGATTCTAGCTGTAATAAAATAATTTAGTTAACTATTCTATAACTGATGTTCTAATGCCATGGTTTATATATATTATGTGTCCTTATATTCAGGTATACTCGATTCTGGATGAGGTCTTTCTCGCTGGCGAGATTGAAGAAACCAGTAAAAACGTGGTTCTCACCCGGCTGGACCACCTTGACAAGCTGTAGGCATGGATAATAATCTACCACTCGTTTAAACAAAGTTATTAAACCCCTTTGGTCGCGAACAACATTATGGTCTAGAAAGTATAAACGTCAGCATAATACCATGCACAAACAACAAAAAGAAAGCTTGACAGCTTATTATGGACATCGATATTGAATTATAAAAAAAAAAAAAAAAAAAATTGAACCTTGCTATAATAATGATGGAAAAAATACACTATTGAATATTTTAATGGTATTATACAAGTACTGGATTTTCTTTTTTACAATGTTCAGGAATAAAAATTGATGAGCCTCAGTTTTTGTGAATCTCGAGGATGCCGGACTGCGATTCCTGCATTGATTAAGTGTTCAATGTGTGGAGGATAGTACTTGCCAGGTACCAAAACGACATAAGGATCTTCTGGCTGACTAACGGATAGATTCATAATGTCCTCGAGTATGTGCTTCAACTCGAATTCTGCTTTTTCGTCGGGCTATAAGCAGTATTGAAGAGATTGATTGGTAACCGCTTGCCCATTACTATACATATACATACACATATAGATAAACGTAAAAAAAAGAAAAGAAAAGAGGAAGAGCAAAGTTTCACTCTCATCCATGTCAACTTACGTCTGGTTGGATCGGGGGATGATGTTTCGCTAAGAAGTGCACCAACTCCTTCATGAGCTCTCCTGTATGATCGCGAAGCTGCTGCAACTTTTGTCGCTCTTGAACTATCTCCTGGTTTATACCGGATTCAACAGATTTTTTGAGGTCTCTGCGCCTTGCCTGCAAAGCGCGATGAATTTCTTTTAGTTCCTTTAATAATTGGTTTTCTGATGCAAGCTCTGCTTTCGTTTCCTCCAATTCCATGCTGAGTCGCGGTGTCATCTGAGCATAGCTCTGGATTGAATCTTGGACCATCCGTCGAACACGCACCTTGGTGACTTCAGGTAGAATATCAGGAGCTGATTCTTGTTCTAGACAAAGTTAATTCGCGGACAAAAAAAAATGAGATCCTTGCGCGTAGAGAATTACATGCATTATAAACACACATATTTGTAACTCACTAGCCCTAATTTTATCGAGTTCAGCTTGCAATCGAATCTCTTCTAGTCGCAGTATTGCTACTTGCTGAGTGTTTAAATGCTTAATTAGAAAGTAGAATAATCAAATAACAAACATTCTTTTTTTTTTTTTTTTTTTTTTTTTTTTACTATATGACTCTGTTTATTCCTTCAGTTCATTTCACAGAGCCCAATTCCGGTTGTACTTACTTGACTCTGTATTGTGCGTCCGCTATTGGATAAAGATGATGAAAACTGCTGTTGATTTTTGACATACTTGTCTTTTAACTGTTGGAGGTGTTCCATTTTCACAATACACCTCTGATACAAAATCTCTCCAGTAGTACGGAGGACATCTTCACGTTCGCGAATATATTCAGGAGCAACCTTTATTTCATGTATTGATTCCGGTAGCGATTGTTGTGGTAATGGTGGTGGTCGTTGACTCTCTCCCACTGAGCCAGAATCAGAACTAAGATGTTGTCTTGCTGCATCAATAACTTGCTTCGTCTCTTTATCTCTTAATGGTAGAATCGTAGAGGCAGATGTATCAGCAAAAATGTGATCTTGAGTGGTGATTCTTGGATCAATTGGATCCATTACTGGTACAAGGCTATTTATACAGAGCTTTCTGGTAATTTTGTAGAAGCATAAAATTATGACTGATCGAATTTCTCGTCCCAAAGGCGCAGCGAATAGCGGCAAAAAGTTAAATGGCCCTTTGACAAGTTGCGAATAATGATTATAAGTCCCGTGATTATTGCGTAGTTTAAGCCACTACTATGCAAAGACAGATCCTTCATGTATTCCACGCATCCATTGTTTCATGGCATTTGTCTCGTCTACAGCAAATTTCTTTTCCATATAATCGAATTTGACCACGTATTACTTTTCTGGAGCCGATCATGATCGACCCTCATACCCTCAAAGTTACGGAACTAAAGGCTGAGCTGACTGCACGTGGCCTTCCTACAAAAGGGCTCAAAAAAGATCTTGTCACGCGTCTTGAGGAAGCCTTAGCAACAGAGGGTACAACTGCTGCACCAGCAGAATCCACTTCAGAACCAGATGTTGCTCCTAAAGATGTGGATGATGAAGGAAACCCTGACATGGCTCACCGCGGGGCTAACCAGGATGAAGATATTACTTCAATAAATCAAGAGTCCGAAAATATCGTGAATGTCAGTGAACCTGTTGCAGAACCATTAGCAGTTCCAGCTGAGACAGATATTATCACAGATCCTGTGCCTGTCCCTGCATCAGAAAAAGAATCTGTGACACTACCAGAGCCATGCCCAGAACTAACAACATTGAAGCCCGCTAATGATACGCCGGACCTTTTGCAAGAAGGGCTTGTTGATACCACCATGACCTCTGTTAATGCCTCAGCTGATGCATCATCAACAGGTGACACGAAAAAACGGCCACACGATCAGAGTGAGGATCCGCTATCAGGCTTGGTAGAAAAGGGAACAACTACTACATCTACTCCAGCAAAAAAACTGAAATCGATCATTAACAGGGAAGAAAACGAGAAGGTTATTGCAGCTGCAAAGGAATCGGTCGAGGCTGATGCTCGCCGTCGTAGTACTGCCCCTTCACCCTCACCAATATCAACTTCAGCTAGGGAGCTCCCGAGCTCTACAGCCTCAATCCCCATCATTTCAGCTACCATTGAGAAGAAATCTCCAATATTAAACACATCGCCCTCGGCGTCTACTTCGCCAATAAAAACGACAAAATCAGAACCAGGCCGGAGGTCTGACATGAGATCAGTCATGGAAAGACAAATCAAACTGGCGGCTTTTGATCGCAATCCTACTACTCAGCCTGCTCATGATATATCAACGTCAGGTATATTAATGAGATCTTATGGCAATTATGGACCGCTACCAATCTAAAGTGCGTACTCTTCTATTTCCTTACTTTTTTTTTTTTTTTTTTTTTTTTTTTTTTTGGCAGATGTGGTTTCCACAGAAGAACCTAAATACCCAAATGCTACTCGTGCCTTGGCGATTACAAATTTTGTCCGACCATTGACGGTCAATCAAGTGAAACGGATGCTTTCAGAGTTTGGAGAAACTGAAGTGTTATGGATGGATAGTATTCGGACTCATTGCTATGTGATAGTAGGGCTCATCGTTAATCTTAGTGTTCCATTTTGCAGACAGGCAATTACTAGACATGACTGGACCTATTACTTTATAAAACATACTCACCAACAATGATTTTGTATCTACTATAAATGAATAGTTCAAAGATACAGCAGCAGCTCAAAAGGCATATGCTCAAGTGGATGGGCAAGTCTTTCCAAAGGAAACCGGTAGACCTCTAGAACCTCATTTCATTACACCAGAGGCAGCGACGCGTAGTATTGAAGCAGCTGAAGAAGCCCAGAAAAACGGGAAAAAACCAGTTGTTTATAAGGGAGGACCAGTTGCCCCGAAACTCGGTGCTCCAATTTCTATCCGTAAGGATGACGTAGAAGGTATGGCAAATATATGATTTTATTGATACGCTGCAGTTATAAATAAAACCATATCGAATAATACTGACAAGTCGTCTTTTTTATTGAAAAAAATAATAAAAAAACGCGTGCAGTGATTTTCAAACGTGACAAGGTCGAACAGACACAAGTTGTGCAGCCAGCTGAGTTGTTCAAAATGACAAAGACACAGCCAGCCTTATATTACAAGCCTGTCAAGGAACCTCCTGTTGCCCCAGTAGGTCAACAAATAGTAACTACATCAGCAGTAACACTACCTTCATCTGCAGCAGTGGCTGCAGAATCCAATTGAATGATTCGCACAATAAAGCGGAACTCGGACATAATCCTCCATGTAAACATAAATAGACCTGAATGGCATGATCTTCAGCTCTGAGGAAAGTTGGAAAAATATAAGAATAATGATAATTGAACCCAGAATCAAACATAGGAAACAGCACCATCTTTTCGTCCTTTATTCTTTCTGATATTGAGATTTTGATTACTTTGTTTGGTTATTGGATGAGATATGGAGTCCAAAATCGAAGAAAGCTGCCGAGAGATGTCTGCCAAGTTCCTTAATTACACTTCTTTTTTTCCCAATTTTGTTCCTTGTATTATCCAATAACTTAGTCAAAGCTGAATAACAAACATACAGAAAGACAAGAGGAAAAAAAAACTAGAGAAATCTTTGTTTTTTAAGCCTCGGTTCTGACGCGAGCATTGGCGTTAGTGACCTTAATGTTGAGCTGCTGGGCACGCTCAACAATAGCGATGCGGTTGCGAGACGAGACGTTATGAGCAATCTCAGCAGCAAAAGTGCGGTTGTGCATCAGCAAGAGGTTCAACTCGGCAATGTTGGAAACTACGAACTTCTTAAAGCCAGAAGGCATCATGTGGCGGGTTAACTTATTGTTGCCATAACCGATCTTGGGCATGGCAATCTGGCCCTTGAAACGGCGACGAACGCGGTTATCAATACCCTTGGGCTTTCTCCATGATTCCTGCATGAGGAAATAAAATAATAAAAGAATGCATTAGTTGCTGTTATTAACTGAAACTAAAGTAGAGCTCATGTATCGCCTTTCTGTGGTAGTTATCATTCAATAATGTCTGTTTTTTTTTTTTTTTTTTTTTTTTTTTTAGTAGTCCTGCCTAATAACATTATCCGCATGATTATTGTGTCGTTATTCCGAGTCCTATAAGCTCCATACTTATTTGTCGATGCTTTAGCATATTGATGTGGCTATCCGATCACTGGTCGCATCGCCGCTCAATCGTACGATTGTAGAGTGAACTCTCACAATTCAGTGTCAACTGAAAAATAAGTAATGCAACATGACATAAGAAATAATAATCTCCTGGAAAAGCTCGCTCTGTTGCAATATTTTGAATATGCCAATCCTTCCAGTTCTTCTGCATCTTACTAGAGACGAATAATCCTGCCATATATAATTTCCTTCCTTTTGTTTGGTCATTTTTATACCCTAATGTTAAAGCTATCCTTGTGGATGAGTAAAATTTAGTACCTTGACAGTCTTGTAGCGGTCAGACTGATGACGCTTGAAGGTAGCGGTGTGCTTCTTCACGATGGTGTGCTTCTTGAGGGGCGTAACCATTTTTCTATTGACGCAGGATAAATCGCAAGTTCCCAAAGGTATTTTGTATTGTCAGTTGATGAACTTGGTATGCATGTTTGTAAGAGGTGATAAGGCGATGGTTTTCTGTCTACGACCTAAATGTCGATAATATTCCTGAACAGTGCTGATTTCTAATGTTGGATTGTTTATCAAAAAGACATTATATAAAAGAGCTGACTAACATGTTGGATTCCCTCAAATTCGCCTCATTACTATCGTTTCAGCGTAAATTTCTTAAGGTCATGGTCCATGTCATTCACTCTGTTGCGCCTCATTATAATTTAGTCATTTGCCATGTGAAAGTGCTGCATCGTTGGTAATATTGCAGGCTATGTTACAAGCTATTATTTCCTTTTCCTTTTTGATAATAGTGATCATTATGTTGCCCCATGAATAATCTGTTGATGTTCTCGTTCTTGGATGTTATCGACAAGCTGATCGATGGTATCGATATGTCCTTTTTTTACATCCATTGAAGTTAACATGACAATGGAGTCCCCTCCATTTTGCCCTAATTTCCAGTTTCGGTATGAAACGGTCACATACAAGAAAAATAAATTTCAAAGAGGAAGATCCGCATATTTCATTCAGAGAAATTCTTTTGAGTAAAAAAGGCGCGCCACTAAGCCATTTTTGAGTACAACAACCATAGTCCACAGAAAAAAGATTGGGCTTTCAAAGGTCTAGTGCTTATTATGGAGACCTCCAATGTTCAAAATGCCTTATAGAATGCATTCTTAATTATCCTCTACAACCCTATTCCAAACATTATCAATACGATCACCCCATCACAGGGAACTATCTTTAAAGTAAGGCACCCATAATGTTTATTGTCGATTAGATTTTTTGGCTTATCATGACTTCCTGATTTGATATCTTTGCCAATCAAAGACTGATATGGCCGTTTTTTATGGTGCAAGACTTGTTCATGGACATCACAATTTACAAAGCTGATGAGTCTTTTACAGATAATGTCTCCATGGTACTATTGCTGAGCAATAAGCAGAGTCATAAAGTTGCTCACAAAATGGGCCCTGTTCTATTGTAAACTGTCTGGCATACATCTATAACGTCTATAGCCTAATAAAATATAGAACGTGTTCTGTGCACCTTGACAGGCCTCTGACCCAATGTCAAATTGAGCTGTGCCGCCTTAGCAAAGTCCCAGATAAAGAAGTCGATCAAAATTGCATTTACGGCCCTCATGACTGGTAGTGGCATATCCTGCGTTTCAGTTGTTACCCGTGCCTGTGCTTGCTCCAACTCCACTTGGATTAGCTCCAATATTCTGCGACGGATCAACTCAACAGCCCAAATAGAGTTACCTCGGATCTCAACTTCCAATGGTGATCCATTAGGGAGCAACTGCCCCTGGTTGAGGATCTGCAGTAGCTCGGGTGAGTATTGTAGGCAGTGAAAATGATACAATGCTTGAGGGACACGGTAGTCAGCAAACATCGTGATCTCGTCAATATCATAGAACTCCCCGTAACTCTTATTCTGAAAACAGGCCCTAGAAGTTAGTTCGCGTTCAATATAGAATGAAATTATTAAATTTGTAGTTGATGTGAATAGCGTTAGAAGTGTCAAAAAAAAAAAAAAAAAAAAAAAAAGACAAATAAAAGACTAAGGAGGCGTCTATTACCAAAGATCGGCAATGAGTATTTGGGCGCGTTTATAAAATTGGACTAAGTTGTAGTTTCCACGCAAGGAGGAAAAAAAAATCAGTATCAAAAAAGAATTGCACGACAAACACTCTTTTTCACTCTACCCACCTTTTCGTCCACAAAATTCTGTCTCATCACGAAACGAAGAAAAGTTGGATGTGATGATATCAACCAGTTTCAATGCTGATTTGTCTGCTTGAACAATACAGTTCTTCAAACTTCCATCAAATTTCTAGGAAAATCAGTACAAAAGAGTGTTATAGAAACATTGGAATTACGACGCACTAGAAAAAAAGAAAAAAAAACCTAATCTTACCTCAACGAGGACCCGACCAGCCTCGCGTATAACATGGATCCTGTCTTGCAGCAGAGGAATCTGTTCGATAGTGTCTGACCTGAAAATCCTCTTTATTTCTTCATCTGGTAGCTTTTCTTGTGAAGCGTAGAATGAAGGTGTTGTGATTGGAATACCTTCATGTAACGCTTTTGAAAAGAAATAATTTACTCTGAGAAAACAAATTCCCTTTTAATTCAACAGGGATAAACTCTAATTGCGGAATTACCTCGGTTGATTGCAGCTACCATGGACCAGTAACCTGTATATCCAATGCCATCGAATGTAACTCGATAACGATCTGGGTGGGGTACACCCGTGTCGTCAATGTCGATCTCGGACCAAAACGAAAAGTTTAACAAGTCTACTAAAAAAATCCTGTCGAACAATAAACAATAGTCCTTCGTTAGAATCTGCATGAACCGAGTTGAGTGAGTAGCAGAAGCCTAATTTTAATACCAGTCGACAGTGCTTTCGTTGCACTCCTTGGGATTCAATGGATGTTCTTTCCACTAGTTTTTTTTTTTTTTTTTTTTTTTTTTACAAAAAAAAAAGAAAAAAGTGAGAGTTTAGGCTTGTGTAAGAAGCATGCTATAAAGCGCAGTGTGGATTTTGCCTTGAATACCTTGCTTGTGTCATAATGTGTCTTCTTCATGGCTTCAAAGATCTACTCGTATAAGTAAGAGATTAATCACGATTCATTTTGAATTTTCATTACAACAAGTTGTATATGAATATACTTTTGCGGCGCCTTGCTGGATCCCATCACTTGGAACGGTGACATGCTTACTATGCTTTTATTATTATTGTTATGTATTATTATTATGATGATTGATTGATTGATAAGGTAAGCAATATTGTTTGTGCTGAAATACAAGTACAGCATACTATTTTGGACACAAGCGGTTTACATTGTGAATGAATTCTGCACTCTCGAGAACAGGATTGACAATCATTGTGTTGATGATGCAAACAAGTCAGAGAAGAGATTAATGTATGGTGAAATTCACTTTTCTCACAATTGGAGACTGTGCTCACCCAAAAAAGAAGGTCAGTTTTGACTGGGCAGAACCCATGAGCAACTTTGGTACTTGCAGCCTGTCAACGGCGCTTTTCTTTTTTCCCTCAGTCCAAAATCTAGTCCAATTCAATGGTTTGGTTTTTTTTTTATTGACGTATTCAGCCATCAGGTCTTTGGTGTTCTGGTTTTTTTGTCGTTGACTTGTGCAGAAGCGCGAGAAAAACCAAAGTGTTTTCCCATTGAAGTTGAAATAAAAGCAGGTTTTTTTTCTTCTTTTTTCCTTTTTTCTTGCTGCTCAATTCAACTCGACTCCTCATTCTTCATCTACTTAAATTCACATTCATTATGGTAATGTTCATTCCTATACGATGTTTAACACTTCATCTTTCAGGTTTAAATACCTTGTCGTACTGACTTCTTTTTTTTTTTTTTTTTTTTTCGTGTATTTTCGTTGCGAAACAGTCTGACCAGTTCTCAGATACGGAAATTGCTGATCTTAAGGAGAGCTTCGACACCTTTGACCGCAATAATGATGGTTCCATTAATCGTCGCGAACTGCACTCGCTCCTTCACATCGTTGGACACAAGGTCAATGCCAAAGGTCTTGAAAACCTTTTGGCCGAGTACGATGTTGACCTCTCAGGCAGTATTGATTTCAACGAATTTGTGCAACTTGCTCAACAACTGATCAAGAACAAGATCAGTAACTAAACAAATAAAGCAAAAGCAGGACCTTTACAACACAGAACTCCTTGAGGAGTTACACTGCCAAATAAGTTCTGCCAGCCATGTTATAATTACATATATTTTTCTTTCTATTATTCTGTTACAAATGAGAGAATGAAGTGACGGTCTGAGCCTCGATACGAAATAAATGTGTAATCAACGTTCTGTTGAAAGCGTACGAAACATCATGGCACAACTGCTATAACTGTGCTTGATTGTTACTCTGTACATCTCACCCAAAGTATCCACGACAACGAAATGAAAAGACTTGACAACGATGTAGAAAATGGTAAACTAGGAGCTATGGTGTCATCATGGAATTCAATGCTTTTTGTTAATCGCGACACATTTGGCTGGCTCTCAAACGATTCATCCCACCGGTCTTCAATTACTTTGTCCAGACCAGCGACATCATCTGTCTCTGTTGCACTTTAATATTCAATATCTAAGAGCTGAAAAAGGAGTCAGGGGCTTAAGAACCTATTAAAATGAATGGTGTTTCCGAAGAATTAAAAAAAAGTTGCAGGAGTCTAGAAAAGTTCGTCCAACGGTGGAAGGATGCTGAGACCCATGAAAAAATTAAAAAATAACCTATTTTTCTCATTTACTTTATATCTCATCTCCCATCCCTTTCTCTCTTTCTCTTTTCTCTCTCTTTCACTTTTTCCTTTTTCTTTGTTCCCCTGATATTCGAGATCACTTTACTTTGTGCCATTCCTCGCGATCCTTTCACTTGTCAAACATCTATTCTTCCATCATGGTATGGGGCTATACAGACTATTTTACGAATGCTACACAATGTTCCCAACCTTTGCGGTTGCCCTAAATATCATCAAGAATTTTTGCATCTTGCTGTGAAATATACTTTTTGGAAATCAGCCTAATTTCTTTTTCTTTTCTTTTTTTTTTTAACAGTCGTCGTTAACAGAACAACAAATTGCCTGCTTTCAGGAGAGTTTTGATGCTTTTGATAAAAATGGAGACGGCGCCATCAGTCCTACAGAGTTGCGCTCGCTGCTGCGTGTAGTGGGTGAAAGCTACAGTAAGGATGCTGTGGAAAACATGATTCGAGAGTTCGATACCGACAATAATCGACATATTGACTTCCAAGAGTTTCTTGCCTTGGCGAGCAGATTGATGAAGAACAAAACCGCATAGTAGTCTCTGATTGCTCAATGGGTCTAAATCACTCTCATCTTTATTCAACTCATGTGCTCTTGTTCCTTTTCTAAGCAGTTGAGCTCATGCACTATTAAAGACTCCACATTATTTATTTATTTATTTATTTATTTATTTATTTATTTATTTATTTTATGCAAAGAAAACAATGCCAAGTGCAATCATAACCATCATATCGACCAAAAGTCTCGCACCCTTCTTTGTAGAGACACCGCGGGCTCCAGCGCTGGTCTTCTTCGCGCCTTCATTCTTGTCCTTGTTCTGACTTGCAATATCCTGAGATTTACCATTAGTTGAGTTCGTATTCACATCAACGTTAGTTAATTTTCCTCCTTGACCAAGATTCTCAACCAAACCCTGGTGAATAGATCTAGTCAGCTCGTGGTTGGCAGAATCAGAGTCCATGGACCAAATACTGACACCTCCAAAACCGATCTTCCCTAAGTAGCTCATTTTGTGCTTGAAGGTTTCTGGAGTGTCGTAACCCACCCACTGGTCATGGTTCACGACCATGTACATGCACTTGCCCACGTCATCCATACGAGGCTCTTGAGTCACTTCCCGATCAAAATGATCAGAAGCACGGGCTTTTACATCGACCGTCTGGAAATTATTTGACAACTTCTTGGCTTCAAAGTATGCCATGGCGCCTTTCTCTTGACAACCTTGCTTACCTGGCCCAATAGCTGGAGATCCAGGTGCGGTCTTGGTTTTGTCCTTCAATGTAAACGTAACGCCAGATAACGAAAGTCCCAAGTTGAACTTTTTGGGACTAACGGATTTTGGAGCCATGGACTTGACAGCATCATCAACAGAATAGCCATGATACTTGGTATTGTTTGCAGTGTCAAAAAGTGGCGCAGCACAGAAAACCATATCTTCCCATTGCCTGAAGAAGATTGAAAGATTTTTTTTTAGCATCACATCTTAGTACATGACTGAATAAAAAAGGCGTTAAAATAGCGCGTAAAATCCCATACCCATGAAGGTTGTAAGCCATGATGTTGAACCAGTCAACTAGAATGGAAGAAAAGATTATAAAGGTATTTTAGCAAATATTTTGTGAAAACTAGAGCTCCCCCCTTTTTTTTTCTCACCATATTGAGCAAGTTTGGGGATAAGGAAGTATTGGCCATGGAAGGGTCCTCCGGGTAATGCAATACTGACGATCAGCCGCTGTTGGTTTGCTTTCAGCTGTTCCGCATTGGCAGCTTCGCGGAACTCGCGTACGAAATCAACAAAGTTCTCTGGGTCATTGTCATGGCCTCCTCGTAGCTTGTCTGATGGACTTTTTTTTATGTTTGTTTGTTCATTAGAGAGTTCAGTATTCATCGGTTAGAATTTATGAAGGAAATTGTTTAAAGGCAAGAACTCAAAAGATCAAGGTTACATACTACTCCCAATCAAAGTCGATTCCATCAAAGCCGTATTTGCGGATATAAGAAAACGCTGATTTAATGAACTTTTGACGATTGGCCGGTGTAGAAACCATTTTAGAGTAATGCGCCATATCCATGTCCCAACCACCTTTTTTTAAAAAAGAAAAAAAAAAATTAGTGTTGCTCGCATGGTTTCAAGAACGGATTTATGTTCAAGCACATTTTATCTTTCTTACCCACAGTGATAGCAGTTTTAAGGGTAGGCTTCTTGATCTTGAGGTCGTTCAATTCTTTGTAAAGCACTTCATCCTCAGAATGCTGTATTTCGATTACTCCATCGGCGTTGATCATTGCGAATGCAAAGTTGAGGTGGGTGTACAGATCATAAGGTAACTGGGCTGGAGCGAAGGCTGGATAGTCTGGACACTCTCCAGCAGTCTATTTTGAAGCAAACAAACAAACCATCAATAAAGAACCCCCCAGCAGGAAGTTTTAAATACAACGTTGTCAGTAAATTGAGATATAAAGTAGTTCACAGATTAAACAGAACGATCGGTCTTCTCCAATATCGTATCAAAATACGTGGGTAGTTGAGATTTTATATTACTCATATTGGTAATGAGCTGTTCATAAACTGCCATGGGTATTAATGGGGAACCTTTGGTTTGAGTCGCCTACAGAATCATTAAACGGATTTGGCGCTTGCTTTGTGGGTGCTGGGCAAAGAGAATTGCAAATGGGCAAGTAGGCAGACACGAGAAAGCAGGTGTCTCCACAAATAAATTAACTATTACCTTTCCATAGTATCCAACAACGCGCTGTGCTTGTGCAGCCATAAAAGGAAGCACGAGCGCCATGCTCGTGACTAAAGCAAGTGGCCTCATTAAAGCTGGCCGCGTTTATTGTCAAATTTTAGTTTAGTTTTTGCGTGTAGATGAACTGCAAAGGTGGTATATGTAAAAAACTCAGTGTCGACTGAAGAATAAAAGTTGGGTAGAAGCAATAAGATGATAAAACTGTGGATACGCGCTGATATTTAAAGCTTCAGAACAGTCATATTCTTAGGAATAGGTGGCATAATAAACATTTTTTTTTTTTTTTTTTTTTTTTTAAAACCATGTCTTGATAGAGAATGAAGGGAAGCTTCTATGCTTTCACTACTTCCATATTCCAGCTTGACCGTTTATTTTTTTGTCCACAGATGTTACGGATGTGGCTACGGGTTTTGGAATAGAATAAATATACTCGAAGACAGACCAGTTGGTAACGCAGCCCTAAACGGTCCATGAATTCAATATTATCTATTCCTCCGATGCAGTGCAATTGGCTTGAACCTAGCTTTTGGAGATGAGACAGGAGAAACAGAATAATGGAACACCACTACATTGTCCAGTTCTTATTTGATCTAACATTGGGTGCAAGCCAGATAAAAATACAATGTATCAATAACTGTCAGCAACTCTCGTGAGAGAGTTCCTTCACAACATTATCGGATTCCTTTAAGAAGGACTAAGAAAACGCGTCCGCCAACAGTCAAAGATTACAAATGCTTTGTTCTATCTGGTGGCGATCCGTAAAGCCAATCTGGCCCCCCTTTCTCACACATCCCTTGACTCTTGTAAGCCTATATCATTTTCTTGTTTAGGATAGACATAATAAATGGAATCAACGCTACTATTGTCCTGTCTCATCTTCTCATGTCTTGTCCTATAAAAAACGACGTGACTTTGTCCCAATGTTGAACTCTTCTCTAAAAATTAGTGGCAACTGTCAAAGAGTTTGGTTTCGTCATTTCCTTACTCGATGGATTTGACGTCAGTGCGCTTTTTTAGAGTTTGCCAGTTCTCTCATTCATCCCCTGCAGGAATGATCTCTCCATGGAAAGTGATCCTCATTTGCATCCTCTTTCCGTCATTCCATTCTTCATTCTACTTCATTTGCCCTCTTTTTCCTCTTTCTTTTTCTTTCTTCCTTTCTCCCCCTTCTTCTTCCTTTCTCCCCCTTCTTCTTCCTTTCTCCCCCTTCTTCTTTGTGTCTCGCGTTTCATAAGCCTTCTTTACACTTCCTCTTGAACAAAAAAGCTTCTCCTCTCTTCAAGCATGTACCATTCTCAGGCAAATGTCCGCAAGAGACTCGATTGTTACTATCGGAACGTCAAGGCCGTAATCCTTAATCGGCAGAATCCAACCACAGGCCTGATCCCTGCATCCGTCGCTGTTACAACTCATGGAGACTATCGTGATGCCTGGGTTCGGTGAGTGTGTGGATTGCTACGCTTTCCTCTAATTTCTTGTTTTCTGTAGTACGTGAGAAACCGCTAGTTGAAATACTAATGCTTCAATTGATCCCTTTTGTATGATTGCTGCTTCTTATCACGCTCTTATAATACCTTTAGTGATAATGTTTACTCCATCATGGCTGTTTTTGGTCTTGCCCTTGCCTATCGTCGGGTCGATGATGATGAAGGCCGAGCATGTAAGTTCAAACATTGCTTCCACTTAACACATTTTTCCCTGAAATATTTTCCAGAACTGCCCCGATACTTTTTTTTCTGTCTTTTATTTTATTTTATTTTATATTTTTTCCTTTAAATCAATTGGACTGAATCGGTTTAAGTTGGCTTTATATAGTCCTGACAAAGGGGGGGAGTTCAAATTTTGCGGGTCACTGTTGTCTATTGGTTCCTGATAAGGATACTTCAGTTAATACCTGGTTCTGAATAGGGTCGATTAGCACGAAGATTGAATGTGCTTGGAGTGTAAACATTTGTGCGCTCTGTCCTTTAAATATGTTACTATCATTGCATCACTTATCTTGCGACGGGAGAGAAAGGGGGGGAAAGCTTAATGGTTTTTTTGAAAAAATAATCAAAGTTTAATACAAGAAAACCATAGAGCGTGATGTCCTTGCGGACTGTTCTGAGGGAGAAAGTGGCTAGGGTTGAGTTGATCTACTCGTATATTCCTTGATAAGTGTCATGAATGCAGATATCCATTCATACACCTGTAATTCGCCGTTCTACTTGTGCGCAATTTTTTTTTTTTTTTTTTTTAAACATTACTTTTCATTTTATTTGACATCGTATGCCTGTTGCTGACCGCACCAATACACATACTTTTCCTTCGCTATTAGATGAGCTTGAACATGCCGTCGTAAAGTTGATGCGTGGTCTGTTGTTCAGTATGATGCGGCAGGCGCACAAAGTTGAGGCGTTCAAGAAGACCCAGGCTTTAAACGACTGTTTGCATGCCAAATACAACACTGCTACTGGAGACACTGTTGTTGGTGATTCAGAGTGGGGCCATCTGCAAATCGATGCTACATCCATCTTCTTATTGGCGCTGGCACAAATGACGGCCTCCGGGATATTGATTGTGTATACGACAGACGAAGTTGACTTTATTCAGAACCTTGTGTTTTACATTGAGCGTGCATATCGCACACCTGATTACGGTATTTGGGAGAGAGGTAACAAGATTAACCATGGTGAACCCGAGTTGAACTCATCTTCGATTGGTATGGCCGTCGCTGCTCTACAAGCAATCAATGGCGTCAATCTATTCGGGTCACGCGGTGGACCCAGCTCGGTATGTTTGATAAGTAATATGTAGAGTATATAGTTGTTGAAGCCACCAATCATATTTTGCTCATTTGCTTTTTTTTTTTTTTTTTTTTTTTTTTTTTGCCACATTGTAATATTATGAAATAGGTCATCCATGCATTGCCTGACGAGATTACACGCAACTATACCACCTTGCACTCAGCTCTTCCAAGAGAGTCAAACTCAAAAGAAATCGATGCAGCCTTGCTTTCAGTCATCGGATTCCCGGCTTTTGCGGTCGGTGATGCTAAACTTGTTGAGCGCACTCGAAACGAGATCATTGAGAAGCTTGGAGGCAAATACGGGTGTAAGCGATTTCTGCGTGATGGCCATCAGACTATCGTCGAAGGTAAAGGATCGCCAAATTAATTTATCAGATCTCGGTATTGTAATTTATCCCTTCTGTAGTTTTATAACTCCTTTGCGTCTTTTGTAATATGTAGACACAAGTCGTCTCCACTATGATGCTCACGAACTCAAGATTTTCGAGGGTATTGAATGCGAATGGCCCCTGTTTTTTACGTACTTCATCTTGGATGGATTGTTCAATGAGAATGAACATCAAGTCGAGGAGTACCGCTCAAAACTCGAGCCCCTTATCATTGACTCAGCATCGCTGTTGGACTTTGGTCAATTCATTTCAGACTCGATCTCTGACAACGAGGATGGTCGAGGACCAAAGACACCGACTTCACCAGGATTCACCACACCAGGCAGTGATAACAAGCTCCCTGAGCATATTCCTCTTATTCCTGAACTGTATTATGTGCCTCACCATTTAGTCGAAGCTGAAAAGAAGGAGAACCATACCCAGGCCCGTGTGGCAAATGACAACATCCCTCTTGTCTGGGCAAACTCTCTCCATACTCTTGGAAGCCTTATCTATGAGAACTTACTCAGCGTGGCAGAGATTGATCCTCTTGGAAGACGCTTTAATGCTCGCAAGACTCAACCCAATGACACTGTAGTTCAGGTTGTGCTTCTGGCTGAGGACGCCAATTTACAGAGTATGCTCAATATGTACGGATTGGAAACCCAGACCATGGATCAAGTCCACCCTATCACCGTCAGCCATCCTCAGGGACTCAAGGAAGTGTATTCGGCTCTTGGAAAGAATACAAAATTGGGATTGTCAGGACGACCCAAGCGCCCTATCGGATCGCTAGGAACTTCCCGCTTGTATCGCGTCCAGGGCCATCTCTATGCATTCACTCCCGATTTCCTGGATAATGAGGAATTTTATCTGACCAGCGATAACGACTATCTGATTTCCATATTTGAGCAAGAGTTGGCTTTCGTCCGTCAATATTGGGTCTCTCCTGGGCGACCTACCATGACTATTTTATTGACGCATGCCATGCTGGGCGGACTATCAAAGTCACGTAGCTTTGCCTCTCAGACCGAAGATAACTCCCAGCCACTGACAACGTGGAGAAAAGGCTTTGGTTCTGCCCAAAAAGACAACAAGCGTAATCTCCTGAACTTCTTCATGACTCTTCGCAGCGGTGTGGTCAACAATGTTCGTGTTCGTTTGGGCCGCTTGAGCGAGATGGTCAACACTTCTTGCATCGAGTCTCTTGACTTTTTAGTTACCAAGAAGGATATTGATTGGCTCGGTATCTTGCGAGGTGCTGCAGATCGCCGTAAGGGTCGTCATGCCAGGAAATTGGGACTGAATGAAAAGCAAACGCAAGCCACCACTCCTGGGGGAAGTAGAACTCCCAGCCATCGGTGGTCTATGCGTCGTCGATCATCTTCGTTTGGAATAGGGCTTTCACTTACAACTCCTGCTGTGAATACTGCTGACTTTGACGGAGACGGCTACTTTGCATCCCATTCTCAAGCCCAAGTACCTTCTGATTCACATATCCGTAGTGCTTCAACCGCCACAACACCCTCTGCCTCCGAACGTCAGGAACCTTATACAGTTAAGAAAACTAAGAAGGCTTTCAAGCTCAAAGACCATGAAGAACCTCGTCCCAAAACAACCAAGAATGGAGCCACAAGCTCAGGTGGCTTAACTCCCGATTTGGCAAACTTAGATATCACTGAGGCGCATGCGGAAGGAGATGAAGACTCTGAGGATTCGGCTGATGGTATGGACAGCTTAGGCCTAACTCTTGGGGATCCATCCAATATGGAGGCTGCACAGAATATGCTCTCCATCTCGGTAAACCTGTATGATCAGATTGATTTGCTACAATACCTTTTATCATGTCAAGGCATGGACTACTATGTCAGCAACTTGGATGCGACCGTCCGCACGCTATTGGAGGAAGTCTACTTCAAATCACTCCAGCTCAAGCTTTGGTCAATTGTTCGTCAGGCCGCTGGACTCTTAAATAAGGTCGTCCATTCTTTGACCATCAATATTACTGACTTGGTCATTCGCCAAAAGCAAATTACCATCGGATCAGGACCTACTGAGCATTTTATTACAACCCCGGTTGGACCTGATGTACTAAGCCGCATGATTTATGATGGTAACTTCGATGATGTTCGTGAGGGTCCCGTTGTTCAAGAGGTCCTAATCTACCTCGGTTCTTTTATCAGAGCTGATCCAGAAATGTTTGAGGGTATCATGCGTCTGCGTACGCATTTCCTGATTATTGCCTTGCGCGAGGAAATCTCTCGTCTCAACAGTTGTGACGAGACGGATGCTATTGAGCACCTGATGCAGCTTTCCCCATTCGAGCTTAAATCATTGCTAGGAACCGTACTTTCTGGCCCTACGCTTAGCTCCAATGCTACCAACACTCTTCTTCGAAGCCAGACTTCTGGCCGAGCTAGCCCTGTCTCTGGTCGCCGTGTGCCGGGCAACGTTTCCTTGGCTGGGGAGACCGCTGACGGTGCTGCAGCATTAAACATCGCCTCATCTTCGTCATGGGGTGCCGTCCCCATCCCTAACATGGCCAAGGATTCAACCACATTCACTATCAAGGTTCAATCCGGAGGCTATCATTCAGGAAATTTTTCCAAGATCATTATTAATGACAGTGCTATGTCAATTGTGCCCTCTCGTGGAATTAACATGGTTGTTATTGACCCTTTTCAAGGCGTTGTCATAGAATCGGTCTCATTCGATACACATATTTCTGAGGATGAGAGTGATGATCTTGCACGCCTGGTGGACTGGCTTCATCCTGGTATGATTGTGATATGCGCTTGTAAGGATGACTGCTTTGAGCACTTGACACTTGCGGCACGCCTCGCCCTTAAACAGCTGGGCAGCAAACACATCAACGATGTCAAATATCGTGACTCCTGGTGCATGATTGGCGAAAAGGGTAAGTTGTCAATTATAATCGCTCATGATAAAATTTAATTTCACACTGAAAGGATAATTTAAACCTTATTTTTGTTTGCTCTTTTTTAGGCATTGAACCAGGAATGGCGGCTGAGGCGCACAAATCCTACATGGATGGACCTACCGCAGTCCTTGAAAAAACATTTGATTTGGCAACATGCAAGGCCAAAGCGAACAACGTGGAAACTTTCCCTTCTCCATCTGCCATTGCTGCTTTTGTTCCCAACTCCTCGGGACGATGGCTGCGTCGCCGCAAGAACGATGGCTCGTTGCATCGTGTTCCCGACAAATTCTACCCACGCGTGTGGAGCATTCTTTCACGTGCTGCAGGTTTCCGAATTGGATCTCACTTCTTGCCTCGTGATCCCATCATATCTGAAAAGACTCCTGAGGAGTTTAATTTTGCACTTGCTGTTGAGAACTTTTTAGGAGTCATTCTTGACCCAGCAGAACGCCAGATTGCTGTTGAGACTCTGATGGTGATCGCCAAAATTGAAGACCGCAACCCAGGAATGGAGGTGCAGCCCGAGGTGATTGACCTGCCTGTGATTATACGTGAGGCAATGGAAAACTTTTGGACCAAATGGGTTATCAATGGTCCTGTTGGGAAAGGTCAGGCTCTGGAAGGAGGAGCTTCTGGTACAATAGCAGGTGACTTGAAGATGGAGAAGCATGAGCCTCTGGCGCGGAATATGTTCTATGATTTGCCGCAGGAGGGTAAAGAAGGCACATTTGCATACTTGGCTCGAGCTGTTCTTAAACTTCTCCCGTATTCGATTGACTTGGAGTAATTTGATGGTCAAATAGAGAACATGTAATAAAAATAGATTTGGGATTAAGACAAAAATCGACACTAAAACTTATTAAGAAAAGACTGTCTCAAATAGAGTTGGCAAAGAGGTGATTTTCAATTGACACCGCCCCTGTAAGAGTGAGGGACAGGTCAATCGACAAGACGCTATTCCCATCCAGCTAGTATAAAAGCAGAGAAGAAAACCCAAAAAAAATTTACTAATTCAGGCGCACAAACAAGACAGTGACCGCAGCAGAAAAATACAAAAGCGCGTTCTCTCTCACTCCGATCATCTCTTTCTCTTCTTTCTTTCTTTTCAGTTTTTTTCCCTAAACACATATTCAGCATCCAATTCTATTGACATTTACACACATCGATATTGTTGATTGACACGCACATCTTTACATTAAAATTCATTTAATTCGGAAAATGCACGTTTCAAATACATTCACTTTTGGCGCACAAGGCGATCAAGCTGCCCCTGGTCTCCGTCGCGAAACCACTATGGAAATTAGCAAGATGTACACTACTCTCTATGATCAAGAAGATCCCCAGCTGCAGCAAGAGTTTACGCTTTATCAACAACAACAGGATACACAAGTTCTCTATGAAACTCGCTTGAACCCTTCCAATCCGATCTGGACCGAACTTCAACAGCAACAACTTTATGCTTCACCCGCTTCGCCCGCATCTTCATGCTTTTCAGGCCCTTCTTCACAGTCATCAAGCGAGTCAGCTTATTCGAGTCCTGCTGCAGTATCTATCAGGCTATTGGACGCGGATGAGACAGGTGAATTGGTTGACCAATTCAATATCACTATTGACGAATTGTTGTCAGAGAGCGCTCTTCCGTTCGATTACTCCACCATTGGCTTGGATGCCTCTGATTTCGATCTCTTTACTCCATCGCAGCAACAGCAATCACAAGACTCCGTTCAATATTATCAGCAACTGCGTCAGCACCAAAAGAATGAACAGGAACAATACTACAGCCTTCACAGCCAACGCCACCAGAACACTTCACCATCCCCTCCGATGTCAACTCAGGGCGGGCCTCAACGATCGAGAACACTCTCCCCTGAAATATGCTGCGACCCATATCCTTCGACCTTTTCCTCTTCTTCTGTTTCTTCTCCTTCTTTAATTTCTTCGTTTTCCTCGTTCAATTCTCCAGCTGCAACATTCTCATCTCGTTATAGCCACCACCCCGCCTCTCCTCAGTCACCGAAGCACCGCCACAAGGTCGAGATGCCACGTTCACCATGCCCATCATCGCCTGCGGCAACGACACCATCGACACCGTACATGCGACGCGCCTCTCAAGGTAGCTCTGCTTTTGCTGCACCTTCAAGCCAACATCAACAACAACAACAGGCACCCGTAACAACTACAGCTATACCAACGGATTTGCAGCTCCCGAATACAGAGGGTATGACCGTGATTAGAAGCGAGGATGGATCTATAATGGTTTTCAACCCTGTAAACGAGTCGATGACATTCCGTTGTGAGCTGTGCCCTCTGGAGAGTTTTGGACGGATCCATGACTTGAAGCGACATCAAGCTTCGAAGCATCAAGAGAAAACATGGCCTTGTGAATACTGCCCGCGCACTTTTGTGAGACGCGATGCCCTATTGAGGCATTATACAGTCAAGAGCCACCGAGAGGATGGTATTCACCCCGCAAGCCATGAGACTGAAGAATTGATGGCTGCTAGAGCTAGAAGCAAGTTGATTTAAAACTATTCTCTTTCTCTGAAGGAAAGGACAGTGTGTATAATAGTATATTAGACAAAACAACCGCAACAACAATTGCAATAAGAAAAAAAAAAAAAGAAGCTTGCAAGCATCTTGCCACTGTTCTTTACCAACTTCGCGCCCGTGTATAGTTCCTCCAATCACTTGTTTCCAATAAAAAAAAACGTATTCTCTCATTACATTTTTCAAAAAAAAAAAAAAAAAAAAAAAAAAAGATTTAAAGAAATGTTATTGGTAACGACCCATATTCAAAGAAAATAAAAAGGTCGTTAGACAGATTGACAAGGGAAGGGGAAAGGAATGAGAAAGGAAATAAAAATGCTGCGCCTTTCTCCGATACCTTTTGTTTTTTCCTTTTTTTACGTGGCTGTGTCATAAATTTTACGCGGCAAATGGTCGTCATCATAATTAGACTCACTCTTACCAAACTAATTACAAAAATAATTCCTTCCCGCGGAGGAAAAAAAGATGTAAACAGTACGAATTACAAAATGATCAATGCGTCATAATTGGCCCCAAGGAAGGAGGGAGGCAGAGGGGGCAAAAGAAAGGGGGAAGAGAGGAAATCCTCTTCAAGCTACCGCGCAGGCGGAATGCATTTACAAATGCACCTTCGCCTCATCAACATTTACAGCTTACATATTACTTAAAAAAAGGCAAAAAAAAAAAAATTAATAATTTTCAGTAGACATTCTAGTAACTCGTCAGTTGCTTTATTTAACATGCCAGCCTTAGAACAAACTTTTTTTTTTTTTTTAAGAGGGCAAATACTTCTTTCCTCCTTTTCTGGCTCGCACTATGCCAGATATGGGCCGGCGTTGCCTGACTGATGATGGGAGGAGGTGCTATTACCGCCTAGCCGCGCATTGTTTTATGTTATTGTCATCATCGCTGTCGTCACCAACATTGACATCGGAATCACACTTGAGGATCTTCTTGAATTTCGGCTCAGGCGCAGGATAGATGTTATAAGCGATGATACCTCCAATGATGAGGGTATATGCGATTGAGTAGAGGCGGTTAATCTATACGTTTTTTTTTTTTTTTTTTTTTTTTTTTTGGCGGAAAAAGAAGGAAAAGCGTCACTAAGCTTGAGATTTCTCTTTTTTTTTTCCGTCTTCATTCCCGAAGCGAAAGGACAAATTATTCTTTATGTCTTTTACCTTGGCCGAAAACAAAAATATACCGAAGATGAGGCCGTAAAAGTCGCTCGTTAAGAGGCTGAGGTTGAAGAAGGTGGCAGAGGATAGTCTAATGAGGATAGGTGAAGTAGAGTACATGATGAACATGGCAGTATCGAAACCAATGATGTACCCGACTACGCTAGGCGTCCATTCAATGTCCTTTATCTCATTTTTTTCCAAGATGGCTAACTGACAGCCACAGAAGATCGTGGCCCAAAATCCCATCTGTCCAACAACCTCGTAAAGAGGCCTTTGTCGAACTAAGAACTCTTGATATACATTGGAAATAGCATAAAGCGTAGCACCCAAGAGACAAAAGAGGTCACCCTTCACATAATCGGATCCAGGAAAGTCCTTGCCAGCTTCCATGTCCGACCAGATTAAGAAACCCATGCCGATCATGGCCAAAAGAACACCCAAGTAGTGATAACGGCTGAAGCGCAACTTGAGGAAAAGGATCGATAAGAGAACTACACAAGGGATCGTCCATGCATCAAGGAGCATGGCTGAAAGTAAAGAGGTGTAGTTGTAGGCCTTGACCATAAAATAGTTACCCTCGACATCCGCTAGGGCAAAAAGCATATCTGAAGAATATGCGTGTCAAATTATGCATCATAAAATTCTGACAAACGAGAAGTTCTGGCCTCCCAAAAAAGAAATAAAGCGTGGTAGTACAATTTTTTTTTCTTACAATACAGTGCTCGTCTACGGATAGTCTCGATCCAGCTGAAGACACCTTCTTTGTAGATGGTGATACTGGTATATACCAACCCAAGGACAAAGTAATTGAGAAAAGACTGTGTAGTGGGGATAGAGACAGGTTGATCGCCCTGAGCTAGCTTTGTTGTAAAGATAGTTGTTGCAGTGATACAGAGTGATAACAATTGGCCCAAGAGCAGGATAGTCAAAAACTTGCGTGAGAGCAAGTTGGCCAAGTGTTCCTTCCAAATCGATCGGATCAACAATGGGTTGCTATTGCTGCTGTTGTTGTTGTCATTGTTGCTGCTATTGCTGCTGTAGTTACTGGAAGTAAGGGGAGAGGTAACAGAGAATAAGAGATCCGCATACTGTTGATCTTGCCCTTGCTTTCGATGTCGAGTATGCCAGGTGTGCCCTTGCTCGTACTCCTGTTCCATTCCTAGCGCCTGTGATTGCTGTTGTCCATATTGTGGTCTAGATATCGTATAGTAATTAATAGTGTTCATTTTTTTTTATTTTTTTTTTCCTTGAATCGATGAATGTCGGTGTCACGATTGTAAAAAAAAAAAGTACAGCTGACAAGTAAAAGCAATAAGAATGAGATAGACGTATTTGTGGATTTTTGCTATTGGTGTTCTTATTTTTTATGCATTCGTCTTTTAGCTGTAGGAGGGGTGAAAAGACGATGAAAGCGGCCCATCGGATCTGTTGCATGGCAGATCCCTCCTTTTAATTGATCATTTCCATTTCTGTTTCCTTTTTTTTTTTTTTTTTTTTTTTTTTTTTTTTTTTTTTTCTTTCAGGTGCTGTTCCTTTGCTCGAAATTCAATAAAATCGTCAAAGCCTCTCAAAATACATGTATTAATCAATCAATGCCAATCCTTATTTCTAGTGTTTATTATCAAAAACGTGGGCGATTGGTAGTGTAATCTGATCCACGTATGGGAGCTTGGCTCCATCTCGAGGAAGAATAACCGCGCGAAACAGACAAAACAGACCGACGACCGAAGTTACTCATCCGTAGTCCATGCCCTGACCCTGATGGTATTGATGAAGCGGATGGCTGTGTATTCGATATTGTCTGGAGCTCTTCTCTGGCTGCATTAGCATTTGAAACTCTTAGTATTGCAGGTCGAGATGCTAGTGTTGACCCGATAGAGCTCCTTGTCTGTGATTGTCTCCGAGCACTATTGTAATTGATGTTGGTGGAATCATTTGTGCCAGAGAGAGACCTCCTAAATTGTGATGTCTGCTGCTGTTGTAGTTGGAACGATTGATCTACACTACTTGATAGATTATTCTGTGACCCTGGTATACTACTGCGGCGTCGCTCATGTTGTACGAAACTCTCTTCTTTTTCTGTCTGTTCTTCTTGACCTTGATCTTGCATTGTTACAGAATATACAGAAGACTATGTCTCCAATACGTACCATTATAAAATAAATTAGGGCAAAAAAAATAAGGAAGGAAGGAAGGAACGTGTCAGAGCATAGAGTTGTAAAATATAGTCATTAACTTTTTTAGTTTGTAGGGTGTGTTAAACCATACCTTGAATAGCGTGTAGACGAGCCCCATTTTGCGTTCCACGGTGCGCATTTTGTCAATTAGTTGTGCGATGTCGACCGCATTCATCTCTTGAAGTGTCTCATTGATCTGTTATACAGGTCAGAAAAATGGAAAGGCAAAAGGTGTCAGAGCTTTTATTTTATCTTTATTAACAATTTGATAATTCGACAGTTGCATACATGTTCTAATTTGGCAGTAAGTTTGGTGTATTCTTCGAGTAGCTCTTTTGATGACATGATTGGCTGTGTGTGAGTAGAATGGTTTTTTACATTCACGAAAAGAGAAATGGCTCTAGAAACATGGCATCATGGGCATGTCGCACGCAGGACAAGCCACAATAACGCGAAGGACGCGCCAGGGAGTACATGTATTCTTGTCAACTCTACATTCATCTTGCATTACTTCCCTCCTTCCTCATTTTACATACGTTACCATTACGAGGTATGCAGACCTCATTACTCGCCATCAGCATCGCACTGAAAGTGTTGCTGTTCCCTACATAGTGCGTATTGTTGCGATAATAAAACAACGATGACCATACTCAAAGAATATGATAGCTCATCAGCATCGGCCTCTCTTCCTTTTCTTTCAAATGAAATTAGCCATTCTACAGATTTTGAAGTCCATCGTAACTGGCTGGCCATTACTCACTCTCTACCTATCTCACAGTGGTACTATGAGGTATCTATCTCGATACAATGTTCTTTTCAATAGAATGGATGCTCAACTTATGAAACTGTTACTAGTATCTAATATGGGGCACCATGGATCATCCAATGCTATCACTAGAAAACAAGTGAATGGACCTTAGATTATCCTCCATTCTTCGCATGGTTCGAAAAGTTACTTTCTATGTTCGCAGCTCAAGCTGATCCGAAGATTGTTCAGGTAGACAACCTCAGCTATGATACTCCGGCAACCATTCTTTTTCAACGGACAACCGTCATTATCAGCGAATTGGTCTTATTCTGGGCATTACAAAGGATGCTGGCAGTCATGGGTAATCATCCATTACAAAAGATTATCAGCTGGTCTCTTATGTTAAACCCCGGGCTGCTGATGGTTGACAACATGCATTTTCAGTATAATGGATTCCTCTACGGAATCATGGTGCATTCATTAGTGGATGCGAAACAGGTAATTAACTCAGACATGAAGACCAGGCTATTTTGATTATGCACATAAATGGGCTAATTCCCTTTTTATATGCGCTCATGGTAGGGAAAGCTGTTACGATCCGGAATCCTCTTTGCAGCCTTGCTGAACTTCAAGCATATCTACTTGTACATTGCACCTTCATACTTTGCATTTCTTCTTCGTGCCTACTGCTTTGAGAATTCTGGCAATAGTATCCGAGGTAACGGTCGAAATGATTGCTATTATCCTTGCTTCAATTATCGGAGCTAAGACTTTTTTCCTCCTTCTTCTTTGATAGCAAGATCATGGATCTCGGCTTTTAAGCCGCTCAACTTCTTTGCATTGGGGTTCAGCGTCATTGTGGTGTTTGCAGCATCATTGGGACCTTTCATCGCAATGGATCAACTTCCTCAGTTGGCGTCACGTCTCTTCCCATTCAAGCGAGGCCTCTGTCATTCGTACTGGGCTGCCAATGTTTGGGCGTTGTACTCTTTTACTGATAGAGTCTTGATTACGCTAGCCTCGAAAACGCCACTCGGTCATTATCTTGATCTCTCTGTCGATAGCTCGGCCCTTGCAGCAATGACACGCGGCCTGGTGGGCGATACGGCGTTCGGAGTTTTGCCTACAGTGACAACTCAACAGACTTTTATTTTAACTGCTCTATTACAGCTCCCTGGCTTGATCTCTGTGTTCCGCAAACCGACGTTTGAACGATTCATTGGCTCCGTTGCATTATCAGCTTTCGCATCATTCTTGGTTGGATGGCATGTACACGAAAAGGCAATCTTGCTGTGTACAGTTACCATGAGTATTGCTATTGCAAATTTAGTAGGAGCGGCTCCGCAATCAGGATCCGGAGCAGGGTCCTTTTCAGATAACAAGACTGGAAGACTCTTAACGCCCAGAGATGTTCGTTCGTTTATGATCGTCAGTCTTGCAGGATATATTGGCCTCTGGCCCTTGTTCTTTACTCGTGAAGGTAAGGGGATGGGAAGATTGTTTGCTGTAATATCAATGATCCCTCTCGATGTTGCGTTATCTTGACTTGAATTGTTTCTTTAACATGGATTAACCTTTGTTCCTTTCTTTTTCCATAGAAACACCAATCAAGGTGTTAGTTACATTAATCTGGTTTATCACTATTGGAGCAGGATTGGACCAGTGTATACCAAAGTCATTGCTACCATCGAATGAGGCTGGTGCTTTTTCTATATCGACGCGATCGTTATTACGCCATTATACAATCCTAGAACGTCTGTATATTTATGGATGGGTGCCTCTCCAAGTTTATGTAAACTTGATTCATGAGCTTATTTTTGGCCAAGAGAGTATGGCATTCCTGCCCCTGATGGTTACATCTGTTTATGCAGCTGTAGGAGTTGTTTATGGCTGGTTACTTTATTCTGCAACGTACTTTGCAAGCAACAAAGTCAAAGCTCAAGAGAAAAAGAAATAGTTTGATCTGTAAATGCCCCGTAAGCGTCACAGCTTAAATCATTTATTTCCTTCTCGCTGGTTCCATTTACAAACACACATCTAGCAGACAAGGCATCTCTTTTTATCTTTTAAGCATCTCATCCATTTATACTTCTCCTTATTCTCTCTCTCTCTCTCTCTCTTTTTTTTTTTTTTTTTTTTTTCCATCTTTCACCATCTTTCACAGGAGCAGCTTAAATAAACTAGCAAGATGAGTCAAGTCATTGTGATGAGTACGAGCTACATACATGCAGAAAGAAAAAGACAATGTCAACATGCAAGAAGAGAGGAAACAGATCAGTGCAACCATCACTGATCACCATTGCACAACACACTCTCTCAAGGAACTAGATGGAAGAAACGCGTTTTCAGTCCACAAACAACAAGCAGGATGCTGAACTAATTCGCTGGACTTTCATTATTCTGACTTTTTTCAATACTTTTAGACACCAATGTGGAGCGCGAGACTGGTCGCAAAGCTCAAACCTCCAACATTACCGCTGCCAAGGTACTACCAACCCCCACAACTTTCATATTGCCTGCATTTCTGTCACGAAGTGGCTTGATGGGAGCTCATGAGCTCAGTGCTGATCAGATTTTTTGTCCTTAATTTTTGAAATATGTTCTTCATATATAGACCGTTGCTGATATCATTAGGACGTGTCTTGGACCACGTTCAATGTTGAAGATGTTGTTGGATCCTATGGGAGGCGTCGTCCTGACCAACGATGGAAATGCTATCCTCAGAGAAGTCGAGGTCGCTCATCCCGCTGCTAAGAGCATGATCGAGCTTGCTAGGACACAGGATGAGGAGGTTGGCGATGGAACTACCAGTGTTATTATTCTCGGTAAGAGGCGCTGTTATGATAAATATTTGCACTCCAAGAAGGATCAAGCGTTCACATAGAAATGGCCACATGAGACATACTATCTGGCTAACATTTTGAGCTTTTTTACAATTTAACATATGAAGCTGGAGAAGTTCTTGCTCAAGCCCTTCCTTTTCTTGAGCGTAATATTCATCCGATTGTCATTATCGCTGCCTTCAAACAGGCTCTGGAAGATGCCATTGAGATTGTTGACAAGATTTCGGTCCCTGTCAATGTGAATGATCCTAAAGAGATGCTGGATTTGGTCAAGACTTCAATTGGTACCAAGTTTGTCAGCCGTTGGAGCGACTTAATGTGCAAATTGGCTTTAGACGCTGTCCGCTGCGTTGCTGTTGAATCAGATGGACGCAGAGAGGTTGATATCAAGCGCTATGCTCGTGTCGAGAAGGTAAGCTACAGGTGCAATACTTTAATCTACATGGGTGCAATTGGCACGCTAGTCGATTGCAAGTTCTTTTTAAATTTATGCATGTGTCGCATCATATCATTTTATGTTACAGATTCCTGGTGGAGAGATCGAGGATTCTAGGGTTTTGGATGGAGTAATGCTCAACAAGGATGTGACTCATCCAAAGATGCGTCGCCGCATTGAAAACCCTCGTATTATCTTGTTGGATTGCCCTCTCGAGTACAAGAAAGGCGAGTCTCAGACCAATATTGAGGTGACCAAGGAGTCGGACTGGGCAAGGATTTTGCAAATTGAGGAAGAGCAAATTAAGAGCATGTGCGACAAGATTATCGAGTTGAAACCCGATATTGTTTTTACAGAGAAGGGTGTCTCTGACTTGGCACAGCATTACTTTGTCAAGGCCAACATTACGGCCATTCGCCGTGTCCGCAAAACTGACAACAACCGTATTGCTCGTGCTGTTGGTGCAACGATTGCTAACCGTGTCGACGATTTGAAGGAGTCTGATGTCGGAACTGACTGCGGCCTATTTGCCGTCGAGAAGATTGGTGACGAGTAAGTAGATGAGTAATCTATACACCATCACATGCTATGGCATGGATGTCTTCTTTTAGAGTAAGCCTCAAGCGTGTTTTTCTCACGCTCGTTTCTTGTGAACTTTAGATACTTCACTTTCCTTACTGGATGTAAGAACCCTAAGGCTTGCACCATTGTCTTACGTGGACCTTCCAAGGACATCTTGAACGAGATTGAGCGCAACTTGATGGATGCTATGTGCGTTGCTCGTAATGTATATTTCAACCCCAAGCTCTCTCCTGGTGGAGGAGCCACAGAGATGGCTATTTCTGTAGGTTTGATGGAGAAGAGCAAAACGCTAGAGGGAACAGTCCAGTGGCCATACAAGGCTGTTGCAGAGGCTATGGAGGTGATTCCTCGTACGCTTATCCAGAACTGCGGAGGAAATGCTATCAAGATCTTGACTTCATTGCGTGCCAAACACGCGACTGGCCATCACTCCTGGGGTATTGATGGACATGCAGGCAAAGTTGTTGATATGCATGAGTACGGAATCTGGGAGCCCAATGCAGTCAAGGTACAGACGATTAAGACTGCCATCGAATCATCGTGCTTGTTGTTGCGTGTTGATGATATTGTTTCTGGATTGTCAGGCGCCAAAGCACAGCAGGGTGGTGGTGGAGCGGCACCTGAGCAGCAAGAGATGGGTGAGGGTGACATGCAGCCTGAGCAATAAAGAGGGAAAAGCGTTGCGAAAGCGACTGCGGGAAGGTATAAAAAAGGGAGGCACAGTCGAATGTACGATGAGATAGACTGCATACAAAAAGGAGATTGTGAACGTATTTCTAGTTGTCATAAGCAAAAAAAAATAAAACGAAATTTCTCAATATTGCTGCGGCCCGAGCGGAGATTTGGATTTTTGTAGAACATACACCAGCCACTTATACAGAGAGGGTAGATCAAATTTGGATCTTCATTCCTACATTCAAATCCCCTGTACCTACTTGCTTGCACACAAATTCATCACTTATTTTTCTTCTTCTCCTTTTTTTTTTTCCTTCTCTAATTAATAAAGACTACGACATGACGACACCAATGGCGACAACCTATAGACATATTCTCGTAAGACATGTTTAGCAATACTATAACACTAACAATCCTTCCACCTAGATTGTATCCACACCTACTTACAAATGTCCTCCTATGTATTTTTTGTTTAGGTGGTAGGACTTGGAAACCATACACACCCGGGAACACGCCATAATGTAGGAATGATGGTTATCGATAGTATTGCAAAACGTTTTAACGCGGAATGGACGAGGATGAATCAGTGGCAAGCAGAGATTGCCACATTTGAAACTTCAGTTACATTTAAGAAGAAGACGCCCAATTTAAATCGAGTGCGTGTTTCCCCACAAGGAGTTAAAAAACTACTTGCAGCAGAGGGGACGCTAGCGGAAGCAGAAGAAACAGCAACGGCAGCAGAAGGGACAATGACGGCAGCCATAGACCCTTCTATATCAGAGAGAAAGAAGCGGCCCCTAGCAGTCCTCACCAAATTTGATCTCAAAGTTACTCTCCTAAAGCCATTGCAGGCGATGAATATCTGTGGATCATCAGTCTATCGTGCAGGTAACAAATGCTCTGCCTCTATTCAGCACTGCGTTGCCTTTGTTTTTATTTAAATAGTGTCTAACAAGAAAAGCAACTTCCATGGGATTTTTTTATAAATATGTATATAGCTCGTGATCTAAAGCTCCCTGTTAAGGACATTATTGTGGTACATGATGACATGGAACGCGACATTGGAAAACTATCATTTAAATCGGAGGGATCAGCGAATGGACACAATGGAATCAAATCATGCGTCAAGTCATTGAAGACTCAACATTTTAGACGACTCCGTGTGGGTATTGGTCGACCCGAGAGCAAGCAGCGAGACTCAGAATTTATAGCGAGCTATGTGCTAGGAAAGTTTAGACCTTTTGAGGTAGAACAGTTGGAGAAGTTGGTCTATGAGAAGGCAGGGGATGAAATCATTCGCATCTTTACAGCTGATCCTACTCCACACCCGCATGTCGATCCTAAACCTATTAGATAATTATATAATAAAATTATAATTCAAAATTTTATATTCCAGGGGCATAGTATCATGCAATTACTTTTTTTTTTTTTTTAAAGAATGGTTTAGATTTTGAATAATGGTCTGTCATTGTTACTGGAGCTGAAAGGTATTGCAATGATAAGTTGCATCTGGAGTGATGCTTATCATTTAAACACTAGGATTAGCACAATATTTCCTCAGCATTGTGATTCATACCAAACAAATAAAGTTAATCGAGGGACAAATAAAATTTTTGAAAATGCGCAACAGCACAGAGGACATGTCATGGACAATATGCACAGCAATGATAGATCTTTGTGTGAATGAGGAGAAGCAGGATACTTGGAACGGAAAGCAAAAGGCAGCGAGTGATAGGGACTGGCTTTAATTGGTAACCAAGGCAACATTGGGAGGCGCGTTGAATGTGAGTTGGGGACTAATGCTAAGATTATATCACACAGGACGCGTGACCCAATTAGAGAGATACCAAGATATTAAAAGAATCTCCCTCTCTTTTGTCTTTTTCTCATTTCATCCTTCATTTCATCCCCCATCCATACTTTCTCATTCTTTCTTATCCTTCTCCTTCTTTTATTTTCATATTTTTATTACTAAGATGGTCCACTCTACACTATTGACCGTGTCTGCAGCTCTGTTACTTGCTGCGTCTACTGCTGCTGCCGCCCGCTGGGAACTGGTCGATGCTCAAACCAAAGAGTTCCAGTCCAATTGTGGGAAGGAGCTACGTGGCGTCTACGAGGACTTGCTCATCTATTCAGTCCCAGAGTCATGCCAGGCTAAGAACAGTATGCTTCAAGCGGATAACATGTACTCACACCTCATTGTTCTTGAACGCCAGGAGCTCGAAGGTGACGTTGACCAGGATGTAAAGAAATGGAATAAAGCTGTGAATGATGCCATTGCCGACTTTGCTATGCACCCACAGTCTGAATCAGATGGTAGTGTCGTTGATGATAATGCTGTTCAATTGCCCTTCACCGGAGTTCGTGGCCGCCGCAAGATCTGTCGATTTACTACAATTGATTTGCCTAGTACACAGCCGGCTTACCGCATCTTGGTAGGATCCAACTGTGCACCAGTCGAGACCCCATATTTGGTAGACGTCTTGCCTAGCAACACTGAAATCCTTCCCGTCAGATCCCAGGGCCCTGTTGTACCTTTGGCAGGTCTTCCAGATGACCACCCTATTGTTCAAAAGTCCAAGACACTCAAACACAAAAAGTCCCTTCAAGCTCTTGTGGATCAAGTTGACATCAAGACACTAGAGAAGGACGTGACATGGTTGTCTGGCGAGGCTTCTGGTAGCCCCTTTATTACTCGTGCTTCGACTTCAAAACAGAGTCTAGAGGTCGCTGAATGGCTTCAGTCGCAGTTCGAAAGCTATGGTTGTGACTCTGTCGAGCTTATGCATTATCGTGAGCGCTTTGGACCTAATGTTATCTGGTTAGTTGGCGAGTTCTTGATAGGATTTTTCTTGATCATCTCCCTGTTTTTCCTATCAGACTAAATAGGGCTAAATAAGGAAGGAAACTAGATTAACAATTTCATCGGTTTAATTTGAACAACCTACCCTTTTTTGTCCTTGATTACTTTTTTTTTTTTTTTTTATTTTTTTTTAGCAAGTTCAAGGGTACAGAGCATCCCGACGAGCATGTCATCATTGGAGCCCACCACGACAGTCGCGGCTCACTCTTCAATCCTCGTGCACCTGGCGCAGACGATGATGGCTCAGGAACGAGCATGTTGCTTCAAGTTGCACGTATCATTAAGGCAAACAACGTTAAGTTTGGCCGCACTTTTGTCATTTCTGCCTTTTCAGGGGAAGGTATGCTACATTGTCACTCCCCCAACTTTACTGCTTTCTTTTTATCTTCCCATGATTGCGTTGTGCTAACCAGGAGTCCTTCTTATTTCTTTCCAATCAATTGATACTTCCTTGAACTTTGTAACATTTCTGGTTTATCGGGGGTATGGTTTAAAGAGCAAGGGCTCTTTGGTTCTGCTGCTTTGGCCAAGAAGATGAAGGAATATGGAACTACCATCACAATGATGATCCAGGGCGTAAGTTTCTCAAAGCAAGATTTGGATTTGTTAAAAAAAAATAAAAAAAAAAAAAAAAAATCATTTGGACAGCGCGTTTACTTCTATATTCAAATCCAACGTGTTTTCGATAGGATATGCTTGCATACAGAAAACCAGGTGAGCCAATCCAGATTGCGTTCCCTGCGCGCTACCACACACCAGAGGTCAGTGCGCTATTGCGTAACGTAACGCAGCTTTATGTTCCCGATGCTATCGTTGGTACAACTGGTGCCTGCTGCTCCGACCACCAGGTGAGTGAGTCTTTTTTTCTTTAAAAAAAATACCTCACGGAATAGCACTGTCATTGATACTTGTAGATGAAAAAACTCACAGTCTTCTAAATATGCCCTTTTTTCCTAGTCATTCTGGGAGAACGGATTCCCAGCGACTGCGTTTTTTGAGCGCAATGGACCGATTGCAGACCCCAAATATCATAATTCGGGCGATTTGGTTCATCGTGAAGGCTATGACTTCGAGCAACTGCGCGCATCGACTAAAGCAATGATGGCTTCAGTCTTTGAGGTTGCAGATGCCAAATATGATGCCTAGACATGAGCTCAGGGAAGGAAGGCCACAGATCCCCCATCTATTTTTTTTTTTTTATTCTAATATTTATTAAGACTGTCAATACCGCGGAAATTTGTAAAAATAAAAGTTGTTTGTATGCATGCAAACAAAAGTAAAAATAATCGCTGCATATTGCGCGTCTTTGTTGTGGTGTGAATGTCTGCACCAAGAAGCCTTGGAGCATATTAGAGACAACAAATGACATGAGACAGAGAGAGTCGTGGGTAAAGATTGGACTACGACTTGAACGAGTCTTAAAAAAATGACCTCGCAGTAAGGGTAAGGGTTACAGCCATGGCAGCATCAACTGCATCTGCAGAAGAAGCAATAACCAAAGGTTGAGATTTATGTAACCATGAGCAAGTTACTTGCTGTAGGCCTACACACTTTGTGTATATGAGAGTGTTGAGAGAGTATGAGAGCATGCAGACACATGTTGCCCAACAAAGCCCTTTTTTTTACCGTCCCTGGCCTTCTTTTGCCTTCCCGTTGATACGCTCTCTCCTGATACAAAAGTCCAGACAAATGGATGTGTGTTTGAGACTGCGTTGTCTAATTGCTCTTATTTCTCTTCTCTTTTTTCTTTCGTCATTCCTCTTCTCTCCGTTCATCCACCGCCTCTCTGCTTCTCATCTCCCATTCGTTCTTCCTTCGAAGCAAAACGAGGATCCATTCATAACTCATGGCAGCTTCTGCCCTAGCTGCTCGTAGTCCTGCTGTTTCTACAAATATTGGTCCCAGCAAGATTAAGGCACCCGGTGACAAAGCTATCACTAAACCTCAGAGTGCGTCTGCAAAAACGACTACCAGCTTGCGTTTGCCTACTCCTCCTAAATCAACCACGCCAGCTGTAAAGCCAACTACATCAGCTGTAAAGCCAACTGCATCAGCTGTGAAGCCAACTGCATTAGCTGTAAAGCCAACTGCATCAACTGTAAAGCCAACCACACCGGCTGTAAAGCCAACTACACCATCTGCAAAATCAACCATACCTAAACCACCAACTGCAACATCAAAACCAGCAGCAACAGCCACTAAAGGATCTCTAGCATCTAAAACGACAGCTATAAAAAGTCCGGGGTCATTAAATTCGATGTCAAAAACTGCGACTACAGCTGCAAGCATGAAGCCTACCGCTAAAACTGCTGCTACTAATGCTGCTTCAAAGACGATTGCAACTAAATCAGGGGCAGCCCAAACGGTAAAGAAGCCGGCCACTCCCACCAGTCGACCAACCACATCCACTCCTGCTCCCCGATCTGCTGCTGCGCCCAAGCCGCCTTCAGCTTCATCAAAATCATCCACTTCTGCTTCTAAATTACCTGCCACCTCAGCAAAGTCCCCTCCTGCTGCTCCCAGAGTACCTCCAGGGTCCTCCAAATCACCTGCAACAGCATCGAAGCCGCTAACGAAAATAACCCCAGCTACAAAGCCAACAGCTCTAACATCAACTACTACGGGCGCAAAGAGGCCGACAGCATCATCACCTTCCACTGGTGCAAAGCCGAGTGTAGGCTCAGCTTCTACAGCATCGCGCCGTACTCCAGCAACAGCTACAGCAAAGACGACAACACCCATCAAGGCTATGCCTGCGACGGCCGCAGGGTCTGCAGCTAAACCACCTGCTGGGGGACGTGCGCCTCTTAATATGACCCCTACAACCATTCGTACCCCAGCACGTACATCATCAACTGCTTCGACTCTTAAAAAAGAGTCCGCTCCAGGAACCCTCAAGACAGCAGCTACGGCTACTAAGAAGTTAAGCGTTTCAGCTGGTCGTGGAGCCCCTTCGCCTGCTGGAAGTGCCCAACCCGTTAAATCTACAGGCTTGGCTACAAAGTCTGCTACAGCATTAGAGTTGAAGAAGACTATCGCTAATATCAAGGTTAAGGCAAGTGAATACATTGACTTTTTTTGTTTTGGTTTAATTAATTGAGTATTTCAAAAAGATAGACTGATGATGCTCAGATAATTAATATCGTTTATATATTTATTGATCTATGTCTTTGAATAGCTTGATGAAGCCTCGACACGTCTACAGGCGAAAGAAGTTGAGCTTGCAGCTGTCCGTCAGCAGCTAGAGAGCGGGTTATACTCGGACAATTATGCGGCGACAGAAACCGCCTCGAGCGATGGAGGCGAGACGCTCGTACCTGAGATTGATCTTTCGAAACTGATTTCCAAGGTAAGATAACTTCAAGAGAAGGAGAAAAGAAAACCAATTTATTCACTGTGTTATATATGAAAAGCAAAAAGGACTACCATGCTAATTTTCGACTCAACATCATCTTTTACTGCAGGACAAGGATGTTGTTATGCCTGCCATTAGTGCAAAGGATAAGGTGGTGACGAAAAAGAAGCATCAAATCAGAACCCTCAGGGCGCGTATTCAGGTAGAGAAAGGAATAATTATGCAAGTCATGTTATGCGGGATTGCATATGGCTATCAATTCTACATCCGCTGATTTGGGGCTTTGTTTTTCTTTTCATTACTTCCCATCGTATTTTTTGTTTTGAATAACATCAAATAGCGGCTTCGTTTAGAACACGAGAAACGAGTCAAGGAGCTGGAGAAGGTTGAGACTGAATGCAAAGCTGCATATGAAACTGATGTTGTTGCTCTTCAGCAGAAACTTGCTGATTCTACTCAGAAATACAATGATGTGATTGCTCTTCGTAAGAAGCTGGCAGACGCGAAGGCATTGCATGCTACCACTATTGAGGAACTCAATAGGATTCACGATGACAAGCTCCATAGTCTAGAGTTGGAGTTGCAAGCGTTCAGACAAGAAAAGCCAAGTCGTGTAAGTCCCGATGTAGGGAAAAACGCTCAAGATAGATATCGCCAAGATCTTGAGAGCATTAAGAACGCCAACAGAAAGGAACTATCGCAGCTTCTAAAGCAGCATCAGGATGAGATTGATGCGATCAAAGCTCAATTTGAAGAAGAAAAGAGGCAGCAAGTTCAGGAGCATGAGGTGAGGAATAGCTTGAATTAAGATGGATAAAGGTAGATGAATATCAAATGGCTAATTATTCTACTTTTTGATTTCTTTTTTAGGCTGAGGTGAAAGAGAGGCTTGATTCAGATCTAGAGCAAATCAAGGCTTCGCAAGCTTCTCTCTTGGATAGTCGTTTGGGTGCCGAGTCTGGAATGGTCGAGGTGTTGGAACAGAGGCATGCACGTACTATGGAGGATTTTAAGGCTAAGCTTCAAAAAGATCATCAGCACTATCTAGGCTCACTCCGAAATAAGCATCAGAGTGAGATCTCTAGATTAGAAGCCAAGCATACAGAGCAATTGGCTGCGCTTGAGAGCAAGCTCAAGACATTGCAAGAAAAGTATGAGTCAGACCTGGCGAGTATTCGTTCTAAAGCTGAAGCCCAAATTAAGGAACTCAAGTTGCACCATAGCAATGAGATTGCAAGGCGCAACGAGAAACATGCAGCAGAGTTGGCGACTTGCGAGATCACTGTTAAGGTATCTATTATAAATTCAGATGATGAATATAACCCTCAACAACATGGTCACTTAACATTCCCTTTCATTTTACGTGATTTTTATTACATTTGCGTACCAACAGGAGAAGGTCCAACGCGAGCTTGACTCGTATAAAAACAAGTTTTCAACCTTCGTCGCTGAGACTCAGAAGACTCAAGACGAATCGATGAGAGATCTAGAGGCTAGCTACGAAATCCGGATTGCAGAGCTTATTGTAGAGCATGAGAACCATGTTCGCGAGCTGGAGAACGAAGCAAACGAGCAAGTCCAGCAAGAAATTGATCGAGTCGAAATGGAATTCGATCTTGATCGTGAACGCCTGGCACAAGATCAGGCTAAAAAACTGCAACAGTTAAAGGTTGAGCATGATCTGGCTATTGAGAAGTTAGAGGACCAGCTTTCCAGAGCTGAAGGGCGTGCTAAGGAGGCTATTGAAGGGCTCAAAGAAGCAAGACGTAAGCATGAGGGCGAAATGAGTGAAATCAAGGCCGATGTACAGGCAGAGTTGAGTACGATTCAAATCTCAATTGAAGCTATGACTGCTTCTCAAGGCGATAACAAGGATGCATCAGAGGTATTACTTTGCTTCATGTGTTCTTTTCCCAGTTGTGTTCATATAAAAGGTTTCACAGGATTAACCAATTTTGCTTCATGATAAATAGGCTCTACAAGCTGGGCATGCTGCGATTCTTCACGCTGAGAAATCAGCTCACGAGTTGAAGCTCAGTGAATTCTTGGCAAAGAAAGAGGCTGCGTGGAAGGCTAAGAATGGAAGTTTGTTGAAGCAGGTCCAAGACATACGTGATCAACTTGATAACGTTAGAGCTGAACGAGACAGAGCTCATACAACTACTGATGCTACAGAGACGCGTCTAAAGAATGTACGCTCTTTAAACTTTAAAACATGTGTGTTTATTCATTCTTGCATACGTGTATGTAACTAACAATCTGGCTTCTCAAATATATATACATAATGTATTCTAGGAACACTCTGTCGCAGAGGAGGGTCTTAAAAGAGGCTTTAACTCACGCCGAGAACATTATGAAGAAGCAACTCGTACTCAATTGACTAGGATGACCGAAGCCCACCAAGAGCATGCCGATGCACACAAGAACAAACTTACAGACCTCACTACATCACATCACCAAAAGCTGCAGGCACTGAAAGACGAGCAGGAAACACAGATGAAGAAACGTGAACAAGAACATACGGAACGTGTCTTGGCCTTACAACAATCGCTTGAGGCTAAAAACAAAGTCGTTGCTGGATTGAATCAGAATGCCTTTGGAGTCGCCCAGGCTGTTCAACAGGCCATAGAGGAGTTAGCGCGATTGAAGGTAAAATACGCACACATCCTACACAGAAACACATTTTAGAAGCTCTGTCAAAAACTAATTCGTAATTGCTTTTTATCTTATTATTATTGTTTTTATCTTAATAGAAACAAAACGACGTCCTGAAAGCTGAAAATGAACGATTGGATCAGGCACCCAAGCAGCTTCAAGCCTCCAAATTAGTGCTCGCGTAAAGCAGAGCATGGAGACAACGATCATTAAAATACCCATAGTATCATACCCCGTATCCATAGTCCAGTCTTTCACACAACTTATTTTACACATATAGTAGCGTCTATTTTCTAGTTATAAAGCTGTTTTTACCAAAACTTGTATTTCGAAGTATTCGTTCATGTTATCATTTGAGACGGGGCCTTCCTCTTAGTGTTGAAATTGAAATTCATTCAGGTATGGCTGAAAGCTGGTCTCGTTGGTCGAGAGCTGAATGGTCTCTGGAACAAGGATATAACGAGTTTATCTACAACAGGTCGGCCACTATTTTATGTGTAGTCATTCCATAATTTTGGATGATTACCAGACTCATTAACGATAGGTCGTTCCTGTTCCTGCCCCTGCCTGTGCCCTCGAGTATGAATGGAGGATGAATGTTGATTTGAAGGTCCCAAAGTTCGTGAGCTATATAAATCGACGCACCTATCTCATTTTACTTTTGGACATTGCGATAGCTTCGTATGTAATTTGAGTTTATTTCATGGGTGAAAATTCATACAATGTGCATTTTAGGCATGTCAAATTCTGTAATCAATGTAGGTATGGTGGCATACGGAACTTAATGAAGGTTTCCGTTTCATTGTAGATATTCTAACTTCAATCCCAGTCCCAGGAACGCTATCCGACACTGAAGTTGCGTGATTGCTGAAATTGGTAAGCCTACTACTAGTATTGATGACAAAGCTAATTTTGTCTCTATCACACAAAGAAAATTGGTGCGTTCATGTACACTAACTGGATTTGCGGCTCGGTCGTTGCTATTGTGGTTGTCGGGGTGTCTGCGCCTCACGAGGCGGCTTCAGCATTGGTTTTAAAACGATATCTGTTGCCTCTATTTCTATTGGAAGAGCATTGTGAGTTATTTCAATAGTTACTATGTGGAGAACCCATGTCCACGATAGTATCGGAGTTGGGTTTTAGTACAAGGGTCTTCGAGGACATAAAGGAGGTTGATGATGAGCTATGATAGAGATGATAATGATGCTGCTGCTGCTGATAGTGATGTCGTTCGTGGTGATGCTTCTTGCTACAGTTGATAGTGCGGTTATGGCTATAGTCAGTATTATTTAGGTTCCGATAATGCGTGTATGTGAAACCAACTATTATTTGTACCGTAGATCAAGTTCATTTAGCACAGTAGGATTATAGCTTGCACTTGCGTTCGTTTTAATGCTATTGAAAGTGGTAGACTCTTTATATCTCGCGCGTCTTGTTCATTGTTGTCTTGGTCCTTGATCAGCGTTTGCATTCAAATTAAGATCCGAGAAAAGCTATAAAGTGCAACTTTTTTTTTTTTTTTTTTTTTTTTACATTGTCAAGTATAATGTTAGGACAAGGATTTCGATCGTCAACAAGGCAGAAACAACAGAAAGGGATAGGAAAAGAGGTAGAGAGGTGATTAGTAATTACCATTAATCACCATAGACTGAAGAATCCCTCCTTGTCGTCTCTTTGTGCTGGCCAAATAACTACTTTGAACCCATTTCGTTAACCAAGATTTTATTCTTTAGCAGGCCAAGCTGGAGCAAGCATTTGTTTTTACTCAGTCGCTTTTGAAATAATGTTTCTGACATTTATTCGATATCGGGCGCCAGCGTTGACGGTATTTTACTTCGAACGTAGAGTGAAATATCAAACTCTTATGCTGTGCGTGCAACAGTTAGTTTTCAAGCCAAACCATCGTCGCTCCACGCTGGATAATTTCCTGTCAATGCCACTGTGCTAGTTTAAATGCAATTTTCAAAGTCTTTTTATTTTTGATTGCCCTGCAAGAATACTTTTTACACATTTATCCTCAATATAGAGCAGGTAGCAAAGACAATGTGAGAAAGGCAAAGTAAGATTAATATAACACAGTCCTTGCGTTGTATAAATGCGGAGCCCATGTTTGTTCTTTGCTCCGTGGGCACGATTCGAGCCATTCAACAGCCGCAGAAGAGATAGAGGACTCAAGTTAAAAATAAATGCCCAATTGAAAATACATGTATATTTGTATTAATATTATACCAGAGACATAAAAACCAGTTGCCAATCAACCCCAGCATTTTCTCTAAGCTATGCGACACTTCCTTCCCTCCCGCCCCCTTTCTTGTAGTTTAGTCTTTCTCTTTCTCTTTTTTTTTTTTTTTTTTTTTTCCTCTCTCCTTTTTTCTCTCTTCCTCATCTCATTCTCTTCTTCATCTTCATCTTTCATTCTTCCTCACCTTACAAGTTCATTGGCAAAGGAAACTCATACCAAATCTCAGGAACAACTATAACGGGACAATACCCAACTCCATACACAGGAAACACAGGGAAAAAAAAAGAAAACTTATCAAAATGTCTCCTACACAGTCTGCTAACAAGAGTCCCTTCAAGAAATCCGATAACCTCTTGTTCGATCCTGCTCTTATCCCAGCTGAGCTGCAGGATGTTCTACCTCCAGGTTATGTCGTCCGTCCTTTGGCCAAAACTGATAATCAAGTCCGATCTAACACTTCATTCCTCAAGACACTCGAGGTCCTTACAACCGTGGGAAACATCTCGGACGAAGCCTTCCAGAACCGTTTCCAATACTTACAGGAGCGAAATGATCAATACTATACCATCGTGATCGAGGACATGAATGTCCCCGCCACATCAGCAACATCGGCCACTTCATCAACGCCTTACTTGGTCACGCCTGGACGTGGCAAGATTGTCGCCGCAGGCACAGTGTTTGTAGAGCGCAAATTTATCCATGAGCTCGGTATGGTGGGTCATATTGAGGATATCGCAGTCTCTGCAGATCAACAAGGGAAAAAGCTTGGTCTCAGGATCATTCAGACTCTCATGGCAATTGGAGAACGAGTTGGTTGCTACAAGGTCATTCTTGACTGCTCTGAGAAGAACGTACCCTTTTACGAAAAGTGCGGTTTTGAACGCAGGGGTGTCGAAATGAGCTGGTATGTCAAGAAGCCTAAGGATTTCAAGCCCAAGCTTTAATGGTACTAGACACATTGATCGTTTTCCATTTCCCTACACATATATCCCTCCATGAACAGGATAATAATTCTGCTCTTTCTGTTTAAACATAATTTCATTTGTCCTTATCTTTATTCCCATTCTTATCTTTATCCTTTTGGTATTGTTTTTTTGTCGTTGTTCTATTCAAGTAACCTTTTGGCAAGAAAGTGTGAACGAATCTATCACTATCATTATGACAGTTACTTTACAATCTCCATCTATACTTTCATTGTTTTCTCAAGTTTATGCATATGAATAAAGCGTAAGGATAAGAAAATTTGCTCTCACTTTATCTTTTGATACCAGGAAATCGAGAAAGTTAAAAACGTGTTTACTGAATTCTTATCGCAGTTTTCTATGCAATGAATGTTTACAAGTTAAAGAGACCCATATGGGACCCATGTTTCTTATTCCATTCTAGATATATAGTTGGATTCATTTATAATAACTAGTCTACTGTGCTTCATTCAGTTTTGGGACGCTTCTCAACAGATTCTGATTCTGATGTAGAAGAATCAGCAGTGATATTACTCTCATTGCTGCTGTTGTTGGAGTCTGATTTAGTCTCGAGTTTTCGCTTCACATCACTATTTGGACAGAGGATGAAGGAATCATTCGGTCGGATGAACAAGATAGAACCACATAAAATTTTTATTATTTTGTATTTAGGACAACAACAGAAGGAAAAAAAAAAAACAATAATAATAGAAATAATAATAGTAACACGTTACCCTACCTTGCAAATGCAATCTCAGCAGGTAAGCGAAACGAGATGCAATACATGTCCTTATTAGGTGCTACCTTACGGACCCAGTGCAGTTTAACAGAGTCCAATTCTAACCGACCACCCATGGCAGCCTCAACACGCTCCCGAACATCTTCCTCAGGCTTTTCACTCTTGGAGAAACAGTGGCAATGAATCATAGGAAGCTGCTTTTTAGGCTCTAGGATCTCGCTTTCACGACCTTTAAAAAGCCCACGAAACGCATCCAAGAACTCGATGGCAGAAGCTGGAAGGTTCATAACAAAATGATCAAATGTTTTGAACGAGCGTTTCCCAGTGACAGATGTAGATATGGGTGTTGATATAGAAGTAGTTGGTGTTGATGGTGTTCCTGATGTAGAATCAGGTGTTATGGCAGCACCCTTGGGCTTGGCAGTGGTCTTTTTCCCTTTGACTACGACAGTAGAATCAGGAGGTCGTTGGTATCCAGATGCCTCCAAGTCCTTGACTGCCTGACGGATGAAATCTCGACCATCCATGTTATAGATATTCAAATTTCCTTCAATCTAAAACAAAGGCAAAGCAGGAAAAAAAAAAAAAAAAAAAAAAAGAGTTTATATCAATCGGCCCATTTCCTTTGTTTCACATGGACTGAAAAGAAAAAAAGAAAAAATCGTGCAGTATTTCAGAATTAGAGATACCTTGTTCAAAACCTTGTTCTCCAGCATGCTTGCGTATGAGGATGGGTTAAGATCGTTGGCATAGACCATGCAACCCTTCTTGGCTGCAGGCATAGCAAAGGGACCGACTCCTGCCATAACATCACACACAGCGTCCGTTGCACTGAACATCTTGACCAAACGTTCATGCTCCGTATGTAAACGTGAATTCCAGTATACTTGAGAAAAGTCGAGTTTGAATCTACAGCCGCTTTCTCTCTATAAAAATAAAAAGTAAAAAAAAAAAAAAAAAAAAAAAAGATCCTATTGATATCAAAAAAAAGAGACTGAAATCTATTGCAATGTCTTGTAGATATCGTTCTGGCGCATACCACTTCAGCGATCATATCATCTTCTCCTGCAAGGAGCTCCATTTTGAAGAACCTGAATGTAGTGTCAATCGAGTCAGTCTTGTTGACCACTGTTCTCAAATTTGGGTTCTTATCCATGATAATTTGTCCTATCATGTGCTTATAAGGAAGATATTCGTCCTTGAGATTCATATGTGCGATATGTCCGACGGTTGTGAATGACGAGGGCGCCTCATCGACAAGTTCTTCTGGTAATACGGCGCGAAGGATCTCATCTGATAAAAAATCGGACATTTCGAGTTAAATGTCTGTAGTATTTGAAGAGTTGCCTGATATCGTTTTTTTTTTATCCTGAAGCTGTATGTACCTGCGGTCCAGTGTTCATATCCGACTGTAATATGAGTCTTCGTAAGTTCAATATTCTTTTCCTTAATAAACGTCTTTGTTTTTTCCGAGGCGCCTTTAAGATCTATCAGATTTTTTTTGGAAACGAATAAAAAAAAAAGTCAGATCTATGAATGAAATACTTGGCTGCAGACAATTAAAGATCATATCAAGGGAATGGCTCCTTGCCTTCATCCTTAATACTCAGATTCAACAGGACAAGTCTTTTTGATTTTTCTCCATCATCACTATCAATCACGTTCCTGATCTTGGGTTCCAACAGCAGGTCACTAGCAATTAGATCGAAATAGTATATAAATGCTTTTGAGGTTTAGTCTGATTTCCTATATTCCTTGTCCCTTAGGTTGAAGCAGTTACGCTCTTTTTTTTTTTTTTTTTTTTTTTTTTGCCCTAGATATCCTATTGATTCGATCCAATGACATATTTAAAAGAACATACGTTCCAAGAGTTTTCTTGCAATCGTTAGTCATGCTGGCAGGAATGCGAAGTGCAATCACATTCACAGTTGTTCTGAACATGGATCTGTCAAGAGTCTGGAGTCCTCGCTGAATCACTGGTAGCGGGATCATGGTTGCACTGTTGCTGATGCTGCTGAGTAGGTTAGGTGTAAGCGTAAGTAAAATAGAATGAGTACGTTGGTGGATCTTAATTGTTGTTACATGTATAGAGCAGGCACGTGCGAGCAACATTTATGGGAGAACTCTATTAATGGGCTGCCAACTGTAGAAAATCTTCACACTCTAGTTTTCAATTGGGCGAAGTCTTTCTGAAGAGATCATGTATGAAGTATCTTTAAGCGTTACATGTAAACCATCGATTCTTTGAAGCATCGAGATTGAATATGGAATATGCTTTGTGGGAAAAAAATAATAGATGATTCACAAAAAATGACAGTAAAGCTGTTCTGCCTTTTTGCCTTGAACAGAGATTTTTTTTTTTTTTTTAGAAATGCCTCCAAATAAGCACCTCAAGTGGACAAATGGGCCCTGGCAATTTTTTTTTTTTTTTTTTTTTTTGAAGTCATTTAAAAAGTGATCTCCACAATCTGATATTGTTTTTTCTTTCTTCTTCATTCCATCGTCCCAACTATTTCTTCCCCGACTTTCATACACACATTTTCATTCATTGCCCCTCACTCACATACTTACATTCACATCACTCAAGCATGGATATTGAAGATCTCGGCCACCTTGCACGCAAACCCAAAGTCACAAACGTAATTATTCAAATCTTGATGAGTTCAGGAGAACTCATAATTTTACTCCACTAATATTGTTGACATCATTTTCATCATACTTCCTCTCCCGCGTCTTAATCGTTAATCCATCTCTCTACATTTACCCTCTGGTCCTAGAGCAGTATAACCCTTGTACTATCCGTAACCTCAAGCCAGGCTCTATCAAGGAATGGTGTACTTGTGGTTTAACAAAAAAAGGCCCATGGTAATTAAGCTTTTTTTTTTTTTTTTCTCTTTTTCTACTTTCATTGCATAGTTATTAAAAAACTTATCCATTCTTCAAATCTTTGAACCAACAACTATTTAGGTGTGATGGGAAATCACATAAAGGTACGACATTCAAGCCCCTTAGATGGCGTGTGCCTGACGGACCGAATGCTCAAACTATGTACAGTATCTGTGATTGTCGTTATACTACACGTCCTCCATTTTGTGATGGCATTCGTAAGTTCGTTTTATTACTTATCTTTCTCTTTATTGTACTCGTACTCAGGCTCAGTTTGGAATTGGGATTTACAATTCTTTTTTATTATTATTATTATTTTTTATTGTTTTATTTTGATGAATAATAGACTATGATCTTCCACTTCGCTATTTGAAAAAGATTAAAGAATGTCCTAAGCAACCTCACGATCCCGCTGTGACAAAGCTTTGTGAGGAATGTGGCTGGGCTGGACCTCGTGAGAGTTGGCCAGAATTACCATCGACAGATTCGGATTCAGATTCGGAAAATAGCAATTTATCTGACGATGAAGCAAAAACAAGGAGAATAGCAGCAAATACTCCCAAGGTTCAGCTACAGGCTCCAGAACACAGCGAGGAGATGATGTTTACCAAGGTCGGATGTAATGGTTCGTGTCAAACACAGCAGACACAGCAACAACAATCTGAAGATCCAGAAATTAGCACAATCACTGACGGTGTCAAACATGTTCAATTATCATAAAAAGGTTTGAAATAAAATATTTTTAATTACTTCATGATTTTAAATAGTGATGGGTGTACAGTGAATGCAACAATGGAAATTAAGATGAAAAACGATAAACATGGTGCTTTATATTACAGGTATCAGGACGAGATAGCAATAAACACTGTTAATGAAGTGAAAGTAATAATAATAATAATAATAATGATAATAATAATAATAATAGTAATGATAATAATAAAAAATTACGGGCGTGTGTCGTTTTCTAAATCTCCTCACGATAGAGTGCAAAGTCCGGTTGTAACCAATGGTCACTGCCATAATTGATCGGTGACCAACTATGTCAGAAAAGTCATGTCCACCCCAACAGCAAAGTCCCAGATGATAATCTAAGAAATAATATGATATTGATATCAATCGGGTTAATTTAGAAATACCTGCGATGATAATATTTACCAATGTGGAAGGAGACGGAAGTCAAGGCCAACCGTTTTTTACCTTTTGATCCTGTGAACAACTGACGATCTTTGAGTCATTGAACTGTAACTTAAAGACCCGATGAGAATGTCGTCCTGTCATGTCTGCAAGCAGCTCACCTGTCTTTTGGTCCCAAATCTTGATGGTCTCGTCATAACCTCCACTAATGATACGTCTATTTGTGAACTGTAAAGTCCTGACAAGGTTGTCGTGTCCAGACAATGTTTTGATGCATTCACCACGCGCAACATCCCAAATCTTGATTGTCTTGTCTGAGCTACCACTGACAATCATGTTGTCTTCATACTGGATACAGGCAATGCCTCGCGAATGTCCCTCTAACGTTCGTAGACATTCACCAGTCTCAAATGACCAAATTTTGATGGTCTTGTCTCCACTGGCAGAGACAACTACCCGAGGACTCGCAGCAAAAGGTGAAGACGATGATTCAGGTGAAAGTTGAACTGCATTAACAGCGGCACGATGTCCTATCAGCGTCCTAATCAGTTCCCCAGTGCTAATTCTCCAGATCTTCACCGTTCGATCCTTACTACAACTGACCACAATGTCCTTCTCAAATCTCAAACTGAGTACGCTGTCTGAATGCCCCACTAATTGTTGTATTGGCCTGCCAGTTTCCAAATCCCAAACAATAATATTCGTGTCGCTGCTTCCGCTTACAATCCGGTCCTCATCATACTGGAGGCAGAGGACACTAGCACTATGACCTACATAAGTCCTTAAACAGACACCTGTCGCTAGATCCCAAATCTTGATAGTGTTATCTCGGCTGCCGCTAACGACCTTGGTCTCATCAAACTGAATACAATAAATACCCTCTGTATGACCTGGAAGTTCCTTTGCAAAATGAACGCCTTGTTTCCAGTTTTGTTCCAATATTCTGCGTTGCTGACACAAAAATTTCCAGTTGATCATAGGCTTCTTTGTAATAGGATGGCGATGGATATGAAGAGCATCGGGACTTAGAACTTCTGAAGGAAGTGGCGCGGTAAGTGAATGGAAGTCAATCCGCTTGGGTATGGATGCAAGTGGGAACAATGTTGTGGCTCCTGCTGCATTTGAAATAATCGCTGGACTAGGAAGAGCTGTTGAGATGGATGACGATGGTGCAGGTACTGAGTGTCGGTGCTGCCGCGAGGATGCATTGGTAAGTGGGGAGGGAAGGTGCATCAGCCATGCTGGGAAAGAAGGTGATGTGATAGAATGACTGTGATGATGATGGTGATGTTGTTGTTGTTGTTGTTGTTGTTGTTGTTGTTGTTGAGGATTGGGTTGATCGCCAGTCGAGTCATGCTCACTCTCTACATTCCTATGGGAACTTATTGAGGACCACGCTGCTGATCCGGAGACCCCCATCACTCCATGCCTAATAGCATTCCAAAGCGTCTTTGCCGCCAGGGGCGAATTAGGTCCATTAGACATGTTAGTCGGGCTAGAAGAGGTAGGTATAGTTGGAGATGGGGACAAGGACTCTGATAGATTCTGATCCAAGGGGTTTTCGGATCGAGGTTGATGTACGGATGAGGATCCTGAGGACAATCCAACACGTTGAGAGGTAGACATTCTGAGAGGGGCTGGGGGATCACTGCGATGAGAAATTTTTTTCAGCATAGCAGGGGGCGTCATAAGGTTGGTCCCGAGAGCATGCATTGGTAAACGGGGACGTTGAATTGATGGCATAAAAGTTGCACTAGACAAGGAGAATCGACCATGACGTTGACCTACCGAGGGTACCGGTGATCGTAGTGGCGGAGGTGCTGGTGTACGCGTTGGTATTGATGGGGGCGCTGGAGGTGCTTGCATTGATACTGATGGAGGCACTGGAGGTGTTCGTATCGATGACTGACGACGGGATCGAAGTAAAGGGTTGCTTAAATCGAAAAATGAAGAGGCTTCTGAAGTCGATGACTTGCGTGAGCCAGATGATAAAGGATGGACTGCTATTGGCGAGCTGGCACCATAGGGGTCATTAAGTGCCTGCGAGCGGTAATTATGAAGACTTTCAGATTGTCGCGGCGATATTGAGCTATATCCGTCTTGGTTTTCATTTTGTTCATACGCCATACTAGATACTGCATTTCTTTGCACGAGTTCAAGTCCTTCATCATTTTGATACATAGTAGCCTGAATGTTGTGATCCATCATCTTGCGTTTTTCCTTGATGCTCTCAGGTCCAAAGTGAATCCTGGGATACATGCCTTTTGGTCCCAAAGCCCACTGTGCCTCCAACTCACCCCAGCGGAGGTACCAGTCGATCATGTCTTGGTTCACATGCCATCCGCGCCGAAAGTAAAATGTCTTCCAGACAGTGTTGTCTGACGCAAATTTGTTCCATGATTTGGAGACCTGTGCGACAATGGCCAAAGATCTCTCATCCAGAAAAGACAGTAAATGAACTGCGAAGTAAAAAAATAAAATAATAGTAATAGAGGTTAGAAAGATAGACAGGAGATTTGTGTTAAGGTAAACAATACAGAGCATGGGTCCTTCGGATGTTGACCTCAAAGACCCCCTTACCTGTAAGTTCATAAGGTAAAAGCACTAAAAAATCTCTGTACTCGTTCATGGGTGTCAGTCGAGTATAAGTTCTTGTGAAAACAGAGGGCGATACCGACTTCAGCAGCTGGATCGCCAACTCTTGAGCACGAGAGAAAGAAGAGATAAGTTCGAATTAGTTACATGAAGAATCACCCCAATAAGAAGTTGCTATACCAAGATTGAAGAATAAATCTGTGGCTATGGCTGTCTCCTCTAGTTTTTACCTGCTTTTTGTTCATCTGTCCATTGTTGAATCCATTTGGGTATTTCTATCCGTTGCTCATCATAACCCTCGTCTGGCAAACTTGGCGTAGGAGAGCCAGGTGTCTCTTTATAGTGTGAGACAGAGGATGACCGTGAGGATAACGACATAACTGAAGATGAACAGTCGTAACCGTTGTTGCTTACTGATAACACTTTTACTATATGGTGGTTGTTTGATGATAACACTAGAAATGAAAAATTAAGATGGTGAAATTATTCGGGGTGATTGAAAGTAATGTGGATGCAAGAAATGAATTTACATGCAAGTTTATATTGGTGTGAACAAACAAGTGTGAAAAGAAAAAAGGATCCTTCATAATAGTGGCGGTGCGGAGAAAAAAGAGTGCTTTCTCCCACAGCATCACAGCACGACAGGGGTCAAAAGGCTTTTTTTTTTTTTTTTTACCAAGCATTAGGATCTTTCCCGTTATTTACAGCTTCAATGGTCTGTTTTATTATGTTTCGTAGTGATAAAATCTAATTAGAGCGCTAGAAATATCGTACCGAAGAGCACTCAACGCTCTTTCTGATCATGATGAATGCCATTTAATGTGTGCCTTGGGCTTTATGGAACTTAATACAGGTATGGAGGCATTAGTATAGCTGGGTTCCTCCACACAATGGGCACATCTCGTTTTATGACAGAAGTTTTAAGCATAAGCTGCATGCCATCTTCAAATACTTATTTGTCATCTATCCGCCTAGTGATGCGCAGGATTCAACAGAAGCTCCTTTCCCGAAAATATGCATCATCTCCTGGCCAACGCGTTTATTGATCATGTTCTCCGGGAAGCACTGGGCAATAAACATTAATCTTTAACATGCGCATCTCGGTTTCACAGGACAATAGATTGATACCACGTTTGCTGGAAAAGACTCACGGGAAAGTTGAGAAAGGAGGCATCAAATTGTAGCCAAAGTCTATACGATAAAGGCCGTCTTCATATGCGTCATTCACGGATACTTAAGGGTGAGAGGAGGTACGAGGGCACAGTCCTTCTTGATCAGCGTTTTTTATTTTTTGTCCAAAGCAAGGAATCGCGTACAGGAACATCACTGGAACTACACTATGTCTTTCTCCATCCTCGCTCAGCTTGCGGAACAATCCAAGCAGCTTACTAGCCACATTGGTGGACTACAGTTGCCACACATTGAACGTGGCATTGATCAGATTGAAAACCAATCTCGTAAGCTTGCTGCGAAGGCATCAAAACCAACTGAGATCACGGACAACAAGGCGTAAGTGAGTCAAGCTTAAATACATGGAAATATATCTGTGTCGTGGAGGCCAGGTCGTCTTTGCTATTTTTTAGTTCGACAGGCTTTCATTTTCATGTGAACTCCACCTTTAATAACTAGGTGTTTCTGGCTCATTGATCAATTGATAGACATTTTTTCCTAGCCAAGGGAGGCATCGACGCCAACGCCATCAATGCCACATTGAATTCGATCAACCTTGCAACATTTGAGCCATATCAACCAATTCATGATACAGACACAGAGGCTTTCTTGCGCCATCAACATGAGCAAATTATCATCAACACAATTGACGAGAGTAGACGCGAAACAGTCATGGACTTTGACTCGAATTTTGAGACATCCTTGAACTATGATTGGGAGCGTACGAAGAAGAGGATCTTTGAGGAGCTTGGTCACCAGGGCCAAGGCTCCGGATCTGACAAGGATCTGGGCCAATCCACTGGCTTCCGTGGATCATCTAGCTTGGGTCTGTCACAGAGTTCGGCATATTTACCGGGATTTAACAAAAACCCAACCTCACCAGATATCGTCTTCAGTAAACTGAAGCCTTATTACAAAGTCGTTTATGATTTCTGCGAGGCGCGTCTTCAAGGAACTGCGTTTCCTTTGGCAGCCAGCTTTGTTGAGGCATCTCAGGCAGCTCATAAGGATCAAGTAAGTCTATTTTTGGTCATGAAAGTAACCACAGAGCAAACGGTGGGTATTTATATACAACTGAAATATATTACCGCCTGTTCTGTTGCCTTAGCCCAATCCCAAGATTCAGGAGACTTGGCAATTGTTGGTATCGGTTTTAGGAGAACAAGAATTGTTTAACGGACGATTCCAAAGCAAGACGTTGAAGGAGCGGGCATACGCTGATGCCTATCTCATGTCGCCCAGAAAAAGCCCAGCGGCAGCATTGTTGCGTGAGCGTTTGATCAAGGGATCAAAGACATTTTTGGAAAAGCAATTCATGAACCACATTGAGGCATCAGTGGCATCAAACCCAGCAGAAGCCAACCTTGGTGGCGTTCCATCGCTCCTGAACACTGTTCGCGCATTTGTACAGCTGAAGTATCTCCGATATGGATCATGGTCTCAGCCCAATCTTGAGGTATCTTATCTGGAATAAGTTAATATGAGCTTTTGATGAACATCTTAATCACTCAACAGCAGATGCTGACATGAACACTTATGCCCCCCTCCATTTTTTATTTTATTTTTATTTTTTTTCTTAGATTGCAAATGGACAGGCTATGTGGGCGCAAATTTATTACCTTCTCAGGACGGGTCATGGTCATGAGGCACTCAAATTTGCAAACGAAAACGAAGGAAGCTTTACTCCTGCTGATCGTCAGTTTGTTACATATCTTGCAGCATATTTGGAAAGCGAAGATCGCACGTTGCCTGCTCCTATGCAGGAAAGGTTACTCTCTGACTTTAACCAAAGAATTCGCTACAGCTCAGATACTGTCGATCCATACAAACTCACCCTCTACAAGATCATTGGTCGCTGTGAGTTGAATAAGCGCACAACTCCTGTTGTTGGGGCACTTGAAGATTTTATCTGGCTACAGGTAAGACAGACAGCTTGATTTTCTCGCTCACTGGTTATTATAGAAGACAACTGAGTTTCTTGTATATATGTCTACACAATTATATAGCTTTCCATGATCCGTGAATCAAAAAATGATACCATGCCACAGGATAAATATGAACTTGCTGATTTCCAGGCTCTTATTCTTAAATATGGCGCTAAGCAATTCAACCCTAATGGAAACAACCCTCTGCAATATTTTCAAGTCCTCATTTACTCTCAGCAGTTTGAGCGGGTAAGTTTTCAAACTACAGTCGCTCTATAAATTCACCATCACGTATATCCTACCCTCGTTCACTAATAGCTGGCCTCCCTTACCTATTTCTTAGGCCATTCATTACCTTTCTTCATTTAGAGCGTATACTCTAGAGACAGTCCACATCTCAATTGCATTGACGTACTACGGTTTACTTCGTATCCCTTCAGTTCATCGAGTATCTGATCCCAACCCATTCTCAATCACAACCGATGCACATGGCCAAGAAGTTGCCCATTTCAATTTTACTCAGTTGATTCATTATCAGGCACGCATCATCGCCGAGCACTACCCTACTGAAGCTCTCACATATCTGTACTTGATCTGTCTTAATACAGACTTGACACCCGCTATCAATCAAGAACATATTTCACTCTGCCATAGTTACATTCAAGAACTGGTTTTACAGGCCAAGGACTACTCAACACTTCTGGGCAACACTAGACATGGCATCAAGACACCAGGCGTCATCGAAAAATATCTTCCATTGATCAAAATTCAGAATAGTAGTCAATTTGTCAAGGATATTACCATTGAAGCGGCTAAGAGTAAATCCAAAGAGGGCCGTATCGAAGATGCCATTCAACTTTATAGTATTGCTGAAGCCTATAACCAAGTCGTAGAACTGTTGAACAGGCAACTGGCTGAGGCCATCTCCAATCCTGGTTTGCAAGGAACTAGCGAGTCTGGCGTCAATATTCCTGCGATTAGACGGATGATTAATGAATACGTGAGCGATCCCAAGGTGAATCAACAGATCGTCCCTAAAAACTTGGAAACATGCAGCATCTTACTTAGACTGGTTGAGTTCACAGAATTATATGACAGGGGCAAGTATGAAGCTGCAGTTTCAGTCATCATCGAACTGGATCTCATTCCGCTTGAAGCAGACATGTCTGTTATTGCCAAGAAAGCAGACCAATTCCAAGGTCTGGATGAATGCGTCGCACGGAATTTTCCCGATGTGTTGCTGAAAACAATGGAGAGCTTGAATAGGCTTTACCAGGCACTCAAAAACTCGCCTTATGATGAAGCCGGTCGACGGGGTGTAAGTATTTCTCTACATGACTTTTTCCTCTCTTATGATTAATATCAACGACGATGTCCCATTTGTTTTCAAGGATACGATAACTGAATTTATATATCTCCTGGTGTCATATATTTAGAATATGGAGATGCTAAAGAGGAGGGCACGATCCTTAATGATGTTTGCTGGCTCTATCAAGTTCAGGATGCCCGCGGACACGTATGCTAAACTCAACCGTCTTGATGTTATGATCGTGGCATAAGTGTTATGTGTCCCAAAGCTGCACTATTCCGCAGCACGGTAATGGCAACGAGGGATCAACAGGGACACAATTCTTGCTTGAAATATAAACTAGGCATTCATAAATAAAATATTATTTTGCTGAGCATTAAGAAGGCCTTACTTGTCAGTTATAAGAACGATGGGATGATTATGAAGGCAAAATTGGTAAACGCCGTTGGGCAAGAAATGGACCCTTATTGTCCTTAATATAAGTAAGGGTACTGGCATGGAGAGAAGTCGATAAAGACAATTAGTAGAGCTGCAGAGGAAAAGCATTAAAAAGAAAGAAGAGGGAGATAGTATGATGGGCAGGACAATAATAATACAACAGGATGGGAATTTGATGAGAGAGATAATTAAGAGCTGTATGAAGGATTCAATGATGCAAAGAAGCCATTAAAGCATTGGGTGGATTCATAGCGCTATGTTCCTGCCAAAGTATAGAACTTTGAGACGATCAACTTTTCTCTACTTTTGATTAAAAACGCAGTTTCACATGATCTCTGAAGGTTGACATTCATTTATTTGTCCGCCGAAATATCTGTTAAAGTCATGCACAGCTATAGCTCATACTTCTTTTCTATTTTTGTTATAGATGCAGCTTAATCTTTACTCAGCATGCTAGGATCAAACAGGCCGGTATTATTGCAAAAAAAAAAAAAAAAAAAAAAAAAACTTTCTTTCTTGGGACACCAATTATTACAGGACTTAACTACCGCTACATGTTTTGTATTAAGCCTTGGCAGCATAAAGTAGATGCGCGAACCATTCTCAAGGCCAACTTACCGAGAACTTTATTGGATAGTTTTGCAACAGGTGTCAACGTGTCTGTGTATCAATGTTACCTATTTATTTTATTTTTTATTTTTTTTCTTTGGTTTTAAGAATTTATTTGGTGGTGGTGTGCATCGCATAAACAATTCCTTCTATCTTCTAAGGACTCTCTAATCTGTAGTGCTGTTGGACGATTGCATTTTTTAACAATGGATAAAATTAACTTGTTCCATATTCAGGTCGGGGGCCGTACCTCGCTGCCTCCTGCTTTGATCCAAGAGAAAACGGACCTTCCGGGTTTGGAATCCAGACCCTCCGCTACAGAGGGGGAAGCTTTAGCCACTAGGCTTTCCCGCGTATCAATGTTACACAAACGCGTCCACCCAGTACATGTCACATGATGCTGTTTGTTTATATGAGGAGGATCCTCTAACGCCACCGTTTGCTAAGCTTGTTCCACCTGTTCCCTATTCGCATTCCTCCGCGTCTATTTTCTTTCTTTCGCACATCAAAGCCTTGCTTGAGTCGTATTATCTTCTCTATCATTGGACAACCCTGCAAAGTAGAAAAAAAAGTCTGCCGTGCTTTGATAGTTCACGACATTGATCTCGTACAGTACAGACAACAACCAAGAATGGCTGAACAAACTTCATCACACTCTTTAAAGTCAGAACAGGACACAGCTTCAAATGAGTCAAATGAACCATCCTTTCCGCGTCAATTACCTTCAGAATCGCACCATGAAGACGTGTCCAATACCGCCGACAACCCATCAGAAACTAATTCTTCAGACCAGCCGAAGGAAGCTGTGTTCGCGGTGGAAGAGTCTATAAGCCATGGTCATGAAGAAAATTCGAACCAAGAGATAAGCAACGAGCGGCTTGCATTAAGCTCAAGTCTGCCTGGATCATTACAGGAGCATTTTATGTTGTCATCACGACCTACATACCGAGATACTCTTATAGAGGGCATAGCATTAGAAGATGATGAAGAACCTACAGGATTACCATTAAATACTCCAGGGTCTTTTTCAGGAAATGCTGCTCATGATAAAGCACAGGAGAGAGACGCGTCACAAACCCATACCAAATTGTCGCCAGAAACAAAGCGAATTGATGCAGCTGATGCAATTAATGCAAAAGTAGACGTCATAGATAGCTGTAATTTGGCTATACCTGACACTTCAAAAGGTGTCGAAGGAGAACATAATGAAGCGGAACCCTCAGGCATTAGCTTAGCTGAAGATGCTACAGGTGAAGAAGGAGCGCCCAAGAGCCTCTTCCCTATATCGGATAATAATCAGGGTCTAATCCTTAGTGGGCTGCCAGGCTCCTCTGATGAGATTGATGAGGAAGAAAAGGAGTTTGTAATGTCGTTACGTCCATTATCTGAAGTTATGGTTACGGCCGCTTCACCTGACCTATCTGGACTTCCGTTTTCGATGTCTGCTGGCGCTGAGTCGACTGCTTTAGAGAATGCCAATATGCAGCGCTGGGATCTTCTTGATGACGAACAATCAGATGTAGAACTGGACAGTGGATTTGGTGCAACTAAGCAAGAAAGCACGCTTCCACTCGATCAAAGCGATGAAATGACCAACGTAGCGCCACGTGTCTCGCCTTTTGCCCCATACATCAAGAATAATACAAATCTTCAGCCAACTATGGTAACGGATGCCGATGTATCAGCCAAGTCTGAAAACGAGTCGGAAGTGCTGGCGACTAAAGAGTCCGAATACAATGGCGACAAATCGGATAGCGACTACCCAGATGTAGCTGAAGTATTGGGAGGGTTAGCGGCGGCGGCAGCAGGTTATTATGCAAAGAAGGTCCTTAACAACAACGACTCAGAGGAAGGCTCAACCTCAGCGGATTATATGAGATCACCAGCCAAGCTTGCTCAACCTGCCTCACAACAGCGATCCAACCTCTCTCGTGGATTTGGATTGGAAACCCAATCAACTGCCGAGGATGAGCTCACATTTGATGAGGGCGCTGGTGTCGGCATCGGATACAGACCGCCATCAGATGGTTTTCAAGGAAGCGAGTCCAGGGTATCCGAAGATACAGGCTCTGATCAGTCGGTTCCACGATTCACCACAGCAGAGAAAGGGAAGCGGGTGGTCAGAGACGAGCATACAGAGTCGAAGGATCATGATATGTCAGTGGATGATTACCCGCCTGTCAACAGTCTTACAGATAATATTACTAGCACCATTGGCGATTCACCTCTCTTTGCAGTATTGAGTCCAACTCCCGCTTCACCAAAGCCTCTTAGAGCTCAACAAGGGAAGCGCGGGATTTACCCAGCAGCGCCTCCTGCTCCTTGGACATCAGAGCCATTGACTAACAAATTAGCCCAGTGTCGAGCCTTGCCCTCATCACGTGCTGATACCACATCAACTCCAGTAACTAAAAACGATCCTAATTTGGCGTTCATGAGTTCAGCCCGTAAACATACACCACCGACGATGACTGAAGGTTCGAGTGGCAAATCACTTTTAAATGATTTCCCAGATGAATTGCCAAAATCGGTCAACGCCACTACGCAACCTACTGTTACTCTTCCGGAGGATCCTTCCAAAGCACCAGTTCTGAAGGGCTACTATGAACTTCCTTCGATTAAAAAGATCGATCAATGGAAGAGCACCAAAAGTCTTGCGCCAAATACGTTCAAAAGATTACTAATTAATCTTTGTGGGCTGATCGTATCCAGAATTATAATGAGAGCCACTATCTACAGGTAAGCTGGTACCTTGTTATTATTATAAACGTATTGTTTGTTCGTACTGTTCGCGTCGTTGACATACTCTACTACTTCTCATAACATTAGATCCATTATCAAGCTCATATCCTCATTGACAGGTCTATCGGTATTATATTGGATAGGTAAGTGCTTTAAGAAAGTCATAAAACCCAATTCAAGGACGTTAGTGACAGCCATAAAAACACTTTTTCTAATAGCTAAGGCGGTCCTCTTGGTAGAATGGGGTGTTGCTCTTCTGTTTGTGATTAATATCCTGGAGGTAATATATAGTTACATGACGAGCTCGAATAATTTTGAATATGAACCTTTGACTCCATCTCAACGGGCTCTCCTTGGCCTGGATCCTGTCATCAGCAAAGTGCCTGGTGCTGTTCCAATTTTCAAGAGATCAGTTAGTACAGTAAGTTAGATCGAGTACTCTATAAGTCTATACACATTGAATCTTCGTTGGAAGTAGTTACGAAAGTGGGTCTGACAGGCATGGTTCTCTTTGAAAAAGCCTCACAATTTGACAGAAAAGCCCATAATGAGCACATATGTCAGCCCCTCTCAAGTCCCATTCAGTTCATCTCGTACGCCATTCCAGAAGCCCAATGTGGGTACTGTCGCGCCAGAGTACAGGGATGCAGCTACTATTCTTAGTAAGTCAATGGCACGGAGCTTCAACCAAGTATCGGTTCAGGATAAGGCTGATCTGAACCGATTAATGAAGAGCCTTGAAGCAAGGGAGGAACTTCAGAACGAGTGGAAAGGGCCCGACGCTGATTCATCTAAGAGGTCCTTTGGACTCCATAGTGGTTTCGGCGCTCCCCAGAACGGCCTTCAGGGTGGCGTGGACATGGCTGTACCCGATCTCCGCGCAAGTATCAATGCCCGTGGACCTGTTCCGCAATATCGGCATGCATTGCGTACAACCCTGTCCAAGGATCATACGTCCAAAACCGATCTTCAGAAAGACGGTCTTTATGTTGTCGGTCATAGTAAAGTCCTCAAGAACCTCAAAGTTTCTGAACAACAACTCGATCGCTGGGTTTTCAACCTGCGCAAAGTATGCTCCGCATGGCTTGTATATCATGATATTAGAGAGTGAAAGGCAGACACAAATCATGGTTTGTTAATTTAATCTATGTCTTACATGTACTCCACTCAATAGTGGTTATGGAACAAAATCGTCATGCATGTGTGCAATGAAATGGAGGCAGTGGACGAAGAATTGGCTAAACAAGGATTGTCATATCTTGATTGTAAGAATGCGACAATGTTTTATTGCTCTGTTCCCGTGTCACAAAACGTAAATGGGACTGCTTCGACTGCTCCTGGTCCCCCAGCATCCGCCCCGCTCACCAGTTCACTTGCATGGGGAGCTGCCAGTGTTGCTGCACCTCGGTTACCAAGTGCCTTTGGGCCACCTCAACCGCAGCAGCCACAGCTACCTACATCACTTCAGGATCTTGAAGCGCGTTATGGCTCTGTAAGTGTTTATCTGAAGTACCACGAGGAGACAAGGATTGACTCATTATAAATTGGATAACGTTTTTAAGATACATCTCATCTTCATTCTGCCACGACATTCTAGTCAAATATTGTTAAGCAGAGGCTATACCTTGAAGCCTACTTGGCAGTCCCGGGCTGTGCCAACAGGAAATATGTTGTTGAGCGACTACAAGGTAAAAGCGCAAAAGTAAAAGGGTGTGGTATATTAATTGAATTATGAGACAACATTAAAGTTTGGTGCTTGACGGTATGATTTCTGTTTTACTGTATGAGTATAGCGATGGGCCCGCTCTTGACACATTTCATTTGGGATTCGCATGGCGTTACGTGGGATGGTGCCAAGAAGTCCTGGACCCCAGACCTGCCTTCGGATGCACAGATCATCATGCATTTGTTCATGACTTATATTGACACCAACATGCCATCTCAACCAGCAGAGGTTTACGATCGCTTCCTGTTTACCTACAAACACTATGTACCTATGGAGAATAAGCCCGATCCCACGACTGCGCTGCAAATCAAACAGACATCCAAATTCCCACCCAATTACTCTTTGGTAGTCGGAGGATCCTTGTGGGAAGTGGTACCTGTAAGTCATTGTCTGTTCATTCAAGTATTATTGTATTTTTTAATTTGAAAGTCCTTTTGATTCAAATGCCACTAGCTATTATTAATACTACAATATTTTTATTAATTTAGAAACGACTTAATGTATGGTACACTATGGTGTTGTTCATTTATATGGTTATGAAAGAAAATGGCGGCTATCTAGGCCAGATCAACATTGGCACACAATGGATTGGACTTGGAAATGTTGTTGAGGGCTATGACTTGTAGTTGCTTAATTCAGCATCAGTGAAGCGATCATCATTCATTTTAAAGAGATGTAATAATAAAATTTTTGATGTTTGAATGTTGCACAAGAACAAAAATCAAGAATTCATCATCTGTTTTACAACAGATAAAGATTTGAGAATGATAAGAAGAAAAGAGCATCGTAGTGGAATGAAATCTTTGGGAGCAAGTCCTTGCCGCAGTAAAGGGGGCGCGGTTACCTCCATCTTATTGAGGGTTGAATTGGGATATTGGGCGTCAATTTCCATGTGCAAGTTTGAGTATGAGTGTGAGTGTGAGTGAGTGAGATTGTGTGGCTGTGAGCAAGAGCCCTTTTTTTTAATAAAAAGACCAGTTCTTCTCGTTCTGTTATTCCCTTACATTCTCTCTTCAATCTCTCGAATCATTCATAAACACAATAGAATTTCACCAGATTCTCTCTCACCTTAATCTCATGAACGACCTTGCTGCTCAACCGGAGAACACCAAGGCTGACACCGTTGTCACTGGACGTACTATGGACGAAGTCACTCGCGCAGACAGACTCGTCCGAGAGATGCGTAACTGTGCTGACAATAAGACTCTAGGGAAATCTGGGCCTAAGCGTAGACGTAATCTAGTCAACGCGAACAAATATGAGGTCGATTTGGAGCGGGAACGTAAATGTGCAACTCGCGGTCGAACCAATAACAAGACTGCAGCTCAGCACTGCAAGGTTAAAACGTTGACAGTTACCTCGTGGAAAATGAATGAGTACGAGTATGCCAACGGAACGCTACCGACGCTTGCTCGTGGACTATTTACCTACCAAGATCCTCTCGCTACACCACTTGTCGCTGACAATGATAATACAGTACAAGGTGAAAATGAGGAGGCTGACAGCCCTCATCACATCCTGATCCGTGGATATGACAAATTCTTCAATATAGGTGAAGTAAAGAAGACACAGCTTGACTGGATCGCAACCAACACTGAGGGCCCATATGAAGTCACGCTGAAGGAAAATGGTTGCATCATCTTTATGGCAGGATTGCCTCCTCATCTGGTAGGGCCACAGGGAGGATGCGTTGTTAGCAGCAAACATTGTCTGGGAGATTCACAGTCTTCTGAGGTTGTGGATGCACAACAATGGACCGAGCGATCTGGAACCAGTGTTACAGTCAGTCATGCCCTCAAGGGACGTGAGTGGCTAGAGAAAACCTTGGCTGCCAAAGGAAGGACGACACAAGAGTTTGGACTATGGCTCTGGAACAATAACTTGACTGCTGTCGCAGAGGTAACTTTCCATCGATCCCTCTCATTACTTACTGAGTATGAAGGCGCATTTGGATTCAATCTTTTTTTTTTTTTTTTTTATTACTTTTTTTTTTTTTTTTTATAGATACTAAGAAATATTTGATATTAATTCTGTAGTTATGTGACGATGACTTTGAAGAGCATATTTTGAGGTATCCTGCCGAGCGAGCAGGACTCTACCTTCATGGATTGAACCGTAACACCGTCGACTTTCAGACTTTGCCCAGTGGGAAGGTTCAGCAGACAGCTGCTGAATGGGGGTTTCGGCGTACGGACTTTGTGACATTCAACACGTACAAGGAGGTAATGGATTTTGCAGAGGAAGTGAGGAATGCTGGCGAATATGATCATCGCCCCGTAGAGGGATTCGTGGTTCGTTGCAAGACAAAGCAAGAGGGAGCGACTCATTTCTACAAGATCAAATACGATGAACCTTATCTTATGTACAGAGAATGGAGAGAGATCACCAAGCATCTTTGGAGTGCTGAAACCAAAAAGGCAGCAAAGGACTATAGTGTGGCCCCATTACGGATGAAATATCCTCTTACAAAAGAATATGTGGAATTTGTACGGAAGTTGATGAAGACACAGCCGGAGTTGTTCACATTATATAACAAGAACCAGGGCATCATTGCTGTCCGCGACATGTTTTTGCAGGAATGGAAGTCCAAGTCGCCTCAGGAGCAAGAGAAATCATTAGGGCTCGCCGGTTCGAAGAAGCCTAAGACAGTATCTGCATCTAATGAAGTTGTGGAGGATTACCAGCGCACGGTTGTGCTTCCTATCGCGACGATCGGCTGTGGCAAGACCACAGTCAGCGTAGCGCTCTCTAAGCTTTTTGGATGGGCACATGTAAGCAGCGATGACTTTCAGCACATGCGGAAGAGCGGATCGAGGTTCCTGCAGGAGATAGTGAATCAACTCAAGGATAATATGGTCGTAATTGCAGATCGGACCAATTTTGAATATATGCATCGACAAAGAATCATGAACGTTGTTCGAGGGGCCTATCCTAAAGCGCGCTTCGTGGCACTCTACTGGAGCCATGATGAGATGCCAGCTTATAAGCTCCGGGAGTTTGAAGTTGAACGGGTAAGGAATCGAGGATCCAACCATCAGAACCTAACTCCGGAATTCTGTCCTGAATTCGAGAGTGTCATTCAAAGGTTTCTGACGTCATTTCAGCCTCTCAACACGCTGGTGGAGCCTGATTCGAATTTCAGCTGCGTGATCGAGTCAAGAGTGGGCGAGGAGAGCTTGTTGTTTGTGGAGCGGATTGTAAAGGAGTTTGCGATCCCCATCATGGGCGCTGGAGGCGTTGGAAACTATCCAATCCCAACACCAGATCAGATCAAGGAAGCAGTCCGATTTGCGCGAGAGGATTGGAAACCTGCACGGGTGATTTCTGGTGATGCTGAGAAGTGTCATACGCGCAAATTGAAGAATGAGGTTGGGGCGGAAGCAGAAGCTGAAGCAAATCAGGATGATTCCGGGGTGGGCTCTATCAATCCAACCGTTGGTACTAAAGTGATTAGTGGGAAATCAAGATGGTCGAAAGATCCAAAGTATTTTGCGATTGCACTGGAGCCGGATGCAGTTCACACGTTTTTAGAACGATTGGGTACGGACACAAATGGATCCAAGTCCGGTTCAGAGTGGGCTGAGCTCTTGCAGACGATCAAGGTGTGGAAGGGGAATGTGATGAATAGATCGCAACCACACGTTACCCTTATCCACGCGAGTACTTGTGAGGATAGTTCGCCTACAAAGGCTCAGCATGCCCAAATGCTGTGGAAGCTTTACACCGACGAAGTAGCTGGTATGAAGAATGAGTTGACTGCTGTATCGTCTACTCCTATGTCCTCTGACGTGTCCTTGCTGGTGTCTTCCATGCAGCAGTCACTTTCTCTGTCAACATCATCGTCACCGGCCTTGGCAAACAAGGCAAATGGAGGGCCGAGAGAAGTAAACGAGAAATGTGGAGCAGCTACTGCATTGAACTCTGTTGAAAACAAGGTTGGGATCGACCGGCCGGATCTTCAGGCGACTGTCACAGTAGACTATATGGTGTGGTCAGAACGAATTATGGCACTACATGTGTCGAGTGCTAAGCGGACATTGACTGGTGAAGCATACGAGAGTACACAGGCAAGTTTGCATATTACTGTTGGAAAAGCAAATGAACAGGTCAAGTCAATGGAGTCGAATACGATCTTGGAGTTGTGGAAGAGACAGAAGAAAGGAGAGGGATCTGACCCTGGGCCTGGACCTGCTCGAGGATCAAGAAAAGGAAAGAACAAGGCTGAAGACGAATCAACAGCAAAGGACGGTGAGGGATCAAGGATTAGATCAGTTAAGTTGGACAAGGTTCAGACTTTTACCGGAAGGTTGAAGGGCATGATGTATTGAGGAGTAAGGATGGTATTGCAAAAGTAAAAAAAGTAAAAATAAAACGAAAACGGATCATCTGCAAAGAAATAAAAAATAAATAAATAAAAACGACATCTGTAGACGTTCAACGTGATCTCGAACAAATCTAAACAAGCCTCCTCCATGATGATTGAATCCAGGGCAAAGAGACGGTTGATAGAAGGAGAGATCTCCGATATCTTTTTGTTCTTGTTCTTGTTCTTTTTCTTCTTTTTGTTATTATTATTATTATTATTATTATTATTATTATTATTATTATTATTATTATTATTATTATTATTATTATTATTCTTACCACAAAGGTTACTCCCCTATCCATAGGGACTTATCACCCTCATTCATTCGCCGCAGCTTTTTATTTTGATGGATCCGCGGAGAAGTATTCACACAATGTAATTTTCATAGGTTGTAGTTTGCGTTGTTGACACGCATGTGCAAATAAAAAGACTGGTTAAATTATGCATTGGGCTGAGTAAAAAAAAAAAAAAAAAAAAAAAGAAAAAAGAAATAAAAAATAACAAGAATGAGGGTAATGCAGGCTGAAGATGGTCACTGCCACATACGAATCAAACAAAATAGGTTTTTTTTTTACCTTTTTTTTTTTTTTTTTATTAATCAAGGACATTGTGGAGGGAGAAAGTGAAGAATTTAGTAGCAATTTATGGAGAAACAAGACATGGAATTACGAGATATTAAGATGTAGGAGAATGTAAGTTGACGACCAAAGGGTTGTTACTGTTGCCGAAGGAAAGGTATCATTTAATTACTGCTTTTTTTTTTTTTTTTTTTCTATGAGCGATTTTATTTCTTTTTCTTTTTGCTATCTTTGTAAACGAAATGGGCGAACGATCTGTAAAAGTTGCCGCGTGAACAAAAGCAATTCTTGACAGGTCCTTTTATGATTATGTTGAAACGTCAGGGCAAGGGCTTGCAAAAAAAATTTTATTTGAAAACTTCGCCCCACTCACTCTCACTCTCACTCATGTCAACCATGGAGAGATGAGCTTTTTTCTTTTCTTTTTTTCTTTTTCCCTTTCTCTCTCTCTCTCTCTCTTTTTTTTTTTTTTTTTTTTTTTGTTTTCTTCCTTCTTGTTAATGGCTCCTTTGAGCACCGTTTTTGTATACTCCCTCTACTCCCATTCCTCTCTCCTCTTCTTTTAGCATTACAAATTTCATTCCATTTATTTGTGCTCGTACACTGTGGAGATTGCTTAAAGCAGTGACGACCATGCAGACTGACGACTCAAACTATGGTGCCACTTCCGCACACAGCAGACAGACCACCCAAGGAGCTGAACCTGCTTCTGGCTCTACCTCCACTCTCTTTCATGTCCCTACACGTCAGAGTTATGATCAAGATAATGTCGATGAACGAACTCAATTGCTCGGCCATTGGTCAGGGGAAGATCCCGAGTTAACAACCACTGCGAACACTGGATCAAAAAAGAGTCGCCGTCGCAATACTTGGAATTACAACACACGTCAGCAGCCTAGTTTACTACCAACATCTGTACAAAGCATGACATCCATATCCGCCTTGGCATCAAGACCCAAAGATCTACCTGGTCAGACTACGTAAGGAACAAGATCCAAATAACAAAACAAAACAAAACAAAGCAAAAAAATTAAAAAGTTTTGCTGTCGTAAATCCTCAATTAACCCAACTATTGATCACCAGATAATTAAACGCATCTTTTTTTTTTTTTTTTTTTTTTTTTTTTTTGCTGCTTTTCTCCTTATTACATATCACAGGGATCCAGAGGATCCTCTCAATAAGAGTACTTCTGTTGTTCGCACCAAGCGAGAAAGGCAAGTGTAGTGTTACTTTGGACTTTTCATCTTGTTGGTCATCCATCTTGGGGTTTAAATGTCTGATTAACACTGCTCCTTTTTTTTTTTTTTTTTTTTTTTTTTAATATTATTTATTTATTTACAGTTTGTCAAGACAAGATACGTCCCGTAGTGTGGCAACGACCTCTTCCTTGTATACCAATTACAATGAACCGATCAGTGCTCGCCGAACCATGCTCCGCCAAAGCTCATTTGGGGCACCGGGCCGTTTCATGAAACTGTATTCTAGACTGATGGAATTGATCTTCTCTCCTGATACTACAGATGAGAAAATCATATCAACTTGTGTGGTACTATATCAATTCTTGTTAGGGACTGAGAGAATAAAAAAAAAAAAAAAAAATCTTCCAAATGTTTATTTAATCTTTTTTTTTTTTTTTTTTTTTTTTTATTTAATCTTTTTTTTTATTTTTATTTTATCGGTGCATAGAATGTCGTCAATGTAGCTGTAGACACGGCATTCTGTTTGCTTTATCTGGTCGAGGCTAGCCATCTCACGCGTCCTCCAGGCCATGAATCCAATTGGCTTTATATCCAAAGAAGTCGATCTTTTTGGTATATCCTAGTCACCATTGCCTGTTATAATTTCCTCACAGTTTGGTCCAGCATCATCTTTGCAGAGTCAAAATCAAAAGCCATTCGAAGGAAACGACATGTTGTGTCGACCCTGATAGCACTTCCTTTCATGTGTTCTATCTTTATGAAAGATGGCCACGAGCTCTATGTACCGTATTTCCTGCAAAGTATTGCTCTCGTCTCAAGAGTCCAGCAGGCACTCAACTTCTATATCGACATGGGCGTGACAGGTACATTATGGATCTTCCATCATCAAACTGTCCACTGTGTAACATCGCATGACAACATGTAGCATTGACCCACCCTTTTTTTCTGAAATGTTATTTTTTTTTTTTTTTTACAATGTTCCATGTTCTATGGCAGATCTTCCAATGGATCCATTGAAATCCAAGACCATCATATTTGCAATGTATATCATTACCCTCATCTACTGTGCCATCTCTGCCTTCCAAGTAGCAGAGTATGACCAGTTAATGGCTTCTGGCGATCACAACGATCTTTTAAAGCTACTGTAAGAGAGAAACCAGCTTTGTAGACCTTTTCTTCTTCGTTCCTGTTAGGGAGATTTATATATATGAAAAAAAAAAAAAAAAAAAAAAAAAAAAAAAGGTTACGCTCTTACGAACATTCTGTTCTGTTTGTAGATATTTTGTATTAATCACCATGAGTACTGTCGGCTATGGTGATCTGACACCCAAGAACCAACTTGGATACGCTATTGTCGTCCTGATCATCGGAGCTGTCCTCTCAGTGCTCCCTTTCATGATCTCTGGTATTATGGACGCTGTGGCTCAAGCAAAAGGTATACTATTTACTGTGAAACATGACACCAAGTTCACATTTTTTAAGAAAATTGGATCTTAAGACTCTTTTTCCTTTTTTGATTTAGCTGGCGAGGGAATCTTCAAGCCTGGAGGTCACAAGTTCATGATCATTTCTGGATCGTTACATTCTGCTCAGAAGCTTGCTAATGTCCTTAATGGCTTCTGGTTCACCAACAAGGTATGGTTTGGATTAGCTTTGATCAAAGGCCATCGCATGATATCCTTGAGCTTGTGGCGATATCAATTCTTTTTTTTTTTTTTTTTTTTTTTTTTTTTTTACAATGATAGGAATATTCCAATTCTTCTTTCAAAATCGTCATTCTCGGTCTGAGTGAACCTTGCAAAGATATTCAAGCGCTCCTGCGATCTGCCCGCTATAAGAACAGGGTCGTTTATTTAAAAGGAACTCCGTTGGTACGACAAGGATCTCTTTATCTGTCATACTTTTATCTCATTCAGAGCCCTGTACTGAACGGTATATTTCTAATTTTAATGAACTGTATAGGAGAGCAAGGATTTAGAGAGAATCCAAGCGAGATATGCAGAGGGAATCTTTATTATCGCTGACCGCAATTCCACATATTCGCCACAAGAGGAAGATCGCCATAACACACTATCGACGTTAGCGTTCCGTAATGTCAGCGAGGCAGGCATCTACACATATAATCTTCTCCCAGAAACAGAAATGTACCAGAAGATCGCTGCGACTCAAGTTGTTTGTGCTGACGAGCTGCGTCAGGTTCTATTGGCATTCAATTGTTTGCAACAGGCATCTGCTACGCTGGTCCTGAATATGTTGCATCAACATCGCCCCTCTGAAACTGTCGGAGAAGCTTGGGAGGCCGAGTACGATGATAGTCTTGGAAATGAGTTTTATTTTATTTCTTCTCTGAACCCCATCTTTGATGGAAAACCCTTTGGATTCGTGTCTTGGGTATGTTTACCACAATCATCGGTCTATCACTTTATGACAAGAACGACCCGTCTCAACACGTCCTAGTTAACTAATCCTTTTATATATCTCTCTCTCTGCTGCCCTTGTTCTATTTTCGATAGTTTTTGTACCGTCGCTTTCAAGTCATCTTGTTTGGAGTTCGTATTCTATTGCAATCAGGGGAATACCACACTGCCTTGAATCCAGGAAAAGACTACATCTTTCAACATAACGAGCAATGTATATTCATTGCGCAGAACCCAACTGATCTAGATGAAATTAACGCGCTCACTGAACAGTATCTGGAGAGATTCCTTCAACACCTTTATGACAGTCAGGAAGACTTTGACTATCATGCAAAAAACTTTTCAAAGGCTCTCCTGACACTCTCACCTACAAAATGCCCCTCGCGAAAGCATAAAAAAGCAAGGTCATCACAGCGTGGTACCAACAATGACATCAACCCTTACAGCCGAACTACCGGATTTTGTTCGCATCATTCTGCCGCACCCACCATCAACCATGAGGATGATGAGATTGATGTGGTTCCTGAAGTCAGCTTCGTGTCTGGGGATGAAGGTGGCGCAGACCAAGGCTCCAATGAGTCAGCGTCATCTCAGCCTGCTAAACGCCATCTATTGCCTCACTACAGTCGCAGTGATAGGAACCCCAATACAAAGTCCAGAGCAGAACGAGAGTACCAAAAGGAGCTTGCAAAGATAGGCTTTCAGGATTCTGAATCCAATAACCTACGCATTGATTATCCACCAGCCCCTTTCCCTGGCGCCAAGGTACCGCTTTGTATCTTAGTCGACACTCGGAATGGAGGCGGCCGGACTCTGAAAGATATGAAGATTAGCAGCTGGGATGATCTCTTGAAACGGAAAGAGAAAGCACGACAGATTGAACTCAATCAGAGGGCGGGACTTGAGCCTGGAATGGCCTCTTCTGCTGCGTTAGGTGATAAAAAGAGTAATAGGCTGAGCCAGAGCCCTTCAAACCCCAATACGGAGCCAGGTCACATCCTCATCTGTTCTCCAAACTATGATATCTTCCGACTGATCTGCACATTAAGGTCTTCCCATTTGAGAAAGCTACAGGATGTAGTCGTTCTTTGCTCGCGTAAACCCAATGACCAAGAGTTCAGGGCGCTGAAATGCTTCCCTCGACTATATTTCTTGATTGTAAGTTTCACTTTTGAGATCCAGCTGGACTAAGCTCAACGGACGTATGTCATTTCATAAATTAACATCGTATAATATAATATTTCCTACAGGGCGACTGTCTCTCCCGGGAGGATCTTGAGCGAGGAGGGATTACAAAGTCAAGCAAGTATCTGTTCTTGAGGCATCCGCAGAACGCTGGTGTAGATGGATCCTTCTTTGACAGTGTCGCTGTCATTAATAGGATCTTGGTGCAACAGATCTTTTCTGATGCTGAAAATGCAAGAACGGGCTGCCATGAGAGTAGTGAGGCTCACCATTCACATTCATCGCCGTCGGTGATGAATGGTCATTATGACCTATATGATCCAGCCAAGAGCATGTCCTTGAGGATGCCTCCATCTACCAAGAAACTGTCGCGTCAAGTCTTGAACGAGGGACCACAGTGTGTGTATGAGCTAGTAGAAGAACGTTCTGTTGAATTCCTCGAGCTTCGCAATACTGAGACCAGTATTAAACGTAGTAACCACTACACTGCAGGATCTCAAGCACTAGGACTAGGTTCTAATTATTATGAGCCCTCACAACAGCAACAACATGGTCCACGGAAAAAACTTCTCTCGGAGAAAGACTTTTATCATAATGCAATATATGCCTCTGGAGGTGTACTGGTCGGCGGACTTTTGGACCATGTCCTTTACCAGCTTTATTCGAACCCCAGTATCCTACAATTGATCAAATTACTCTGCGGTATCCGGACCAAGGCTGATGTGAAACGAGATTTCCATCTATTCAAGCAATTTGGTGCCGGATGTTACCTTCAATGTATTCCTGTTCCTGAGGAATTTGCTGTTCAAACCATGAAACCTAATAGAGATCATGACAACAGCCGATCATCATCATCGCCAAGCGCATCAGCCAGCTCAAACGATAGTGAAAGCAGTAGTGATGCCGACAATGATGACGATGGCGAACATGTTGACGATAAACACGATGATGCTGCAGAGGAGGAAGAAGACTCAAAGGAGTCGAGCAAGAACAAAAGCGGAAGCCATAGCAGTGACAGCAAAAAGAATAACAAAAAGAAAAAGAAGCTTCGTTCATCCTTATCAAAGGTTGCATCGATGGGCAAGCAAAAGGTCTCGAAACTGTTCCATTCGCATCATCACCACAGTAATCACAGTGATAGCAGCGTCAATTTTGATGCAGATTACATGAAGAAGAATCGCCACAAGAACTTCTTGCGTCTGTATGAGCACTTTGCATTGGATCGTGGGATCATTCCCATTGGTCTACTGCGACTGCAGGGAGATGATCCCAAGACAGTCTATCTGGGCATTGGAGGTAGTTCAAGGTGTTATGCGATTACGAACCCGCTGCTGGACACGGTTTTGTTGGATACTGATCAGGTCTTTGTGCTGACTCGAGAAAGTCTCTGAAATAAAATATTTTTAATACACGTTTTTATAATAATAATAATAATAATAATAATAATAATAATTTTCATTTTCATGCCTCACCATTGGATTCCAGTTTCTCCACCTCTATTTTAAAACTGAGGTTCCAGCAGGCCATTGTTGCAGAATTCGACGACGATTGTTCAACAAGTGCATCACATGAGAGGGAGTTATGAAAGTCCATTCTTACAAAGAGATCGTCGCTCAAGTCATGAGATGTTTGACCTTACCTCGGGACGGATGTCAAACCTAGATGAGCAGGAAGATTCAGCCACAGAGAGTATGGCAGAAACAACTGGTGAAGCAAAGGATGGATATGAAGTCAAGGTCAATAGAGACCATATTGATAGCGACCTGAACAAGTACAATAGACCAGAGCTTGAGCCATATTCAGTATCAAACCATTGCTTGAATGTTCAGGATGAATACGAGAGTTCATTGAACGCCGATGTCGAAGAGGACGAAGGAACTGAAGAGGAGGAGGAGGATGAGGAAGAAGAAGGATACGAAGGAGAAGAAGAAAAGGAGGAGGAGGATGTGGATGAAGAGGATGCGCCGATCATAAATGGACTTCTCAAATCGATTTACGCACAAAAAAACCGGCTATCGGCGTCTGCCAATGACTTGGTGTTCGATAGCGATTGCGACTCTCATTATCAGCATACCTCTAAGGGTCATGGATATGAAAGCAATCGAGATGAACTCTATGACATTACTCATGGGTCTGAAAAGGAGGAGAAAAAACTTGAAGATCATCAAAAGGCATTGGATCAACGTCGCGGAGAATCCCTGAATCGACTCACTTCAGCCTGGAATGAAATCTTTGAGCGATATGGGAAGGAAACTGAGGATATGTCAACGGATGATGAAATTGACTTATCAACAGGGGAACTGATTGTTGACAATGGAGTCCTGAGATCGAAAAACATAACACTCTTTGGATCATTGACGACCCTTGGTAAAGAAATTAAACAATCAAAAAAGAGTGTCCTTAACGAGATAAACGACGTCAGACAACAGCTACAACAACAACACTATCGACGTCCCAAAATTTTGAATAATGAGAACCGTGTATGTCCCTCCTCTACGTCTCCTGAACACCCTCTCCAAACCAGTGAGGCGGAAGGACAAGAAGGCAATGGGGTTAGAGCAGACTTTAACTGGAGCACCGATGATGATGTCAACGATCCAACGTATGCGCCTCCATCTAAACCGTCTAAAAGGACATCAATTCTATTGAAGCCTTCGTTGGATAGGAAATCACCAGATCGTCATCATCAACGACAGCGCGAATACTCTAGTAGAGCCCGTTCAACAAAGCGGAGGTCGTCCATAGAACCGAGTTGTGGTTTTGATGAGGAGAATGAGGAAGATTTAGACGGTCAGGAGGAAGATGAATTGGTGTTGAAGAAGGATAACGCTGAGGAAGAGAATATACTCTTACTGTATCGCGGAGTCGAATCGGAATCAGACCATCAGACTGCTGTGAATGAAGGCGAGGACAAGGATAATGTATACTGGTTAATATATCAGGGGAATTCAGAGGATGAAGAGGAAAGCTATGAGGATGACAAAGGAGATAGACATACTGGTCAGTACACCAATGGCTGTGCCGATATTGGCTATGATGCTGTCCATGTTGAAGAGTATACGGATGAAGAAAGTAGGTCCTGGCTGCACAACTCTTACGAATCATTGGTTGAGGGGGAGGAGAAAAAGAAAGCTGCCCAGGATAGCAACTACAGTATAAAGGATGCAGTTTGGCTACAGGATGACACCGTTTCCGACAGGAGAATTGTGGTAGGACATGATGATGAAGAATCCAGGTTTTGGTCCCAAGGCCCAACTACAACTGAGATCAATAATAATAAAAATGACAAGCATAGACTTTGGCTGCTGCAGTCTAGACATAAGTACGAAGCAGACGACGGAGACCTAGACTCAGACAAGGAGAATCGATATCAAAGATCACGATTTCGAACCTTGGATATAGAAGATGATGGACTTGATGATTCCAAGAGTTGGTTCGCGTCTCCTTCATGGAAAAAGCTGACCATACCGGATGCCTACCTTTTGGATACAGACTCCGAGCATGGGAAAAGCCCCCTGACAAAGAACAAGGAAGAAGACGATGATGATGATGATGGCTCTGAATCTGAGCCAAGATTCCAACCACAGTTATTCCCGAAAGGAAGTATGTGTCAATCCTCCTCTTGTCCACTCTCAGAACCACTGCCACTAAGGCCAAGATGGAGACATTCAAAGATGATACCACAAGCAAGGATCTTGGCAAATGCATTAATTTCCAAGCGGTCTTTAGCAGACACAACTGCTGCTGATACCGCTGTTACCACCATTACTACAGTTACTACCACCGCTTCTACTACTTCTGCTGCTGCTGCTGCTGCTGCTGCTGCTGCCACTGCTATTTCTGGTACTGCTTCTAATATTGCAAATCGCAAACCAAGGATGGATGTCTCTTCATCATCTTTCAAGAGAACGTTTGAGTCAGCATATATATCCTCATTCCCTGAAATAGGGCCCAGACTGCTGTTCGCTTCGCACCCAACAGAACCGTCGCCATCCAAACGGAGACGGGCAGATATGATGGATTTCAGTGTGTCGATGGAACGCTCTCCAACGGGAGAAAAGTATTTTGTATAATAACATCGCAGGCCTTTTATCATGATTGCAAACACGAATAGAATTAAATAGCCTGTCCGTCCATCAGAAGATGCTATCTGTCCTTACTCTATCACTTTGAGCTATTGACGGCAGGGTGTAGTACGACACACTTAATTTTTGGATTAGGGAGGGGAGAAAAGAAAAATGTATCAAGGATATGGCAATGGAGATGGGATTTTGCAGAGCGTCTGGCCCAAGATCATCCTGCCAATATGTATAACAGCTGACAATTATGAAAGACGAACACTGCTTATTGCTTAATATGTTTAATACGTTTAATATGTTCAGTAATAAAAATATTCTAGACCGAAAGATCTTCAAAAAAAAAAAAAAAAAAAAAAAAAAAGCACCAGTATCCCTTTTGCTGTGCAATGATACTCTGTAAGACATTCCTATTAGAGAAATCCAAAGTTGATGTTGTATTGAAGAGTGCCAAGTCTTTTTTTTTCTTTTTTTTCTTTTTAGTTGTCATCGTCCAAAAGCATTATGGAGCGAAATTGGTGGAATGCGTTTAGAACAATAAAGCTTTGAATTATAAAGTACCTGGGATGAATATACTTCAAATTGCACTTTGCGGATCAAGTCTATTCTTAAAGCCCAAATAATCCATTGTAGATTAGCTTGTTCTTGAGCAGCCTTGTTTTACGACGAGAATGACATCTTTAATAAATTCCAGGACTAAGGGGAAGAGCGCAGTGCTAAAGAAAAAAAAGCACTGCGGAGCTATGCCCATGACTATCTAGGCCAATCAAGAGAAATGTTGACTTGCATTTATAGATACGGATGAATGGAAGAATGATGTTGACATAAAACGCCATTGTCATTGTAAAGCTCGTTGCTTTTTTTTTTTTTTTTTTTTTTTTTTTTCATTACAAGTAGACGAACCTCTTGTAGTGGTAATAGCCGGGCTATCTATTGATTGGGAGATATTCTGACTTGACTCAAAAACTGCATATCTTTGCCTTTTTGTTACCGATAAAGATCAGTAGCTGTCTTTATTATATAATAAAATACTGGAAATATATATGAATCCTTGTAATCATCATTATCTTTTTTTTTTTTTTTTTTTTTTTTTTTGGACGGCAAAAGCTGATCCCGGACTGAGTTGCTAGAAAATGCTTCCTATGAAGGAAGAAAGATTTTCTTAGTAAGCGACATGTAAGGAGCGGAGCAGATGAATATATAAATATTATATATATATTATCTTTTTTATAGATTAAGAAGGACTCGAAGATCTGAGGTACATTGGGTACTGAACGGCTTGTGTGTACTGAAAAGATTGAATTGCGAATGTACAAAAGTGTGTAGCGAAAGGAGAGAGACCCCTGTCACTTCAGTGACATTAGTCAACGAGGCAATCCAAACGCAATGCAAAACAAAACAAAGCGATGCAAGTTATTGATGCTAAATGAACCTCTTCCTTTTTCTTCTCTCTTATCCTCCTTCTTCCTGGCGACAAGTAGCCTTTATTCAGTGTTGAAGACTCTTTGTTTTCATCCAAAAGCTCCGGATATCAGCAAAAAAAAATGTCCAGAACACGTCGCGACTTGATGCACAATAGCACGGTAGGTACAATTTACTGTGCACCATCTGCATAAAATGATGGGATAATGTTTCCGACTAATAAATCAATATATTATGGCCAAAGTGACATCGTTTTCCAAGACTCAACAGCAGGAAGTACCAACAGCTGCATTTAGGTTGACCATTCTGCGCTGACATGTTGTGCCACCGTGCGGAACAACCAGTTGTGCAACTGTCAGACAGGAGAGATGACCAGAATTGCCATTTTCGACAATTCCACATATACTTTTGGTGATGTAAACACACCCTCTTTTTTTTTTTTCATTCTTCGGCCTATACTTTTGCCATTTGCCATTTGCCATTTAACATTTATCAATCCATTCATTACTTTATCCTATCTTCTTTTGGGATCATGTGCCCTTTCCTGCACCATTCTTCTACGGGTCAAAACACCTTCCACATTTGTTGGACGCGATTCTTCTCATTTTCTTAATGGAGACTCAATATACATCTCGCTCCAGAATGATTTTTTTTATTTTTTATTTTTTATTTTTTGCAGTGATTGTCTGCGCATTGCGCTGATATCGCAAATCCTCAGTCAAAGAGGAAGCGAGGAGATTATTCTCTCTCCTTTTTTTATTAGTAGATCAACATCAGAATAAATATTTGCTTGTTTAATAGAATGACAGGGTTATGAAGAAAAAAAAATTTTTTTTCTGAGTTAATGAATTATCGGCCTCCGTAATTCCGAAAGGACATTTATTGGCCAAAAAAAACTTTTTTGGAAATTCATATGTCTATTCTATCTGTGTATTTTTGTCCATGTTTGTCCATGTTTGTCCATGAGGACATTAAACAGTTTTTTCTTTTTTTTTTTTTTTTTTTTTTTTTTTAGGTCTTTACTCTCTTCACCCTCCGTCTCTCTTTTTTTTATCCTTCTCTTTGTCTCCCTTCTTACTCCTTTCCTTGCATTCATTCAGCAGCCAGCTTACCCATCCTCCCTCCAGTCTTGTAAATTTCATCTCTCTGTCTCTTTCTCTGTATTACAATATCTTTTGATCCAACAGGTGAGAACTTACTTTGCGCACCATTGCTTCTTCTGCTTCGCCCTTTCCAGTAGCCAAGGCGCACCAGCAAATAGAAGCGTCTCTTCTTCCTTCCCTATTTTTACCATCTGTCCATTTTTACTCTTTCACTCTCATTCGAACCTGTCGATCTATGCATCCTACCTCGATTGTCTCTATTCACACGGCCCATCTGTTTATTTGCATGTGCTCGGATCTGAATATCAGCTAACGCGTTCTGTTTACTTGTTTACTACTTTACTACCTACCAACATCCTTTGTAAACACTCTCACCAACAAACTTGATCTTTTGATACCGTCTAAGGCTTCTACTTCATAATACAATCCATAAACAGCACAAGCATCATTTTCAAACTCCTTACACATAGCGATTTCTCACATTCCAATCGTCTCTCACTCTCTGCTCTGCTATAATTATCAAACTGCTTTCTCTTCGGTCATACTTTATTCAAATAGTTCTGCTCTCCGCCCACTGTTTCATCCTCTTCTACGCGATCATTCACCATATTTGCCCATTTTCGCTTAATACGCTTCGCTACCATAGCCAATTGGCTGCCGCTGCCGCAAGCGCCGCATCATGACGACGCTAGTTGTTTCTGACCAGAGACAGTTACAAACTGTTCCCACTTCTGTCTCTGTCTCTTCTTCTTCTCCGGAACATTCTTCATCCAAGCAAGCAACTACACGGCAGACACAGACTGTAGCTTCAGCGTACATGCCAACGGCTATTATTCCGACCACACCCCATACTCCCATCGACTCAACAGGCTTGGTCGACTCCTCTGCCTCTTCTTCTCCAACATCTTCCTCCTCTTCCTCCTCTTCCTCATTTTCATCCTCCATCGGTTCAGAACTTCCAAACACTGTGACTCTCAGCTTTTGTTCGCAGTTCTTTCATAATCAAAAACAGTCTCTACACAAGTATCTGTTAAAATTCTATGGATATCTAGGCCAGTATGTCGAAAACAATCCTACTGTCCTTCTTGTCCTCCGGTACGCAATCGCCTCCATCCACGCCTTCATCGTCTATCTCTTATCTGTCATCCTCTCACTAGCCCAACTAATTGTGATCACTGCTACAATTGAGAACCTGGGCTGGATTCAGACCTACAGGCCCTTCATGCGTGAATGGGATAAATACTTTCCAGGATTCGTGTTTCCTGCTCTGGATATCGAATCTGAAAGCGAAGACGATCCTCCTGAAGGGTCAGTGAATAACCCCATTATTCACAAAGACGCGCGATACTGGGCCTCGAAACGCAAGTTGAAGGAGTGTAATGATCATGTTGATAATAGTTACCATTTTGAAGAATCAAAGAAACGGATGACTATCAAGCAATCAATGAATTCGACACTTCGCCGACGACCTGCCAAATTTCAGCAAGGGATTCCTTCACTCTGGACTGCAGAAGAAGCTGAAACATCCAATGGCATAGAAGTGGAGAGCGACCACACAAAAGGACAAGATCAAAGTCCGAAATCTGAGGATACTGAAAGCCATCTTAGTGGAATCAGCTATGCCACAACCAGGACATCTTCAGGACATCTGAAACCTAAGCACGTCACCTTTAACGAGGAGGTCTTGATTTTTGATCGCAAGCAACCAAACCAATCCTTTGCTAAAGCTGCGTCGCCAATGGCACCAGTCGATCGTCATGATGGCTCTACAACCCATATCTCCAGGACTCTACCAGCTACTGAGGCGCATGTTACACGCACAGGACTAGTCAAAGATATGGATCCATTTATAACCTCAATATCCGCAAAACCAACTCCTGTGTCCCTCGACACTATGGCCCAGGACGAAGCAGAATACCAGCGTAGGACTGCATCTGAAGATACCAACGACTCGGGTAACACATCCCCAACCTTCCAGCCAGATATCGAACATACTTCAACCTCGCTCGCCCCATCAATTATCTCGCCAATCAGCTCCGACTCTCCCTATCCTTCATATGCCACACTTGCTAGCCGTGTTGTCTCGAGTGCGACCGGGGACATAACTAACTTGAGGCGTGCAAGCTCCGTTCCCCTCAAGATCGGATCTTTCTTTCACCGCCACAACCATCAGAATGGGTCTCAAAAGAATACATCACGACGTACCGCGACATCCCTAGAGTCAGATGCAATGGCTCGAAACTCGAACATGCCAGTATCTCAGCTATTGCAACCAAATAATCAATCCAACGGGCCTGATGTGCTTTCGGTTGAGACAGCAGAATCCCAACGAGAAGCCCTGCCTCCCAGGTCTCGACCTAAGCGCTCATTCTCTCTCGGATTGAGTCGACATCCTCATCTAAGCAAGCAAAGTAATACCGCAGGAATGGGAGGCAGCAGTAATGACAAGCACAATAACTTTATGTATCGGATAGCTCACCCTCAGCGTTACAAGCGGGAGATGGAGCAACATCTGTCACAGCAGGAGAAACAACGGCTCTTGACTTTGGCGCAGCTTCAGCACAGAGAGGTTTTGGAAGGCGGAAACGCAGCGACCAGCTCAGAAGCTCCAATAGGCACGAGAACTGAGGATGCTGTATTGTGTGGCAATGTATGCTATTATGCGACTTCGGCAGAATATGTCGAAGGAATTGGTGCACCAAACTCTGTGATCTCAACCTCGGTAGGCATAGCATTTCCAAAGAAGCTTCAGCCCAAAAAGGGAAGGGGTAAAACCATATCCCTACGTCCTATTAATGTCTCTGGCCGCAGTCTTGCAACTAAAGATGCCCGGTATAGCTACAAGCCTCTGTTTAGACCAGACGATACGTCGCAGTCCATATCTTCCTTGATTCAGCCATCCAAAGAGGTATCTACTGTTGCATCAACGAATGGAACCGAAAGGGTAGATGGCTGTGCCAAGATACCTGACCTCTCCTCCTCATCTACCGCAAACACTCACCGTCCCTCGCCTCTTATCCGGACAATCTCCATCAATTCCCGCAGTTATACCAACTTTACGACCTTTAGCTTCCCCACACCCCCTCCGGCGCAGCAACTAGCTATAAAGACTCCCACCAGTTTAGCTCTATGTCCTATGATCACTAGTCAAGGCTCTGCGATCGAGCACACAACATTCGCAGCATTTGGGTTTCCATCTCCTAGCCCGTCTCCCATCAATTCTGCACCAGCTTCACCTCGCCACTCCATTAGTTCAATGCCATTGGACATTTCTAATCGGATTCAGGCTAGAAGTGGATTTTATAGCGGTGATACGCGACAGGATCTGAATATGAATGACAATACACTGTACTTGCATAGTCAGGACCTGGACCAATACGATGGTGATCCTATCCAGCCGCAGCTCCAGGAAGGATCCCAGAAGAAGTATCTCAACGATGCTCTGAGAGACATGAATTTCATTGAAGAATCTTTGCCGCAGACTTGGGTCGATGCTGGTAATAAGTATGCAGATGTTACCACGACTGATTTGGGCAGCCAAAATATGCAGTTGTCAAAAGACCATAATGGAAACACAGCCGAGAAACATCACCACATCTTGAGCTTCTTGCAAAAGTTGAGCATCAAGAAGATGAAGAAAAGGCGTTAGCTGTCATACAGCCAAGCGAACTTTTCTCGGGATCCTTGTACATATATTTCCTCAACTCGTATTTATCTGTTCTGTATTTATTCCCTCTTCAATAGATTAGGTTTATTTTTTCTTTCTTTTTTTTTTTTTTTTTTTTTTTTTTTTAGGATAGTAAGAATAGAATTATTAGAACAAGCAATCGCAATTGCTTTCAGCAAGATGCTGGACATCTGACGCGAAGGATATCCATTCGTGCATAAAAAAAAAACTCATTTCCATACTTATCCACTTTTTTGGGGGAACAATAAATTAAAGGTAGTATTTAGTCCAATGATTTTCACTCGTGCATTTTTTTCAGCAGTGCATCAAAGCCCATATTTTTTTTTTTTTTTTTTTTTTTTTTTTTTTTTCGCCAGTGGCCTTGGCTGCTATCTACAAGTGGTAGTATGGTGTAGCCTGATATAGAAATATCCTAGTGCGTGCTTGGTTCACCGTGTCAGAAACCACCAACAGTGAGAATTTTCAGGGCAGTAGTGCACCACACCGAGAAAAGCCTTACATTGTGATGCAAGAATCACTGATGAAAAATCGGTGGACCATTGCACACTTGGTAGAAGCTCCATGTTTTTCAAACCCAATATTCTTTTCAGGAGCCTACAGGGGTGGATTATTTACAAAAGAAAGAGTTGGTTTAAGAGCAACTCAAAAAGTAGATCCATTATAGAAAGTCAAGGACCCTGCTATGGACATGTCAAGGGTACAAGAGAGGAAGCCTTGCGGGATTATCACCGAGCCTGGGACAATGACCAGCTTCTTACTCCATGTTTGGATCGTGTTGCTGCCACATACATAAAACAGTGGCAAAGTAAACCCGATGAAACGTGTTTAATAAACATTGTGGCTTGGCCTATTTACAGTTATAAAAAAAATTTCTCGTTTCTCTAAGCTTCTCTCTTTTTCTTCCTTCACCTTCTTCCCATTGTTTCTTTCCACCATGTCTGTCGGTGTAAGTTTTCTTTATCACTCGCTTGCCTATCTTTTTTTTTTTTTTTTTTTTTTTTATTTTTTTTATTTTTATTTTTTTATTTATATCATTTAATTTTATTATTATTATTTTTTGGTCTGCTGCGTTTGTTTTAATGACCCTGTCGTATTGATCAGACGATTCTTTGGATATGGATATTAAACATAATCTACATATAGACTATCTACTCCTATCCCCAGAACCCCCGCGTCTTCAAGGCCCTTGTTGTTGCCAAGTACAACGGCCTTGAGGTCAAGGTTGATGACTCATTCGAAATGGGCAAGACCAACACGACCGCTGAGTGGATCGCCAAGTTCGGTGCTTCTCAGGTAAGAACTTGAAGAGTTGTAACCAAAAAAAAAAAAATAAAAAATAAAAAAGCTTTTTCGCACGCTTGAATATGAAAATACGCACGGACAAGAAAAATTTTGTTGACGATCAATGGCGCTATTTGTGGATATCTATAGATCCCTGCTTTCGAGGGTACTGATGGCACCATCATCATCGAGTCCGGTGCTATTGCTTACTATCGTACGTATCTATGTATATCGAAAAACCCCTGTTGTCCGCCTCAACAACATCACCAAATCAGCTAATGCAATGTGGGAAGGCAGCGAGCAAAATGATGAACTTGTTTTTTAATCAGTTATCCCTGACTTAATCATCTGTGTCGAGAACTTGATTTCTGAAAAAAATTGCTTGCATTCCCCCATTCTCAACATAAAATAATTCCCTTCAGCCCCCAAAAGTCTTCAGCCTCCATGATTCTTGAGTCATAATGTATCTTGCTCTTTCACAGAGTCCGCCTTTTGATTCAAATATCTAATCGTCTATGTCTCCTATTTTATATGTCATTCTCAATTGAACAGTCGCCCACTTGAAGTCCGATTCCACTTTGATTGGCCGCTCCAACACCGAAGAGACCTACATCCAGCAATGGGTTCAGTTTGTCGACTGCCAGATTGTCCCTAGCCTCAGTGGTTGGTTGTACCCTATCTTGGGCTACAGCACCTACAACAAGGTCTTCGAAACTCAGGTAATTGAGAGGCTCCAACACCATCTCAAGACCCTTGAGCGTCACTTGACCAAGAAGACCTACTTGGTTGGCGAGCGTGTCACTCTTGCCGATATCGCGGGTGCTACCGGTCTCTACCACGGATACAAGCTCCTCTTTGACGCCGAGTTCCGTAAGAGCTTCCCTGCTGTCACTCGTTGGTTCACCACCATTGTCAACCAGAGCAACTTCAAGGCTGTTGCTGGTGACTTTGTCTTCTGCGAGAATGCCCTCAAGTACACTGCACCCAAGAAGGAGAGCACCAAAGAGAAGAAGCCCAAGGAGGAGAAGCCCAAGGAGGCCCCCAAGCCCAAGGCTAAGGAACCCGAGCCAGAGGAGGAGGTCCAAGAGGCCCCCAAGCCAAAGTCCAAGTTGGACCTCTTGCCCCCTGCTAAGATGCCTTTGGATGAGTGGAAGCGCCAATACTCTAACAATGACACTCCTGTTGCCATGAAGTGGCTCTGGGAGAATATTGACCTCACCACTGACTACTCGATCTGGAAGGTCGACTACAAGTACAACGATGAGCTCACCAAGTTGTACATGTCCAACAACTTGGCTGGTGGTTTGATGAACCGTCTCGAGCGTGCTCGCAAGTACGCTTTTGGCTGCTTGGTCGTTGCTGGCGAGGACAATGCTAACATCATCACTGGTTACTTCATTGTTCGTGGCAATGCCGAGGAGATGATTGAGGAGATCACCGATGCTGCTGACTATGAGTCCTACACTTGGATCAAGGTCAACGTTGATGAGGAGGAGAAGAAGAAGATCGACCAGGTCTTTGCCTGGGAAGGTTCCGTCGATGGCAAGCCCATCCAGGACGGAAAGGTCTTCAAGTAAACACCTTTTGTATTATATCGTCAATGCATTGACTGATCAAACCACAAACCAAAATAAAAAGGAGAATAAAAATCCCCACGATGTACAGTACATTATTATTAACAAAAGTGTCCCTTTTGTCTCATACTTTTTATCCATTCTCATTGACCTTGACATTGCGTGCATTTGCATGGTAAAGATGTAAATATGGTTGTCAGTCTGTGCAGAATTCTCATAAACACCCCTGGATTCGATTAACACTTTTTTTTATTTTTACCGCTTGTCCCGTATGCACAGATCAGCATGCTTTCCTTTTACCCCCTTTTTCTTTTCAGTTCAATAATGTTCCTTTAACTTGTAAACGGGACACCAGGCGCATGGTCAACTTTTTTTTTTTTTTTTTTTTTTTTTTTACCACACAAAAAGCCGCTTGTTGTTCCTTTTTACTTATTCCTCTTCCGTCTCCACTCCACTCCATTTTTGACAACTTGTTTTCCTTATTTCACTGTTCCAGACAACTTTTATTAAATTGCATTCCTGACAAACGAAACAATGACCGTTGAAGACAGTGACATGCAAAAGCTGTGGAGGCTTACAAACGAACTCACTGCTCAGCTGGTGTTCAACAGGAACGCTTCGTTGGAACTTAAGCAGCAGCTTGCTGATCTTCAGGGAAAGGCCACAGGCTTTACACCCTTACTCGCCAGTCCATATTATGGTGATTCACATTGTACGCTTCTTTCTTGGCTTTGGGAAGATGAATGTCTTTTTTCTCTTGGCAATATTGCATACCAATATAAATGAACCAGCTAGACCTCAACCCAGGATCATGCATTCTTTTTTGTTTTATTTCCTGACATATGTGAACATATGCTTATGAGCAGACCACAGCGATTTTAAGCTCAGGGTAGAGAACGAGCGTTTAAGGGAGGAGAATTCGCAGTTGCAGGAGCAATTGCGGGAGTATGAGCGTTGGATGGAATACATCATGGGTAAATTTCGACTTCAGAACGTAAGAAGCTAAAAAAAAAAAAAAAAAAAAAAAAAAAATGCTTGTGATCATTGATAATATCAAGTAAAAGGAATGAGACAAATTTTTGACCACAAGTGGTTTGTTTTTATTGCTGTTGTTCAGTTCGCAATGGCTCAAAGTAGGAAAGAATCAATGCATGAGGCATATAAAATGGCAGAACAAGGAGGTGAAGCAGCAATGCGACTTCAGGAAGAGAATGTCATGTTGCAATCACGACTATCTGATCTGGGGGCAGCAGCACGAAAGGCAATTCATGAAGAATACTATGCTACAGAATCACTGATTGAATCACTAGAGGCTGAAAACCAATGCCTGCGTGAAATGTTGGGCGTGGCAGAAGGGGACATGGGGGCTGTTCAAGAACGACTGGACTTTTATCGACGATCGAGACAATTTTTTGTTGATGAAGATGATGAAGATATGAGATCTCGTCATGGCAGAAACCGCGTCTCTTTCCCAAGTACGGGTACAGGATCCTATCCAGGATCTAGTGGAAGTGAGGAGGAAGAGCCACTTCGACCAACTGATATGCAACAGCAGCATCAACAGCGACAACAGCAGCATCAGCCTTTGTCACCTACGCCAAGCCATGGAAGCCAAGAGCAAGGGTTTACATTTAAAAAGCCTTTCCCCTTGTCTGTACAGACAAGCGGGATGCGTTCTCCTACAACAGCTTCATCTGCCGGCTCTCCTCGGTCAATGTCTGCACTATCATCTTCAACTGCATCGCCAATATCATCTCCATGGTCTGCGTCGACTAGTGGATCAAACTCGACATTAACTTCACCAGCATTATTGGATTCAGCGGAACAATTCAAATCGATATCTCCGCCTCTAGACGACACAAAGAGTTTAACAAATGAACAAAAGCAAAAGTTTCACCGCGGCAAGATCACCATCAATACCAAATTAGGGTCACCTATGGCTAGTAGGAAGGATTGAGGTTAGATTAGATATTACCAAAAAGAAGAAATTAAAATGTTGAAATTAATTCGTTTTGTAATAGGACGTCATTCTTTTTTTTTTTTTTTTTTTTTTTTTTTTTTGACATGTCAATTTCAATGCCTCCTCTTTCTCTCTTCTCTCCTTTTTTTTTTTTTTTTTTTCAAAATTCTCAGCCTAATTCTTTGTCACTTCACCCTATCTACTTCTCACAAGTCATTGTTCAACGTCGCTTTTGTCATGACTCAGAAACCAGTCTTGGCTATCCAACACAAAGTCTCTCTCTCTGTTGGAGGCATTGTTCGGTATCGTATCAAAGTCAACCCATCACAGATCAACAATATTGACACTCTCCAATTCCGAATCCGTAATTGTTCGCCTATCTATCGCAATCTCACACCAGCATCAGGACCTTGGAAGATATCAGTGGCTCTTATTCGAAATCCAGACAAGACTCCAGTTGTTCCTGAGCTAGTGCCTTCCATCGGTTGTGCAAAAGACTGTCGACTAGACGCAAAAATAGCGAATGAGTATCATAATAATGACGAAACTCATGAAAACGATCCGGGTGAGAACGAATGGGAACTTGAGGTCCTGTCAGAGATGGTCCTACAGCCCAATTGGATCAATATCACAGTTGAACTATATGCAGTCCCACAAAAGGGCGTTTCCTTAGACTTGATAGCCAGTAACAACGACGATACCAACAGCAATGTTGTCTCTTCCAATTCAAATTCATCCGTTGATGATGAAGGAACAGCCGATACAGCAGACACTAAGACGGGGCCTCAAGTACTTCTTCCTCATCTTGTGTCATGTGACTACAAGGATACTAATGAGATCTGTGGCCCCACCTTCCCAAAGCAAGCCCATCATGAAAACATAGGAGAATCCAAAGAACAAAATGAGGAGGAAGTAAACGGATATCACCTAGTCGTCCTCACTCATGGCATCCATGGAAGCTGGCTAGATTTGCTCTATATGAAAGAGCAAATCGATGCCTATAATGCACATCATGGTAAAACCGTAACCTTCCTTTCAGATACGAATCATGGTGGAACAGAGGAGGGGATTCAGAGCGCGGGTCAACGCGTTGCGCTGGATATCTTAGAATTCACAGGATACAATGAAACTGAGCAAGGGAAGGAGCTCTGCAAATCACTCTCGGCTGTAGCAAGCAAAAAATCTCTGTCCAAGTCTGAGGAAAACACAACAACATTAAAGAAAAAAAGCCGGAATACAAAATACTCTGTGTTCCCTCGTGGCATTTCCAAAATCTCGATCATCGGTCATTCTCTGGGTGGATTGGTAAACATCTACATGCTCGGGTATATTGAAGATGTGACTAAGGGAGTCTTCTTCAATACCATTCAGCCGGTCCATTTCATCACTCTTGCGACACCACTTCTTGGTATTGGATTCGAACACCCCTGGGTTCTTGGGCTTGCGCTATCTATGGGATGTATTGGGCAGACTGGCAAAGATTTAACGCTCGAGGACCGATCTTCAAAACTCAAGCGGTCGTCATCCACTTTTTCATTGAATTCATTACCGTCATCAAAACGCCATAGTTTTCAGAAGAAAGAGCCAGCGGCAGCAGCGCATGCCGCGGGCTCGGATGGTGCAAATAATGACATCACGGCAGAGCATCCACCCGAATGTGCTCTCGATCATGACCCTGAGCCTTTGTTATTGGCTATGGCTCGACCTGGTTCTGTTTCCAATAGGATATTGAAACAGTTTTCGGACCGGACGTCGTACGCCAACATTGAGAACGATATGGCAGTCAGGTTTAAGACCTCGACCATGATGGGGATCCCCAAATTTGATGTAGACCATTTCTTTTCATCCGAAGGTGCTGCTACGCAGCCCAAGAGAAGTCTATACCACAATGTATTGACTAGCACTCTCGCATTGCTGTTTCCACCTGTCCCTAAAAAGGCCAAATTCTTAAGTATAGCAGATGCGCCTTCACCAATTGTGATTGTCAGTCATGTGGAAGCAGAGCCAGGTGCAGCCGCAGATGTTGCCAAGAAGATCGATGAGGCAAGTGCTGAGGCCGCAGCGGCAGAGGCGGCGGATAAAAGCGTTCATGAAGGAGGAATAATGGATAGAAATATAATGAAGGAATCTCAATCAGCAGATTCATTAATAACTGATGAAAGCTTAGAGTCCGTGCCGTCTCTACCATCGTCGTCGCAATTGTCGTCATCGTCGTCAGCAGCAACGATCCCCAAGTCAAGAATGGATCTAGCTCACTTGGTAGCAGAAGGGTACCATGCTGAGATGGATTGGACCAAAATTGGAGTATATATCGAGCACGAGGCACATGTACAAATCATTGTTAGACGCAAGTGGTATAACCTGGATGGATGGAAGTGTGTACAAGATTTGGTGGAGCGTTTTGACTTTACATAAACCATACTAGTCCTTGATATCTGAATCAGTTTCTTTTTAATATCTTCCTTTTACATACCATGTCTGATTTGGAATTGAAATGAAGTGCTAAATGGCACTAAGGTATCAAGTTTTTTTTTTTTTTTTTTTTTTTTTTTTTGAAGTGAATATTTTGACTCCTGTTTTACATCTTTCTACATGTATAAACCATCTTTTGCAATGGCTTCCACAATCCTGACCTCGGATTCTTTGAAACATGCATACATGCGGCGCTGAAGTGGCCTAGAGGAGAAATAGTTTGGGGAGGCTTTGGACGAGGCTGTTGTTTCAGTGGCATCAGGGTCAAACGCCTCCAGTACAAACTCACGCGACGTTGGCTTCGGGAATGATGATTGTAGTGAGCCTAGGAGATGGGAATCGATAGATTAGTTTCGAGTTCACAACTTTATTTTTTTTTTCTTTGAACTCTTTTTTTTTTTTTTTTTTTTTACCTCCGATTGAGAATAAGTCATAGACACATTCACGCTCTTGTCCATCTTCAACGACCGCTTCTTGGTTCTCCAAAATTTTCTCTACCAAACCGTATTGCTCCGGGAACTAAAAAAAAAAAAAAAAAAAAAAAAAAAGAGACACATTATGTTGGACGTTGTATTCCATTCTAAGGACCAAAACTTTTTTTTTTTTTTTTTTGTTATACCTTTCGAACAAGGGCTATGGCTCGGCTCATCAAGAGCTCAGTTTCTCGGAACCTTTCAAGGATCGATCTTAGGTTCAGGTCTTCATTTCCACCAGCGAGCTCATCCCATGAGAACTCTGTCAAGTCCTTGGCCAGCTCCTTCAGATCTTGCGCTATCTGACGAATGTGTAAAGCGATTGGATGTGATACCAAGATATCATATGCAATAAGGCACATTGTCGGGAGAAGTCTACATCGTAATTTGTGAGATGAAAGCAAAAGTCAAGTTAAAATAAAATAAAACAGAAAAATGTCTAGACTAACTGGTTGGCGACACTTACTGCTTAAAAAGTTGGTCAGGCGTGATATTGTCCAGGTAAAAAAGCACTTTCGCGGCCTCCTGATTATGATTGAACAGTGGTGTTTGACGGCTAACCGGGATTCGCTTGGAATGCTAGATTGTGGCCCACAACAGCAAGAACAACAATAAGTATGGCACACCCTTCAATATCACATCCATACAAAGCATAAAAAAAAAATAAGTTATTCAGACAAACGTACCGCCCATAATTCCTGCCAGTAGTTGCCAGCATCTGCCATGCGGGCGCTTATCTCACCCTTATCTTCGACCCAATCCTTCGGTGAGTGCCAGCGGATGAAGTCGCCCAAAACACAGCCTGGGTTGGCTGCTTTAAACGCCTCCATATCTATAAAATTATGATACGTCAGTCATTGTTGATTCAAGTCAATCCTCTCCCTCTTTCTTCCATTTTATACATTTATTGAATGTGCCCAACCTGAGATTAGCTGCACCGATTGCATTTTAGCGCGCATTTTTGCACCATCAGAAGAAGATCCAAGTGTTTCAAAGAATTCCTCCTGTTGTTTTATCATATCCTCAGTCATATAGCCAAGTTCCTAACAAAAAAAAAAAAAAAAAAAAAAAAAAAAGAAAGGAAGGAAAGCATATTGTTCAAAAAACTTATATCTCTCTTTGAGTATAAAGTACACTCTAATACGCCATTCTTTTTTTTTTTTTTTTTTTTTTTTTACCTGAAGTTTAGGGATCAATAGTGGTGCACCAGTTTGCAATAGTTTTAAATCTTTTAGTGGCATCAGACCCCCTTCACTCTTTGATTCATCTGCTACCTCCCTCGGATCTGGTCCACCAACATCCACAGATGACTGATCTAAATCATTCACTAGAACCCCTGATTGAGAATCCGCGCTTGACGAATACTTTAGAGCCACATATGACTCTGTCATAGGAAGTGTTCGTCGCTGCATTTGCGATTCGTATGGGTCCAAAAGAGATTCAGTAGTGTCCTCTACGATAGGGTCATAAAAAACGTCTTCATCATCATCATCGTTATCGCTACTTTGCTGTCGACTGCTGCTTTGTCTGCGTCCAAGTGTTTCGAGCTTGGGTATTGGTACAGCTGCAGTAGGTGAGGACGGCTCAGTCTTTGATGTGAATTGAGATGTTGAGGGTCTAGTAGGAGATGATGTCGCCGATGATGATGGCGATATGGCACCATCTTGTTGATCACACTGCTGCTGTTGCTGTTGAGGGAAGGTTGCAGCTCCACGGTTTTTAACAGACTCCAAAAGACGCTTAGCTGTAGGCACCATGTCTGCTGAACGTGGGCGAGAGATATTTGAAAGGCCGTGCAGTAACCCTTGGATCTGAGCCGTTCGATTTTGTATTGGCTGCGCCCCAGGGACTGCATGCCGATGGCTGTTATCTTGAGATAACTCTACATCCTCCACCATCTGCTCTTTAGACTTTTTTTTCCGTCGCTTTAGTACCGGATGGATATGCCTAGGGGCCTCCTTCTCACATGTGATCTGCCTAGCAATACAACAGTTGAGCATCGACAACTTTTGATGAAGTAGATTGTACCGAAGATCGATCGCCACTGGCTTCCTCTCTTGGTTAGCATTATATTTGTGTGAGGATTTGTCGTCATCGGTGTAACCGTCGCCAAATATATCTACCATGGGGATCAGCTGACTGTTTTCCCATCGCGAATAGAATTGCTTCAGCAGCTCCGACCAAAGTACTTTTATGAACCCCATGGCTGATGTCGTATATGGGACCTCCGAGCTAGGTGAAACCACATCTAGAAGGTATTGAATCATTCTCCAAAGAAACGAGTTATAGGGCACTGTAGTGGCATGGCGGAATTGTAAACCAAGCTCAGACGCAGGTATAAGCCGTATGTTGTGGTTGTTGGCGCCTATCTCGGGATGTGATGAAGGTCGCTGAACAGTAGCAGCAGGAGTTGGTGATGGTGGCCCCTCGAAAAGTGTGTCAACAATATTCTCAACTTCTACTGCATCAACCATGCTGATGGCTCCTTGGATCAACCGTGCGCCTTTGTGCAGTAGAGCTCCATAGGCCCGACCATCGCCTGCTTTGTGTTCGCTACGCTCACCACCTACAGCCTCGGAGCTCCAAGAAGAAATTACATCTTCCAAGATACCACTGAGGATACCATAGCTATCCTCTTTGAAGGTTGCCTGTAGAATCCAGATGTTTGCATGACCTGCATCCATATCTGCCATGTTACTGTTATCCAAATATACACTACATGGCATACTCGCTTTTACATCCCCCAAGGGAATAAAATTCAAATCAATTAGCCACAACTCGCGCTAATTCCATTTCCCTTTGATCTATTAGTGCTGATCGACTTCATCTATATAAACCTTACCAAACCTTGCAAAGAGTCGCATGGACCGTAGTGGATCTTGGATAGGTCCAAAAGGAATAACAGGAATTGGGAGAGTCGAAAGATTTCTGTCCTCAGTTTTAATTTCATCCATATTCATAGCTGCATCTGGTGCTTCCAATATCGGTTCGTCATTATCAGACGAAAATACTGTCTCATGGTTGGGGTTTGATGTACTCTTCGTCACATTTTTGTCGCCTGTGCCCTCCCTCCATCTTCTCCAATCCTCATCATGCCAATTCACAAGATCGTAGCAGAAAAGCGCTGATGTGTGGATTTGCTCTTTCAAACTACGACTGTACTTTCCTGAGGTAAAAGAAGCTGCAGGATTACAGTCCTCGATTCCCATCCTTTCCATAAAGAAGTCTAAAATCCCAGAAAGATGGGTATATTGGACAGGCGGATAAGGGACAAGGATAGTATTGAACCGGACCTCGACACCTTGTTCATAATTGTCATCTTCAAAACAACCTTCATCCCATTCCGTTCCCTCGTTTTCTGCTATTGAAGACGATAAATCCGGAGACGGATCTGGCGCTGATGGCTGTATTAAGGGTTGAATCATCAGTCCTGTAAAGGTCAGGTTCCAGGGCTGACCTGTGGGCACGAACACCGGCACACTGCATCCCGTGTTTTGAAAAGCAATTGCGAACGACGATAGTAAGAGCTTGGCGCTACTTAGGTCAATGACCATAGATGTTGATGAAGATGATGACATGGTTGATGCAAAGATATCAGAGATGGTAACTGGAGAGATGATGAGAATGTGTGTCAAAGATGTCCAGCGATGGAGACTATGATGTTGTACTCCTTCAAGAGAAATCGGCAAGAACTCCAGATCAATCCTTTCAACACCTGCGGCCACTCGGGCTTTAGCAGGATGGTAGTGATATGAAAGTGCATAGGTCGCGTCGTCTAGACTGAGCATCTCTCTGACCTGATATGATCTGTTATTATTATTATTATTGTTTGTGCTATCGCTACTACCACGATTGTTTCCTGCCTCGCCTGTATCATTGTCTGAATATTCATCGTCGCTTTTGTCAATGTTTGAAGTCGCGGCCATGGTCATGGCTGGCTGTTTCTTTACAGGCTCTGCTCCAACGGTCGCGTCAGAGGCTTCTGTAACAGCGAAAACGGCTGGGTCAAACACACCTAGTTTTCCGTTCACAAGACCCCAGGAACGTAAGCTGTCTTCAATCTGTGTGATGAAACGTTCCCATGGTCCTGAGGTCGTGTAATCGATAAACTCAAAATTGTCGAAATCGTCCATTTGGCAGGTCTGGTCGCGTTAAAATTAATGGTGATGCAATAACAGACACATGAAACAGAATAGAATAATGGAGGGAATGCCGATCGTGACGAACTAAGCCCATCTCTTCACCTTGAGTCGAGTCTATGACTGTTTGTCCCTCTCATCTTGTCCTACGATCTCTCGCTTCACGACCAACCCCCTCTCCCCCCTTTTTTTACGAGGATAACGTCTTCATCACTTGCTTCGTCCATCTACCATCATCCGCTTAGTCATTCAAGATGCAGCAAGACTATGGCCAAGAAGCAGCTGTGAAGATCTTGGTCCTTGGAGATTCTGGTGTAGTATGAAAACATTTGATTTCCTGTTCCTTTTCCTTTTAGTAGCCAAAATTGACGGATCTAATTGCTTCTGACTGCTCAAACTTTAGGGAAAGTCCAGCTTGGTCCATATGCTATGTCACAATGAGCCTTTACGGCCCGCAATACCCACAGTAGGTTGCAATATTGATGTCCGCCTTCATACTACCAGTACATCCACCACTGCAATGGCAGCAGCAGCTCGCTCCGGCTCCGGTATCTCATCCCTACTTTCCAGAAATACCGTCACCAGCAACAACGTCAATAACGACAACAATCAAAGTTCCGATTCCCCCTCTCATGCAAGAAATGAAACATTTATCGAGTTTTATGATGTCACTGGATCACCAGCAGTGCGCCACCCAAAGTCTAGGAGTATGTTTTACAATGCAGTTGTTTATCAAGGCCTGATCCTTGTTCATGATTTATGTAACAGGAGGAGTTATGATAACCTTTGGAAATGGATTGGCGATTTCTTGGAAGCCTCCCAGTCCGCACAATCGATGCTGTCTGGAGGTTTTCATGGAGGACTCTATGGTCAGCTGGATATCCCTTTACTTGTGGTTGGTACCAAAACGGATATGGCTTTGAGTCAACGCCAGCAACACCAACATCCACATGGCTCAGATCTGATCGAGAAATATGGCGGAGAAGTGATCTCAGTGTGCACCATCTCTCCTACTGAGTTCATGCCTAACTCGTCAACAACCATTGCGTTCGATATGTTTTTTGCGCGTGTTCTTGAACCTAGCGGTTCTGCATCTTCTAGATCAAGATCCAGAAACACTTCAAGCCATGGATCAACAGTGGTCTATCCTTCCGGTGCATCACCAATTTTCTCCCGTCCGTCAATAACACCATCAGCAACACCGATACCGAAATCACCATCACCGTCACTAGGATATGGTCGACAACCCTCGCGTCAGGACCGTACACTCTCAACTGACTCTAACAACAGCTCTTCAGCTATACCAATCATGGATTTCGCAACATTTACTGGTACAACAGCAACATCGACAACAGAGATAGCAGGAGAAAGAGAATCAACTATAAATCATAGAGCAATTGGTGTAGAAGGAGAACGCGCGAGAACTCCGGAGTTTCTGAGGAGCGATCATCTTGCATCGACGTCTACAAGTTCGCCAGGGTCATCAACAACACCAACTGGAAGTAGAAATGCCTTACGAGCACAATACGAAAGAAATCGCAATGTACTTAGTCAATACAGTAATATAGGTGTGCCTGTGTATACCGGGAGTAGAAGCCATACGCCTATGAACACTCGTTGATCGAATAAACAGTAAAATTCCAGGAAAAAACATTCATTACGGTCGTCTACAGATAATAGAGCATTCATAAACAAACCCGGTCTATACTTTATTTAAATGTTTAATACTTTAGATACAAAAATCTTTCTTTTGCTAGTCTACAGAGCAAGAGGGGCATCAATGTTTCGGACTCGGATGTTATTCTTCTTACAGGTCTCTTTGACTTCCTCCAGCGGTACTTCTCTCCGATGGAAAATACCTGCCGCTAACGCAGCCTCTACGCCAGTCTTTTGGAACACATCCACAAAATGTTGGGCTGCTCCTGCACCAGACGATGCAATTACAGGGATCCTGATGGCCTCCCTTACATCTTGGATTAACTTGAGATCATATCCTTGCTTCATACCATCTTGGTCCATCGAATTCAGCAGAATCTCTCCTGCTCCCAATGTCTGGCATGCCACCACCAACTGACGGACATCTAAATCACGACCCTCACGACCGCCTGAGACAGTGCATTGGTACCAACAGTACTTTTCGCCGTTGGGACCAGGTTGCTGAGCCTCGATAACATGATGAGTCGGAGCATCTGAAGGCGAGTTCACATATATCTTCTTGGGATCTACTGAAATCACTACTGCTTGCGACCCATATGCATGCGCAATCGTCTCAATTGCGCTGGTCCCGTCACCTCTACCTCCGAGTGCATAGAATTTCTCAGCTGCATAGACAGCATCTGATCCAATCGATACCTTATCGGCTCCGCTTCTGAAGTACTCGCCCGCAACTTCCAATGCTGGGTGCAACTTGCCATCAGGATCAACCACATCTTTGATACCACCACCAATCGTCAATGGGACAAAGACTGTCTCACTGGCACGACGCAGCACTTCCAGCATGGGTGTATCCATCAGTGGACAGTTTCTGAAAGACGTGATATTCAAGAACGTGATCTCATCTGCACCTTCCTCAAAATAACGACGTGCTAACTCTACGGGTTTTCCTAGGTTCCGAACATCACCTTTACCTGATTCGGATGATCCTTGTTCACGGACATCGTATTGGTCTCCCTTTGTCACAACCAGATCACCCTGATCGTTTGCACGGACATCCAGACAGGCAACAATACGCTTCGTGAACTCATCCTTCGAGGGTTCAGGGACATAGCTAGGCGCTAAAATAGACAAGGATCCTGGGACCAGAATCTGTGGTGCAGTCAATGCAGCCACGTCAGCCTCTACGCCTATAGCTGTTTCGCCACTCAAGAATGCCTTGAGCACATTGACGCCCGCAAATCCACTCTTCTCTGGGTGGAATTGTGTGCAAAACACATTACCTCTTCTGACAGATGAAATAAAGACCTGATCGCCATACTGCGTTGTTGTTAACGCCCATTCTTTCGCTTCTGGGCTGCCTTCATTGAAGGGGATTGCAAAAGAATGCACGAAGTAATAGGTACGTTTATATTCTAATCCACAGTTCTGAGCACGCTCAAGTCCTTGAATCGTCCGTGCAGTGTTCCATCCCATATGAGGTACAGCCTTTGTGGTTGAATCAAATAGTTGGACACGACCAGGGATGACCCCCAACCCAGGGACGGACGGACTTTCATCAGATCCTTCGAATAATGTCTGCATGCCCACGCAGATACCCATGAAGGGCTTATTCGAGGCAATGTATTGCTTCAATGGCTCAGCGTAGCCCTTGGTCACAAGTGATGTCATTGCGCTACCGAATGCACCAACGCCAGGGAAGATAAGTTTCTAATAGTCGAATAGATCAATAGAGAAAAGTTTAAATAAAGGGGGACCAGTAAAACAGCTTTTTTTTTTTTTTTTTTTTTTTTTGGTAGTAAGAACAAGAGCGTACGTCAGCTTTGAGGATATCAGAAGGATCTTTGACGAAGGTGATGTCGTAGCCAAGCTTCTTAACAGCATTGACCAAGCTCCGGACGTTTCCAGCACCGTAATCGAGAAGATATATTCCAGACATAATAAAGATGTATATGAATGTTTTTTTGTTGCACACAAAGGTCAAATTATCTATCCCTTGATTCAAAAGAAATGGAGTTGAATGAGAGGGCTCGATTGAACGTAAAGAGTCAATGAAGGAGAAGAGAAGCAATGCAAAAAAGAGGAAAACAGTAAAGTAAGAAGTGAGAAGTGAGAAGTGAGAAGTGAGAAGTGAGAAGTGAGAAGTAAATAAATTCACAAATATCCGAAATGGATTTATTATCTGTTGATTCATATTTCCCGATGGATTCGCAGTCAGCATCAGCATAGAACCTACTCAGCTTGAGTCACCATCATTTTGTGTAATAAGAAATTTTTAACAAATTTTATTATATTCAAAATTAGTGCATATTATTAAGCTGTTGGCCGTGTCTGTTGAATGTTTAGAACTCACCATTGACTGACAATGAATATTAAGAATAAGTTACTACCATCCATGTAGATGTTTCCTCACCAGCACCATCAGCGATCCAAGCGCTCCCAAGCCAAGTACCAAGAAGCCCCAGCGCAGAAAGTGTCCTACCACTGTCGTCAATTTCTTTCCTATATACTTTTTACGACGCCAGGCTGGGTCAATGCCATATGGATTGGGCTCTAGTTGTGCTGCCAAGTTGTGTGGTAAAAGCGTAAACAATGCTGATACAGGTTTGTGATCTGAAGATAGGTAATATGGATGTGATGTATAGTAATGAATTAATAGTGGGCTAGTACATGGTTCTCCAGATATCGACACCAGTGTTGATCCAGGTGATTGAGTGAGTGGTTGCTGTTGTTGTTGGCTATGTCCGTTAGTCCTAGATGAGAGGCCATTAATTGAACTGGATGACCGAGCAGTCGATAATGGAATTCGATGGACTGATGAGCTATTGTTGGCAGAGATTGTCGATGACGAAGGAGCGGCATCATGTGTTGGTTCCATATTCAATGGTGGTTGAAACAGACTCGCACTAATTACAGCCCTGGCTCCGCCTTTTTTCGCCAGACTGGAGAATGTGCCTCTGGATTTTGATTTGAACAGCGTGCTTGAGGAGGAGGCCGATGACCAGGTTCCTGGGGAGCTGTCCTCGCGTCTTCTTGTTGGCCCCTTAGAAGGTTCCATTGGTAACGCTCCTGAGCCTAATCCCCGGGAATGCTCATCCCATGCGTCCAGTTCCTCATCCTTGTCCTCGTCAAGGCTGCCCTCATGTCTTGGATGGACGTACCAGAGCACTCGGTCTGTCCATGCAGGCACGCGCTTTGTAATGCTATATTCATTTGATCCCATCCTGAATTTGTAAGTTGGAGGGAAAGCCAGCGGTGCTTCATGAAAATGTTTGAAAACATTCATGGTTTTACGCTGCGCACTAAGCTGATCATGACTGTATAACTGCCGTAGGTGGCCCTGTTTGATTGCATGGACGATCTCACCAGCTGTCAAATCCGGCATAGTGGACTGAGAAAGCATATCCTCCGAAGAAAGCTTCTTTTTCGTCTTCCTTTTGGTCAAGTTACCATCGGATTTTGCAAGGTCCAGACGATAGTTGAGATCACCTGCCCAGAAGATGTAGTCGCTCGAAAAAATAGACTCTTCCCAGGGTGGAAGACTTGTCTTTTTTTCTTGCTCTGCATGATAACGCTTCTTTTGATTGCTGTCGTTATTATTGGATTGTGAGTTCTTTTTCTTCTTTGGGAGCAATGGTCCAGTATCATTATCACCCTGATAGAAAGATTCGTTGTCATCATCTATCTCTTGCTCGCGTTGTTGATCAAACGAGGAAGAAAACGAGGAGGCTTTAGACGATAACCGCTCCTGATGTTCAAACAGCAGACCCTTCACATGGTTATCTCGGTCATCTACAAAAATCATCCTCCGACAAATTGCGAGGTAATCATCGTTTCTTCGTTTGATTTCGTCCAAATGTGCACTAAGGTGTGCATTGATAAAGCAAATCTCAAACCCAGAGCGACTAATACCAAAACTTCCATTGGCTGTCGTCGCCACCGCCGCAGTTGTCAGTGGAAGTCTAATCGACAACCTAGTCGCAATAGCACCTTTATTCCCCATACCCCAGGGTCCTGTGCCCACAGAACTGTTTAAGATCCTGTCAACATATTCTGTCATAGCTCCATCTCGCGTGAAGATAAGGAGAGCCATTCCAACTTGAGCAGTCTGTGAAATGAGACTGAAGCGGTGACCACCTGCAAAAGTCTTGTGAAGCGTCCGGAGAATCGTTTGTGCTAATTCATCAATTTTAGACTTGATGCGGTACGTGTCATGAATGAAGGCATCAGGATAGGGCGCAAACTCTTGCAATGCTACCGCAATGATATCAGGAATGAGCGGGGCAGAGAGGGCGCTCGCTGTGGCAGTTGCTGCTGCTGCTGCTGCAAGCATCTCGGCGGCAGATGCGGTTGAGGGTGGCACCAAAGGGCTCCCAGGGACAGACTCATGGATATGTGTAGACAAGGATGGGTGAGTGGCCAACCAGTCCGAAAGGTCCTGTTCAATCGGACGTTGAGCCATGTTAAATGTGCCAATCAGCACAGCGGGCGTCTGAGATTGCTGAATAATGACCATGGCTGTCAGAACTTAGACAGGATGAGAACTAGAAGAGTAATCTTGTTAGTCAAGCAACAAAAGTGCAATCAAGAAGACTAATGTGAAGTCTGAAACGAAATGAAAAGGAGGTCAGCAGTTTTAAGAGGGCTGGAGACAAAGGCAACTGAACGCGGAAGAGAGGGCAAAAATCTGATTACTTCATCACATTTTTGTTTATCAAACCTTTGGACAAAAGCATTGGATTCAATAGCATTGCCCCCTTACAACCCAATATTTAAAACCAACAGACATGCATAACATTGACTACCAATAAAACAGGAAGAAACACCGTTCAGGAACCAAAATTTCATAACACTTTCACAAAAACAAGACGTTGTCAATATCACCCAACATGCTCCTTGATGTGCTCACTAGATGCATTGATGATATTCAATCATGGATCTTTGATCATAGTAAAGCATCGAAGAAAGCGATTGCTTGCCGAGAATATGACTGATAAGAAATACTGATGTAAAATGTACGGTTTCGCAATGATGTGAAGGAACTAAGTTATCGTGGTAGGATGAGCTAATATTCCACCTGAGTATGGCCTTTCTAAATAGCTCAATGATAACAACGCTAGAGCTCATAGAACTTTTACTGTTATAAAATAACAATTAAGAAAAATAATAAATTAAACGACATCGTAAGTCTATGCTTAGTTGTATTATGTCTTTGTATACTAAAGAAAAAAAGAACCAAAAGCTACTATATTAAAAAGGTTGTAAATCGCAGGAGGTCTATACGGCACCATATCTTCTCATAATCCAGATCTTGCCTTCGGTCATGATTTGCAGCGGACTGCATTCTCTCCAAAGTCTAATCACTTTATCTTTTGATAACAAAGCCTGGCGTTCAGTGTTTGTACTAATCTCCTTGAAAGTCGCTGGACATGTCTCCTTGATTTTGCTTAGTGGGGTACGTGTCAAGCCAGCAAACCCATTGATTTGCTCCAAAACAATATAGTCATGCTTGTGAAATTCAGGAATAGATGTCAGGAGGTGTGTATAATGTAGATAGTCTTGATGCTTTTTGTGGGATTCGTTCTTGGAGTATGTCCATGGGTTTTCGGGCGCGATAGGAGAAGATGAAGAGGCCAGTTCACCAAACCGACTACATCCTGTCTCAGCTGCAGCACCATCAATATGCACCATGGCTACTTGGTTTGGTCCAAAAAAATAAAAAATAAAGGGACATGAGGGTGTTAAGATGGACCTGCTATGTTAACTCCGCTCGCCTTAAACCTGTAGACATCAGTGAATAGACCATCAATCTTACCCGCGGAAAAATGAGGAAGCTCAAGCTCATGGAGACGCTGGAGTGCTTGTCCCCCGGGATAGTTGAAACTAGAAATCAGCGACTGAACAGTGCTGGAAATGAAGCTAAGCCCAAGAATGCCAAACAAGATCACCACCAGAAAACGATATGCTAATGTCTTTTGCTTCAATCTAAGCAGAGAAATATCAGAAATTCGTCAGGACACGCTTCTTATGAAGACAGCACATCTGATATTGCATACCAAAAAAAAAAAAAAAAAAAAGATACTCACACCCATGATAAAGTAATCGCAGCTCCTAAGTTTAAAATAGGCACAGTGTATACGACAAACCTCCACTCCTTGTGTTCCAAAATGGAATAGGCTGTGACAAAGACAGTAGCAGGGATCATGTAACGCCTAAATCGAGGTTCGATGACCACAGCAACCAAGGCCAACGGCAATGCAATACCAGAGATCTTCGGTACCAGACTTGTAAAATATGTATGCCATGGAGAAACTCCCCAAGCGACTGATTTGCCTTGCACGGCATTGAACCAAAACACAGCACCTTCTGCCCACATCCACTGCCTCCAAAACCATGAATCGACCACAATAGCGATGGCAAGGCTAGCCAGTCCTGCCTTCATACCTTCAAGGATAGTAGAGATGAGTTGGATACGAGCCATTATGAGCTCCAACAAAATAATTGGGCCGAGAAGAAGAAGGATTTCAGAGCGAAATAGAACAGTAGCAAGGACAAAGCAGTCAATCATACGGAAAAGACATTTTTCTGTGAAAACGCGTGATTTTTGAGAAGACGCTTGCATCCAGTACGAGTACGCAACATTGACTAATGACGGTAATAATAATGAAGTGAGTGGACATTCTTTTCTTTTCTTTTCTTTATTATTGCAGTTAAGGATGATTGCTGCTGCCATAAGAACTTACCAACTATAAGAGCAAATGTATTGGGTAATGTTCTGCCAGCATAAAATAACCAATGGAATTGTACACCAGACACAATCATAAACAAGATACTTGTCAGCTTGCCGAATTGGTATTGAATTCCGCGGCTTACTTGGTACCATCCTAGAAAAGTGAACAGACCAAGAATTGATCGGACTAGGGAATGCATCCAATTGAGCACGAAAAAAAAAAAAAAAAAAAAAAAAAAAAATCACGTAAGCAACGACCGCAGGCCTCATTCCTCTCACTAAAAAAAAAAAAAAAAAAAAAAGTTTTTCTTACCAATGATTTGTCCCACAAGTCCCTTGGGGGCCGCTGATGCAAAAGTAAAGAGACGCGCAAGGATCATTATAGGCCAACTGCATGCTGCCAGTAGCAAGGGACCAACAAATGTCCTCGGCACAACCCCTGGAAATTCAAGATGATCATACTAAACCGTAAAAGATTAGTACAATATCCAGCTCATACTCGATTTTTTTCTTGTCTGTGAGCACATGCATTGTACCTGCTTAACGCTCTCTGGTGAAACACCAAAGGTCAAGATGTCATGTACGGCCTGGAGATTAAAACTTTCCTCGACTTTTGTATATGGTGCAATCCAAATGTGAAGCAGAACCAAACTCAAAACCAAAATATGCACAATCCCCTCTAAAACTATCAACGAAGATGTCGCCCACAAAGACGGAGAAGACGAGGAAGAGGAAAACTTGTAGATTATCTCTGTTGAAGAGGATGAAGGAGTCGGAGACGCTTGAGAATCATGAATTTGGAACTGAACGGTCTTGATAGTCTTGCGGCGTGCTTTGAGGGTGCTTCCATTTCCGTTGAGTAAAATACTGTGACCGCTGATATCACCATTCAAGGCACTGTTATTGTGATCATTCTGTTGCTGATGCTGATGCTGTTGGTGTTGGTGCTGAGCAGTGGCATTACCTTGTTCTTCCATCTCGCTTGTGGTCATTTCAGAATGAGAATTTCCAAAAGAGATGAAGAAAAAAAAAAAAAAAAAAAAAAAAAGAGTTGAGTAAGAGACAATAGCAATTTTAATTAAAACTGTTCTAATTGATAGCTACACTAGTTACACATTTACACACTTACTCATTTACACATTTATATGTTTACACACTTACACATTTTCATGCATGACACGTGTAAATCCTGTGCTACTCGAAGTGAATTTGTGCGCGTAGTCTTTAACCTTGTTTTGGACCTCGGTGCTACGAGTTCTAGTTTGTACTGGCTCTCTATTCAAACTTTTGGCTTTGAGCTTCTGAATCCTAGCTTGTGCTTTTTTCATTCTGTTGATTTGTTTAACTATTTGTTTTTATTATCTATATTGTTCTTTTTTTTTATTGATATATTTATTGCCGCTGTTTGCGTTCGTGAATACGACGCGCACGATGTTATTAAATGGTTTGCTGCTGGAAGACTTGGGCTCGGAATAAAAGTCAGTCCAGTAGTCGCTTATACATTGTCTCTCAGTGAAGTGTTTTTCTGGATCCCAAGTGTTATCGGAATGCCCGTAGCCTTTCCATTTGACCCAAATACTGCATGGCGTCAGAGATAGACATTTCAATTTTAAAAAATCTTAGTGACTAGAAATAAGATGACAGACCGATAAAATTGTTCCTTTTCGTCAAAATTGTCTGAACACTGGCAAAATCAGGACGATATTGTTGTAATCTTCTGTATTACCCTGTTGATTAATATGTTGATATGTCATCACTAATTCTTGGCCCCATCGTTAACTAGAAGGCTAGCAAAAGGAATATATTCTATCAGAGCTTTAAATGATGTCAATTACAGGAATTTTGTAAGGTAGTAGCCTGGTAAATGGCTTGGATATATCTGTCATTGACAGCATTCTTGGGCCCCTCATTTCTTTATAAATGGTCCATCATTTCTTTATAAACGCTCTTCCTTTTCTCTTTGTCTCTTTTTATTCTTCACACTTTCCTACTCTTCAACAAGCAACACGCTACTCCTACTACCTTTCTTTTCCCGCTTCTTTACTTTACATCCGATTATGTCTGTTCAAATCACTGTCCACTCAGCGCAAGATATGGCTGATGTTGAGGTATTACTCGTCCTTTCTTTCAGAAGCTTCATGACTGCACGATCTGTTTTACGCGCGTCTTTTTGAACTTGCACATATAATTGACAAGTATAGCTTTTTTTTTTGACATTTGTGCTGAACATATAATAGAGCTTTGGCAAGAACGACCCCTATGTTCAGATCAGTTTGAACTTCGCGGACGAAAACGCTTTCGAAAAGACATCCACCAAGAAAAACGCAGGGAAAAACGCAGAATGGAACGAGACTCTTCGCCTTGGCAATTATGACCCTTCGGAGCACCATTATTTGTACGTCGAGGTCCACGACAAGGAGAAACTCGCTGATGCCCCCATTGGCTTCACCGCTATTCCCTTGCAAGAGGTTACTTCGTCCTCCAACTCTCTCCGTGGTAGGTTCAATCTTTACACTACCAAAGGTAAGGAGCAGGGAAGCATCTCCTTGACTATCCATATCCTCCAACATGGTCAGCAGCCCCCTAGCTCCTTCAACCACCCCGAGATTCAAGGTCTGTCCCAGATCGTCATCGGCCACCATAAGAGGATCAAGCGCCTACAAAAGAGAGAGGATCTCACTGATGCTGCAACCGCAGCCGCTGGCGTAGCTCTCTTTGCAGGCGCTGCGAATTTTCTGGGATCTCACAAGTAGGACAACGAGCAACAAATACCCACTCAAGTTCTGTGTTGTTTGCATTCCATCTTCGCATTCAGTTCTATATCTCATCACTTTCCAATCTCCATTTCCTCACCATCCATCTGTCAATCATTTTAAAGGATTCATTTATCAGAATGTAAATAAAAAAAGACTTATTTTAATTTTATTTTATGCTTGAAAGAAAGAAAGAGGGAAGGGATTATTTTTTCTCTCTTTTTGTAGAGGTAAAAAGGGCTCTTTTTTGCATCATTGTAAATACTCTTTATTTCAAGTTTAAGTACTAAGCGGTAGGCTTAAAAAGATCTTAATTGGACTCTTGATTTGGGCAAAGCTGCAGACCTTCACTTCTATTCTTCTATCTTTTCGCCTCTCTTCATTTCACTAATGGGCCTCCTTTTAACCCTTTATTCCTTATGCCACTGCCATCGTAGCCATAACGCCCTCTCTCTTTCAATGGTTTTTTTTTTGCTCACCCCTTCCATGGATAATAAGCGCTAGTGTCAGAATGCTTGTCATAACTTCATTGAATGACGCCTAATGTAATTCCGCCCTGAAACTGAAATAGAGAAACATAATGCGCTTCTCACTTTTCTAAATATATGGCTATGAAGCTCTTCTATATAGAGATCTTAGGGTAAATGTGTAGATGCACAGGTCCCATTCTTGATGTTGAAAAAAAAAAAAAAAAAAAAAAAAAAAAAACGGAGCTATGACCCTGTTTTGTCTACTTTACCATACATCATCCTGGTACATCGTCCAGTATTCTGCATCTTGATACTGTACTGCTACTGGGCAGAAAATATTGTTTATATTGGCTCCGCGATATGGCGTGTATTTCATTTTATCATTCTATGAGCTTTTTTGCTTTCGTAATGTTGTCGTGATGCTCGCAATTTCAACTGTTATACGCTTCATCTTCTCTTTGTGATAGAGTAACTGGACAGATTGGTGGCACATTTTCAATATTCAGTTCTTCGCGGAACTTGAAGAACTCCAATTGTTCTATCGGACCAAGAGCACTATCACTGATTAAGGAACAAGGTATAGCATGCTTATAAAACCCAGGATTTCAGCGATAGAGATGTCTCGCTTATCTGAAGTAGACATCTCAATTGTATTAATACGGTTCGTTTTATAAATATGATCAACAAGCTCTTGCACTCTGCGCTTCTCGCCTTCATTTCTTCTACAGCAGAGGACAATTAAGAATTGAGTTGTGCCATTTGTCAAGCTACTTAGAGTGGATTGGATGGATTCCCTGCTCGTTAAATACAGTAATAAGCTTATGCTTTGCCTCCATGAGGACTGAACACGGCTCTGAAGCAAGTTATATCTGCAGGAGTGAGCGCCGCTGGAAGGTGCTTTGTTGATGAGATCAGGAGCAGGTCTGCCAGTGGAGGCGCTCTCGCCAGAAGAAACATGTCCGTTAGAGAGGCCATTAGTGAGATTTATGTTGGCCTCGTCAGAAGAGTCATCAGAAGAGCTGTCACCGATGACAGTATGCCCATAATTGAACCTGAAATGTTTGCATTTCTCGTAGTATTTTTTAGGTTCTGTTGCGGTGATCGACGTCCGGCTTCAGTGAGGATGTGAACAAAGATATGCGTAAAGCGCGACTGGGATCATGTGTACTACAATATAAACTTGACAGCTTGCAGTGAGTGGTATAATTTTATGTGCTGCTCTTTTCTCCACCCTGGATTGTATGGATAAAAAGGATGGATAGCGAGTTGACATGTAAAAGATAGAGAAGGACAAGGCACAGTGAACCTGGAGGTGTAGAGGCGAGGAGGGAAGTTTGCATTGGAGGCCTTTCTTTTGAAGGATTAAAAGTTGTCTCTTTGTAAATACTGGAAAGCGAGAATCATGCCTCCCGTTTGAGATGGACTGTAAAGTTTAAATGGGTTACTTTTCTTTAATAATTGTTACGCATCAAGGAAGAGGACTTTAGATAGGTACTGTCAGATCATGCTATCGTAGGATCCACCTTTAAACTCTCTACTATAGTATTCTTACTCCCTTTCTCTTGTTCCTTCTCTTTCTTGTCCTCGGGTAGTGTAAGGCTACTGGGCAACTCCTTGTCTTGAGGCTGTGTCTGTGGTGCCGTCTCTACCATTGCCAGCTGACTTGTACTATTCTGACGCTCCCTCAACCCTTCTTTCTCCTTTTCCTTCGCACGCTCTGCACGATCTAACTGACTCGGTCGCGTAGAAAATGATGTTCCAGTCGAGGACACCGATCCAGATCGACCGCCTTTGATCAATGAAACCGAAGGCCCTTCTCCACCGCTCAATCCTTGGCTAGGCGCATTTTCGCGATTAGGCGTCGGTGTCTCACCTACATTTGATTGGATGGGACAAAAGAACTGTAGTCGCTTCTCGATCTCTTCGCGTGTTACGGGCTTGACCATCATATAGTCAAAGATTTGTGCTGCTAGATCCGGAAATGCTGTCACTGCAATAATAGGTGTTAGAGAATTGGTGTTCTGTGTCGACTTGATCATTCTGGTAGCCGTCTCTCCATCAACTATTTCACAAAAAAATAAATGAACAAAGTTAATATCTTTAAGACCTGAAAGCGTACATAACAATATCTAACAGAGAGGAAAGTGCGAGACTTACTGATGGGCATGCGGATATCCATGAAAATAATATCAAATTTAACACTTCCCATCGCGCATCGGATCGCCTCAGCCCCATTACGCATTATCACGCATCGACAGTTGAGACGCATCAAAATTGTTTCCAGGATTTTGGCACTGATTGGGTTATCATCTACTACCAAACAATCCCGTGTCCTATTTGTCTTACGGGTAGCTGCCGCTCCTTTAGTAGTCGATCGTAATGTAGCTGCAGCTTTGAGAGAGTGTCGGCTTGCTCGCAAACCAGATCCACTACTTGTACTGCCACTGCGACGATCACGCGTATGGCTGGCTAGTGGTGAATTCTTGGCTGGACCCATGAGTGATGTGGGCGAAGCAGTGCCGGGGATGGCAAATGGATGAATGTCAGTGTTTCCAGCACTTTGCGTTCGCGGCCGCAGGGGCATTGATGAACGGCGGTTCGCATGTGAAAGCTCCAGTGGGGAGATATTCTCCCTTGAATCCTCGCCAAACGCCACAGGAACAGATGCAGATCTCTGTGGATGGTATTCGCTACCTTCTTGAGGCGTATTTCCTCCTCCACTTCCCTGATGCTGTTGGTGTTGTTGTTGGCCGATATTTGTGCTAATTGATCCATTGGATGATGGGGAGCCTTTGGGTGAATATGAAAAATAATTCTTAGCCTCAAACCGTAATGGTGGGGTGCTTGCCAGTGCATTCATAGATCGGTGTTTGCTCTTCGTAATACTGCTGCTGCTCAAATTTCCCCCCGAACCAGGCGTTCCAGGCGTCTCAGCAGAAAACTCGGATATAGAGGATGACAGGCTACTTCCACCATTCGATCCCAGAGCACTATCACCTTTTAGCTTACGGATCACGTCATTATTGGCCTTTTCTAAAGCAGGAAGATTGATGAATGCAAACGTTCCAAATTCAATTACTGACTCGTCCTTCGACGAATCGGGCTGGCTTGAGGTGACTTCTTCGTCTATTGGGATAGGTGAATGTGCACGAGGGGTAATGGTATTATCCAACTGATGACTGTCAACTGAAAGCGCGGAGGGTGCCGAGGCCGAAGCTGTTTCCGTGGCTGTACTTAACTGATGTGGTGTTACTGCTTCAGAGGTAGTCGTTATACTATCACGTTTAGCAAGGAGAGCCTGGACCTCTTTCAGTTCTGGGATGTCATCCCTGAACGAGCCCATTTTAGCTCCTCTAACGTCAAAATAGTCTGTATCTTCAATATCGGCTGGTGCAGGTACAAAAGCGGGCCGCTCTGACAGCAACGTGTCCCAATTAATGCCTTTGAAGAAGGGGTGGCTTTTGACTTCATCAGCACCATTAAACCCGAGTCGCTTTTCAGGATCAGGACACAATAGACGCTCCATAAAGTCCCGTGCTTCGGGTGAGATTTCCAATTCAGACTCATGCCAATCAATATCGTGATTAAGAATATTTTCAAACACCTGTTCTGGAGTCTCTCCATGGAATGGGGGACATCCATAGAGGAATTCATAACAAATGACGCCCAACGCCCACTATAGGTCAACATTAAAGAGAATTAAAAAAATAAATAAATAACGTATACTACTTGCTCACTCCACCCAGGACTGAATAAAGTCAAGAGATCAATAATAATATTTTTTTTTAAAAAAAAAAAAAAAAAAAAAAAAAAATTACCCAGTCAACCATCGTATCTTGACTCATGCCGAGAACGCACTCTGGAGCAAGATAATCTGGAGTTCCAACACATTTTTCTGGCGCCTCTTCCTTCAAGTCATTAAGCAAGAAAGATGGAGCGATCAATGGAGAGTTGCCATGCGAGGCTTTGGGCGATGTTATCGAGCTCAAAGGATTAAGCGCTCCCGAGAGATATGAGCTTGAGGACTTGACACTGCTCTCCGACAATGGGAACTGAGCATTTGAAGACGTCAGCACAGCTGCCGCCGGTAACTTAGGCATGTCTGCAGCTGGAATACCAATGGAAGGAGATCGGCCTTCCAAAGATGTGGCGCTTGCATTTGACGAACGTCGGCTCCGTTCATTCCAGTTAAAGTAAGATGGATTGGATGGTCCGAGCCTGGGTGTTGGAATCATAGGTATAGTCGATTCGTGGCTAGAATCTACAGCGTGAGAGAAAAGGTACGGTGACATGGGGCGGGATTCCGGATAAGGTGAAGTCATCGGTACCTTGGATCTCCTGTCGGTTCGAGCTTGGCGGCCTAAAAACCCAACACGTGAGAGCCCAAAATCTGTGAGTTTGAGATGCCCATTTTGATCAATTAAGAGATTGTCGGGCTTCAGATCACTATTTGAACGGAGAGATGATAAAAGCAAAATTTGATAAGTACATTATCAGATTCATATGATCCCTCAATTGCGCCAAAAGCTTCACTTTACCGATGAACGATGCCCGCATCGTGAAGATATTCCAAACCAAGAACAACTTCTGCTAAATAATTTCTGGCCCAGTCTTCAGGTAGACGCACAATAGCCTTAATGAGCGCCATACAGTCCCCTCCATTGAGATACTCCATTACCAGGTAAAGGTAATCCTTGCTCTGGAAAGAGAAGTAAAGTTTGACGACAAAAGGCGAGTCTGTTTGGTTCATCAGGATCAATCGTTCGGCCTTGACGTTGGTGACCTGGTTTTTGGCTACCATATCTGACTTTTTGAGGACTTTGATTGCATAGTAGTCGCCTGTAGCTCTCTTCTTTGCTAAGAAAACAGACCCAAATGCGCCTTTGGAAATAGGCTTGATGAAGTCAAAATCCTTAATACTTGGTGGTGTAGGGCGAGTCAAGGGTGTTGGCTGCGGGAAAGATGGTGACAATGGTGACTTCATCAGTGCGGAGGGCGAAATGTTATCTGTTGGTGACCCATCAGCCGAATGAGGAGCAAGGAATCTGCCGGCCATACGAGGCGAGAGGTGCGCCTCGGGGAAGAAGGACGAGGCAGAGTGGATGTCAACAAAAGAAGGGCGATGCTTACGCGGCCCTATGACTTGCTGATTATTCTGATCACTCTTGGCATTCTGACTGTTCTGACTGCTGAAGCTTCCTTGACTTCCTTGACTGCTTTGGGTTCCTTGATCAGTAGGTAGGGTGCTCTGGTCTGGCTGGTCTGTTGCTTTCAATTGACCTGTCTCACAGGACTCACTCGCAGGGAGCACGTGGATGGGCTGTTTCTCTATTTTGCTCATTTTTACGACTGTTGTTGAGGACTCTGCAGAATCAGATGCGGCTTCTGTACCAAGGCCAGAGGATGCTGATGCTGTTCTAGAGAGATCTGTCGATGATGGCGGCGGCAAGGCGTCAACGGGCGACGCCTCTTGTTCCACTAACTGAGGTACTGTCATACTATCGATAGAACATTTAGCAACAAACTCTTCCTCAAGGCCGTAGCCGCGGCTTCGCTCTCGCTCATCCTCTTCGGCAATTTCTCTCATCGTCGATACTAATGTAGTCTTGGTAAGAATAGCAGCTTTTACTCTGTCGCTTACAGCCATGATCGAGATGTCGCTGGTGACGGGTGGCACCCATCGGAATACTTCTGACATCCGCGACTCTGAGGCAGGAGACTGAATAGCAACCTTCGCTGCGGGATCCTTGGGCGATTTTTCGTCCGAGTCTGCATCGCGCCCCGGTGTCGAGATTGCTAGGGCTGTACGACAAATAGACTGTAGACTATTGAGGGCATCCAGACCCACTACTACTGACGAACCCTCCTCAAGAGTGGTTGGATATGTTGTCAAAGGCTCTTTGAGAGTGTTGATATGGGCAATAAGTTCACGCAAGAGGTCGTTGCAAAGCTGCAAATCCATTTCAATCTTGTGCCACTCAGTACAAATTTTAGAGTGCTTCTCAAAGTACAGCGAAATGATCATACGCTCACAAATATTACATCGAACTTCCTGCAAAGGAATGAGCTGCTGGAGAATTGCACCATCGTCTGGCACTTGCTCTTGATCTAGCCCCTGATCCTGGTCTTGTTGCTCAATATCCTCATCTTCAGCATTTTCTGAAAGAGTAGACATGATTGAGCCTGACGAAGACAAGGTGCTCTCGTCAGGGCCAATGTAGGGCTGGATAGCCCACATCGTACGAATAGGTTCGCCTGTCGTTCGGTCATAAAAGAGCATGCCTCGTCCAACCATCTTAAGGAAATTACCTGACTCTCCAAGGTGGTTTACGCTTTGCACATAGGTGAAAAGGTCTGATTGACTGGAGCTAGCGTCATCGAAAGAATTGGGTGGGCTAAATTCCGACAGGATATGGAATGTCAGCTCAAGAGTCGATCGATCATCCTCAAGAAGGCGCTGCGTTGCGTCTCTGAACACGTTCACTTCCTCTTCTGTCAAAAATGTACAGATCGGTGTATCTGTGAGCCCCTGCCAGTCCGATCTATTCATAATATTAATATATAATATATCAATGTCATAGTTCATGTTTTCGCAAGATTTAACCCATGTCAGCCCCAAAGTTTCAGGGTTAGTAGAATATGGTACATACCCCAAGAGTTCTGACCAACTCGGACTAAGATATAGAATCAAGATCTCATCCAGGTCCAAACTAAGTTCCATTACGATATTCTTGCTCTGGCCCTTCTCCGCCTCTCTTTTCAGTTGCAGAATATCCTCCTTTGTAAGTCTTGGTTGGCCATCCGAATCCTTCTCCAGGATTTCTTCCAAGGCATCAATGCTGACAAGCTCATCTTTACTCTCGGGTTCGTCCGTCATGGAATGTTTAGCAATAGACTGAGTTGTACCTTGCTGATACTCCACTGAGCCAATAGCTTTGAGGCTACTCTCTGAGGATGCAGCGTCAGTCTTTTCGACGTTGTCCTCAGATTGTATCTGTTTGCTGGACCCTGAAACATCTCTTGGCACATCTGCCGCTGTGTCAGGTCCTTGACTCACCGCTTCCTGCTTGTTGTATATACTAGACGGTCGTGATGCCTCCTTGGGCTTGACAGGGATGTTAGCGCTCTGCATCCAATGATTGCGCTCAGCCTCCCACCATTGTACTACTCGTGCAAGGCTAGCAACAGCCAAGAGCGCCTTCACGTACCATGCTCTACAGGGCCAGTTCCTGTTGTGGTCCCAAGCTTTGCCAATCACCTGCAACTTCGTCACAAAGTTTGTACATGCCCCTTTATTGTCCAAAATTGTCTTCAATGGCGTATCCAGCATGAGCTGCGCAACTGATATCAACTCTTGCAGTGTCAGAATAAATGGTGTTGGCTGATATGAATCCTCCGAAATAAGTGTCACATTAGCGCTGGGGGATGCACTCATGGATATGACAGGTGAATAGCCGGCGCTAGAATTATGACGGCGTGAGAGAGAGGAGACACGAGAGTGAGATCGCTGCTGTCCATCTCTTGTCATCTTGCGGTGTAAAGGGATGCTACCTCCGTGCCATGAAGGTGACGGCGACCAATCTCCAGAATCACGCATAGATCGTGACTTGGGCTCTTCACTTAGTGGCGACTCATTATCAGAAATTTCAGGAAAGTAACCTTCACCGAACTCCTGCAATGTGTTCGGATAATCTGATCTAGGGGTTTTGTCTTCCTCAAACAAGTCTTGCTCGTTTGCATTGTCAAATTCTCGTTCATGACCGAGATGATTTGCAGCCTCCTCTTCCATCTCCATCTGACTGTTCTCAATCCAACCCTCGATCTCTTCAACTTCTGTTTGGTCTAATTGCTGTGTAGAGAAATCCGGCATGCTATCAATGTCTTCCACATAGTTAAGGCCCTTCTCTACGTATTCATTGAGGCCATCAATGATTTTTCGCATCTGATCATCACACTCCGATTTGTATTGTTCCAACATGCTACGAATGGTTTTGTTGGACCGCTCCGGGCCAGCTTGGTTTGGACTTCCATCTGCTCCGTTACTGGAATGGATCCCTGCAGAAAAAGATGATGTACGCGCCATTACAGATCCTCGTCTTACGATAGGAGGAGACACGTTAACTTGGATTGATAGGCCAGGTTTCTCGCGAGGAGATGATTTAGTCGGTGTAGATTTTGTTGAGCTAGTATTTTCCGATGGATTAAGGGCAGTTGTCAGAACTAGTGTCCCTGATTTGGAGCTGGAGCTACTGTCAGGTTTCTCGAATAAGGACTGAGAAGCAAATGACTTTTTTAAAGAATGTGATGCTGTGCTTGTAGAAGCATTATTAAGGCCCTTCTGCGTCTGCTCTAACTGTAATGTTGGCTCTTGTTCCTTATTCTTCAACTTTGTAGCGGCATCACTAGGTAACGCGGGTGCATCCACGGATGGTTTGCGAGGTAGCACCAATGATATTGACTTTCTGCGCACTGACTTCCACCAGCTGACAATTTTGGGACCAAGGCCACTTTTTAACGACTGTTGACTCTTTTGACTGGCAATTGAAACCCCAGATGTTGATCTCGAATCAATCCGCAACCCTTGAGGTGCTTTCGATCGACGCGCAGTTGGGGACAGTGATTTGGATGAGGACGATGATGCAGGTGATGTTGAAGATATCTTGGATATAAGGTTAATATCTCCTTGGTCGTTTTGATAGCGTGATGGTGGTGAAACCGAAAGTGATAATTCCGGCGAGAGTGTCTTATCTTTTAATCTCATGAGGCGTGCCTGCTTCTGTGCTTGGTATTCCTCTAACCAATCTACCCATACGATTTTGTCTGACGCTGGGGTTGTATTTGACGAATTTGACTCCACTTTATACTCTTCAATTGTCTTATACAGATCAGGCCTCCATTTCTCCAACTTTGCCCTTCTAGTTTGCGCAATGATCTCTGCATGAAGCATAGATGGGTCGATAGAGTCAATAGATCGTCTTCTGATGGGCTTTGCCTGGTTAGGATCGGGTATCTTGGGCTGCCCATGAGTTTTAACTTTTTTTTTTTTTTTTTTTTTTTTTTTCAATGACGGGCAAAAAATAAGCTCAAGAATTAATACATTTGCATAATAGACTAAATACATCACATACAACCGATACCACTATCTTTCCGTAATAAGAATGACAGATATTTTAAACCCCATGACATCCTTACATGCGTTGATAAAATCTATTGAATCCAAATAATTGGCATGCGGCAGCTCGGGAGCAGACGAATTGTTGTCACTGCCCTTGCTAGCCGCAAACTGGACAGCAATTTGGTCAAGACCAAGATTGGAAGTATTAGTCAGTATGCTCCTGCCAACAGCGCCAGCTGACTTAGGACTATCCAATGACAGGTCATCGACATCACCATTGTCATCTTTAGATGTTTCTATTCGCGCTGTCGGCTGAAATCCAGATTCATAATGAAAGCGATGCCCCACCTGCCGCCGCAATCTACGTTCATGTGCATCCACATCTGTAATAGAGGTCTGTCGACTGTGTCCTGCTTTTACTCCTGGCAACGAAGTAGCTGGGGAGGGCCTCCCTGGAATGACAATTCCAGAGAGCGCGGGTCCTGCCAAAGGACTCGACGCAGATGATCGTACCATTGGTAAAATTTTTGGTGATCCCTTTGGTGATCCCTTTGGAGATATATTTGGAGATCGCGCCAAAAATGGTGTCCTGATCCCTGCGCCGAGTAAAGAATGGGAAGTAGAGCTTAGATGCGGAGGAAGCGTCTGATCATAATCGTTGGCGACATTCATATCAATAAAAGATGCTTTTCTTGATCTAACTAGGTACCGCCCTGATACAGATGAACTCCGTGAAACAGAAGGTGACGGCGTATCTCTATCTTTATCGGAATTTCTATCTCGTGCTGTATCGCTAGAAGCTGGACTCCTCATATTCTCAAAAGGATTGTTGAGAGAAGCGACTTCCATAAGTGAAGCAATACTCTGCCCTGTGTTAGGTGATCCAGCCCTTGAACGCCTTTCTTGCATCATGAACTGAGAAAAGGATGCTGTGGGTATCGATGTCGAGTACGTGTTGAGCGAAGGCGATCCCTGACTCCGTGGAGACCACTCATCTAACGATAGCTCGTCCGTAATCGATGCCCGCCGAGACCGTGCAATCCTTCCGATAGGTTTGGGCGAGGATGGTGTGGATCCATACTCCAAGTTTCCACCAGCGTCAATCCATGATGTTCTTCTCGACCTAACGAGATATTTTCCACCACTTCCGCCTCCAACTCCAGCTCCTGTCCCAGTTCCTCCAGTTCCTGCGCCTGATGTGCTTATACTGCTGCCGTTGCCAGGCGATGGCTTCATTGGAAACGAGCCTTGATCCCAATCATTGGGACTATTTGATACGGATGTCGCCAAATTGGACGGTCTGCGACTTGCATTACTTGACTTTGAATGGTATTGGCCAGACCGAGGAGATTCAGGAATAGGCAATGTGGTACTAGAATTACGGTAGTGGTGGTTAAGGTGCGACAAATCATCTGAATCATTTGAAGAAAGCGAGGAGCGACTAGAACGCCGTGTAAGAAGTGGCTGTGGAATTGGGATGCTCTTGAACTTTGTGTTGCTGGTGCTAGATTCTGCACCAGAGGAGCTGGATCCTATTGTCTGTGTGGATAGGCCTGCACTACTATTACTGTGATGAAGGTGGTGATGGTAGTGATGGTGGTTGTGTGGACTGGAGCCCCGACCTGATGGATGTGGATGAGGATGCATCGACTGATATGATGAATTCAGTTGATCTGAGGGCCTTCTAAGTTTTCCAGACTCAAATGAAGATGCCGCAGAGGATGTTCCAGATGTAGAGCCCAGGTTGTCAAAAGAGCTCTTTCTACGCGTAGGAATGTTTGTATTTGTTGGTGGAGATGGGAACCGCCCTGGTTTCGGTGAAGAGTCTCGACTAGTATTAAATGAGGCCGGAGAAGGGCCGCTATTGGATTGGATGGAGTCTGACTGATGAAGAGAGTGTAGACGCGATATGCTGGAGCTGCTTGTGTTACGGCTACTACTACCGACGCCTTGGCTATTGGCGATACCAATGGTGATAGATGAGCGATTCGGCATCAGGATTCTATCCCTTGAAGGGTTGCCTGTGATTGCTGTGCTGACGCCTGCCCTTCCTCTCTGCTCTGGTAACTTTGCGCATGTATTGGAATGTAGATCAATAGCATGATTGTTATTGATATTGCTGTTGCTGTTGCTGTTTTCAGGCTGTGCCTGATGCTGCCCCAGTTGTTCCTCCGGAGTCTCCACTGATGGTGTTGCAGGAGAAAATGTCAATGATGGGCTATCGTGCACATCTACATATCCATAATGATGGAAATAAAAGAGATTAATGAGATGATGAGCTTATAGGTGATCTTTGATCAAAATAAAGTCTCGACGCGATTATCTCGAACGAGCAGCTCTGTAACAATGGTGGTTATTGCGCTGTAACCATTATTAGTGGTAATAGGGGACAAGTCTTACCTGTGCGTTCCAGCTCATGTTGTAGAGGCGAATGAGAGAATGAGGCAGCTGTTATGGTCGAATTATCGTTACTGATGGAATGTGAAGAATTTGGGTTCAAGGGCGATGAACGCATTGTCTTGAGTTTGTCCGAGATTTTTATAGAAGACATGATTAAAGTAAGGATTGTGTCCTTTGAAATTTTTTTTTTCTCTTTGCGATTCTTTGAGTGCGAGTGTGTAGTTTAGGGTACACTAACGGACGGTGGTTTGGTGTGCACGAGCCTGTTGCATTCGGTTTCAACAAGGCAACAGTAGCTCAATCGACAATGAAGACAAGACAGACAAGCAAGACAAAGTTAATCAGGGTGAATGTGTGTTTGTGTAAGAAATGTAAACAGATTGTGTAAGATAATAATAGAGTGAAAGAGAGAATGAGACTGAGAGTGAGAGTGAGAGTGAGAGTGAGAGTGAGAGTGAGAGTGAGAGTGAGAGTGGAAGTGGAAGTGGGAGGGGAGTGGGAGAGAGAAAGAGAAAGAGAAAGAGAAAGAATGAAACACACTGCACAAGAGGAGAGAGAAAAAAAAAGAGGAAGGGGGAGCAAAGGGAGAAGAATAAAGGAAGGAGGAAAGAGAAAGTGAAGGAAAGAAAGGAAAGACAACAGACAAATTGCACAACAAGCAGACAAACTGAAAGACAGAAAGAACGAATGAAGAACGTCCATCCACACAGAGTAATAAAAATCACATTTCATTAGATTGAATTACATATCCTTTGTCTTCTTTCTAGTCTCCCTTTTTCTTCAACCATCAACCCACAAATGTATTTGAACAAATCACAGATATCTTTTTTAACGACGCTTGGAATGACTGTTCCTTCTTCCTCTTACTTCCTTACTTCACATCCTACTTTGAAGGGAGGTACATTCAAACATAGGAATCTATTAACCCGATGGAACAGGCAAGATAGGACATCCCGAATTGGTTATTGCTGCTGCTCAAATAAAATACAAAACAATCGTGATGTGTATGTTCCTTCCATCCACCTCTTCCTTTATCCTAAAAACTTTTCTTTTGTCCTTGTTTCTAAACTACATGGACTGTGCAAATATAACTGGCTGGCTGTCAATCTTTTTGGCTCAAAAAAAAAAAAAAAAAAAATAGAGTAAAAAGCAAAGCTCACTGTTCATCTGTCTGTCTATTGGGATATCGAATGCTTTACAAGATATGAATGTAAGGCAACTTCAAAAAAGAAGTCCTTTTGGCTCTTTTTTTTTTTTTTTTTGCTTTGTGCCATTCAATACATGAAAGCCTGTCAAGACGGAACTCTTTTTTCCAATTTCCAGTTGAATCGACAATTTCATCACCATCTTCTATCATTTTATCATTCTTGTCATCAATCACTTTCTTACACTTTGCATGTTTTATACTTAATTCCCCCTGGATCCTTTCTTTACAAGGATCAAGCTTTCTTGAAAAAAAAACATTTGTTTGTGCAACCATTCTGTTCAGCTTTATGTTTTCGAATCTTCTTTCAAAATAGCACGCAACCATGACTCGCGATTTCCCAGACCCACCAATGCACGAGGCATTACTGGCCCTTTTTTCTCAAGTTCAGTCGCCCGTTGATAAATAATACGCATCTAGTCCTTGTTTTGCGCAAGGAGAAAGATCTTATTGGTGAAGACACGAAAGAATGAGATTACGTTGCACTTACAGAAAGTAATGAGGTCTAAATACTCAGAGGTGTTGAATCATAATTAATAGACAAATCTGGAAGTGCAATGTGGCCATGAAAGATCGCCTCCTTGCTCCTTGCGTACTTTCAATGATCACTCCTGCTTTTTGACAGGAGCAACTATCAACAGGCAGCTACATATTAGAGCTGACTGAGATCTGTTGAGCCGATAGCAAAGAAACATGAGTGCAAAGACGCAATTTGATTTAGACTGGACTGATACTCCTTACGCGTTGATCTTTCCTCCTGGTTAAACAATGGAAGTGTTTGTTTTGGGGACTAGATGCACATGAATCTGCAAATACTACAACAGTTCGAGTTGCGCCGTTGAACATTGTGAGCGAACAAAATATTTAAACAAATCAACCCGAGTTCTGTCTCCCAAATTCCAGCTCTTTTTAAACACATCTGCATCATGAGCCAAGATGGGAATCCGACCTTTTTCCATTGCACATTTCGACAAAACGAGTCGCCTACATGATTGCACCTTTGATCAGCCACACCTTGATACTGACTTGCAAATGCAACGGACATTCGAAAATGCAGACCTTTCTCTTTTCAATAACCATAATGACAATAATTTCAAATTATGCGTCAGGAGGGAACATTTTCTACATTTTAGGCTACTACACTCGCATACATGAGAATCAGATACATGCCTCTCATTGTCCCTGTCAGTTGCATTTAGTGTTATCCTGCATCATGAAAAGAGACTAAACAAGGAAAAAGGAGTTCTTTTTTAAGGCAAGTAAAGATTGATGCGTGAATGGCTAATGTATTCATGGCTCATGAATATAACGAAACATGTCCATGAAATGAAGCTGACCTAATTGTGTTTTCAAACTTTGTTAGAACAAGATACATAAAGCAAAGAAAATAAACACGATGACCTTTGTTGATCCATCCTACATGTTAATAGCGTCCTTGTTATTGTAGAGTTGGAGCCATGAAAGATACGGTTTGCCGTACGAAAAGGGAAATGAATACGGATCATACAAAAAGAGATGTGAGTGAGCCAATCAGACGTCGTTGTAATCGTGGGAAACTGAGCCTACAAGTGAGTGGAACAAAAAGAAAAACATTTATGGGTCTTGTGCTCCAATGCCCCAGATGGCCATCCATGCTGAGCATCTTTGTTCTAACATGTAATTGATGCTATAATAGCACGTCTGTGCCTGTGTTTGACATGATGGCACATGCCTTATTAGTGATATGAACATGTAAGGGCCAATGACTTGCAGGAAATTAGGATAGAGAAGAGGGTCACCATGGGTCTTGCTTGATGATAAGTGCAGGGTTTGTTTTGACTTGAGTTTATGACAGTCTGTGGAGCTATCCTGAAGAAAAGAAAGTTAGAGCAGTGTCCCTTCCCGATTTGGTTGCCTTTTCGCGTCTTGCCACGCACGCACTTCAAAAGACCAAACGCGCTTTACTCTCTTGTTCTCTTTTTCTTTCTTCTCTTCGCTTCTCTCTTTTTGAAATTGTCATCCTCAGTCCTTCCACTCCTATCCGCTACTTTTTCTCTTATACTTACACCCCACCGAGTTTTGTACATTTCCATTCTTCATTCATCCCTCCATCTGCCATGACCGCACTCAAGACTATTCATCCCATTCCAGAGTTCCCGCTTCAAGGAATCCTTCCAAAGGAGGTAAAGTAACAAATTCAAATGGATACCCTATATCGTGATTTGACGTTTCAATTCAATTCATCGAGCATGCTGTTTAGGCAATGATTTAACGTTTCTGAATGGTAATGCTCGTCTCGCCACGCATTATCATTATTCTCACCTGGAATCAAACAGGAAACTGAGGCAGCTTCTTTCTTAAAGAAATATCCTAACTATGACGGACGCAACACCATCATTGCAATTCTTGATACCGGGGTCGATCCAGGCGCTGCAGGTCTTCAGGTTACATCCGATGGCAAACCCAAAATCATCGACATTGTCGATTGCTCCGGCTCTGGCGATGTTCCCACAACCACAATTGTGAAGCCTACAGAGGAGGATGGGGTCCCCGTTATCACTGGTTTAACAGGCCGTAAACTGCGTCTAAGCAAGGATTGGAAGAATCCGACAGGCGAGTACCGCATCGGTATCAAGCGTGCATTCAATCTATTTCCTGTAGAACTAACAGATCGTATCAAAAAGGTTTGTGAGTATGCGAGGAAACCTACGAAGAGGATGTGATATGGAATGAACGAAAGATGAAAGAAGAAGAAAAGCAAACGTATGCTTGCTCAAACTAAACAATGTTTCTTTTATTTGCTCAATTGAATGATTTATTTAGGAACGTCTGGCAGAATTCCAGAAGAAGCATTTTTTGCTCGTGGCCAAGATTCAAGATGAACTTGCCGCTTTCCTCGAGAGCCATCCCACTTTAACAGAGGAGGAACAACGCACAAAAGCTGATTTTAATGCACGTCTTGAGGCCCTCAAGGACTCACTTAAGAACTATTCTGATCCAGGTCCAGTCTATGACTGTGTCGTTTTCCATGACGGCGAGGTCTGGCGTGCAGTGATCGATACCAATGAGGATGGTGATCTTAGAGGTGAGTACATAGTCATTTACACCAGCAAAGGCCTCATGGGCCATACGACCTGTCGGATGTTTGCTTGGCTCCTTTGAGTTGATAGGATACATGTATCTCGGCGCATGAAAAACTTTTTTTTTGTGTGTACTTGTGTGTGTAGTGTGTGTAATGTCTTATACTTTCATAAAATCATCTGACTTGCCTGGAGCTTTTTACATTTTCTTAACAAAAAGATGCCCCTGTATTGACCGACTATAAGATCGAGCGTCAGTACGCAACCTTCAGTAACCAGGACAAGTGCAACTATAGTGTCAATATCTACGACAGCGGTAATATGCTCTGTATCGTTGTCATTGCTGGATCGCACGGCACCCATGTTGCAGCCATCACTGCCGCCAACCACCCCGACGAGCCAGCTTTGAACGGTGTTGCTCCTGGAGCTCAGATCGTGTCCATCAAGATTGGTGACAGTCGCCTTGGCAGTATCGAGACCCATCATGCGCTCACCCGTGCCGTCAAAGTTATCATTGACGATAAATGTGATCTTGCCAACATGTCTTATGGTGAGGCTGCAAGCTACCCTAACATTGGTCGCTTTGTCGAACTCATTCGTGAAGAAGCTGTAGGCCGTCATGGATGCATTTTTGTTTCATCTGCGGGTAACGCTGGTCCCGCTTTAAGTACTGTGGGTGCACCTGGCGGCACGTCTTCTGGTTTTGTTGGCGTCGGTGCTTATCAAAGCCATGCTATGCAACAGGCCGAATACGCCTTGTTCGAATCTGTCCCCGAGAGACCCTACACTTGGTCTTCCCGTGGCCCTACTTTCGATGGTGATGTCGGAGTTAGTATTTATGCTCCTGGCGCTGCCATTACCTCAATCCCAGAATATGAACTTTCAAGGTTCCAACGCATGAATGGTACTTCGATGAGCTCTCCCAATGCTTGTGGTTGTATTGCTCTCATTCTTTCTGGATTGAAGGGTGAGAAGAAGTCCTATACTCCTTACCGTGTTCACCGTGCCTTAGTTAATACTGCCAAGGATATTCAGGATCAATTCCGTGTTGGATTCCTTCAGGTTGAAAAGTCCTTTACTCATCTCCTAACCTACCACGATTACGAGGAGCAAGACGTTGATTACGACATTCAAATTGTTGAGCGTGACAATGCTCGTGGCGTCTATTTGAGAGAATGGGAAGAGTGTAACAAGGCACACACTTTGACCGTCAAAGTCGAACCAAAGTTCATGAAAGATATTGATTACAACAAACCTGACATCAACGAGAAGAAGCTCGCATTCGAGTGCCGAATTGCACTTGTTCCCACTGAAAGCTGGGTCCGTGTCCCCGAGTTCCTATTCCTGAATGGAGCACAACGCCAATTCGAGATCAAAGTTGATCCAACTCAGCTCACGGCTGGCTCAGTTCATTTCGCAGAGATTCAGGCCTTTGATTCTTCCTGCCCTGCGCGCGGTCCTGTATTCAGTATCTATGTTACTGTTGCTAAGCCCATGGGATTGACTACTCAGTCTTATATCAAGTTTGAGAATATTCAGTTTGGTCCTGGCCACATTGAGCGACGTTTAATCTATGTTCCTGCTGGCGCCACCCATGCTGACGTTATCATCCGTAGCTCCAGTGGGGTCCATGTTCCCCAACATGCTGCCAAGTTCGTCGTCTATGCTGCTCAATCGGTGCCCCATCTGCGCAATGATTACACCAAGCAAGGTTACATGATCCGTCTTGGCAAAGGAAGCTATGCTGAGGCTGGAGCTGAAGAGCAGTCTGAAATGAAGCGTTTCTCGGTCTATAGTGGCCGTACGTTGGAGCTTTGCCTCGCTCAGTACTGGGACAGCCCCGGTGCTCACTCTGTCACTGTTGAGTTGACCTTCCATGGTCTGCAGCTGAGTGGATCCACTAGTGGACCCCGTACCGTCTTTATCAATGGCGCTGATCATATTACTCGCTTCCATGTGACTGCGCCGATACGTCGCGAGGAGGGTCTTTCGGCCAGTATTTCATTAGATACACTCCGTAAATCGATTCGTCCCTCTGAGAGCACAATCAAACCTTTGGTCCGTGATCGTGACAGTTTGCCTAATTCTCGCCTCATGTACAACTTGATCACAACCTACCCATTCAAAGTCGAGGCTTCTGGCAAGGAAACAGTCACTGTTACGCCTCGCTTCCCAAGCTTAAACGATCTCCTGTACGACTCTCCACTTGAGGTTCTTATCATTGTCTCGGACCTCAACAACAAGGTTGTTGGGTATGGTGATGTTTATGTCAAGCGCTTCAAGCTGCCCAAGGGTGAATATAACTTGCGTCTTCAGATTCGTCACGAGAGCGAAGAGATTCTTGAGAAGTACCGTCACCTCCCTGGGATTTTCGATTTCAGCCTTACCAAGGCTCAGACACTGGAGGTCTCTGGTCATTGGCCCGATGCTTTGGCAGGTAAAAAGAATGCCTTCCCTAGCGTCGTAGAGCGTGGCGATACCAGGCCTGCATTTGTCATTTCTTCTTCCGAGCACCCTAAGGGTGCCAAGCCTGGCGACTTTTTGGTCGGGGAGTGGAAGTGGGGTATTCCAAAGGTAGATGGCCCGCCTCTATCCCGTGTCGTCTATGCTATCCCTCCAGAGCAGATCCCGATCAAGGAGGAGACAGTTGAGCTCGAGGAGGAGGTTGATGTCTCACAACAACTGGCTGATCAGGTCCGTGATGCACAGATTGCATGGTTGAAGAAGAGCGGCACAGCTTATAAGACAGATAAAGACAAAGAGGCAGCAGCTGCAACCAGAAAGAAACTAATTGCTCAGATCGAGGCTGCAGGCCATGGAAAGCATTTGCCATTCTTGTTGGCTCAGTTGGATGTTGCATTAGCCCTTGCTGAGAATGCGAATGAGGCACAAAAGGAGGAGAGATGGAGGGAGGTACTTGCAACTGCAAGCAAAATCACTGGTGCAATTGATGAAGCAGCATTGGCTCAGTACTTTGGTCTCAAGCAAGTTACACTTCATGGCAAAGCTGAGGCCGAACAAAAGAAGATCAAGAAGGAGAAGGAAGAAACCAAGAATGCGTTGGTCGCAGCATTGAAGGCCCGATGCCTTGCCCTGGTTGCTCTTAAGCAGGACTCGGACGAGGCCTACAACCATTTGAGCCAGTGGAGTGAAGGTACAGGTGTGACTGACTGGAAAACCGTTGGAGTTTACTTGGAGCGTGAGCGTAAACATGGTAATTTTGGACTGGCTCTCCAGCGTGTCAACAGCTGGTTGAGTGAACAAGGAAGCGGCACACGTGAGAGCGTTGGTAATATCAAAGCTGCCATCTCGACGCGCCGTGAACTTTTACGCGAGCTGGGATGGTCGGTCTGGGAGGAATATGAGCTTAGCTGGGATGGTATTCGTTTGCCCAAGGCGCCGGCTACTTTTTAAATGATTCACACTGCAGCCAGCATGTATGAGCAAGAGAATTTGTTAATAATATTTAAATCAAATGTATAAATATAAACTGTGAAAGTATAATCTTCCAACTGAAAAGTGAATAGACTAGACTTTGGAAAATCTGTTGCTCAGATTAATCTTTGAGATAGGACATCCATGATCACAACATCAGTGATGAAAGTGGGTGATCAAGTCTTACAAGCCCTTGTTTACTGAGAAACATCTTCCATTTCCGTCTCCACACGACCAGCATGCTAAAATCTAGGGACTAGAGAGTGCGAAAGATTTAACAACGTGAATAATCTCATTGAATGAGGTATTTTTAAATCAATCAAAGCCAAAAAAAAAATACCTCATTTTCTTTTTTTTTTTTTTTTTTTTGCCAAACATCTTGTAAGAGAGCACGAAGAAAGAGAGATGTAAAGTTTTGCCATGACTAGAGATGGCTTAAATACCGGCAATATTTTTCCCCTAGGTATTTGTTTGCATGGTATACTCAGAGATAACATCGAGTATAAAAAACAACCCATGTGTAGTGCTGAGTTCGAGGAGAGGAGTCCAATCTATTGCTTCCTGGCTATTCAAAGTGCGCTTGATCTGTTAAAGACTAATGACATTAAACTGTAAAGGTGCACACTGATTGAACAGGTTTTGGTTTTAGCTTTTTTTTTTTTTTTTTTTTTTTTTTGTTGCTTATTTCTCTTTTTCTTCTCTTTCTTCTCTCTTTCTTCTCTCTTCTCTTCTCTTCTCTTCTCTCATTCTTTCTCCTCACACAACCTACTCATACTTCATACACCGCAATCAACCATGACTCAAGGCAAGGAAATCGAATACAAGGAGGCATTCGCTCTCTTTGACCCCACCAACTCTGGCGTTATCCAGCCCCAAGCCTTCGCTGACTTCCTTGCTGTTAGTATCTCTCCTCTTTCTTTTTCACCATTTCATTGCTAGTCATTTTTGATCTCTCTTGTAATCTTCGCAATGGCGTCAAGGAGCATGCTTTCGTATCTATCATACAGGAATCTGGAGACAATGTCCGATTATTGAATGATTGAGCAAAAACAAACGACATGGCGATAGGCATGGGGATCAAAATGAGCTATTACTACGGACGCTTCTTTTTTTGTACACCCCCAAACTACCTTTGTTTTTCCGAACTTTTTAACTGGGTCCCCTCCCCTTCTTTTCTCTTATTGACTCTGTTTAATTTAATTTAATGAATGAATAACAAATAGCTCCTTAACGACCCCGAGTTGACTCAAAAGGTCAAGATCCCTACCCAACCTTTGGACTACAAGGCATTTTCTGCTCTCTTGGCCAAGAGCGATAAGGGTGCTGAAACTTCTGATGATGCCTACGGTCTCCTTTTCAAAACCATTAATAAAGATGGCTCTGGTAACATTTCTGCTGCTGAACTCCGTGCTGCCCTTCAGCACTTTGGCAACAACTCTTTGTCTGAGGTAAAAAAAAGAAAAAGAAATAGATGTCAGGCATAAAAAGGAGGCTTGTGTGGTTGTTTTTCGCAATCTGATCATTTTTCGTTTAAATTTCAAAATAGGCCGATATTGATGAGATTGTTCATGAGGCCGATGTCTCTGGCGATGGCCGTATTACCCTTGAAGAGTTCTTGAAGATCATGCAGAAGTCTGAGAAGAAACTCCGTGGCGAGCATGTTCTATAAAAAAGAATAAAAAACACCTCTTGCTTTGTATTAACAATCATAATATTCCCTTCTCTTTATCAGTAATAAAAACCAAAAAAAAAAAAAAAAAAAAAAAGAAAAGAAATGATTGATCTGTCAACAGGTAGTTTCCGTTTATTTCTCACAATTCTAAGCTTGCTGGTTTTTTTTTTTTTTTTTTTTTTTTTTTTTGACAGCGATAGTTTTTGTTATTGTAAAATGTCGTGTGCAAAATCTCTTGGGATGTTTTCCCTATCGCATTCTTCTCTCCTTTCCCCACAGTTATTTGTTCACCATTCATATAATCCATCTAATACGCCTTTGGCTCCATGGTATTTCTCAGAGCCCAACGGATTTTTTGCTCTAACCCTTCCGCCCAAAGACTGTGTGACAATATGGTTTTCGAACACATGGTGTAAAAAAAAAATTAAAAAACGGCGAAATGCCAGCAACTGACGCAAGAGGGCGTCAGTCAAAGCAATCGCTAGTTTATTTTTCCCACCTTTCATCATCTGGAAATAAGCTGCTATCCTTTGTAACCTAGTAAGAAAAACGTTGTGTCAGAATTCTTGGAAAATGAAAAAAAAAAAAAAAAAAAAAAAAAAAAAAAGGGTTAAATGTCGGGTGTATTCATCCACTGAACCCTGAATGACCAAAGTTTGCTATACAATAGGTCTTTACATACTCTGGGTCCTGATCAAGACCCAGCATCATTAGCATGACATTGTATGTACCTTTTCATTCTTTTTCTGACCAATCAGGCCAACAAGTGATGGGATCTCATTCGAATAGAGCAAATAGGATAATGAGAACGTGTCCCGATTTGAAATAATTTATTGGGTATTAAATATCAATTCTACAGAAAGAGTGCAGAGCATTTCAAGGCTTTTTAGCGGCTTTGACGATGACTTCGAAACAAGTTGAGTATTCTTCTCCGATTGGGTTCTTATCAAACCGCCACCACCACACCATCTGATATCTGCCAGGCTTCGCCTTCTTCGGGATGGTCACATAGCCATGACAGACCGTGTTTGGGTTCGCAGGATCGTCACAATTTTGAGGAGTAGCAAAATCCATTTCAGACAACAAAAGCTTCTTGTTTGCCAGTTCTTCTCGAGTCTTGATGAGTCTGTTGGATTTACCTGTCCAGTAGACTTGAACTTTAGTTCTAAATTCCGTTGGAGATTTAACAAAGTTCATATGGCCATTGGCTTGCCAGGTAAGATGAAGTTTTTGACCAGGGGCCGCTGTAGCAGGAGGAAATTGAGCAGGATTATTGCCGGGGAAGACAGACTGACGACCTGGCTGACAGACAGGGGCCTTGGGAGGACGACCGGAGATGAGGTAGGTGTAAAGAGTGTTGATGTCTGGGTTGGCGCGTGAAGGATAGCCGATTGGGAAACCAGCACATTTTCCTGAAGGAAGAGTTTTAGAGCAATCGAGCCAAGAGTGGCCGTACGCGACCGTTATGACAGATGTTTGAAACAACAATAGTGCTATCACAGACAGAATCAACATTGATGGTGATCTAAAAGTTCAAAAAAAAAAAAAAAAAAAAAAAGAAGTATGACAGAGTTTCCATAAATAAAACTGCCCGGCTTTTTATACATGGCATGAACAAAGAACCTTGACGAGCATGATCTTGATCAAGAGCGGGGGAGATCAACAGCAATAAGAATAAAAGGTTGAGTGTCAATATCCTTTGTGTATCCATTAATTTATTGTAATTAAAAAATAAATAAAATAAATAATGAATATTATTAAAACCAATGTTGGAATTTGCATGTTCTATTCCGCATAATCCAGGGATCATGCAAGGATACCAAAGGATCTACACGTCGCGTAACAGGCGCATTCACGACTGTGTATTGGCTTACGGAAGAGATTGTGTACATGTACATGAGCGCAACCTGAATGTTCTTTTTTCTGCCTCCTGGAGGCGCTGCTCAGTCATCAAAGAATTAGAAATAACAGAGGCATCCATGAATAAAGTGATTATTAAAAGCTGGCAAATCATAGAAGATCATCTACGCTTGGCATTTGGTCGGCTTTATGAGAAGGGGATAGCGTAAATATGAAGATATGCATAAATTAAGGCTGTTGCCTGTATCGGATCTGATGATGGTTTCTCCAGTAGCTGAAGGCTGAGCAAAACAAAGGTCTCATTTACAAAAAAAAAATGTTCAGAGAAAAGACCTTTGCAATTAAGTAGTATTTTACAATAAATATATTCTTAATTGAAAAAGCATCTGAGGTATTTAGAATGAGACAAGGAACAGCCCACACTGCTGTAATGACTGTGGTACAAGAAAAAAAAAAACGACACAATGGCTCACGTTACTCTGCGGTCATTTTTTTTTTTTTGTTTTATTACATTGTCTTGTCCCCGCATTTCTTTTTCTTTATTTTACACCGTACTCATTCTCCATTTACCAACTAATAACACACTTCAATGGTTGTCATCAATTCAGCCTTGTTGGCTAAAAAGTTTCCACAGTTACCTGTTCACGACGTAGACAGGCTCGTAAACCAATTCAGGTAACCCTTGTTTCTTTTCTTTTTTTTTTTTTTTTTTTTTTTTTTTTTTTTTAAAAAAAAATAAGGAACAAAATATTACATATTGTTATTAGAGCCAATCTTCGTTAATGCTGTCTGTGCAAACATTACTGAATAATTGAAAAAGGGAACGCGCTTTACTAACTCTTTTTTCTTTTTGTACTCTAGTCGCTTTGATATTGATGGACGAGGCCAAATCGATCAAAAGGACTTGGTGAAGGTCATCCAGGAGATTGGCGAAGGTCAATCTTATGACCAGATTCGCGCCACGATTAAAACCGTTGATATTAATGCCACTGGAAAAGTCGAAGTAGATGAATTTCTTGAGGTATATGGCAATAGCATTGAATATGAAAAGCAGGTGGAGGAGAAAAAATAAAAGAGGGGTGAAACTTTTTATTTCTCGTGTGGATTAGCCCAATGAACCGCCTGGCAAGGATGACTTCTACAATGCGCGACATTACCTCATCGTGGATACTGTCTAAATAATTTTCTACTCTGTCTACAATTTATAATGATCAATAGATTATTTCGAAGCTACGTGAAGGCGGCGCAAATGTCCCAACGTCTGGCAAGAAGGTCATTCAAGTTGGAGGCGCCAACAGCAGTATTAAACATTCTTTGAACGATGATGAGCGCTCTGAATTCACAGCACATATCAACTCTGTCTTGGCAGGTGATATGCATATTGGAGACAGGATTCCAATTCCTACCCACACAATGCAAATTTTCGATGAGTGTCGAGGTAAGCATTACAAAAGGGAGGAAAAAAAAAAAAAAAAAAAAAAAAAAAAAGAAAAGAGAAGAGAAACCATCGGTTGCACGAGTTGGTTGTTGTTATTTTATTGATTGCGAAGTAAACCTGTTTTGGAGTTGCTAAAAAGTTTGGGAAGAATAATCAAAAATCCATGTACTTCATGAAATAAATGATACCACATATTAATAACAAAAAAAAAAAAAAAAAAAAAAAAAAAAGCTCTCTGTCTAGTTTTCTAATACCTTAAACCCCTCTAATTCTACTATAGATGGTCTTTTACTCTGCAAGCTCATCAACGACTCAGTGCCAGACACTATTGACGAACGTGTACTCAATGTCAAAAATAAGCTTTCGAATTTTCAGATCATTGAAAATAATAACGTTGCTATCAACTCGGCTAAAGCTATCGGTTGTAGTGTTGTCAACATTGGGCCCCAGGACATCATGGATGGGCGTGAGCATTTGATTTTGGGTCTTATTTGGCAGATCATTAAGGCTGGTTTGTTGTCAAAGATAGACATCCGTCTTCATCCTGAGCTTTATCGCCTGTTGGACGAGGATGAGACCCTTGAGGCTTTCCTTCGCCTTCCTCCTGAGCAGATTTTGTTGAGATGGTTCAATTACCACTTGAGGGCCGCAGGATGGCACCGCACGTATGTTGTTAATTTTGCTTTAAACTTTCGGCTCAGATTCGCTCATACTTGATCTAATTCTAACCTCATTTCTGTGCAATTACGCTCTAATTTTTGGTATTTCAACCCTACAGTGTTAGCAACTTCTCTGGAGACGTCAAGGATGGTGAGAATTACACCGTCTTGCTTAATCAATTGGCACCGGATCTTTGCTCAAGAGACCCTCTTCGTGAGCATGATCTCCTCACGCGTGCTGAACAAATCCTCCAAAACGCAGAAAAACTCAACTGCCGCAAATACCTGTCCCCTCAGTCACTTGTTGCTGGAAATCCTAAACTTAACTTGGCCTTTGTTGCCAACCTGTTCAACAATCATCCTGGCTTGGATCCATTAGAGGAGGTGGAACGCCCAGAGCTTCCTGACATCGAAGGTGATCGCGAGGCTAGAGGTAAGACAATTGAAATACATTTGATTGAATGTACTCTTTTTTTTTTTTTTTTTTTTTTTTTTTTTGAAACAGAAATGAATGAGATGGGGTGAAAGCTAAATGTTGTTTCATGTTATTCTTCATGTGTGATATTATTAGTTTTCGCTCTCTGGTTGAACAGCTTGGACGTTGATCCATTTGTTAACAACCTGTACACAGATCTCCAAGATGGAGTTGTTCTCTTACAGGCATTCGATAAAATGCATCCAGGTATTGTTGATTGGAAGCGTGTTAGTCGTAGACAACCTCTCAACCGCTTCAAGCAGGTGGAGAATACCAACTATGCCATCATGATTGGACAACACCTCCGCTACACCTTGGTTAACATGCAAGGTGCCGATATTGTGGACGGTAGCCCCACGCTCACTTTGGGATTGGTTTGGCAAATGATGCGTGAGAACGTGACGCAAACTATGAAGAAGCTTTCCAAGTCTGGTCGTGATATCACTGACATGGAGATGATTCGATGGGCAAACGAAGCGGTGCAGCGTGGTGGCAAGACGAGCAAGATCAGCAGCTTTAAGGATCCCTCATTCAAGACTGGTCTCTTTGTCTGTGATGTATTGAACGGAATGCGCCCTGGCTCTGTCGACTATACAATGTTGACCCGTGGTAGCACATTGGAGGATGCCAAGATGAACGCTAAATATGCCATCTCTGTTGCAAGAAAGATCGGTGCCGTTATTTTCGTATTGCCTGAGGATATCATTGAATGTCGTGCAAAGCTGGTAAGTCCTCATTTTAGATGATGCACTTCACCACTCTTGCTCTCTTTGATGTACAATCGTTGCTCACTTTTTTTTTTTTTTTTTTTTTTTTTCCTATGTTCTGTTTAGATCTTGACGTTTATCGGCTCGTTAATGGCCATCGATACCGCTGGCAGGGTCTAAGTATTTTTTTCCCCCCTCTTTCACCATATAATTACTAATATCCGTCTGAATAAAGCAATAAAGAAACATATTCCAGAGGAGCTTTAATTGTGGATATTCTAGATGGTTATTATTGTTACTATTGTTGCTATTAATATGTGATTGGCAAAGTGCCTTGTATGATGTATCCAGTAATAATTATTGTTTATAAGCGGTGGCTGTGCGGAAGAAAGGTGGTTGGGAAAGCCGAACTGATATCATTAAGTATCAGGAGACCAAACATTTGTCCTTGTCCTTCTTCCCTGATGACGCAAAGGAGCGTTGACCACCGTTGCCTGCACTTGCTCTTGATTCGGCTGCAGCGGCTGCTCTAGCATTCCTGGTTGGGTTTATCGATGTCTTTTTACTAGACTGTTGCATTTGTGGCTCTTGTGGCTGTCGCAGGTTTGGACAGGCATGATCATCTTCTAGACGGTGTTTCAAACAAAAGTTGCGACGACATTTTTGACAGATGATTGGGATAGCAGATCGATTCTTACATCCCTTGGCATTACAAGAGTTTGTGTAGATTGGTTTTGAGGTGGTTGTGGCGGGTTCAGGACATCCTGCAGAAATATGTTGTTCCATTCTAACATTTGGGTCTTCGCCCTTCTTGATTGGGACAGGTTTGTCACATAGAGGGCAAATGGGCACACGTTGATCCTGCTGTGTCGCTGCATCCTTGTTAGGACAGGTGTGAGTTTCGAGTTTCCAGTGATCCTGGCTGTTTAATAAAAAGCAATTGTGTTATCAATCAGTATGGAGATGGTCAGTCGTTATCTAGGGAGGAGAGAAAAGAAAAGAATCCTACCAAAAGATCTGTTTGCAATATTGACAGGTGAAAGGCAGAAAGTCGAGCTGGGCGCAGTTTAGGTCCGAGCAGTGTTTACCGATTGAAGGAAGCTCCATGTGGGTATTGGTGCTAGATGTCGATATATTTCAGAAGTTGTTGAAGGTAATGGAATGTAGAGTAATGAAAAGAATGGCGACTTGAGGTATTTATAGTGAATGATGTGTGTTACGTAGCTAACCAATTGAGTAATTACGATTGCGTATGTGTGGAGATGAGAATTTGTAATCCCATGGAACGTCAGACAATTGCGAAGGCAGACAGGCAGACAGGCAGGCAGATAGAGCCAGGCACAGTTGATGAGATGACAGGCACGTGTCTTCTCTCTGTTCCACATTTTAATAAATCTTTTAGAAATGGTACAAGATTGTGTATTATATGAATAATGCAATGCAATGCAGAGAAATGTACCCGCTCATTGTTTGTCTTTGTGAAATTGTAGGCATATTGGCTACTGAGTCTGAGCCGACGACCAGAGCCCAGGTTGACATGTAATATGTATCAAGAGCAAAAAAAAAAGACAAAGAAAAAAAAAGTCAAGAAAAGTAGTAAAAAGTAACTTTTATTATTATTATTATTTTGAATCCCGAACGTCTGCTGCTGGTGATATTACTGTCAGCTACACCCCATCCCTGCCTCCTCACTTTCTGGCGCTCCTTGTGCTCCTTCATGTACATGTACATATTTATTATGCTGTGTGCAGTAAATATTAAATTTCAAAAAGGCATGGCTCGAATTACACAAAGAAAAAGAAAATAAAAAAAAAAATATTTGCCTCAAGTGGGAGTGAAGTGTCCCGTGTGGATGCAGATGAGAACCCCGCTTATCATCCAGCCAGCCTTTGATTAGAACACAACATTGGTTTTCCCCCCCCACGGAAAGACTGTTAGAAAGTTCTGAAACTGAACACTTCCCTTTTTTCTTTTTCTTTTTTTGCTTTTGCATTTGCAACCCATTGGACGTTTTGTAGCCCAACAGGTGTCAAACCTATCCCTTTTTATTCCTCTTTCTTTCTCTCTACTCCCTCCTCTTGTTCTTGCTCGCTGTCTGCTTGCTTGATTTGCTCGCTTGCCGTCAATCCTTTCATCAGAACAACACATCATCCACTACATTCCCCCATTCCACTTTCTCTTGCTTGTATACAATCCTTTCCCACTCCACCTCCATCGTCCATATCTCTTTTTCAATTGTTAATCCTTTGATCTAATTATTTCTGCCTCCTACTCATCTCTCTATTTGATCGCTTGATCCTCCCATTCGTCTCGCCGGACCCCTCCGTCTACCTATTCGCCACTCTAACTTTTTTTTGTTTCTTCCCGTTCTCTGCGTACAATTTTTTGCCAGCTCCCGTTTCTTCTATACCAATATCATACAACGACATTTTTTTTTTCTTCACCTCCTTTAAATCACCACTTGTTCCATCTTTTGTTCGCTGTCGTTTCGCCTTTGATTTCCTTCACAAAGCATATACACATTCTCTTTCCTATATCCCTTTGTTGGCGGGAAGTCTAGTCCGGACTTTATTTTAAAACGAAGCAAAAACAAATCTAAAAAGTCATAAGCAGCTTGCAGACACATAACCAACGACAACAGAACATTAGAATCATCATGCCGCGCATGCGCAGGGTTGCATTAGTATGCTCCTTTCTTTCCATATGCCTGATCTTTATGGTGCGCTTGCCATCAAAGAACCTGCTCTCTGGAATTCTTGAAGCCGACCCACAGGATGCTGAGCGGATCATGATGGAGCGATATGCTCATAGCCTTCAATTCAAAGGAAAAGTCAGGATAAAGTCACTCGCTACCGCATTAGAAGATGATCGTGGTGGGAATGTCGACATTCTTCCTAAAAGACTGACCAAGAAGGAGCGCAGCACCACCATCTATTTCCCCCCTGCGTGCAAAAATGGACGGCATTGGCAAATCTGTAAAAAAATTGTGCCAAGCTTCATGATTGCTGGCGCTGAGCACAGTGGTGCCGATGTCCTTTATGAAGCCTTCCGCACGCACCCTCAAGTATGGGATTTAGTGAAGGCGAACGAGATGTATGAGAGGTAATGTGTATAAACATATCTGTTGTCAACAGGAGTCCAGGCAAAGGCTGTTGTTTCTTTTTTCTTTTTTTTTCTTTTTCTTCTTTTTTTTCTTTTTCGTGGCTCTTGAATTACAGGCTTTTTGCTATTGCTGCGCTATGGAAAATAGTGCCTAGATGAGAGATTGATGCTAATGCCGAGCTCTGTGTGCACGATGTTTGAAAAATAACCGTATTTTTAGAACTGGCAATGCCTCCATGTTGGACCTTCCAGACAGCGACGAGACACCCTTCTTCGGGTCACAAAATTACAATGATTTTGACCCAGCAACTAAGAACTTGGAGTGGTATCTGCAGCATTTCCCCTCTATTAAGGATATTCCTGTCACTGCACATAATCCAGTTCTATCAGGAGAATCTCTTCCTCATATTCAACACTATGGTCTCAGTCATGTCAACATAGACCATCAAGAGGCCCCAAATTATAATGACCAAAAGATTCTCGTGGGAGAATGTGCACCTAGCTATTTGCACATGAATGGGGCGAGCAAGAGGATTGCTAGCACCATGCCTGAGATTAAGGTCGTCTTTATCTTCCGTGATCCTATTGATCGTGCTTACCTCAACTATTTAGAACAAAGTATGTCCTATCATTGCAAAAAATATTTAATCGTGTATGAAATAGTACCATCGGTCTGATGACCATGACCATGACCGGAGTAATTGTATTTATGTTTTATGAACTTTGGTATGATTGACTAATCTTTTTTTTTTGTTTTGTGTTTTTTTTTTTTTGCTTCTAGAACAATATGCTGCAGGATATAGTTTTGAAGAAATTGTCGCAGAGGAGTTACTTATCTTGAAGGAATGTATTGCACGGCCTGGAAGTAAGAAGTGGACTGAATTTCTTCGCTGTCACTCTGAAGAGGCAACTAAGAGTAAGTAGAGATGGTTGAGGTTTTTTGTGATATAGTATCCTAATTCTTGGGCTCGTAGTTTCTTTCCAACATAAAAAAACTCGTTGCATACTGATGGGTTAATTTTGCTGCTATTTTCATGTTCATAGCTGCAAAGCGAATGGGCCTTCCCAATCGCCCAAGAGCAAACAATGCTAGAGGTAATGCAGAATTCATGAACGTTAGCACCAATGTACGCATTAAAATACCTTGTTGCTCATTCCTACTTTTGCTATTTTATATTTATATCTTTTAGACCCTCCTGCTCCACTTTTGAACTTGATCGTCAAGGGTCTATACTATTCTCAGCTGCATGAGTTTGTGAAGCATGTTCCATTCACAAAGATCTTAGTTTTGAGGACAGAGGACCTTTACGACAAGAAATCAACCGTATCAACCATGGTCCGGTTGTCACACTTTTTGAGCCTCGACCCCTCGCCATTTATGAATTTCCCGATTGAAATTGGAACTGATCCAATGGCACCACTAAGGCATGATAGTGCAGCTTACAACAACAAGATCTTTGGTGGTGTTAACGGAGTTATGACTGAGGATGAAGGTGACTTGGCCAATTCGGGCGAGGATATGGACTTTGACTATGATCAACGCAGGATTGCCAGCAGTTCAGCAGGGCCCTCTATTTCACAGCAAGTTTTTTCAGATCCTCCTTTGGAATTGGCCACTCGGTTCCGTCTGCAACGCGTTTTTGAACCATTCAATCAAAAGCTTGTTGACATGTTTGAACACCGTCAGGACTTTCCTGGATGGGAATACGATGTTGACCGTGGATAGTCGGGGGAAATAGAGAAAAATACAATATACAAACATTATTTTTTTTTTTTTTTTTTGCACATTTGTATGCATTATAGACAAAAAAAAAAAGAAAAAAAAAGACAAAAAGAAAAAGAAAGATTACGTGTGCAATGTATATCTTTCTCAAGAAACTCCCAAAGCATCTTTTTCATGATGACATACAAAATGGAGTTCCTTTCGGCAAAGCAAGCCTCGTGAACATATTATTTACCATACAACATAACTCTTTCTAAACATATCCCGTATCTTTTAATAAAATCATAAACCTATAAACTTAAAAAGTACTTCCGATCGCAATTGCTTAGAATGCATTCCATCTAGGTCTCTTACCAATGAAACCCTTGGTATCACAAAATACATGAACATGTCACAAAATGATGTCCATATCTCAAATGCATCAAGAAAAGTGAATGCTCTTGCTCAAGCAATTAATATCACATGATCCAGCTAATTAACTCCTCTTTTTTAATCCAACATTATCAGCTTTTCAACTTTTTTTTTTTTTTTTTTTTTTTTTTTCCACAAACTTTTGCAATCAAACTATCAAACTACAAAAAAAATACCTCATTTTCCAATTTTCTTTCTTTCTTTTTTTTTTGTCCAGTATCCAACCATGCATAAAGACCCTATTCAATTTACTCAACCGATGATCGGTGGCACTAAACCTACAGGTTCCGTGGACATCATTCCCATCCCCACTACAATAGCGCGTGTGCAGAACACCGGTACTATGCCTCCTGTCGTTAGCAGCAGCGTCCCTATAACTTCAAGATTTGATTATCTCGACTCTGCTTCAGCCTTCAGGAGGAGGAGTTTGTGCTCAATAGATCAACCTGGTGTTGTCATGACCAGATTACCGCAAGGTAAATGAGAAGAAAAGACATTGCATGCCCAAAAAAAAAAAAAAAAAAAAACTGGGACGCACGGTTACAGTTTGATTGACCAGAGTACGGCTTTTTAAATATTCCTTGAACACGAAATACATTAGAACTCGAGGAATCTCAACACGAGTTTGGATCCAAGCTAGTTGTTATCATGGGTAAGCAAGCCTCTAATACTTATCATTACCGTTGCAAACAGATAACGCTGTGTTGATTAATTTGTGAACCTTTTTATTGTGAACAAAGGATCATCATTCACTGACTATTCATGCAATCCCTCTTCTTTTGCCATTTCACCACAGTCGGATTACCCGCACGAGGCAAGAGCTACCTGGTCAAGAAGTTACAGCGATATCTGACCTGGCTTCAATACGATACAAAGGTAAAAAAAAAAGAAGAATGAAAGGAACAAATCATTGTGCACAACACAGGCACAGTGGACACAAAAACAAAACAAAAAAAAAAAAAAAAAAAAAAAGAGGCCAGCATACGAGATAAGCTGGACGAGCGATCCGTGTGTGTGCTTTTTATTCCAAGAAATGGACTACGCCCTTCTCTTAGTTCTGTTTTTTGTAATCTACTGATAAGAGAGTGTTCGGCTCTTATTTCCCATGGACCATGATAACTGCAAAGTGAAAAAAATAAAAAAATAAAAAAAAAAAACGCGGAGAACTCTAATGCGACCATCACAGCCGTGTAATTGGATTGGATTAGACTCGCTCACTCACCTTACTCATTCAACCCATCACTTGCCTTTGCCCGTCCTTTCTCTTTGCTCTCATATTTTCTATCTTCAGCATACAGACGACCTCCATTCTTATTTATCCTCTTCCAACATTAGTATGCAACTGCGGATATTTTCTTTCTGTTACCATAATCGACGTCTGTACTTTTTTTTTTTTTTTTGTAAATCTTGATTAGCTTATTTAAACAAACTAATCATGGCGATTGTTGCTTTGTTTCACCTTATCTCAACCCCACACACACCAAAAGGTATTCAACGTTGGAAACCGACGCAGAATCGCCTCTAAAGGTGACAACAAGAATGGAACCAGCCACTCGCATGCGTTCTTTGATCCTAAAAACAGCACTGCTAAGACAATACGTGACGAATTGGCGCTCGAAAGCTTAGAGGAGCTCATTGCATGGCTTAAACTGGGGGGACGTGTTGGGATCCATGGTAAGGAGAGGAGCCATCAGGTTTCTTATCTATTTATGTCTTTGTGCTCCAACGACTATAGACTTATCTTTTACATCGTGGCTTTTGTTTGCCCTATCTATTCTTTTTAATCACACTAGATGCCACAAATTCTTCACGGGAACGAAGGTAAAGAAAATACAAGGACAAAGAATGGTTTTATTTACCCGATATCATCTCGATTCTGTTCTAGAGCACTTTTGAGTTTACTTTTGCAAGCTAAACCCACGGCAAAAAAAAATGTATCTATATTCATATTGAAACTTCAATTTCTTTCTATACTTCAATAGAAAAATGCTTTTGAGGCGACTGGAAGCCGAACCAAATTGCAGAGTGCTTTTCATTGAGTCAATATGTACGGATCCAGTGGTGTTGGCGCACAATATTACTATGAAATTGAGCTCACCAGATTACAAAGGGATGGATGAGAAGCAGGCAAGGGATGATTTTAGAAAACGTCTTGAAAATTACGAAAGAGCATATCAAACTCTAGACGAAGAGGATGAAGAAGATGGGATTCAGTATTGCAAATTGATCAATGTCGGAAAGAAGGTAATAGAAGGAGGCTAACGGTATTTTAATGTTGACGTTTAAAAAAAAAAAAAAGCTTATTCTTTTCTGAAATGGTGAATAGAAATCTTACACTGGGCTTATTATGTATGACTAGGTCATTGCTTATAATATTCAAGGATATCTCGCAGGACAATGTATTTTCTACTTGATGAATTTCAACTTGTCTCCACGGTGCATATGGCTGACACGACACGGAGAAAGCATTGATAATATTATGGGAAAGATTGGTAGGCTTTTTTTTTTTTTTTTTTTTTTTTTTTTTTTTTTGCTTCGATTGTACATGTAGTTTGACAGATGTGTTATATATGGCTTACTCTGTATTTGTTGTTTATCTGCCCTAGGTGGGGATGCACCACTTTCACCTAGAGGAAAGAGATATGGCGCATGTTTATCACGGTTTATCAAACATCAGCGGCGGGAGAACGAAGTTTCAAGAAGGCTGGAAGCAGAAGCTGGTATGGCAATTTCAAATCCACGTGAGAGGACTGTTGCAGTGTGGACGAGCATGTTGACAAGAACCAAAGAGACCGTGGAAGAATTTGATCCCAAAGAATATGATATCAAGCATATGCGATTCTTGAACGAAATTTACGCAGGTGAGTGTAAATGCAGATGCGAAAGATAAACCCAATTAGTACATTAAGGGAGTCCAACTGATTTTTTTTATTTTTTTTTTTATTTTATTTTTATTGAACAAAGGCATTTGTGAGGGGCTATCGTATAACCAAATTGAGCAGTTGTATCCTGAAGAATTTGAATCGCGGCGGATCAACAAGCTTTTCTACCGCTATCCAGGTACAGTCTAGATTATTTTCCCTTCACAATAGGCTTGGATTTAACTACCCTTTAGTTGTTATAGTGACAGGATATGAAAAACCTTTGCTCACTCTAACTTTTCTATATTTGTATACATAATAACAAGGCATGGGAGGAGAGTCATACTTGGATGTTGTGCAACGCCTGAACCCATTGATCATCGAGTTGGAACGAATGACATCAGATTTGTTGATTGTCACGCATCGTGTTGTTATGCGTATCCTGTTGGGTTATCTGATGGACATTGATCGATCCAAAATGCCGGAGATGGAGGTTCCATTACACACACTGTATTGCGTAGAACCAAAGCCTCATGGTACTGTGGTTCGAAAGTTCAAATGGGTCGAAGAGTTGGATTGGTTTTTTGAGGAACCTACTGCAGATAAATAGTGAGTTTACTTGCGTAGTGAGACTGATACTAGTAGGCAACCCTTGTTATTAGAGATGCGAACTGCGAATGTAATGAATGAAATAAAAAAAAGATACAACAGAACAAGCAACATGGATTTTAGATTTGAAAAACCCTGAATCAATCAACAGAGTAACTGCCCATAACAGACATTCAGTCACAAGAGCACGCGTAAGTGTGATTAATCAGCATCAGCATCCTAGATGCAAAGGCGGCGTCCATTGGTCATTTGACCAAGCTCTTTTTGTTTCTCTATGGATCCATATTTTACAAATTTTACCTTGCTTCTCCTGCTGATGTCGCGTCATTTGTGGCTAGACTGGCTAAAATGAGCGATGTGTAGGTAGTTTAGCAACATTCTAGTCGACAACTGCCACTAATATTCTAAAAAAATATAGCTAGACCTTCCTATACTAATTGATCAATAAAGTTTCCTCTCTCAAAGAAATCAATAAGAATTAAAACTATCCCATTGATTGCTCATTGTTTGTGTAAAAAAAAAAAAAAAATTTACCTCTGGATCAGCATTGTCTGTCCATGTGGGAGAGAAGGATCCCTTTTCAGAGAGTAAAGTTACTTGGCTCATTCGTGTCAATTGAACAAGGGACAGGTAGCAGCGCTCTACTTTGATGATATCATTTTTTACAATAAAACAGAGCGGATCAATACTTTCTCCTTTCACAAAGTTCATACACAGACATAGACGCAGACTATAATCATATATACTTTTGTAACCGTTTTTTTTTAATTTCCCTCAACACGTTTTATGATCGTCTTGACCGGCCTTTCCTCTTTTGATCTTTGTACAATGCTCTTTTTCATTGCCTTTTCGAGTTACTGTTCCGATAGAGTTGCGTTTTATATCTTTTTTTATTTTTTTTTTATCTTTTTATCCCTTTGTATATATATATATATAGATATATTTATATAATACTATTCTTGGTGCAACCCTCATTTGTCAAGAGGTACGCGTTTCTTAGCTGCAAGCTGAGCTCATGTACCCAAAATGATCACCCATGCTTATTTCGTGCAAAGTTGGGGAGAAACAAAATGGAAAAGTGGAAGAATATTCAGCCTGCCATTTATATCTTAAACTTTCTATATTTTATTTTAAGATAAAAGAAATAAAAAAAAAAAACGCGGTTTCATAATAATGTACGCGTAATTTCGTTGGAGCGTATAAGTTGAGAGATGAGGAAGCCATGATTCCAAGATATTTATGACCGTGACCATGCTCAATAGACCGTAAGAAAAAACGTTCTGACAATGGCTTCTCGGTTCCTTGGCTTCTTGGCTTGGCTTCTTGGCTTGGCTTCTTGGCTCTAATAATCGCGTCGCTATACGCGCTATGAATTAAACAAAAAGTTGTTGCGTGTGCGCGCATACGTACTACAGAAAGCCAACAAAACAAATAAACAGAAAAGCAGGCAGACGGAAAAGGAAAAGAAAAATAGAAGAGAGGGAAAGTTTGCGTAGTCATGCCACATCTAAATACAATCGTAAATATAATATTTTATATACATCTGTATACATGTTACTCACCTCTCCTTGACATTTTTGAATACTCATTTGTTATCTTTGGATTATTGTTGTCAATAAATTCTCCGTTAGTTGTTAGATTTAGTTGCTGATGCAGGACGTAGCACTGACACATGTAAAAAAAAGAAAGACAGAAATAATGATTCTCCTCAACATGTCTTTGACTGCAAAAGAAAGTTGATATTCCAAAGTTGAGACCTTGTGTCGTTTGTCCAAGTTGTTGAACATCAACAAAACTGCAACTCGTTATTATAAGAGCTTTTTTTTTTTTTTTTTTTTTTTTTTTTTCTTTTCTTTAATCGATGAATAAAGGCAAGATTGAATGTATAGATGTATCTAGTAATAATAAGCATCTATTACCGATTAGGAACGAGCCCAATGTGTTGCAGCAAAATGCGTCCCAAGTGGAGTGGAATAAGGAGAAAAGGAATTGCCGTTGCCAAGAACTATAAATATTCATTTGACAATGTGGACCACAAAATGATATATTATATATATATATATTTATATATGTATATGTATATAATACATGAATGTTATTTGTCCAAGGCTATGGCCCCTGTTTCCATTTTTCTTTTTGACTCGTTTGATGATGAAAAGAGAGCAATGTCTGCAGCGTATTTTTTTTTCCACGCAAACAAAACAAAAAGAGAAAATAAACAACGCTGCATGCGTAATTGGTTACACTGCCAAACGAATCGCATGATCAAAAAAGGAGATTTTTTCCTGTTGCGCTCTCTACTCTATCGTTTGTGCGTGGGGTAAAAAAAAAAAAAAAAAAAAAAAAAGTTTGAAAGCGCGAATGATGGGCGCTGGGGGAGGGATGTAAGTCTTGGCCCCTTCCCTCCCTATTCTGTCCCTCCCTCTTTTTCTCAGCAATGGGTTAATATTTATTCCTGGACTATTTTTTCAAATCAGTTGCCATTAATCATCATAATGAATGATCTTTATGATCTTTCTCTTTTTTCCTTTTTGTGAGCGAAACGGGGGGGAGTGGGAGAAGGGATGGCTCAAACTCCTTCCATGAATCGGCCTAGAAACATCGCATGACAGGGCCTTTGTTGGAGCGAACAAGAAAGTCGATCGAAGACAAATAAAAATAATTACCACCAATCACGCTGTCTCAGGATGGCTGGGGGGAAGAGGAAGAAAGGGAAATCTACTTTCTTCCTGTTCACTGGCTTATGTTTGGAACATTCATAAAAAAGGAGGGCTTTGCTTCAATGAACACCCTTTCTATTTTAGCCATGTTGAGGCTGGTTGCTACAGAACATGTCTGCTTGGCATAGAACGTCTGGAAAAAAAAAAAAAAAAAAAAAAAAAGCCCGTTTGGAGTACTGAAAATTGACAAGGATGAGGCGTTATTGGGCAGTGATCAAGGGGAAAAAGTATTACGATCATGTACGCGCGTCGTGCTTATTTTTATTTTTTATTTTTTGAGCATAAGGGTTTTTTACGTGGAGATCAACTGTAAAAGTGACACGTTCATAAAATGACACTATTCAATCCTTTTTAGTTCGCTTTGGTTATCTGATTTCGTTATTTTCGCCTATAATATTTTTCCATTGATTGTGTTCGTTCGTTCGTTCGTTCGTTATGATAAAACATTATGATATATATATTTATATATTTTGCTTTTTTATTTTATTTTATTTTTTAAAAAAAAAAGAACAAAGAGAGAAAAAGTAAGACCATCCTTCTTGTTATCGTTATTCATTTTTTTTTTTTTTATTTTATTTTTTTTTTTGTTTGAACGTGTATAAGCAAGCTTTTTCGATTAAAAGTAAAGGAATAAGAAGCAGCCTAGAGACAAAGGCAGGGTGCACAAGTTAATTTAAGATAGAGCTTTTTTTACGTGTCACGACGATGTATACATGTAGATTATATAAAGTTGAAATGAAATAAACAACAGAAAAGAGGGAGATCAAAAAGGACTTCAGATTCGCTATAGAACATCACAGAAGGAAACAATCAAACGTGAATTGGAGTGATTGGAGACTTGGAGACGCCGTTTTCGTTCAAATTTATTTATTTATTTTGAAAAAGCGCTCTGAATTATTCAGCGCACACACGAAGCGACATCGCCCTTTGGAGCTGGATCCAAACTCAATTGTATACAAATATATAAAGCGATGTATTGTGTTGGAGGTTTTGGAGGCAAAAAGAAAAAAGAAAAAAAAAGACCTGCACCGTAGTCAGGCGAGAGAGAAAGACTGACGAATACTAAGCAGAAGAGAGCTGTGAAACAGCGAGAAGCAAATAGCTGTCAAAAGAAATTACATCAATGATGATGGTTACCGATTCGTTCCATTGATTGGGTTCTACATGGGCGAAGTAATTGCGCGAACCAAAATGCGAACTTGGCGGTTGCCCGGTTGAAATAAATATTGTATGCATATTATATATATAAATATATATATATACACATGTTCATGTACAGAAAAGAGATTTTGAGGAAAAAGAGCACAAGGAAGGACAGAGGAAGGATGGGAGGAAGGTGCATTATTAATCAATTCAGACGAATAGAATCTGTTGGAGCGTAAATAAATTTCCTCAGCTTACAAATTCCCTTGACTCTTTATTCTATCGATATAAAATAAATATATATATAGTATATAGAACATTTATGATATTAATTCAATCGTCAATGGTAATGAATACAATTATACGAAAACAGTAGGATTGGGTTTAAGGTTTTGCTCCAGTCTTATATTTCATCAAGTGACTCAATTGCTATCCGGTTAGAATAGTTTTCATTTCAATTTAATCGCCCAATTGACCTGGGCACAGCGTCGCTCGTCAATTGACCTTCTCCCACTCTACTTCACAAAAAAAAACTATATATTGAGGGGTCTTTTCCCCACTTTCTCCCACCTCTTTTTTTTTACTCTTTTTCTTTTTCTGACTTTTACGCCAATGCTTTACAGCCATTTCATCATAAAGACCCTGTCTCCTTGTTCATAACACTGCCAGCAAGTTCCTCTTCCCTATCCATTTTTTGCATTTCCAATATACCCTTCTTCTCACTTTCACTTTCACTTTCACTCTCACTCTTATCTCTCTCTGTATTTAGCAAAGTTCAGCAACTCAATTCTAGTTTAACTTCATTCACATCACACAAACATTCTCCATAATGTAAGTGAATCGTATCAACAGCATGTTTCAATCATTGACCTTTTCCCTCCCCTGATCTTCTCTCTTCCTCCTTCACCAGAATTTCCAGCTATTGGGCATTTGGGTGGTTGGGTATGAGGGCTATTTATCTCTAGTCCTATCTTTCTCAGGACTTCCACTAATTGAAGAATGTCTTTGTATTAATCCTTTCTATCTTTTTCTTCCTCTACCTCTAAATCCATTTCATGCGCCCATTAAAGAAAAAAAGAAACAAAAAAATCCATCCTCTATTCTCCCTATTTTGAGTTTCTTTATTTTATGTCATTGTATATAGAACCCTGTGTGTGTGTTTAGATCAAGGGGAGATGCTTTTTATAGAAGGAGTTGTTGGGTGATGAGCAAAATAGGGTCCCTGTTGTCCTTGTGTATACGGACAGAGTCATTTGACGCTGGACTGCTTTTTTTTGTTGGATTTGTCATCGAGTGCGCCGTTTCATTTGTATGACTCGTCCCTGCTAGCTCGGGTCTTTTGTTTTGCCATTCTTTATGCTCTTAAAAACATTCGACTTTACTACCAAATAAGGAAATGTACGTGGCGGGATGGTCGAATGCAAAAGTCCCCTGTGAATGTGTTTGACACAAAAGATTCTCTTGCTGCGCAGACCTGCATACCCAACCCCCCTTTTAGCTATTATTATTTTTTTTTTTTTCTCTTATTCCTTCCCCGTCCATTGTCCATTCTAACAGTCCCTTTTACTGTTCAAATATTTCGGTGTGCCAATTTATAGGCAAGCAAATATCAACGTCACCTATAATAATCACCAGGCCTTCTTTCACTCGCCCATGTCCTGCACGTCGTCCTGCACGTCGTCGCCTTTCTCCTCACCTGAGACTGGTGTTGAGCTCGAAAATCTTGACATGCCAATGTTCTTACCAAATGAGCCCTCCATTTACCATCAGATCCTTGATATCGATGGATCTAATGACTTTATGCAGCAGCAGTCGCAGTATCAGATGTATGCTCCACTTCAACAAAAGCAACAGCAGTTCCAGTATAATGGTGTGGCTCAAATCGGTTTGGGAACTCCTCCTACCTCTCCTCCTGCTCCTGCTTTCCACAAGTACCCGAGCGTCGGTACTGAGATGGGTACCATGTTTTATGGCTCCCAACCACAGGCTATTCAGAATGCGTATGTGACTTCTACAGAACCAATCCCCATATTGCAACAGCATCCACTTCAGCAGCAACAGCAAACCGTTCAACGACAGCAACAAGAACAAGAAATGTATCGTTTGTTGTTGCAGCAATTTGATAACCTTGAGAGCTCTCTCTTCAGTCCTAGCCCCATCATTAGCAGCTGCAGCAGTAGTCTCAGCAACAGCCCCTATCTCGAGTCCCCTCTCATGGCCGTCGCTTCCGATTTTGACCTATTTCCCATGAACAACGCTGCCGGAACCCGACAGGCTGCAGTCAGTGGCTATCCCTCTGCTCCGGTTATGGCTCCCCCATCTTCCCCAACTACACAGGCGATGTATTCACAGACTGGTGGCTATCATCAGCTGACTCCGCCCACGAACCCAATTGATCTGGAATCTGGAACGTGTTCGTTGTTCAAGCACGATGCATTTTCAAACACTCAACAGCCCATGACAACAGAGCTATCAATGTTGTGCAAATGTCCAGGAAAATTCCCTTGTGGCGAGCAGTTACCCACCGATTCAATCGAGTCAGTCTCGCCTGTGGGCTCACCACTGGAGGATATTCACGAGAGTGATAACAATGAATCAGATTTCGGATCCGAAGAAGAAGACCAACAGCAGGAGTTAGAACATGACTCTGATCCTACCTATGTGCCTACTCACGCTCGATCTACCAAGGCGAGCCGATCTAAGTCTATGGTTATTAACACATCAGTCAGCGCCCCTTACAGCTCGCCCTACTCCAAGGACCCGGCACCCTCTCCAAAGACTCCAGTCCGTCAAGATAAACGCCGTTCCTCATCAGGATCGTTCTCTTCTTTTGGTCACTCGCATAACCAACAGTTGCTCGACCCTAACATGGTTCCCGAAATCAAGGACATCCACGTGTGTCCTGTTTGTGACCGACGATTTACCAGGCCATTCAACTTGCGTTCACACCTGATGACCCATACGACAGCCAGGCCTTTCCCTTGCGATGAGTGCCACTGGAAGTTCACTCGCCAGCACGACCTTCTACGACATAAGCGCGCTAAGCATCCTAACTCTGTCAACACAGCTCCAACAACAGGACAGAAGAAAACCAGCGCCAACAAGTCTCGCTCTGCTTCAGCCGCCTGAAAGCGCTGACAGCGAGAGGACTCTTTCAATCCATTTTCTTCGTGACGGCTATAGGACCCTCTTGCCCCATATTCTTTACTCCCACACACATCTTCGTAAGCATCTGTCATGTTTTTTGCTGATTTTGCGCGGCAATTACATACATACCTCCATACGACAATCATAACCCACATCAACCATGAAAACAACAAAGGGACAACAAAAAAAAAAAAAAAAAAGTTGTAGCTGGTCGATACAAGGTTATGGTTGTTACACAGCAGCACACATGGCGATGATTACTTTTTCATATTTATTTATTAACTGGTCTGGACCCCGCGGAGTGTATCCAAACTAAGAATGAGCAAGATGGCGGCGCTCTTCTTTTTTTTTTTTTTTTTTTTTTAACATGGCGTGTACGGCTTCTGCAACCGCCATCTTCCTCCATGCAGCCCATCCTCCTCTCCTCTCATTCTCCGCTTTTTTGCGTTCGAGTTTCTTTTTTTTACTTTTCTTCTTTTTTAGTTGTTTAACAGACATTGTTATATTCACATCTACTTTTTATGTTTTGCTTTGCATCTCAAGAGTCAATTGTACAGCCTCTCCAATCATCCTCATCAACTAATATTAAATAATAAAAAATTATTTAGATTATCGAATTGGATATTTGATGTATATATATATATATTTTCTCAATGGTGCTCTATCCGAATTCATCATTTTTGGTGGCAATCTGAAAATTATGCAAAAAAAAAACGTTCAATGGCGTGAGATTTCCTATATTTCTTTGATGCTTTTTATTATGCAACTAGCATTAATCAGTGATCTTTATACTACAGAGTGGACAGTGCTTCATTTACTTGAGTGGCATTCACAGTCAAGTCAGTGGATTCTTATTTGTCGTCTCCGTACTCATTGTCCTTCAACAGGTCGGCAACAGTCTGCAGCGTAGGCAATACACTTTTGGCATGCATCGCTCTTGACGGCTTGTTCATAGTAGACCCATTCAACATATCCAGGATCATCGATGACAGCATCTCTTCAAGTACTGGCGCTGGTAGAGCGCGCCTTGTCAAGGACGCTATTGAAATTTTGTGCTGAGCAGACAACATGGGTTCGATAGGATTAACGGGATTATTAGCCGCGATCTTGGGCTCGAGATCCTTGGGGAATGACTTTGACGCTTCTATCTATATTGAGACAATTGTCATTTTCCTGCACTCTATTAAACGCAAACCGTCCGACTGTGAAGCCATCAGGAGCGACTTACCGTACACGGAAGTTGGCTCTGACTTTGTGGATAGGGACTATGTCCTTATCTCCGCTAGCGTAGAGGACTGTATAGCTGGTCATGTTGTATCGAACGTGACATGTCCAACAAAGTCAGAAGGAACTGTGAGCGTGTATCAGTGTACACTGGTCGTGGTCTTGGTGTAGGTGGCGTCCATCATGATCGTAAGGATTTCTTCAAGCTTAGCACTGATTCCGACATCCTAGGCCATAGAGCTGGAAACAAAATAATCTATGCCTATTGATGCAGTGGCAGCTTGGGTGTTAGGAAGGCAGATGTCATCGGTAGCCCTGGACTTGATGCCGGATTTGTAGTCAACTCTTGATTCTTCTTCGTACTTTGGGCAACGTTGTACAATGAACACAGTCACCTGGCAGCTCTGGGAGAGGGAACGGGAGGCCAGAGTTCCCGTTGGCACGAAAGCCACCTAAAGTGAATGATTTAAAGGTCTTGCTGTTGTAGCGAGCCAAATCCTCGCTAGGGAATTCGAGAGACACCCTTTTTGAAATTTGGAGCCGCATTGCCGGATGAAGTCACTGTGGCGAGCGCTAACACGGTGGCACTGAGCAAACCCAGTTTTGGAAGCATGATTAAAGTAGAGTGATGAGGAGCAGTATTGAGGAAGAAGCTGCTGGATGAGTGATATTTTACTATTATTATTATTTTTAGACATCCCTCGGTTCCTTTTATATTCAATGGTGCTTTCACTAAAAGCTTATGACGAAGAGGACACAGAACATCCAACACTACTTTGCGCGACATGTCCCTGGCTCCTTTGTTCCCTCGCCCACTCTTGTATTCAGTAGTTATTGTTGACAAACAGTCAATCTGTCCAGACAGGGCATTGGGTGAATGGGTATAAAAAAGCTTATTGGTAACGAACGCATGGCAAAAATTCCATACTTTATTAGAAAGACATATATATTTTCGCTCAACAAAAAATGCGATGGAGCTATCATTTTTCTATGTAAACTCTCAAAAAGCAAGGGATCGTAGATATAAAAAGGCTTACTCGAGAGTTACTATTTGATGTGACGAACAAGCTGTCTACCATCTTGGCATCAAATTACAATCTTTTATTCCTGTTGGGGAGATACAGCTCGTGTAGTCGTGGGCAAAAAAAAAGAAAAAAGTAGGGACAAAAAATTTCACTGCAAAAAAACTTTAAGACTTGTGGCAATGAAATCTTCTTTCATGAGCAAAACAGCAGCATTTAGGCGACTGTTCGGACTCCATCTGATACTGTATAAACACCTGAATACTGCCACATGCTATTGACCACTCTACGTCCCTTAAACAATATTCTTAGCATACATCTGAACTTTTGCAAGGGATGTGTCAACACTTCGACAAACATGTAACATTTAATGGCTACATCACAGCCCTTGGATTGTGGAAGCGCTGAAAGTATGCGGAAAACGGGAACCATTTGTGTTTTTACTAGCAACAAGCGTGGTTTTAAAAAAGTTTGCCTCCAAGGAACAAATCCTATATCCTTCATTGCTCAAAAGAGACAATCTTGTCTTTTCTGCACCCCAAAAGCTCGCCATAATCCTATTGAAGCGTTCAGAGGCATTATTTGCCTCATAGTTTGAGGATTAGCAGACTTTCAGTCAAGTTTTATTGTTTTGAACAACACAGTAAATCCTGGCCATTCGAATTTAATCCCTTTGGATGGCAGCTATTCAGGGGATGCTAATCAATTCTGCTAAACTATGGTGAAATCAGAGCAGATTTGGAAAACCAACAAGCATCGAACAGTCGCCTTAATAAGTGAGCGAGGATCTCTATGACGCGCATGGACCATGGGGGCGACTTTTCAAATTCTTTTTTATATAAGAAATACAAAGTCGCCCCCGGCTAAACATTCCACCGAGGAGTGTGGCCCTTCGTCTTGAAGAACAATAAAATAAAGGCGAAACAAGATAATGAGTGGAGACTTGAGTAGATCGACAGTGGCAATAAGATGGTTGATGTGAATACAATTTCTACTGAGTGGAGTCTCAACCTATTGCATAGTGCATCATTGAGAGAGATTCCTATGTACTCGAACATTGCTTCCTCAAGTATGTGCATGAACCTGGGCAGAGAAATAATTATCGCAAATATAATGTGCAGTCGGGCTCTCCAAGTTATGAGTGTTGAAGACCTTCGGCTATTTGCAACCATCTTAAGGATTCAGGTAACTCCGTAACTCCACAAATATACAAAATATGCCTGCAATATGACGTCTTTTTAAAAAGGAATCGCCCAAAAAATATTTTATTTGAAATTAAAGTGAATCACCAAATAAGCTCCTTTTAGCTTCGTCCCAACAAACATGTCTTATCTGGGGATACTCCTGGACTTTACCAGTGTGATTGGGTCTATGTACTTCGTTGCCTTTGTCATCAAAGTCATTTTTCCCGCGAATATACAAAATCATAAAGTCCGGACACAGCACACCATCTCTCGTTACTTTGAAGTCCCTTTTATCGATTACTGATTTTCCTTCGCCAGTATTCTTAGCTTGGGTCTTTTTGGTCACCTCTGTTATTTCCATTTCTGCTCTGTGAGTTCCGCCGTATGTGTAGTCTAGGAAATACTCGATTTGGTTTCTGCCATTAGAATATTTCCGATCTGTAAATGCCAAATCAATTGCTGCAGTGCCCTCGTTGTGTTTTTGAAAATTAGAAATCGAAACTTGAATAAAAGTGTAGCCAAGTATAAAATCGAATCGAGGTAGTTCGCCTCCATGTATCAAGATATTCTTGCCCTCATCGCCAAATCTTTTAGGTGGATCTTGAAGATGTTCAAAGCCATCGACTCTCAGCTCTAAAAGTTGTTCCTCCTTCCCAGCGAGGTTAGTCGACTTGAAGATTATGTTGTTTTGCTTGATAAGCTTCTGAAAGAAAACATCGGAAAATTGTGCAGGTTCCAAGATATTCTGCCTTGCGGCACATATGTAGTCGTTGGGGAGTGCACATAGCCTGTATAGTCCCAAAAGTGCCGCCTCAGATGCTGGTGTAATTGGGCGCTTCATAATCATACTCCTGCCCTTGTTCCGATACTCATACATTATTCCAAAATGGTAGAATCGTCAATCAAGTGGCGGTCCTGTATGATCCTTGCTTTGCAGAAACACATCGACTAGAGCTTGACGAGTAGTTGGTTGGAATATCGGTTCAATTTTACTATAACAGTTCTTCAAGATCTCCAAGAATTGTTCTTTGCGATCCTCCTCATAATCCTTTAGTCGTTGCTTGATCCCATTAGCTGTGAGCTCAATGCCTTCAATGTCTTCGCCAAAAAAAATATTGAGTTCCCGTGGCACACATCCGGTGGCTTTTTGAATCTCGCCTCGTAGCTCATTCAAATGTTGGCGGCCTGTTGGGTAGCGATTATCTATGATCACATCCAGTAGCTTATTGAAAATATCAGGCGACATTGGACCAACATACTCGACATAATGTGATGCGTCTCTGAGAATGAGCTTTGCAAATCTTACCGTACTGCTAAACACTACTCTCGCATTATTTGAGTTGTTCCAGGAGTTGAAAGTCTGTAGAGGCCCTAAAAATGGGAACCTTTCGGGCGCAGACTTACTACTTTCTGGAAATAGTGCACCATGCTCATCCACGACAAATAATGCCTTTTGACTTCTTGACTGGAGTAGTTCAGCAAAGATACAGGTGGCGCTATTCACATAAGGATCCTTCGATGTTTCAATTGCGACCATTTCTTTGAGCTCTGAGGCTGTCAAAATATCTTTGTTGATGGATAAGAAGATTTGACAGATCAGCTTTGATGCGGCAGTTTTAGTGTCACAATTGCTAAGCTTACTAGCATCGGCAATATAAAGCACTGGCCAACCATGTGCGTATGCCTTGGCCACAAGGAACCATGAAATGTATGATTTACCGACGCCCATTGGACCCGATAAACACTTCTGGACAGACCACTCACTGTTCTCGAGCTCATTCCATAGCTTCATCATCTGTTCGGTCACAAAAAACTCGCGACCTTGGTAGCCTTTCGCAAAGAATTTTGGGCTCTGACCAAGATCCATTGAAGTAATTCGATCTCCACCCTTCACCGTCAAAAGCGATTGGAACTTGGTGCGGGGTTCTGGTGCGTACTTGTTATTCTCGATCAAATCCAGTATATGGAGGGGTAAATCTACGGGTTCGCCATCGGCTGCAATATGTCGCTTCCAGGAACGACAGCGCTTTGCAAGGTGCTCTTTGAGCATATAAGAATAGCGAGACTGACGTGAGTATGAAATAAACAAACTTCCTCAAGAATCATCAAAACTATGAGTGGGATGAACTCACCTTTTTCGTCTTCTGTGTCTTCTAGGTTCCTTTTTGGACTTCTTGGGGCTGTTTAAAATCCACGCAAAAAACAACAAGAGGATAGTTAGATAGGCCTTGATAAAAGTACCTATATGCGATAGGGGAGCCGAAATAAACTTAGCAAAAAGCCTCACGAGAGGACAGTGAAGGTCAGAGCATACGCACGGGCCATGGGGGCAACTTTTCAAATTCTTTTTATAAAGAAATTCAAAGTCGTCCCTGAAGTGTAAATATAACGTAATAAAGCCTATTTGGCTTCATAAAGCATTTTTTATTTTTATTTTTTTAAACATTGTTCCAATGATGTGTCCAATGCGCCGAGCCTCATCAATACGACGAGAGACAACAACGATGTGACTCTTCCCGAAACTATCAAGGCTATCAAGCGCTCTATGATCGGAAATATTGATAGGTATTTTTAAACAGTCTTTATCCATAATAAATGACTCGGAAACAGAACTTGTAATGTCCCTCCAGACTATGAAGAGCTTAATTCAAACAATGTGATTATGTGGGTTTTATCATGAAGAACTGTTTTATTTGAACAAAATACGTTGGTGTATTTTTCATAATGATCGAGTACTACGATTGAGTTCCTGAGGCACGCCTCTTGTTCGCTGAAGCTGATGCTGAAGCTGATGCTGAAGCTGATGCTGAAGCTGATGCTGAAGATGAACGTGAGACTACAGGGCTATTATAGCTGAATCTGTTTACAATCTCATCTTTCATGCGATCGTACAGAGAAAGAACATAACAAAAGAGAGTTTCTGCATCCTCTCTTAGCGTCTCCTCCTCCTTGAGTCTTAGATCTCTCAAAACCTCCTTGGCTTTGTACGTCAATGAGTCGTCTTCCTCCATCGTGCACTCTACGAAAGTCCATTTGAATGCGTCGGTTACAATGCCGAATGACTTGATGCGTGTGGCGGGCCTCTCTTGTCCATCGTCATCCGCCTCAGTCCGCTTTCGTTTTTTTTGTTGAAGTGCGACGTCGAGCTGTACTATATTTTGAGCCATACCTTTCACATGATCGTCCTTTTTCACCTCCGTGACTCCAAGAACTTGCGACTGGTGGATACGATCCAACACAGCAAAATCCACCGGTCCATGTCCCCGTAGGCCGGTTATCAGTTCTTGTTGCTCAAGATACATATCCATTTTGTAGGACTGCATGGCTCCAACCATGAAAGAGTCGACGATCGAGTTCCTTGTGAACTCGCTAGAGCTAGGACCAAAAATGTAGGCCTCGTTTTTCCGGCTGCATTCTTTGATTATTTCCTCCAACATCAGCTTCTCATCGTCAGTCATCGCCCTTGGTTCAATATCAAACAGTGGGAGAAACTCAGGGCCTTTACCGACGTTGTATTCTTCCATCACTTCTTTCCAAGTGAATTTCGAAAAACTCTTTCCAGGATTGTCCAGGGATATGACAAGGTTTTTCCAGCTACTCTCCTTTGCAATCGCCAAAATAGACCGAAGTTGGGGATCGCTAATGAGCATTGTCGGTATTGAGCTATCCGGCAGATGCAAGAATATCTTGAGGTCCTTGTCCTCAGCAAACTGGTCAAAGTACTTCTCAAGGAAAAGATGAAATTCAGCGAGAGTTGCCGTCTTGGTATCCGTCACGAAGGTGCAAACAATCTTCTTTCCTCCTCTTTTGTCGATGATTCTCAATGCTGCAACGCAATAGAATGCAAAAAATAAAAATAAAAATAAAAAAGACATAAAAAGTGGTTATAATTCCGTCTTTCCAAGCTGTAACGATAAAAAAAATTGCTAATTCATTCTATCCACATCTATCCACACTTACATATGGAAGTATTCTTCGTCAATGCCTCGAGGTCCGACAGCTGTTTACGCAAAGCTGCAATCTCGGGGTGTTGGGTATCTAGGTTGAACAACAGGTAATGGAGCAGGAACTAGTTGATTAATTAAGATACATCCCAAACATAAAGGGTTATCTTTCAGAAGTCAAATCAATGACGTCATGAAAGAAAATAAGCTTCATCAATTTGAAAATATCAGTCCATCAAGAGCTAAATACATACCTTGCGGCGGCAGCTTAACAAAAACATGGATAGTTTCATCTGGAAGTTTAGAATTAAAAATGTCCCCAAGCTTCTTTGACGCGATTGCGAGAGCCTCTTTCGATAGGATTTCTGATTCAACGACGGTCTTGCCTTCGTCAGGGATGGAAACCTTGTAGAGGGTGAGCTGGTCAGCATCGATATTCTTAAATGCATTCTCCTTCGCTGCCTTGATGACCTTCTTGAGTTCATCAATCGAACAATCAGAAAGAACCTTGACAGAAAAAGATGTTGCTTCTCCCTCAACAATGCAAAAAATCTTTAGTTCAGTTCGCTCAGGGATTTTAGGCCCACTGGTGCTTGAACCCTCTTCATACAGATTAGATCGAGGTGATACGTTTCGAGATGATGTTCCGGTCTTTCTCATTGTGATTTCAAACCTTTTTAAAAACAAGGATGAAATGGACAGAAGGCAGAAAATAGGAAAAGTTTGATAAAAATGTTAAAGGATGTTAATTCAGTAGCAGGATGGTTCAAAATTGTGACAATGTAGGCTGTGAAGATGAAGTTGAGGGAGGAAAAAAAAAGTTGTTTGCGTGACGAAGGAAAGGAGTGACAATTGATAAATTTGTTCCAGGACTGAGGAATATTTTTTCTTTATAATTGTCGTTCTGGCGAGCGACCACCAGAGCCATGCCGCGGTAGAATGTTTAGCCGGGGCGACTTTGGATTTCATCTCTATAAAAGAATTTGAAAAGTCGCCCCCATGGTCCGTGCACAGACCCCATCTGCGCCGCCGTGTCACCACATCTGATAAAGTCCTGCAGATGGGGCGGTGTGGCTTTTTTTTAAATAAAGAGCATAAGGTCAAAGGGTCATGCGATTTACTTTCCATCCAATGAAATCATGCCATCTCATCTCTTTTCCTTATCACATCACAAATGTTAAAACACTTTCATCGCCATGAGAAACATCCATTTTATTCCTTTCCTTCCTCCATCCCTTTCCCTTCGCTCCCTGAATTCCTCCACCAGGTCGCTATAAACCAAGACAACCAGTACGTACATGCTTTCTGCGCGCACCAATGAAGCTTGCTCTTAAACTAATACTCTGCAATTCATAAACAGTGCGCGAAGAACCCACTACCATCGAGATACTGCGCAAGCGGCTTGCTGCTATTTCGCTTGAACTCGCAGATGCAAAGGACGATCTTGAAATATCACAGGCACAACTTGAGGGCACCCTATCCTGTCTTTCTGAAACTCAACTTGAGCTGAAGAACACTAAGGATGCTCTTGCCAATAGCGAGCGTGCACGCCTGGAGGCCAACCGCGACCGAGTGTTGAGTCGCCCTTATGGAAAGCAGGAGGTCTTTGCTATTTTGAAGTTCCAGCAGCCTCAGCCATTGCCTATTGGAGGCTATCGTCTCTTTGCGCTGCAGCGCAAGGCTGTCGATCGTACCTTGGACCAGTTCATTGCTGACAATCCTGACCTCGACCCCGTTGAGATTGCAGAGTTGCGATCTGATCGTTCTCCAAGAGGCGAAAACGTTTACCTACAGATGAAAGATGACGTGGCTGCACCAATCGACTTCAGCCGCCGCAACTTCGTTCTCAAGGATAGCAAGACTGAGGAGGAGATGATCGTTTATGTTCAAAAGGTCTTTAACACTCATACTCAGGAAAAATAAGAATCATTCCCATGATAGTCTATTGTTCACTCGATAACAAAATAAAATGAAATTGCTACTCATATACTATAAACTATCAACATATTACCTACTATGTCTGAAAATACAAACCGGACTTACAAAAAATTTGAATCAGTTTACTTTGCTGCTGACAAGAAGCAAACCTTGGGTCCACAAGCAAGGGCTCACGAATGGGCTGATGCGAACAGTAATACTTTCTTTGTGATGTACGAAAGTGGCCTTTCTCCGGATGGCAAGAAGTCGTCTTATGAGTTTGCAAGCTACAAGGATCTACCTACATTTTTGGATATATATAACAAACTCCCGAACCCTTACAGATGCTTTTTCGAGCAAATCCGAGAAGGAAATCCCTGTTGTGAGTACTACGACATTGACTGGAAACTTACTACGACCTCCAAGGGAAACACCGATCCTCCTTCACTCGAAGACGGCGCTAGTCCACTCGTCCCTAGCGAGGGCATCGATGCTATTGCGCAACTTGAAAGACGAGTGTTTGGTGAGTTTCTTGCTGCTCGCAACCAATATGCACCGAAATATCCCATCACCGAGAATCAATGCCGAATCTTGACTTCATCCACTCATAAAAAGATATCATTGCATGTCATGATACCAACGTACACATTCGAGAACAATCACAGACACCTTTGGACATTCCTGCTTGATTTTTTCAAGGATATCAAAGCTGACCAGGATCAGAATGAAGGTAATCTGCTCAAGTACATTGATTCAGGTGTATACTCAAGAAGCAGAAGCATCCGATGTCTCGGAAGCTCGAAACGTAGAGACATAACCAGACGTTTCATCCGTACCCCATGGCATCAGCCATCTATGCATGCATTGGATGCAGAATTTTTCATCACCAATGTTCAGCCCAATAGTATCAAAGTGGAAAAATCTCCAGCTGCCGACAGGTTCTCAAGGCGCCAGCGTAACCAGATACCGTCAACTTCAGCAGCACTTGGAGATGCATCTAGAGATATGACATTACCACACCAGTTGTCCGTATCTGTCGTCTCTGATGCTGTACATAGAATATTTGCACAACACAAGCATGCAAACCTATACAGAATACAGTATGATGGCCAAGGCGGGATCTATAAGCTGCAACGAGTTCAATCTGGTCAATGCGATGTATGCAAGAGAAGACACGACAACGAGAATGGCTATCTTCAAGTGAGTCGAAATGGAAGAGTGACGCTGTATTGCTACAGAGCTATTGCCGAGGGTTTATCCCGCAATATCCTCGTCGGGGAATTGGATTTCGGCGAAAAGATTGTCCTGAGACAACATCTTGCTACGTTGGACACAGATCAGCACTTGCATCCAGGCGAAGTGTATGCGTCACCCTACATCAAATACCACAAATCACCGATGAGTCTCTTGATAAGGAGCGAGACTGGCACTGGAAAAACGACATTCTTGGAGCAGTTTATTCAAATGAACCCAAAGTTGACGTATCTTGCAATATCTCCAAGACAGACACTAGCCTCCAGTCTAGAGAAGAGACTCGGGTTTAAAAGCTATTTGGATTTTCCCTCCACTTATATCAAAGGTCAGAAGATTGTCATACAAGCCGAATCTTTACATAAACTGGATCTTGCATACTACACCATGGATGTTGTTCTGGTTCTGGATGAAGTGTCATCTATCTTTGATCAGATGACAAGTGTCGCCACCATGAGGGGCTTCCACAAGGCCAATAATGATATATTACGAGACTTCATTAAGGTATCCAGGAAGGTGATTGCCTTGGATGCTGATCTAACAGACCGAGACGTTCAGGTCATCAAGGAGCTTCGAGATGATGTCCACATTATCCATAATACATTCAAGCCACAGCAAGGAGATCTCGTCTCTCTTTATGAGAATGAGGCTTCTCTGAAGTTAAAGGTTATTAACTTAGTCAAGTCTGGAAAGAAAGTGTGGATATGTAGCACACAGAAGGCTGAAGATGCTGAAAGTTTACATAGTGAATTGAAGATATGGGGTTCATTGGGATGTGCATCACTGCGAATTCCCTGGAGTTGGAGAAGAGGGCATTTGCACAGAATATTAATGAAATCGCACCAACTCTCGACTATTTTATTCATACTCCAACCATCACAGTTGGGCTTGATTGTAACATGCAACACTTTGATTATGTTGCAGGATTTTTCATGTCACAAAGTAAAGTCAATGTAGAGACATGTAGGCAAATGCTCAGAAGAGTACGGCACGTCCAGCAAAAAGAATACCTTGTCTATATCAGCAATTCAATAAACAATCTTCCAACAACACACAACGAAATAGTCAAGTATCTTTGCAGCCAAGAGGTTCAAATCAAGGGATGCGCTATGGATACGAATGGCTTTCCGCTTGATCTGAGGGTAGGGCAAGGTCCTGGAGTGAAGCATGATGTTGGCGATATTTACTACACAATATTCATCAATGCACTGATAAAGAAGCATCTATCAATGAATGATTTTCTTCAGCGTTTCATTGCTCAAATGGTTCAGGCTGGCTGCAGAGTTGTTGGGCTATCTAATCAGCCCAAGGACCTTAAGGTTTCTGAATCTCTGAAACAGAGGACAGCCACCCTACTTCAAGCCAAGTATACAGGGATATCGGAGGCCAAGGTAATTGATTACGAAGAATTACTACGACTGGAAACAAGGTCAGACCTTTCTACTGAAGAGTATTACGCAGTACAAAAATTCAGGATTATGGACGCCTACGGCATTGAGGACCCATCTATCCTTACGCCTGAATGGGTGCAGACCTACAGTAACCCAAAAGAGATGAAGGTCTTTCAGAATCTGCGAGCCTTGAAGAACGACCCAGAGTTGAAGATGACAAAGCAGAGCGACTCGTATCCTCTGGGGAAAGATCAAGAAAGGAGGGACACTGGCGCCATACTACATAGACTACATCATTCAAAGTATACCAAACTAAAGTATGCAAAAGACATCCTCTTTGCCTGTGGTTATGACTCCCCATTTGATCCCAAATGTAGAGCATCCACTGCTCTCAAATCAAGCCTGGATGAGCAATGGGAATCGCTATCGTCAAACATGCGGAATATTTGCACACAACTTCTAATCCCGTACCCATCTCATAGCAACTGGAACTTCAGAAACCGGCAGAACTTTGTCAACTCTGTCTTGAATGAGGTTTTTGGTATTCATATAGTTGGAACTAACAAGAAAGCCACAAGCTATCATATAAAATACATGAGGGAAGTAGGGAAGAATTGGGAAGGTTTCTTCAATGATGGAACTAAATGAATACAACGGAGGGCTTGAGCAGATTACGATATTGTATTCTTTTTGAAAAGTCATGGATTAATATTTAACCGGGGGCGACTTTGGATTTCATCTCTATAAAAGAATTTGGAAAGTCGCCCCCATGGTCTGTGCGCGTCATGATGGTTTTTGAAAGTACGTGCAATCGGTCTCTAGAAGCTGATTTTGGTTCTCCAATAGTCTTGGATGCACTGTTTGTAGTTGGAATGCTGTAGAGCCACCCATGTTGCCTCAGAGATATCGAAGCCTTCCCATTGAACCAGAAACTCCATGTCCTCACCTTCCCCGCGATGGTCTAAAATCCTAGCAACCTCGTATCCCTCCTGCGCTGTCTCTGCCATAGTCTCATCTGCAGTGTCTAGTATGTTAGGCTGCGAACTAGCTACAGATAGGAACGCTTCTTGTAGTTCTAAAAGACTTCGACCATGATTTAGTTTGACTTTGATGCTGGGGAGCTTCTCATAAGCAACCTGATACTCATTATTGTCTGGAAAGTCAAACGCATCTTGCATCCAGAATGTGTGGTGCGTCTGAGTGGGGATATTATGGATTGACACGACTCTCTTGATATTCATAAGCAGGCAACAAAGCTTGAATTGGAGATCAAACGTCTTTGCGTCTGAGAAACGGATGGGAGCGTCGTGTGTGAACTTGGAGAAGGTGGATTGCATGTCTCCAAAGCACCCTTCGATGCTTGACCGAAACCCACCAAACGCTTTATTGTAATGTAACTCTTGGTCTGTCATGGCGATCCCCCTAGTCTTGCGCACAGGATAAGAGAAATTTTCGTAGGACAGTGCATTTGATGGTTCGACAATTTGTCTAACGAACCCACTGTAGCCACCGTCAAGAGCAACACAGTCCAGCTTGTGTATATGCGATGCAATGTTCATCTTCACAAGCATAGTCCCATCATTGAAATCTCGACAAGGAGCTGGCTTGGATGCAAACAATATGATATTGTTCATGTCTGAACACACTTGAATACGAAAACCCGACTTCTTGAGTTTATAAGAGTAGAGACTTGGCTTGTCAGCACCGATGTAGCTGACTCTTGTGTCATGTCCGTCTAGATTCAATGTCACATGCTTGAATGGATCAGGGTTGTTCTTGGCAAGTAGCAATCGTAGCTTCAAACTCGAGCACATATCTCTCATCATTGAGGTTATGTCATCATGTAGTTTCACAGGGTCCCGAAGATAAAATTCCCTGTGCAAGTCGTAAAAGGACGTCTTTGGTATGAACCTTGACATTGTAGACAATGAATCTCCTGTGATTAGTGCATACAGGAGCAGAAGACCCTTTTCGACATTACGATATGGGCTACCATAGTCACGCACTCCAAATACTTGTGTCAGAAAAAAGAACGTAGGGATGAATCCTAGACGGTCAAGCACCATTGACTTGACGTGTGTTACGTCAGATATCTCTTTCATCTCTGTGCGATGAAACTTGGCTTTCTTTATAGCTGGCCACTCCTCTTGCATGAACCTCCACTGAGCCTCAACAAGGCGTACATATTCCTCAGAAACAGCGCTCATACAGATATACTCTTTGCAAGCTATTGGATATAAAGCGCTTTATTACAACTCCTCTATATTATTCCATGTGTTCACTTTATTTTCATCCTACCTATTCAAATATTCACTTCAATTTACAATCCATCCGAATATGGCGACTGTTCGGACTCCATCTGATACTGTATAAACACCTGAATACTGCCACATGCTATTGACCACTCTACGTCCCTTAAACAATATTCTTAGCATACATCTGAACTTTTTGCAAGGGATGTGTCAACACTTCGACAAACATGTAACATTTAATGGCTACATCACAGCCCTTGGATTGTGGAAGCGCTGAAAGTATGCGGAAAACGGGAACCATTTGTGTTTTTACTAGCAACAAGCGTGGTTTTAAAAAAGTTTGCCTCCAAGGAACAAATCCTATATCCTTCATTGCTCAAAAGAGACAATCTTGTCTTTTCTGCACCCCAAAAGCTCGCCATATTCCTATTGAAGCGTTCAGAGGCATTATTTGCCTCATAGTTTGAGGATTAGCAGACTTTCAGTCAAGTTTTATTGTTTTTGAACAACACAGTAAATCCTGGCCATTCGAATTTAATCCCTTTGGATGGCAGCTATTCAGGGGATGCTAATCAATTCTGCTAAACTATGGTGAAATCAGAGCAGATTTGGAAAACCAACAAGCATCGAACAGTCGCCTTATGTTACCCAATATATGGGATATGTACTTTACACATTGATATTAACAGCAATGCCATATCTAACGCGTCTCTGAAAAGAAAAGAAAAAAACAAAAACAAAAACAAAAACAAAAGTCCAGTTGAAGTTGATTGCTGTAAGTTAAAGGAGAGGCTCTTGCACGCACACATGCATAAGTTTTTGAATGGTTTACAATGGCTGGCAAATTACAAAGTGAACATTACATAAATTGCACCTATACCGACTACGCGCTACAATCGTCTACTTCCTACACTATCGGTGGTACTGAATACCATGAGAGAAATTGTTTGCTATTAAAAGCTCTAACATGTTGAAGGAGGGGAAATATAGTTTTGTAATTTCGTCCCATGGGAAGGGGATGCACGGTGCATGAGTATCTATTGAACGTAATACAATACGAAAAAAAGTAGATGGCTGTGAAGGAAGTGCCAAAACATTTGTATATACAGTTTTATGTGGTTCCGTAAGCTGAGAGCACGACATCGCCTTGTTGGAGCGATATTGACTAACGCGCAAAAATGAGTGAGAGTTTTTAGTTTTTTTTACTTTTACTTTAATGTCTCAATGAGAACTCGTTGCATCACCATGGATATTGGCTGTATGGTATCCTTTGGCCTTGGAAGAACTACCGGTTTAAGAGAATATGGTCTATCATCATCATTGTGATAGTGATAAGAGAAGTATAACTAGTCATTTACTCAGTTTTGAAGGCAAATTTTAGAAAACTCAACCCTTTGCTTTCTATTAGCTCTGGCCCGCTTGCATCAAAGCCCATGCTTCCTATAGACCTCGTCACCAAGCCTAACTCCCTAAATACTACAATTCGTGTATCATAGAAGCAAGATTTCTTTTTGAGACCGATATGAAAAAAATGTTTGTGTAAAATCATATGGCGTAGAATATATGTCACAGAGCCACATACCTAGACCTCAGATCATCAGCTTTTCCGTCTGAAGCCAATAGCAAGCTAAGAGATATAGTTTCCTATCTAATATATAGCAAATGAGAGTTCTTTTACAGTGCTTTGGTATTTGGCACTATCGCCTAATGTCATAGTATTCGGTAGCTCGAGGTTTGAGCTATCTTTCTTATCAGAATACTGTTGGTTGGTATGCCAAATGAAAAAGACAATCCAAAAATAATGTTTTCATATCGGTCTCAAAAAGAAATCTTGCTTCTATGATACACGAATTGTAGTATTTAGGGAGTTAGGCTGGTGACGAGTCTATAGGAAGCATGGGGCCTTTGATGCAAGCGGGCCAGAGCTAATAGAAAGCAAAGGGTTGAGTTTTCTAAAATTTGCCTTCAAAACTGAGTAAATGACTAGTTATACTTCTCTTATCACTAATCACAAATGATGATGATAGACCATATTCTCTTAAACCGGTAGTTCTTCAAGGCCAAAGGATACCATACAGCCAATATCCATGGTGATGCAACGAGTTCTCATTGAGACATTAAAGTAAAAGTAAAAAAAAACTAAAACTCTCACTCATTTTTGCGCGTTAGTGAACTCTGATGAAAAGAATGAGGGAGGTTCTATCCAAGACACTAGAATAGCCAATTGTTATTAGCAGCAAAAAAAAAGTCGATAATGATGGTCGTGCTCAGCTTAAAGCTTGCCATTTATCGTATGTATTTAGATATACAAATGAATATCTTAGAACACGCTTTCATTACCACAGAGTATTTACAATACTTGACCAGCATTTTTTTTTACTTAACCTTAACAGCTCAGCAATCGGAAGAATGTTTCTTTATTTGTTTTCCTCGTGGGCGCCACACTATTTAGAACAACAAAGCCCTAGATTTTCCGAAATTCTCCATGACCTCCATCTCCCTCATTATAGCTCTGTCGTATACATCTTTAAGTTTAAAAAAATGCTCATGGCTCGATGGGCCCGACTGCACGCGAGCATTGGTATATCTGTGTGGAGAAGAGATAATGTCCAATTAGTGAAAATCGTAATTACCCTATCTTTTCTTTTTTG